ACACCTCTTGTCCAGCATCTCCCGCACCCTCCCGTCCGGCTCACCGTCCACGTCCACGACCTTCACGCCCTCCCGCTCCGCCCGATGTATCTTCCTCCGCACCGTCTTGTCGTTGTTCGCCGGGTCGACCTCCGTCGGGTTCAGCCTCTCCTCCGCGACAGCAATGATCGCGCTCCACCCGAGATCCTCCGCGAGTATCCGCTCCACGTCGTGGTCGATGCAGCACCACACCGGCTTGAGGCCCTCGCCACGCACGAACTTGAGGTATCGGTCGATGACGCCAGGCACCTGCTTCTGCTCGCAAAGCGGGGCCCCGAACGTGGCCGCAAAGCCGTTCTGCGGGATGTAACCCACCGCCGCGCCGGTCCGAACATCTCTCCAGACTGTCCACGACGGATCTATCCAGGACGTGTTCGTCGAGTCTCCGTACTTCGCGACGAGCTGCGGAGGGATACGGACTCCGTCAGTCACACCTGCCTCTGACAAAGTCGAATGACGTACATCTTCAAGCGGGGGCAAGTCCCCGTGCGGAATGCCCTCCTGGTACGTCGATGCTTCCGGCCCGTGCATAATCTGATGTGTCGCCGCCGCCATCGACATCTCTGCCAGGTCCTGACCGGTCCTCGCGAAGCTACGCGGGTCTCGCGGAAGTAGACTCGCGTACCGGATGTCGCCCAGCTTGAGGAACAGCATCACTACGCGCTCAAGACCAACTCCTCCTCCGCCATGCTGTAGAGCACGATACACTTCAATCGTACTCACGACGAGGAGGACTTATGCACGCACCGGAGGGCACCCCCACCTGAAGCCGTTCACGTAGTCCTTCAACTGGTCCGGGTCAACACCCGCAGCCCTCATGCGCTCCTCCAGCATCGGTGCTACGTGTACACGCTGACCACCAGACAGGATCTCCTCCCCACGCAAGAAGATATCAAACGAGTTCGACAATTGCTACAGGCGCATCGCGTTAGCTCAGCGCATCCATTCATTATCACGGCAAGAAACCACACTCACGTCGTTCTCCGGGTCCGGCATCGTATAGAACGGCCTGACCTCGAGCGGGAACTTGTCGAGGATGTAGTAATCCGCGCCGTACTTATCCTTCACGAGCTGGCCCAAGTAGCGCTCCGCGTTCGTGCTGAGGTCCTCATACTCGCTCGGCTCCTCGCCGTCGTCATCCTTGTACCCAGCCTCCCTCAACATCTTTATCCCATCCGCAAACCGTATCCGCGGCGTCTCGTCAAGGATCACCAGGTCATCGTGCGGGAACTGGGTCTTCACCGTCTCAATCTACCAAATGCACAGCGTCAACACGGGCCCGCCAGAACGACCCTGAGCGCGCCAAGCACCCACCTCGTCGCGCAGCCTCTCCTGCAATCCCCGAAAGATGAACTTGAACATCCCATCCAGCATATCCAGCACCTCATGATAATGGTTATCAAACTGCATCTCCAAATCCAAGCCCGTGAACTCAGTCAGGTGCCGGTGCGTGTTCGAGTTCTCCGCGCGGAACACGGGCCCGATCTCGAACACGCGCTCCATGTCCGCCGCGATGCATATCTGCTTCGCGAGCTGCGGGCTCTGCGCGAGGAACGCCGGCCGCCGGAAGTAGTCCACCTTGAACACCGCCGCGCCCGACTCCGTCCCGCTCTCCTGGAACTTGCTCGATTGGATCTCGATGAACTTGCGCGCGAGGAGGTATTCCCGGAAGAGCGTGCAGACGCCTGAGCGGACGCGGAAGATGGCCTGGTTGACGGGTGACTGTGTAAACTCGGTGAGAGAAAGTAGGCGGTCATACACAAAACGACGTACGCGAAGGTCAAGGACTCGATTGGCAAGGCGCGTCTTTTGGTTCACGCGCGGGAAGTGAGCACCTTCCTGTATACAGAGTGCTCGTCAGGCGGCTGATGTGCATCGACTAATCATCGATACATACCCTTTGGTAGTACTCCTCTGGCCGCGCGGCGTCCTCTACCTGGAACGGCAAAGTCGCAGCCGGGCCCAGCACCACGAACAGCTGTAATCCCAGACCATCAGCCACCTCAAGCCGTCTACTACACGAGCCCAACTGACCTTTTCAACCTTGACTTCGTGATTATGTACCTTCGTCGAGTGCACCTCTTCCTGGCCGTCCTTCGGCTTCTGTACCACGCCTTCGACGACGACGATGGACTCGCGGTTCAGGCCCTCCGCCCACCGGACCATGTTCTGCGATATTTTTCCTTCCTCCTCGATGAGCACGCCTTGGAGAGTGGTGAGTTGCGACCGAAAGATGAGGAAAACGATCTTGGAGCCTGCTCAAGAGTGTCTGGAATCAATGGCAATGTCCGGCGAGTCATGCGGAACGACGGGATACACGTACCGAGCGGCCGGATGTGGTGTATGCGTGCGCGGAATTTGACGTGCTCGCCTTCCGGCGTGTCCACGACGGAAATGAGCGAGTTCAGGTCGGGAGCTGTGCATCTCTGGTAAGTTTCATCTCGGAGTCACGCGGAGTGCAGCCCGAACTACGCAGCAGACCCAGGCAAGCAAGAGAGAGCAGGAAGTCACGAGGGCCCTTGAGGATGTGCGAGTGACGCGCAATGCACCATCTCGCGATCAATAACAAGCTCCATGAGCTACGCAAGGCCCCATGAAATGCCATGACGAGCGCGGCTCTACTGCTCATGCCGGTCCCGAGACGCGCATACAGGCTGCAAGGAAATGGACGTACGGAGCTCGACCTGCGACATGTTCAGCGGGAGGTCGCCGTAGTTGTCGCGCAACGGGTCCTGGTATAGTAAATTAGCTGCTGCACAAAAACACCAAGTGCGTCGGGGCGCACCTCATCATGCAAGCGTACTCTGCGTTGCTTGCGCTCGTTCTCCTCCTGCTCGTCATGCTTCTCGCGTTCCTGCGCTCGGTTGACCTTCTCCTCGGTGAACGACAGTCTCCTGCTCCCGTCCGATGAGGGCCGGTTCGATCCATGCGCTTCCGGAGTCTCCGATTGTTCCTGTTGACGTTGCGCAGCTGTCTTACCTTCTGCATTGGTGTTATCGACCTCTGGGGTCATAGGCGCACCATTTGCTTTTCCGTTGCCGTTGAGGAGAGGATGTGCATGACCGTTGGTTGTCGGGCTGGAGGCACCTGGCGAGTCGAGCGACTTGGCATGTATAGAGCCCTTCGAGGATATGGATTCACGGGCGCGGTGGAAGACTTTCTTGATGCTCGACATGGGTATCGAGGGGGCGAATGCAGCAGAGAGTGGGTGTAGCTAAGTAGGCGTAGAGGTAGTTCGTGGCAGGTCGTAGTGAGCAGTGCACTGTCAGCAAAGACGGGGATCAAGAGTGCAGACGCGGTCGAGCGAGGGGACATGATATTAATTCGACTGTAGATGCGCGTGCCCTTGGCGGACGTCATCGTCTCCAGCTCCTGCTCAGGCTGCTCTGGCGTACGCGTGACGTCACCATACACCGATCGTCACTGCTCCCTGATTGGCTGACGCGGCCCTCGCAGTCCTTTTGGTCCAGAGCTGCGCCAAAATAGGATCGTCGCGTTCGACATGGAGTCTCGCGGAAACAGACTGACAGACACGCACCACCCCTCGCAGGTCGCCGGCCCCCCAGCCCCTACTGAATCCGAGGCTCGATGCGAATAGGTCCCGTCATAGAGGAGCTCGACTCCGCTGCCGTATGAATACGACGCCTCGAATAGGCAGTCGTGATGGCAGATGCGAGCCAGCGTAGTGACAAGCCAGCATCGGAGTTTTCTTATGTAAGTAATACGACTTACACCCAGCGAGAGTAACTGATTGACCAATCATCCTAGTATGGAACACCGAGTTCGCAACGCTTGCTGAGACAACTGAGGCCATGTTCCGGTATACTTGAGGGAGCGAAATACCGATGCGGCTCGTGCCCTCGTATCTGACAATGTAGGCGTCACCACGCTTAGAAGGATGAGTCTGAAGATGAGCGCGACCAAAACCTACCAAAACACGACGAACACTCGGCGTACTTGTTTGGTGTTGTTGTGCAACAGCCTTAACGCCCGTGCTTACCTTATATGGCCGTTTGTGGCAGATACGAACCTGCCGACGCACACCGGGCAGCACTTCGGTCCTTCGTCCCCAGTGTACGGTATAGCTGTCATGTCCTATTGCACATTCGTCACGGTATCTGATAAGAGTCAGAAACCGCAGGGCTACCCACTGCTACCCTAGTCCTGTATCATGAAGGTGCTGCAGCTCGCGCGAAGGACCTCCAGCTGGGGATCTACACGGGAGCCTGAGTAAGATTGAATATGCTTATCCGTAGTCTGATGCCCCCCGCAGCCTCGGTAGCCACCATATGCCAGTCCAGATAACCTACCGACTCACACCGCCCGGGCAACATCAGCACTCCGGTCCTTCGTCCCCAGTGTACGGCATAGCTGCCATGTCCTATTGCACATTCGTCGCAGTATCTGATAAGAGGCAGAAACCGGAGGGCTACCCATTGCTACAGCTCCGTTGTATCATAGAGGTGCCGCAGCTCGCGCCGCGAAGGACCTCCAGTTGTGACTAACGCCGTTCATTTCAAGGAGTCTCGAGTCTAACGGAAATGGTACCCGTGTGAGGGATCCCTGCAAGCGATCATGGGAGACCACCCTCAACGACGTAAAACATTCATCACGATTGAATGGACTCGACAACTCACGGGACGGAACGGGCCGAGGGAAGGCAGTCTGCCAGTGCATCTGCCAGCACTCATCGTGATACAGTACTCAATTTACTCAAAACCCAAGCTAAGTTTTATACTCTCCCCGCTGTATGCTATCAGTATCTCCCAACAGCTCGGGGCCACCATGTGCTTCGACTTTCTGCAGCTTCATGTCCTAGTACTTGGCTAGCTGCCTCGGGCCCTCGTTTAGGTTCACTCGGGGCAGCCGCCGAAGTCAGGGCTTCACACTAATAGAAAAACAGAGTCCTGCCAGCGATACCTGTGCTCGTCTCTCCGCCGCGCGTTCGTCCAATGTCCGACATGTCCGCCAGGGATGTCAAAAAGGCAGAGCTCGATGACATCGAGGACCAGCAGCCCCAACTCCTCCGAGTCGCGAATGATGGCGACGAGGAATTTGGAGGCACCGAGGCACGCAAGTCCCTCGAGAAGAAGCTCCTCAGAAAGCTTGACTTGCGACTGTCTGTGCTCATTGTGATTTACATTCTCAACTATGTAAAGTCATCGTCAACCGCTCCGAATCTGCTTTACAACTGACTGACGTGGACTTGACGCGTAGATCGATAGGAACAATGTGTCGTGAGTAGATCCTGACAGCACGAATCTTGTCGGTCGCTGACAGGCTGTTTTTCAGCGCCGCGAGGCTACGCGGACTTGAGGCCGATTTAAAACTGGAAGGCCAGCAGTACGACACGCTTCTGAGCATTTTGTACGTTGGGTACATCCTCATGCAGGTCCCTTCGTAAGCGTTTCAAGTTTTCGACCGTTCAGCGGACCGGCACGATGCTGATGTTCCCACACAGAAACATGTTACTCGATTACATGGGCCGACCCTCCATCTACCTCCCCTGCTGCGTGATCCTCTGGGGCTTGATATCCTGCCTCACAGGAGCCACTACAACGTACGCCCACCCTTCCATTGCGACCCGTCCTGTACCCGACTCACCGCTCCGTCTGTCAGCTTTGTCGGCACGCTGATGACGCGGTTCTTCCTCGGCTTCGTGGAGGCCGCGTTCTTCCCCGGCGCGCTCTTCCTCCTTTCCAAGTGGTACACCCGCTCCGAGCTCGGCCTGCGCACCGCCGTCCTCTCCTGCGGCCTGCTCATCAGCAACGCCTTCGGGTCCCTGATCGCCTCCGGGATCCTCGACGGCATGCAGGGCAAGCTCGGCCACGCCGCCTGGAGGTCAGTCCGCTCTTCCATCCCCGCTCCGCATCGGTCAAGCGAACCATGTCTGCAGATGGCTGTTCTACATCGAAGGCGCGCTCACGATCTTCGTCGCCGTCTGTGCGATCTTTGTCCTCCCCGACTTCCCCTCGACCGCACACCGGTGGCTCAGTCCGCTCGAGGTGCGCCTCGCAGAGAAGCGCGTCCTCGAGGACGTCGGCATCCCCGACGGGACCGCAGACGGTGCGCGGTCTGAGGGGGGCCAGCTCGCGGGGCTGCGGATGGCACTCGCGGACTGGAAGGTGTGGTGCCTCTCGCTGGCGCTGGCCAGCATGGTCATCTCGCTCTCGTTCAACGCGTTCTTCCCGACGCTGAGCGCGACGTTGGGGTACCCAGAGACGGTCACGCTGCTCCTGTGTGCGCCGCCATTCGGCTTCGCGACGGTGGCTGCGTTTGTGGTGACGAGGTGCGTGTGCCGACATCCGTCGTTAAAACTGTGGATTGATCGACTGCGCTTCGCTCATCCTGCAGGCATTCTGACAAGACCGGCGAGCGTTTCTGGCACATTGCTATCCCCCTTCTGCTCGGGGTCGTGGGGTTCGTCATCGCAGCGAGCACGATGAACACCGCCGCGCGCTACATTTCCCTGTCGGTTCTTCGCCCTCTGTACTGGCAGCTCCGCTCACCGTCCCGCGTACAGATTCCTGATGGCGCAGTCCTACACGGCGTGGATCATCTTCCTCGCGTGGGTGAGCAACTCCATCCCGCGGCCGAGCGCGAAACGCGCCGTCGCGCTCGCGTTCATCAACGCGTTCTCGCAGCTCGGGAACGTCGCTGGCTCGTACGCGTCCTCCTTCATGTCACCGCTCTACCTGTGACTGACATACAAGTTCTCCAGGTACGTCTGGCCGACTAGCTGGGGCCCGTCCTACCGCTACTCGTACGCGATCTGCATTGCGACGAACGGGTTTTGTATCTTCTTGTGCTATGTGTTTAAGCGTCATTTGGACCGCTTGAATAGACGGTTTGCGGAGGAAGAGGAAGAGGAAGGCCTTCCGAAGGGTTTCCGTTATTTGACATGATTCTGCGTATGTCCTTGGATGAAAATCGCATTGATAGACAGAACATCGTGAGAGCGTTGAAGGAGAATTGTAGAAACTGCGCTAAGTATCGCGTACACACAATCCACTCGTCAAACGCTCAAGTTTTCAAACCTCGCCGCTGCGTCACCCTTCGCCGGGAGACGAGCTATTTGCCTTCGTGGAGGGGAAAGCGGCCGGGCCGCCCGTGCGCTTCCCATATGTATTTTCTTTGCTTCTCGCCCGTCTTTCTACCTCGCTGATTGCGTTCTCAACAGACAGTCAGTACTTATGATACAAACTATTTCTGTAATCTTGCTCTACTGGCGCGCTCTCGACGAACTGGAAGGCGGCGACGCAGACTGACTAACTGTAGGACTGGGCGGGTCCGAACTGAGAGCCGCACCTGTTCAAGTTGGGGCCCGGGCCCGGATCGCGGACATAAATAGCACTGCTCGCGCGCTGTCGGCCTCGCGCCAAGCGAATGGTTTATTGTCAAAGTTCGAAGGGGACTGAAGGGCCGTCCGTCACCGGGACAGGTGCTCATGTGTCTGCTTACCATATAAGGTAGCACTCCTTCCTGATCTGTCAAACGATCGCTCGCCCTTCACGCGTCACCAGCGCATCACGCTTCCTTGCGAACCATCTGCCCCTCGTCGACGTCTCTCCGATTTGCTAATTGCAAAAATAACACACACACTCTTCTACATAGAAAGTCCCGGTTTGCTCGTGTGTATAAATACTGGGCTGCGTCGCTTGTCTCGCCGCTTCTCCCCCAAGTTCCCTCTACTGGCTGGCCTCCACTCCGGCGTGACGAGACGGTTCGCGTGTGCAAAATATGTAGCTGAGCAGCAAGTCGAACAGAACGTCGCGAGACGCGTATCGAACCAAGTAAGTTCTACTTCTAGGCAGCCTACCGTGACTTACTACTTAATGATTACTCGTTAGATCCCGGGGCCAGGCCTTCGACCCATTTCTGACTCGTCAATTGCCCCGCAATCGTGTGTTGTGAGTTGATATATTATCTTCTCCCTCTTCCAGTGACTTTTCGCTACAGACTTTCGCACTGGGCCAGCCATAATCCCGCATCGTTCGGGGTCTGCGAGCAAGGTGGCGCCCGCCCAGTCGATCGATCAAAAGCGCCGCGGCGCATGTTACCCGGCGGCTCTGTCGTGCTTGGCTTGCAACATTGACCTCTATATCTGCTACTGCGGTTTCTTGTACATACTCTTGGTGGGCCCTGTTCATCTTGAGGCTGGTTGATCAAACGACGCTGGTGTCACGAATGGAGTGTGCATCATATCGGGGTCCATCGCATCCCGATTCTGCGGTGCGCTTTCCCGACGGGAGGATCCTATTGTTCATTCCATATTCATCGCCCACACGAGGTGCAATCCAATGGCCCCGCGGGGATCATTCCGGACTTGCCGTTCGTCGATTGTGCCGCTCAACGACCCTCACCCACGGACGTATTCTTAGATCATCATACCATGTGCCCGACGACCTATAAGCATGCGTGCACGCATGCCCTTCCGCCCACACACACCCAGACCACCCACTCGTCGCCTTCACTCCTTCAGCACCTGCGCGTAGCAGCATGCTCAGGACAGGCGTCCTCGTCTCCCTCTTCTCGCTCGCCTTGGCGACGCCCACGCCGCGCACGATGCGCGTCCACACCCGCCGGGACAGCGCCCCCGTAGGATTCGCCCTCGCAGGCGCGGCAGCCCCGGATACGACGATCAAGCTCCGGATCGCGCTCGCACAGAGCAACCCGGCTGGACTGGAGGATGCGCTGTACGATGTCAGCACGCCGTCGAGCGAGCGTTACGGGCAGTATTTGACTCGGGACGAGGTGCGTATTTATGGAGTACTTGTCCCATGATCACCCTCATATCTACTCGTTCCCCAGGCCGCTGCCTTTGTGGCGCCTAGCGAGGAGACTACCTCAGCTGTGAGTGCATGGCTCACGGAGCACGATGTTAGCGCCACACCCCTCACGCCAGCGGGCGACTGGATCGGCTTCACGGTGCCCGTGAGCAAGGCGAATGAGATGTTCGCCGCAGACTATAGCGTCTACACGCACGCGGAATCGGGGCAGTCCACTATTCGGACACTATCCTACTCGGTCCCGACGGAGCTGACAGAGCACCTCAAGGTGCTCTACCCTTCCACCACGTACGTCTCTCATTCCAGGCTCGCATCAACTGATATCGAGGGACATTATATGTAGGTTCCCCAAGACCCAGCAGAAGCTACAGGTCGTAAAAGCCCCCGTGTCCGTCGTCCCTCAGACGACGCAGGGTGCAGAGAACGCCGCCGTTAACGCTTCGTGCGCGAACGTGATCACTCCATCATGTCTCCAGCAGATCTACAGTGTACCCTCGACCCCTGCCACGCAGTCGTCAAACCAGCTCGCGGTGGCGGGCTACGATGATCAGTGGGCAAACACTGCGGATCTCAGCGTAAGTCTCCATGAACGATTCGTCCCCATCTCAGAGCTAAACAGCTGCTCATTCAGAGGTTCCTGGCGGCCTACCGCCCGGACATGAGCGCGAACACGTCTTTCACACTAGAGACCATAGATGACGGAACGAACAACCAGGACGAGGCAGACGCCGGGGTAGAGGCGAACCTGGACATCCAGTACACCGTCGGAGTCGCGACGGACGTGCCGGTGGTGTTCATCTCCGCGGGCGAGGACAACCAGGACGGCGACCTCGGCGGATTCCTCGACATGACCGACCTGCTGCTCAACCAGACGAGCCCGCCACAGGTGTGGACGACGAGCTACGGGCCGAACGAGGACGACGTACCTGAGGACCTTGCCTAGTGCGTATCCCGCGACTGCAGTTCCTAGCTGTACGCTGAGTGCGCGACCGCATAGCAACCTGTGCAACGCGTACGCGCAGCTCGGCGCTCGTGGCGTCTCGATCCTCTTCGCCACCGGCGACGGGGGCGTGTCGGGCACGCAGTCGTCCGAGTGCACGACGTTCGTGGTGCCCTTCCCCGACGGCTGCCCGTACATGACGAACGTCGGGTCCACGACCGGTTACGCGCCCGAGATCGGCGCCTACTTCTCCGCGGGCGGGTTCAGCAACTACTGGGCACGGCCGTCGTACCAGGCGGACGCCGTCGACGCGTACCTCGCGGGCCTCGGCGACACGTACGCGGGGCTGTACAACGCGAGCGGGCGCGCGTTCCCGGACGTCGCGACGCAGGGGATCAACTACAGCGTGGTGATCGACCAGGAGTTCTACCTCGTCGACGGGACGAGCTGCTCGAGCCCGATGTTCGCGAGCGTGGTTAGTCTGATTAACGATGAGCTGATCAGTAACGGGAAGCCTGTGCTGGGCTTCTTGAACCCGTGGCTGTACTCGACGGCTGCGAGCGCGTTCAATGATATCACGGAGGGCGATAACCCTGGATGTGGGACGAATGGATTCAACGCTACGGTGGGCTGGGATCCGGTGGGTGCCTTCATTCGTACGTGTAATCGCCGAAGTTGATGGCTCATGCATGAATAGGTGACGGGCCTTGGCTCGCCAGACTACGCGAAGCTGAGGATCGCGGCGGGGTTGAGCTGATGTGTGGAACGTGGACTGAATGGTTACATGTTGTCGATCTTTACGTGCTGTCCTTGACCTTCTAGCATTGCTTTGCACGTCTCGGCGCGGGTCTCCCGTTAGAACGAGCTTTTGTACCCGTGGCCGTTCTTCCTTGAACATGGTAGGTGATTGATGCAGCGTCGTTGATCATGTTGAGACCAGCCTGGTATCTATTGACGTCATGGCCTTGCGGGGTACGTCGCGGCTGTTGCCCATGCTTGGCGCGAGTCTTCATGCATCATGGTACGGGCACGGAAACGCAACGCTCAGACCCTTCTCGTCAGGTTAGTCTATACTTTGACTGCGATGGGTGAATTCTTCCATAGGCATTGACGCTCTACTGCTGCTCGATGATATGAATGGCACTGTAGCGTGAGGGGACCTTCCGGGCTGTATCTGTGGTATGAGTGCCCTGTGCACTGGAATTGGAAGACGCAATAGCTTAGCGTCCTGGCGGAATACCGACTGCATACACATGGCCTTCTGATCTCACCACGGCACGGTGACGGATTTGATTACCCCGTGAGGTACATATCTCTGTCAAAGTGCGGCGTGTTCGAGTCTGCGCACGCGTATGGCATCATGATGTTGTTCAGACCATGCCAGACAGCACACGATACTGTACATCTTCTACTTCGAGAGCGCCTCGTGTTGGCTCTGCGTATACGTTGCTGTTTGCATGTGTTTCAGGTCTGTGTCTTTCCAATCATCAGCCTGCTGGTCCCTTATATTTACATTGATGATGATGATGAGCTCAGCATTTATTAACCGCAACAAGTCTCTTGTACTTACATTGAGGCGAGCGCGATGGCGCAGTCGAGCTACTTATCCATATTAGGAAGTGTACTTGCCACTTCAGGAAATCCCAGTGAGATCACGCAATGACGATTTGCATGGGTGCACGATCGGCTTCGACAACACCGTAATAACATCGCACATACGGAATCCACCTGCGCATAAACATCAGCCTTTGTGCGCTCCTTGCTTGAGGTAGCCGTGTATGTTGTCCTCCATCCTCCCTATCCCCCACTACTTGCTGACGATATGGCAACGATCGCTATCCAACCAGTCGCATCTGAGTCGCATTCTGTCGACACAGTGCTCGCAACAGCGGTCCTCCTGCACCGCGCAAAAAGAGGCCTCACCGTGATTCGAACACGGGACCACACGATAGTGTACCACTGCTGCAATCGTATGCTCTGAACCGCTGAGCTATAAGGCCACTACCTTTTTGGCAGCGCCAGTACGCTGTGACTCACCACTGGATTCCATGCAACAGGCGCCCATCTCTGGCGCTTGAGGTAGGCGGTTGTCAATGTCTGCTGCCTCGAGTCGCGTTCCCGAGCCTGGGTCGAATTTGAAGACTACTCGGACGTCCTTGCATCCTTCCACCCCCCTCCTTCTGAGCCCATTGCCCCCGCGCTCAGTACGACTCGCATCTCGTCACTGGTCAACGCGTACTACTCTCTCGGACACGGAAGGCTTTCAAATCATAATCCGAGTCTCTATCCCGAGTCTGAATGTCTGCAGGCATAGTTGGGGACAGGCCTACCGGAAGTCAAAACGTGAACATCAACGGACATGCCCAGGTAGCCTCAGCGCCCGCCGAAAACCTTGGAGGACGCGTCTCAGTCGATCATGGCATGCCATCCGCACCCGAGGTCCATCTGAACGGGCGACCCGCCTCTAGCATGTCGCGGAGAAGTAAGTCGCTATCTGGCAGCGTCGGGGGCAGCGCAGTGGCAGGAGAGGAGTGGGGAGCAAACTTTTGGGTGACGCTATCCGATCCGCAGGTGCGTCGTAAGTCAGAGTTGTCACCGCATGCCAGGCTGACATTGGATGCAGACCCAGGTGTCCTTCTACGCGTGCCCTGCGACCGGAGAGGTTAGTTGGGATCCTCCGATCGGGAATTTTCTGTAAGTCGTCGCCGCGATGTACTCGACGCTGCCGTCAATCGTATCCCAGGTTACCTGCCAACCCTGAGGGAGAATGGTGGGAAATGATCGACGAAGCAAGTGGGCTGCCTTACTACTACCACACAAAGTCTGGAGAGACTGTCTGGGAGCGACCGGAAGCATTCGTGATCCCTCTGGCTATCCTACAGGTGCGACCATCCCAATCACCAGATGCATTCCACTCACGACGTCTTCAGAACACGGCGTTGGGACGCCGCCTATCCGCTCGTCGATCTTCCCCCAAGGATTCTGCTCCTCAAACCGCGAAACCATCTGACAGGGTACTGTACAATCGCGCGAACTCATACCGTAGCGACCAAGACCTCAGACAGAGCAACTCCGCCAAGGAACAGCAGCGCCGATCGCAGTCTGCGACCCGCAGCTCACCATCGACGAGCACAGGCTCCCCCATAAACCTTGGTGCCCACAAGAAGACACCCCCACGTCGGTCGGCGACAGGTGGTGACCATGTTCGGTCCGGAACGACGTCGAGTGGAGGTCCGCTGGCGTATCCCCGTGGGCACCCGCTCGCACCCATACCCGGCTCACCATACATGTCCGACGCATCCGCAGCGCCCTCACGCAAGTCTATGTCGGCGCAATCCATCAACGACCGGTACGCCAAATCGCAAGATGCGGCGCGGAGAGAAGAGCAGCGCGAAGGCGAGGATGGCGCACAGCATGGGAGCAAACATGACAGCTCGACGGTCGGGCGGTCGCGTTCGAAAACGTCCAGCTACCTCTCCTATCGCGCTCCCCAGCCGCAGAGCCTCTCCGCAGCACTCGAGATGATCGCGCTCTCGGACTCGCAGTCGACGACGTCATCCGTGTCGACGGACAAACTGCGCACTGCCTCGGAGAACGGGCATGGGGAGCGGTCTGCTCCGGCGTCGCTGCTCGATCCTCGCAAACTCCGGATCAGCACAGAGCATGGGGACGGCCTGCATACTGCGCCGGCGTCGCCGAACCCGATGTGGTCAAGAGGGAAGAAGATGGGGAAGATCGGTGCACCGCCGAGTCCACGACGGCCTATACCTGCGCTGCCACATTTCGGAGGCGCCCGCAGCGTCTCTTCTCCAACCCCTGCTATCATAAAAGGGAACGTGATCAGCACTCCCATCTACAATGCAGGTAAGACTGCGTCCAGGACCATTTTCACCGCCACTGATTCTTGACTGGAGACGCAACGAGGGACATGAGCCAGACCATGAACCCCGGCACCGTGCCGCCCAAGCTCTATCGACAACCGACGCACGTATCCACAGCGTCGCTCAACACCGGGTAGGTTCGTACGATCTGTACGGACCGCATGTATGTCTGACCTTCCGCACCGCAGCAACTACCCTATCCTCCCGCACGAGCTCTCCTCCGACATCCAACAGTTCGCGGAGTCCCACTTCGCGAGACAGTACTTCTCCACGCACCGCGTCGGGTTCCTGTTCAAGCGCAAAATCCCCGTCGAGCAGATGATGAGTTGGCAGAAGGTCCGTCATGCGCGTCTCTGCTCGCGTGCGCCTGTGCTCATAACTGTGAAAGGCCCCTCTCAGCTCGCCCTTACTGCAGTTTAACCGGTCCCTACACAAGAATGCGTTGAAGATCTTCAAGGCAGTCCAACACATCATGGGCGACCGCGAGCGGGAACGCGGCGGCATGCGGTTCGGAGCTGAGGGCCCAATCTCATCTGCAGCGTATAATGCGTCGACGACGTCCCTCCCGAATCCCTCACAGGCGGCGAGATTGGAGGACGAGCGGTGGTTGCTCAGCGAGGGCATCGCGCACGGCGAGCTCCGCGACGAGATCTACTGCCAGGTGATGAAGCAGCTCAACGGGAACCCTAGCGCGTGAGTGGCGTTAATCTGTCGAGTGGCCCGCAGTAGCGGTGGCGGAGGCAGTGACGATGGCGATGGCTAACTGTGACGCGGGTACAGGGAGAGCGTGTTCAAGGGCTGGCAGCTGCTCTGCGTCTTGCTCGTTACGTTTCCCCCTTCGAAGGACTTTGAGACGTATCTTCGCTCGTATCTCCAGCAGGCGACGATGCATCAGGAGGGGCGCATAGACGTATTGGCGAAGTATTGTTTGAGACGCTTGGCGTATATCTCGCGGAAAGGGCCGAGGGGCAAGCCACCGACGACGGCGGAGATAGAAACAGCATCAGTGAGTATCCTGCCTCTACATTGTCGCGACACTGAGCTAATGCTGATGATGCAGGATGCCGCATTCCACCCCTCCATTTTCGGCGAATCCCTCGATACTATCTTCCGTCTACAAGAGCGATCCTACCCGCATATGAAGGTGCCCATTATCCTTCCTTTCCTCGCCGACGGTATCCTTGCTCTGGGAGGCACCAAGACCGAGGGCATCTTCCGCGTACCCGGCGACGGCGACTCTGTGTCGGAGCTCAAGCTCCGCATCGAGAAAGGCTACTACTCGCTGGACGGCATCGACGACCCCCACATCCTCGCGTCCCTGGTGAAGCTGTGGCTCCGCGAACTCTGCGACCCACTCGTGCCGGATGAGCTCTACGATGAATGCATACGCGCAAGCCAGAGCCCGGAAGTGTGCGTGAGCATCGTGCAGCGGCTGCCGACGATCAATCGCCGGGTCGTCCTGTTTGTGGTCAGCTTTTTGCAGCTGTTCTTGGAGGAGAAGATCTGTTCCGTCACGAAGATGACGAGCCAGAACTTGGCGCTGGTCATGACGCCGAATCTGCTCCGGTGTAATTCGGATAGTATCGCGGTCATATTCACGAATGCTCAGTGAGTGACTGTGCTGTTCATTCGTTGGGGTCGCGTACTGATCATGTCCGCCGCAGATACGAGCAGACATTCGTGCACAACCTCCTGCTCCATCTTCGATGCGATGTCATCGACCCTGACTACATCCCTGCGCATGGTCAAGGTGCCGTCCGACCCACCAGTCCTCCACCAAAGAATTCCCAAGGTCGCCGCCGGCTCAACCACTAGCACTCCTTAATCAACACACTACACTCGTTTGCATCTACTACTACTATTACAATCTCCAGGCACCAGGCACTAATCTGTTGTATACCTCACCCGAGCCTCGTTCGACCCATGTTGGATGAATAACCCTGCATCAAAGTATAGATACCTTTTGCATACGCGTTCTCTATTTTCCTTGCTTGCCACGATCTAGTCTCTACACATAGTAATGCACTCCGGGTTTGGAGTCATTGTGCATACCATTCGTCGCGTCTGTTTTCTTGGCTTTATACCAGTGGCGTCGGGCCGTCCTTGCTTGTTGCTCGCCGTACCATATATACTTTGACCGGTACTGATCATTGAGTAGGTAGCCCTGCAAATTTCCTTCTGGGTTGTACTGTGGCATCGTTAATGCAATCGACATGAAAAGGCTTGTGTCGTTCAAGACAGTAACGGTCAGGACTCAGAACTTGAACAGGTAAACCTGCAAATTGTAACCGCATCACCGGGGAGCACTTCTACCATGACAAGTCTCTCCTATGTAGGCGGACCCAAAAGAACTCTTTCATGGAGGTAGCCTCTTCAGCGTAATCACCTCATCATTTCTCCATGGCAAAGGTTTCCGGGTTTCCTCAGTTAAGTCTCGTTCTATGTGTACAGGGACGCTAGTTCTACAGCTAGTCTTTACCTTCCGCAGGTTGCACTTCTACAGTCCCCGACCTCTTCTCCGTAAACGTGCCGCCCCTCTTCTCATTTGCTTCCGAATCCAGGCTGGGATCTCGAGACAAGTCTTCTGGCACCGCCTTCGGTGCCAACGCATCAATGCGCGAGCCACTGATGTAGTGCAGGAATAGCTTGAGGGAGTGTCGCCCCTGATAGAGGGGCATGATGAGGATGACCAGGGTGGCGATCCACGCGATGATAAAGGTGATCGCGACCCAGGCTCGGAAGAAGTGTTGCGAGAAGACGTAGTACGTGAAGTACATCGGGAGAGGAATGAGGACGATGAAGACCAGGCAGAGACCCTGTGCTGTATGTGAGGTGACAAGAGAGAACGTTTCGACGAAGGCACTCACTATGGCCATCAAACTGCCGATGATCTTGCCCCGGTATAACGCCCGCTCGTCCTGTGGCGAGAGGTGCTCGACCGCGAGCTGTTGCTTAAGCTGCTCCTCGGTGACTCCGGCGACGTCGCTGTCGTCGATAACCCGGACACCAGCCTTGAGGATCTCCCAATCGAAGTTCTGCGACCCGACAGCATACGTCAAGATGATCGAGTATAGTGCTCCGGATATGAGTGAGACAGAGTTGCCGATGACTAGAGGGAGTGTCTGTGACGTCGTCGCGACAGTCACCGAGCCCTCGAGCGCGTAGGCGGATCCTAGCCACGACGCAATCGCGGTGATGCTCCCGAGCGGGGGCGCGATTGCAATGGCCGCCTTGTTCTGCGCTTTCCAGAGCACGGTGCTGTACATCGGGAAGACGCACGAGCAGGTGAAGACGCCCATGCAGGTCACCAGGTAGTTCACGCCGATAGTTGTCTGCGTGATGCCTGTTGCGATGACGGACATGCACAGCGTCCAGACTATGCATGCGAGGTGCGAGAGCTTGACGAGGCGTCCGCCCGTGGCGTTCGGGTTGATGTACGTGCCGTATATGTCGTAGACGAATACGGAAGAGACCGCGACGAGGTCGGCGGAGAAGCCGGATGTGCACGCCATGAAGGTCATGAGCAGGACGAAGGCACCACCGCCTTTGCCCATGAGCGCGATCGCTGCGTAGGGGAGGGACAGTCCGGAGGAGATCTCGGTGGCTGTCATTGGTCTTGGGTACGTCGGGAAGCCAGGCGTGTTCTCGAGGGCGCGACATGCAAGGCCGAACGTCGTTGCCAGACAGAACGGGATACTGCATCCCATTTGAGCCAACTCAGTACGAATCAATGGAACTGTCAATGGAACTGAACGTACCAGAACCAAGCCAACGCGCCGATGAGGTAACCGGGAAGGGTAGACGCAGGGTTCGCAGCAATGGCCTTCTGGTACAACTGCACGTCAACCGTCGTACCAAATACGGCGCACCAGAACACAACACCGAGGAGGATGCCGCTCTGAGAGCTCATCGTGAGGTACTCCCCGCCTGCGTTATTCGGGACAGGCGACCTTACAGCCGCCTCCTTCAGCAGCTCATACATAGCATCCGCAGAACCGATGAGCGAAGACGAGCTGTAGACCACGAAGAGGCCCGTCAAGACTAGAGCGTAGATGATGATGGTGTGGGTGTAGTCGGTAAGAATAGTGGCCTTTATGCCACCAGTCAGGGTATAGATGACCACGCCCACTGGCAGGAGGAAGCAACCGGCGATAGGGCTCATGCCCGTCAACGCCTCGAAGACTTCGGAGCCGCCGACGAGGATGTTGACGCAGTTGATGACCTGGTACATCGTCGAGTAGATGATCTGGATCCAGTGTCCGGTGGTGCCATAGCGTAGCTTCGATACTTCCATGAAAGTGTGGGCTCCGGGTGCCCGCCGTTTGAGCTCAATGGCGGAGACCTATGATAGAAGAACATATTTAGAAAAACCATGCAATGCGAACGGTATTTCATCCGGTGCAAAACCACTCACGGCGAAGACGAAGATCTGAATACTAGCACCTGCGCCATAAAAGTACGCGCCGGACACGCCGAACTCATACGTCCACGCGGTAGAAGTCAACAAGGTAGCGGCGATCGTCCAACCTGAGACTACAGCGGAGGCGATCAGGCCAGTGTTTATAGACCGCTTAGCCGTCATGAACATCTCCGAGCCTTGCACTTCGTTCTGGAACTTGCCCAACATTCGTGACACCCACCACATCCCGAGCGCGAAGAGCGCGCCGACGCCACAGATAATCCCATAACCAACTCCTACAAAATTGTCATCACACATTCGATAAAACGGTTCTTCGGATGAGAAACATACCTTGTGAGAGCGGCGGGGTCACAGAGTCATCTAAGGTGGACATGAGGTAGTAATTTTACCTTGAGAGGGCGTCGAGAGCAGACTTCACCGACGGCGGCGGTGGGGCTCACTCGCTTCCATCTGACATCTTTTCATACAGATCCCACGCGAGGCAATGAGATGGATGGCCCCGCTCGTCTGAATTGTCGCCCCGCAGCGTCCGCACCATCCAGGAGATAAGGTCAGGATAAGGTGGACAGCGAAGTCGATACGCCCATGTATTCGGGACGCCGAGGGACATGGAATCCCGCGTAAACTAGGTTGAGCCGTTGCCGACGTCTTATCTATGGTCGAGGCGATCGTGGAATGTATCCTTGGGTATGAAGAAAGAATAGTGATGTGTAGACGACGTTCCATGAGCAGCTTCGCTGCCGCCGCATCCTCCATAGCGGGGATACCATGCAGGGGGCGACTTGAACTTCAGCCAAAGACGTACATGAGCAATACTCTGGCAATACGGCCATTCTCGACTCTTGGCAGCTAGTGGGAGGGCGGCATACCATTGGCACACCTTATCGCATCCTACTTCAATGTTAGAGCTCGATCTTCCTGCAATTTCGAACTCCCGGGCCCGACTTGTGAAGCCTAAAAGAACATTGGGGATTGATGTAAACAGCTGTGATACGAGACACTGCACCACCCGCTATTACATACAGGGGGCCCTAACGGCTCGGCTTGGGGCAACTCCAGCTATCTCCAGGTGCTATCGGCGGCCATAGCTTCAGCTGCAATCACTAGGTAAGTTACAGCCGTTGACATCAAAGTCTAGTAAGCTTTACCTTCACCGGCCGCGTGGAACTTGGGTTGTTTGTCTTCAACGTGACCACTTGTCAATCTCAGAAACCTGAAGCCCAGAGAAAGGAATGAACGGCATAACAGTTGGAGTTCAGTAAGCAGCACAGCAAGAGTCTAGAAGGCGCCTAGAATTTGATGCAGTTCTGGGGCCCATATGTTCGAAAGCTAGAGCGTTGACGGATAAATGTACGGCGTCGTGAGGAGGGCAACACTGTCAGTTTGTCACGAAAGCTCAAGTTGAAGGAGGAGGCTGTGGTAGACCTGAGGCAAGCGGCCGCGGGCCACAGGCGGAGTCTAAAGATCTGATCGTTTAGCGCCCGCGCCACAGGCTGCCAGTGGTGCTGGTGACACCGTGTGGCGGCGGGACGTCGACACTGTCTCACGTACTTAACAATATCTCGCGACTATCCCTCAACGGCCCTGTACTATCCTCGCAGGCCATCAGCTTGTAGCAATGCTCATCGCACGTGGGTACAGGTCTGACAGACGAATTTCAGGACATCAAAAGGAGTAGGAAATCAGCTGAACCGGGTGACCACCCATGAGGACGGTCTCGGAAAGCAAGAAGATAGCAAGCAAGTTCCATCATGCATGATACAGCTTCCGGCAGTGACCTTCTCGTCCAGAGACCGTGTTGTGTGATAGCTCATTCTAGCCAGAGTAAGCACTGTCCTGGCATGGCTCGCGTTACCCCTCCAATTCCACTGGCTCTTGAGTTGAGGCATTGTCACGACTTGACATGCTTGACTCATCGCGAGAGCCCTGAGCTCCGGTGAGAGTCGGGGTCGCTGTCCACTGGCACCGAGCCGCCTTCCAGTGGCATCTGACCATCCGCATGCAGTTGAACACACAAGGCGGCGAGCCTTCTTATCCGGTCCTTGGGCATGGACAGTCCGCCGATACCGCACTAGGTGCAGAGTCAAAGGACAATGTGTATGTTCAGGTCTTGCTGGAATGTAGCCCTCGTCTCCGCTCAACCACGCAATAACTTCCGAAGTTGGTTGATGCACTCAGGTACGTACTCGCCCATCGATGGGGCTGGACGGTGCGCAATGATCAGAAACTGACTTGTACCAGTGCACCAGATTTCTTGAGATTCAACCCGAGCAGCGGCGGCCACACCCCAGTGTCATTGATGTACGTGTAGCAGACCGATGTCGCCCTAACTACTGCCTCGTCGTGATGGAAATGCGCGGTGAGATGACATGCCGTACGGCAGGCGGCCCTCGGACCAGTGCAGGGTCTCAAATACTGTGTATTGCAACACAGAATGTTCCGGGCTGTGACGTACGTGCTACCCGCTAGTCCGATGTTGGGCTTTGTCTTCGCCATACAGAGTCCTTTAGATCTTACAGTTACTGCCGGCCAGTACTTTCAACACTCACCACTTACATAGGTTCAATGGCTGATATGTAGCATTCTACGCATCACACTCAGCACCCTGAAGGTGTCAGCAAGGCCCTATCGATGATCCGAGTTTGGGGGTACAGCGTGAAGCAGCGCCCACCGTCATCACGGTGCACCCACATCGACACGTTGAACCGGCGCCGCAGGAGGATTCACTTACTCCCCAAGACGCGCAGAGAACCCGGGCGATTGTCGGGGACCTATGGCATGACAGTACCGCCATAATAGCAAGGCGCCGTCTATGCCTGACCCCTGACGTGGCAGTTTGTGTACCGCACCTCCAGATCACAGTTGCGGCGAAGGGTCCAATCACCGAGGCGATGTTCCACAGGGTTGGTGAGTCGGACATGCCTTTGGCTTTTTCACAGTCAATACTGATGATTCACTCGACATTTGTGCCGCGGCGCACAACAACGTAGTTGTGATGATACCAACCCCCCAACCCCAGGATGTTACTACTCGGCAGTCTGGGACAGCGTTTTGACATCGACAGATCAGCTTCTGATTCCTGCAGGTTGTTATGTCCACCAGAACGGCCCCGTCAATGCAATTCAAAATATGTGTAACATCACGATGCCGCCGGTGCAATTCTGTTGGCAGATTTTGACATGCGGTGTCGAGATGAAACCTCACAAGGGATCAGTAATTGTTTGGGTTTTCTTCAACAACAGACCGAGAAGCTGCTGTGATTAGGTTCGCAACCAGAGTTCTACTATGGGCGACGCTGAGACGGCCCTGCTCCGACCCCACTCTGTCCTCTATGTCGCTTCTGGGTCTCGCTTCCCTCCTATGGATGATATGTTTGACTCTCATACAGGTGCATGGGGCACAAAACTTCTGGCCTGCAGCGATACCACTTGCTGTACGCACACCGTACTTGAACTCGTGGGAGTACACGACAGAGACGTCTGGGAGTAGTACAAGCCACTGGCCGTCTTTCTGGAATGGGGTGGTGCGATGTTCACTGTTCGTTCATTCTCGTGGGCTGACCTTGTAACTCAATAGACTCTTGGGTGGATCGGGTACCTTCGAGTGGACGAAATCACATACAGTCTGCTTGGCAGTAGCTACTACATAACGGCTGGTCTTGTAGTCGAGACACAACTGACACCCACTCGTACCATACAAATCATCGAAGCCGGCCCCATGAACGTTACCTTGACGTTTCTGAGTCCTATAGATGTGAGTTTGTGGATCAGAAACAACCCATACGTTGCTGATATTAGGACAAGCCATCTGACCTCGTACGCCAATCTCTTCCATTCTCATACCTGGCCGTGGACTTCGCGTCCACCGACGGCCAGCCACATGACGTACAGCTGTATTTTGACATTGACGGAGGTAAGTACACTAGTCAGGTACGCGCGTTTGATTGCTACTGAGCTGGATCTATTTTAGAATGGCTGTCCGGTGGAAACTTAGCTCAGATGATGACATGGAGTCCGCCGACGCAAACCGGTAGTATCGTTTACCATCGATTGCAGCTTGTGCAAGAGTCGCCTTTCCAAGAGCAGAACCAACAAGCCGTAGATGGTACATTGTACCATGCAATGGGGCTGGTATGTGAGGGTTGTCCCGATGATGAATTGTTTTGACCCCAATCACAGGTGCAAGGACGTAATATAACTTGGCAGACTTGCTCGAACAGCGTATGCCGTGCAGAGTTCATACAAACCGGTGGCGTTAACAACAACGACGATAACAGTACAAATCGAAACATCGACGCGTGCGTTTCATAGCGACGTCGCCCTAACAAGAGAAATTCACGCATATTACAGCGACTGGCCCGTCTTCCCCATCGCGGTCGATTTTGGCAGTGTCGCCTCTTTGGACTCGCCGGCTGTCTGGGTAGTTGGCTATGTCCGCGATCCAAGCATCAGTTACAATTCATCAGGAACTACCACATCACTGCGTCCCTATTATACAACTCAGTTCAATATTACCGAAAATGCCGTGAGTAGAGATACGACCTCGGTAGCTTACATCACTGAACTTCGCCTACTATGTAGCTCGAGTTCTTCATCTCCGATTTCAACAACTCGCTGACGCAGGCAACAGTTCTTGACACGGAAATCCGCAAGGCAGCTTCTAGCATTTCTTCCGACGGTAAACTGTTCGACATGATCTCGCTGGCCACACGTCAGGTGTTCAGCGCCCTGGAAATCACGGCTCCTGATGACATTGGTCAAGCGGGCGCCGCAACTAGGATCTTCATGAAAGACGTCGGCACTAGTCGGTCAGTGATGCTCAGCCTATGCAGCTACGTCGTATCTCACACGACATTCTACAGTCGGGTCACTCCTGTGGAGAAGTTATACGCAGCGTTGCCCATGTTCTTGTATTTCAACGCCTCGCTAGTCAAGCCACTCCTGGTACCTCTCCTTGAACAACAGAACACATCATTAGGTGCATTCCCTTACGCAGCGAAGGACATAGGTAAACTCATATACACTTCCTGACGAAAGCATGTTGATTGTCTTTCTCAGGTTCCTCGTACCCGGCAGTGTCTGGTCCGAATCTGACATCTCAAGAGGCATATGAACGTGAGCGTGCAGTTTCGTATGCCTCCGCTTCAACTTGGTCAACTTTGTAACTGCAGAGTCTGGGAATATGCTGATCACTGTCCTCGCTCACGCCAAATACTCAAATGATACATCGCTGCTCCACGATTATGTGCGTGCTCTTCTTCGAGAATTGCTTGCTGAGCTTAATTCCACATGCGTGCAGTATCCCCTGCTCAAGAATTGGGCCGGATATCTGAAGCAAAGCGGGCTATTTCCCGCGGGCCAGTGTGTATTTTGACGATGCGGCGCGAAACCGTATCACTGAGAACATTCCAGACTATCCATCGACGACGGGACTGACGCAACAAACTCGACGAACCTCGCGTTGAAAGGCATCTTCGCCATTCAGGCCATGGCAGAGATCAGTCAACTAGTCGGGGAAGGTAACGATTCTCAGCAGTTCAATGTAAATTCGTCACCGGTCTATGATGACTTAGCAAAGACAACTGATGATTTTTTGCGTGTCAACAGAGTACAGCGTCCGGCCTCATGAACATATGGCAAACGCTTGCCCTATCGTCAGACGGCGTCGTCCTTCCAACGCTTGACACGAAACTACAGAGCTCCTGGTCTTTACCGTACAACCTTTACACACAAACCCTGCTTGGGTTCAATCTCTTAAATCAGACAGTACGTCGTTGTGTTATTGACAACCATAAGACTCCCTAATCTCGCTGCACAGTGGCTTGACAAACTTACCGTCAAGTATGGACAGTGGATCGAGTCTACTGATGGTAAGGACCCTCTTCTATCGGACTAGTCCCGATTACACAACACATCTCCAGCCGGCTATGTGTATGGATTGCCGGTTCAAAGTTCCCCCGGGTCACTTGGCAATGCAGGTGTGTCGATATTGTTAATGTGTATTTCTCGACTCTGACCGGCGCGTGAATGCACAGCCTGGAATGCTTTCATCGCGGCTACCTGCACCAATGCTACAGTCCGCTCGCAGCTTCTAGACGCAGTCTGGAATCACGCGTCGGACAACGGGACGTCGACCCCATTCAGCGCGGTGTACAATGTCGAAAGTGGTGCCTACGAGAACGGAACAATGAGGTTCGCTTTTTGCCATCATCCCCGAGCGCTGCCATCTGATTCGCAAAATAGCCCCGCACTGGGAGGACTCTTCGCCCCGATCCTGCGCAGGTGTGGTTGCAAGTTGCACCATACCGTTCTCATAGTCATGCTAAATTGGACTAACAGTAATCCCGTCAATATCTCTGCATTGCCTAGTCAGTCCAACCCGGCGACGAAGGGCGCTTCTGGCAGTGGCTCGGTCGATGTTGGCGCGATAACAGGCGGTGTCGTCGGTGGTGTGATCGCTTTGCTTGCGCTCATCGGGCTCGCATTATGGGTGCGACGACGACGACGACAGAACGATTTCCTCCTTGATACGACTGGCGCAAGAACAGAGCCAACACCCTTCGAGTCTGAGCCCGGTTTTGCGCACAACAGACCAGCTGTCGTGCTCTCGGAGAAACAGCAACGGGAACTACCCAAGGAAGGGGTACCTCTGTTACCCTCGATGGGCTTGTCTTCCGCCGTGGTTGACGAACCACCGTCTGGCAGAATGGCGGACCCATCGGCGACGAGTAACGAATTGGTGAGGACACGTCAAGACGAGTTATCGGGGTTGTGGTCATTGTTCGAGGATCTGCGTATGCTCATGATGAGTGTGCGCATCGAGAGACCAGAGCCTTCGGACCTGGGTGCACCACCCGAGTATTCATGATTGGCAGTGGCGATTGCGTTAGTGTAGTGTCTTTCACGTAAGTGACTGATATCTTGAAAGCTGCTTATGTACTGATTTGTTCACCAGCGCAGCGCTGCCGCACTGTCGTGCTGATTCCCCTGTGCGTAGAGAGCGGCTCGTGATGCGCTAAACATTGCATGGCGTTGAACACGAAGGTTGTATGTCGATTCGAGGCTTTCGTACATAGTACATAAGTACATTGACAGGATGCATATGGTGATCAGATAAAGTAGGCATCTATCGCCTTGGTGCGAGTCAGTGACCGCTGTCTCAACAACTGCTAGCAGGCAAGAGGGAAGACTACAGTACGTACGCATAGATCAGGGGGAAATGGGGGCGAAGGATGGATAATTCGAGCAAGGACATGAGAGAGACTGTATGGCTACTGGGGCTATGTAAGCGACAGGCAGCCGCGGAAAACAATCAATAGACGAAAGGGATCAAACGGTAAGGGACTCTCTGCGCGTATTCCTCCCACTCCTTGCCAAAGTGTTTCTTCAGCATTGCGTCCTCCCCCACTGTTCGCCACGTGACCGATAGGGTGAGGAATGTGGAGAGGGCTACATGGAGCATCGCCATCGCACTTCCAACCTGCGTCTGCAAGAAGCCACATTCCTTCAGCCACGACCCTGGTGCAATGTGCATGAGGCTGGTGCTGATTAAGCCCACGGTCGCAGCGGTGTAGCTCGGGTGGCGAACGTAGCTGTATGGGCCGCCCGTTACAAGTCGCTGCTCCTTGCGAACGGCGAGCTCATAGGTAAAGGAGCGGTCGAGGACGCGGTAGCATTGATACCGTACGAAGTTGCCGAGTATTCCTAGGCCCCAAAACAAGAGGTAGGGGCGAGAGAGGGCGATACGCTCCGAGAGCGCAAAGGGGCCATGGACGAGGGCGTCCAGGATCAACTGGGAGAGGGGATGCGAGGGATACTCGCTGGCAATGATGACCGCGATCTCCAGGATGTACGGCGCACATGTTGTTAGCTGAGAGTAGACCGGAAGTCAGCATATGGCAGCGGCAGCTCATTCACGAGACATGACATGAGGCGAACCACACACCTTCGTCAGCTGTATGGCTGTATGTGCAACGGACGAGAAGAAACGTTCATATAGAGCTACGTCTCTCGGTAGTTTCGCTGCGTCGACCTTGGGCTGGGGTGGCGACATGACAATATGACTGGCCACCAGACCAGAGAAAAGAAATGGTAGCTTGACTAGGGACATCGTGTTGTCGTGTCCTGTGTTTGTGATCGGGGTGTGAGGTAGGGTCAGCTTGAAGTGAGCCGTACGAGGATACAACGGGTCAAGCAAACCAGTGGCAGTCGGGAAGAGCTCGTTATATAACGAACTAGGAGTTTGAATAACCAATGGTCTGCATTAACATTGTGTCACCTTGAATCACCAACGTCAAGGTCGCGACATATAAGCGTGCAAATGCTAAAGGGTCTTGACGAGCATCGCCGCCCAAAATCCTTCATGGTTAGCCTGAAAGCATCCGCTGAGAGCTTGAAGCGCGATGGCGGCTGATGTGATGACATGAATTTGCTCTTTAGCGACTTTGAGACGAGCATTACAGTCACGTAACTGTAAATGGTCTCAATGCGACGGATACAGGAGACCTCAGACGCGTACCTAAATCTTGATTTGACCATAAATTGGCGCACCCGCGTCAAAAGACATAGGGTACTAGCCTATATGGCACTCGTCTGGCGTATGCCTCCCACTCTTCCCCGAACTCCCTCCGCAACATTTCATCTTCCGTAGGCGCACGCACCGTCAAACCTACGGTGCCGTACAAGATGTACAGGGTACAGAACGCGAACGCCATTCGTCCCCACTGCGTCTCTAGCAGCCCAGACTCGCGCAACCACGAGCCGCGCGTGACGGACATCAGGCCAACACCAACGCTGCCCAGCGACCAAGCGGTGTAGCTTGGATGGCGCACGTAGCGATAAGGGCCTTCGGTAACGAGTTTGTGGCCCTTGTGGACGGCGAGCTCGAGCGTGAAGAAGCGACCGAGCGTGCGGTAGCACCGGTAGCGGAGTGCACCGCCCGCGACACCGATAGCGCAGGCTGCGAGGAATGTCGGCGACAGGACGAGGCGTTGAACGAAACCCGGTTTGTTGCGTGCAAAGACCCGGAGGATCCACCGCGAAACCGCGTGTGAGGGAAAGCGATTTCCGAGGATCACGGCTGCTTCGACCAGCAAAGGTATTGATGTGCAGACCTTTTGTGCGTACAAGTCAGCGGATGGACGAAAAGAGAATAACGAGAGCCCCAGAGAGGAAGAAATGCTTACACCTCGAGTTGGCTGGCACATGGAGTCCACGTGAGTGCGGCCCGCGAAATACATGGACCTGCCACCTGAGACGCGCTGACGACACATGGTGGCCACGAAAAGGAGGAAATGGCCCCACCGTGTCGACAGTCGTACGTGGCAGACAGGTGGTGTGCCAGCTGCCTACGAGGTGGGGTGCGCGTGGTTTTGACATGCGTTAACGTAGTACCGCCGTGCAAATTACATTGATATGAGCTGCATGCATGCGTTGAGCGTGAGGTCCTTGCGTCGCAGACAGCATTCTTGCAGTATTCAAGCACCCATTCACGATCACGAATCGGTATTCAATCGCATAGTAATGGTTCACGTCTACGCAGCCCACATTACATTGAACAGTTCGAATAATGCTCTATGAGTACAGTGAAATGAAATCCACAATTGAGCCCAGGCCCGGGATACACGCGTGGCACAGAGCACTAGTAGAACGAGGACTACTACGCAGGAGATCCGCTGGGGCTTGGCTGCGCATCATCTCTCTCAGTCGACAAAACAAAAGCCTTGTTGACCTGTTGCTGCCGTTCATCTACTACTTCATCTTCGGGAACAGCGTTGATCGCGGCGGGGTTATTGCCATGTGATGCCCTATCATTGTCGAGGATAGATCTAAAGACTCTGTGGCACGATATCAGTACATAATGAATAGAAGCCCAGAAGGGAGACATACCGTGCAAGCTTTTTTGCGTCATTTCCAGCCGACTTGCGAAGACTAGTGAGATGGTCGTCGAGTGTGACCCAGTACTTAGTTGATTGATCTTCTTCATAAATGAGGCGCTATAGGGCTCAGTCAGTGGAGTCCCTGGCAGGACGAGCTCGTCGACGGAGCCGCGCTCGGCGTGGACACAGGTCTCGAGCGAGAGCGACGTCATGCTTGAGCTGAGGCTCAACGACGCCGACGCAGTCAAACCGCCCGTGAACCGGCTAAAGAAGCCGGAGCGTCGGGACTCCCGACGCTCCTGCTTTTGGAGACGGTGCTTGCGGGCGTTGACGGCGTGGTCGTGTTGTTAGTCGCGACGCTGAGCGTGGACGACGCCGTGGAGGACGGAACAGATGGTGCATTGCTCCGCGGGGGAGACGCAGCAGGAGCCTCGCGCAGAAAGGGGGGAAATGAGAGACTCCGAGTCGGATATCATGTTTATAAGATACACGCCAGTGACCGATGTCAGATGGCAAAGCAAGCAGACGTCAGCGCCTGCACGGGAGAGGAGCCTAGTGTCTCGAAATGGCTGCACTGTAGCCTCGTGCGGAGGCCCAATGTCGGGGGCGCGCGGGGGCGGCGCGCTGGACGTGGTCACTTGATACGTGGATCTCACTGAGACACCGCTCTGGCTCGCCACAATACGGATGACATCCGAGCCTAGGCTGGTCCCGGATCCGTCTACCGAGCCACCTTCAAGTTGAAGGACAAGGAGAACGCGCTACTAGTACATAACACTTTTGAGAAAGCTAGATCAGTGGGAAGGCAGTGTTGTAATGATCAGACATCTCACCCTGCGCTCCCAGCACCGGTGCAGTGCTCGACGGCATCGCGTATTCAGTGCGCCGAGTACTCATTATTTAATCATTGCTGGTGCCCGTAAAATTGCATCGAGTTTATCATCAGAGTACGAGGCAGTACTACCACGCAACTTGAAGGACGTACCGGTACACACAGAACTGAAATACGAGTAATACTTCGAAGGAGGAGGGGGTCCATCGAGCCACCGGCCGATACCGCATGCGCGCTCGACTCATCTTGACAGTGGGTGGAGGCAAGGTGGAGGACCGCGGCGACAGAACCTGTCTCCTGCTGACAAAGCCGTGACAGCACGTTCCACACAGGTTTTGCCGTCAGCTGTCCGACACCTGGCTTGCATGTGCTCCGCACGTATTGAACATCGTGTCCCGTAGCTGCTGTCGCCACGTTAGACGCACGATTCGCCCGTTTCGAGGTGTACCTTTATGATCTCAACGTTCATGCGAGCAGAGGTCGACAGGTATCGTTCATGCAACCCGACATCTTTGGCTCGTTCAGTTGCGAGAACCCGAGCTTGCGGAGGCGTCTGGATGATATACGTCGTGATTAAGCCCGATAATAGGAGAGGGAGCTTAGCCAAGGACATGACGCGCCTAACCGCCGAGAGATGGGGTAAGTGCCGAAGGGACGCCCTTTTATCCAAGTGAGAACGGCTGCGAAGGAATCTGTCGTCCGGTGGGGGAAGGCGTCACGCAGGCACATTTTCATCACGTAATGGGCACCCAGGGTACAACGTTCCATTCAAGCCGCCAAATGCAAAGACGTTGGGATGCTTTGGGGATGCCGGCTTCGCTTATTGAGCAGTGGAAGCCGATACCGGGCGAGCATGGGGTCCTCACTATCTCGCAACGAGCACAGTCTAAAGGAGTAGATACATATCTAAAGGCCAGCATGAGCCAGGACAAGGTGGAGCTGAAGCTGAAGCATACCGAATCTAATCTAATGCGCTGTACTCGATGGTGATTCCCAATTGTCAAACTTCCAGCCGTCACTTGACTCGCCCTCCTCAAGCGCGGTGCCCTTCCAGACTTCATTCGCAGAAGACCACTTCTTTGAATGGGTGGGCGACCACGTTCGAGACTTCCGCTGCTTTTCGATCCTCCGTGGGCCCGTGGGCTGGGAAACAAGCTGCTCTATTCGGGCAACCATGTCCCAGACCTCCCCGCTGCCAATAGTCGACTCCTCATGCCACATATTGCGCTCGCCGACCTCCCGTCGAATCTTCTCCGCGAGTGTCAGCGTCCGGCCGTCCACCTCGACGCCATTCACTCGCATCTCCTCGAGCGCCTCGCAGGCGCCTCGCAGGTCGCGGAAACATCGCCAGCGCGTCTCGATAAGTTCGTTGTACACTGGCGTCGTGCAGCCAAACACGAAAGAGACGACTGACAGATGTCGTGCATGGTCGAAGATCGACAGCGCAAGATGTGGGTCGTCGTACTTCTCGCGGAAGGTCTGCATGAGGAGGGCTATCGTCTGTGGGTACCACGGTGGCTGCAGCTGTGCCGGTCGCTTAGAGGTAGAGGGGTCCTCGGATGCCTTCCTCGCGTTTTCCTCGCAGCGCGTGGACTCGTCGAAGACCTCGCGCATCGCCCACTCCAGCAGTTGCTGGTCCGTGTCGCACAGCTCCATCGCTTCCTTCTTCTTGTCCAGCTCCTCGTCTGCCTCGCTCGTCCATCGCAAGTGCTTCGACTGCCGCCGCAGCTTCCCGAACAGGTCACTCATCTGCTGCGACCGGGCCCGCCCGATGCCTACAGACGTAGATGAACGCGCGCTGACGTCGGGTCGTTTAAGGTCTTTTGAGGGGGGTTTGGACACTGCGTCGAAGATCATATTGAACATTTGGTCGAAGGCATTAACTTCGCGTGCGGTCATGGCCTGCTTGCGCGGTGAACGGGCTGGTAGCGGGGAAGAGGTTTGCGGCCTCCGCGCAGAGCCAGGATGGAGAACAGGCGAATCTTCCTCGATATTCTCAAAGACCTTGTCCCACGGTGATTCACTTTCAGAGAATATGGACCCATCACTGGTTATGAACGCGATTCAGAAGCATTCGTGTCTCATGATATTGTGCGTTACCTCGATTGTTTTGAGTACTGTCTGGCATGGCCACGTAGAGATACGAGGTGATCAGAGCCCCAAAAGTGCGGTTTTATTCGTTTGAAGCAGCTCTGAGCCAGCATCGCGCAAAGCAGAGTGGGAGCGCAAGTCAACCGTGAAGGGAGCGGAACCGGAGCGGAAGAACGAAAGCGTCGAATGGTGAAAGTTAAACGTTAGGCGCCCTGGCTGTGGCCCGTGGGGTGCCCGGCGCTTGTTCGAACACGAGAGCACGTGCCTTGAATATAGGCGCTGGGTTATAATATGTTGAAGTCTCAGAGTCATACACTGCGGACGAACCGCGTTGTGCGAAGCGCTCACATGGTACTTACATTGTAAGGGCGTGTATATTTTTACGGCTCTAAGTCGGAGCTCGTAACATAGGGAATGGTATTCCTTTGTTCGGGCTAACATTTCGAATGTTCCCAAAATCGGGAATGTAAGTGCTATGTTCTTCCTATGTTCCGAAATCACGTCATGTTCTAGGCATGTACTTCCCATGTTAGGGATTTTCACTTAGTGGCTTACTAATATACACGCTCTTGCAATGTTAGGCCCATGTAAGCGCCTCGCACAATCCGGGTTGTCCGCAGTGATAGTTTCTCATCGTAGCGGCGCAAGCGCCGATCCCCGACTCCTGCATGGAACACAGCTACTCAGCCTGCCACAGCGGCACTAGAGTGTATTATGTATGTATTGTAATATTGTACCATCGGAGTGGTATGGAGACTCAATTGGAAGCCCTCACGCCCGCGGCGGCTTCGCCGCCCGGGCGTCTCGGGCTTCCGATCCACGACTCATGCTCAGTATGTATCACAGTACATAAGTATGTAAGTGCAGGCTATAAAAAATGAGAGAAACTCTCCTGCATTTGGGAGGAGTCGTTTGATGGTCAGAGATCCAGGCGTCCAGACACAGCCAGATGCACGGAAGGATCCAACTGCCTCGAGCTGCCTCGTCGGACACTCGAGCATTGCTGCGATACCGTTTATGGGAATTGCAAGTCACGTGTTTCTCACGGAGGGAGCGGCATCGCCGGCATCGTCTCAAGTTAGGGTGGACAAAGCCCTCCTCTCTCCCTCCGGTCGGAGTCGGGGATTAGGCTCGTGCCCTGAGGTCATAATTGGTACGTGCCACAACCTTGAAGCCTGGCCGGACCAGTGCTTTCGTGGTCTCCGCAGAGTTTTGGTCTTTTCTCACCAACAACTTAATTAGAGAATCAGAAATGAGTTCAGAAGATACAGCTTACACGGCGCTGCACAATGACCTCATACTGAGAGAGATCATGACCAGCCTGTCCGACTTGCCTGTACAATCAAACCGCGGACTACGGGACACGCAAGCCGACTCCACGCTTGCTAGCTGTGCGCGTGTGTGCAGCCTTTTCCGCGAACACGCTTTAAACGCACTATGGTGGCACATGGACACTCTCATGCCCCTGCTGAAGATCCTAACTTCGTCCGTGATCGCCTTACCGACAGGTCCAGGAAGCACGCAAATCGTTAAGGTATGTTTCATAACCTCGTTCTCAAGAGATGTACTGAGACATGGGCAGGCACTGCACCTGCCAATTCGTGACGATGAGTGGCTCCGTTTACTCTCGTATGCGCGCCGTATTCGCAGGCTCTACGTCAGAGATATCGACTTCGAACATGTAGACCCAACTGTATGGATGACTCTGGCTGCACAGAATGCAGGTTCACCGTTGCTATCGAACCTCCTCCATCTGCAATGGTCCCACCTCGCAATATTGAACGTTATTCACATCCTACCACCGTCAATTCAGAAGCTTCAAGCAACATCCACACCCCCGCTGGAAGGCCTTTCAATACATAGCCGGCCTCTGGTAACCAGGAACGAAGTCGTTTTCCAAAACATCATCTATATATTGGCATCGCGTGCGACCGATGTCCAAGACTTGTCGCTCCGTGTCTCTCACGCATCAATTCTGGAACCCATTGATCGGTTTCGATCGCTGCGAAGGCTTTACTTCGACGCAAGCAGAACAGGTCCGCTCACAAGGCCCTTGTTCGACAAGCTTAGTCGTCTACAGAGTCTTGAGCGATTGTTCATCGATCTCCCAAACCACACCGAAGTAACCTCCTCACCTGACGGTTTCCCTGCTCTGCGCGAGATCCGCCTCGCGGGAAACCCTGCCGGCATCAAACACGTTCTATCTGCAATACGAGGTGCTCAGCTCGCAGTTGTCACCCTAATCTTCAAGAACCTCGAGGAGAGCGAATTGCCGTCTATTTGCAGCATCCTTTACAACCTTCGCGACTGTGGCAGCTCGTCGATTCATTTCCTCGCGCTAAAGGTCATACCTCGTGTTCTCGCCTCAAGCATCGTCCATGAATCCAAGGGCATCCTGAAACCGCTTTTAACCCTACGCAACGTCCAACGCATCGACATTCAAATCCTCTCCAAGCTCGTCGTGAGCGCCGAAGACCTGCAGGACATAGCGGTTGCTTGGCCCAATGTCATTACTTTGCACCTGTTCTACATTGAAGACGGTCAACCCCTTCCACCGCTTTCGTCCTTGTCACTCCTTGCGAAGCACTGCCCCGACCTGCGTAGCCTCGAGCTGCCGGGGCTGCAAGACTGCGACGTGGATTTTTCCAACCTCCGGGTCTCGTCGCATAACCTGCGGCGCATCTTCCTTGGAAAACAGATGGTTCCGTCAGAAAAATTGGCCCGCTTCTTGTGTGCCCTCTTCCCGCGGCTAGGCACTAGCGTGTCGCACTCGCACGGGCCACAGTGGCGAGAGATGATGACGATGATTGCGGCATTACAGAAAGAGGCGGAAGTATGCGAGAAGAACGATGGAGGGTACGTGGGCCCAGTCTTTTGTGGAGTGGTAACTGACTTGCCTTCTCAGCGACTAGTATATGAGCAGACGAACTCTAGTTATCTGACGCGCCCAAAGGCACTGCACCGTACGCACGCCTTCAGATCTAATTCGCGATCACATATGTGAAATATGGCTCTTTGGAATAGCAGAACCCGAACCTGCAGCACTCGTGAAGCACCTGATGTGTAGGCCGGCACATCTGAAAATTCACAGAAGATGATGCTAGCAACTGAGCCCCTCATAGCAGCCCTCCTCGCCGCGCTATTTCCTGCATATATACTTTGGCGAGCACTAATGCTACGCCCAGTTGTTCGCATATCCTCGCCTACGTCAACCGACTGTCAAACCCATCTTCTTTCACAGTCGCTTCCGGGACGTTGGCAGCCACACTGTCCAGTACCATGGAAAGATGCATGCGATCAAGTAATTTAGATCCTTGCCTCTGCGCGTACGGATTTATACTGGTAGCCAACCTACTGGGTTCGCCGAGTATCAACACACTGGCGGCCAACCTTCTGGGAATTCGTAGTTTACTACCGCTCCCCGCGTTCCCACTGCGACATCGAGATTGTAACTTATGTGACAGCTGACGGGGAGGCGTGAACGTGCACGGCGATGTTACGAATCTTACGTAGCGCAGTGATCATCAGGCCACGCTGGCATGAAGACAGGCTCGGTGTCGAAGAAGGTCGTCTATGGGTGTAAGTGGGTCCACGAGAGGTTGACAAACCTATTTCCGAATGAACAATCAAATTAAGTGTGCGGTGTACACCAACAATTGAAGTAACACAGTAGTCGTGCGCGTAATATTCCTCTGGTCATTCAGAACTTCCATCCTCCCGATAAGCCCATAACGTTGAAAGGATCATACTTCGCTTTGAGTTCCCGCAACCTAGGGAGGTTGCCGGCGTATATCCGCTCCATCGTCGTGTCGTATATGGCGTAGTTGGGATAGAGCGACGTCTCCGCAATGTCCTGGCCTTCCGCCACGGCAACCTGGGTCAAATAATCGGCGCTCTGCACCATGATCTGATTCATGAGCGTGTCGTTGTCCGGTGACGCCCACGCGTAGTAGATGTTCAGAGGCAAAATGCCATTTGCACGACTAGGAGGCCAGGCAGAATCGGTACCGTGTGAGAATACACTCGGCAGGATTGGCTCGACGTCGTAGCTGACGAAGACCTCCGGAACGTCAGATTCGAGCTGTCCTCGCCAGAACTGAATGATATATCAATACATCAGCTCCAGAGGTCGTGAGCCACGGCGAAGGACGACAAACCTGAGTTTCGTTGACAATAGCATTCAGAAGCGGGGTCGTATATTCATACAGCGAGACCGTGTGGAAGTAGCCCCTGTTATTAAGAGCACTGTCACAATTGCATTTAAGGACGAACAAGGTTGTTGACCTACCGCAGACCGTTCGAACCCTCTATTGTGGAGAGAATGAGGGACAGATAAGACCTCGTGGAAATATTTTTAGTCAGCGAAGGAAGGGCCATGAAGTCGTCGAACATCCCCTCAGGTGGCGTCGGGGCGTTGTAATATATGGTCATTTCCGTGATGCTCTATCCGCAGAAGTATGTCAGTCGCTCAGGATACAGAAATGCAGTCCAAGAACATACCAACCCAAGCGACGCGTCGTAATTGAACGTAGTAAGAATAGCGGCCTTAGGGTCAGTCACGGTTTCGTAGAAGTTCTGCGTAGCAGCGACTACGGCATCATCGACACCTGTGGTGACGATGCTACCGCCCTAGAATGCATTGCTGTCAGGACTTGCACCTCGACTTCAGACGAAATAGACATACCCAGACCGCAGTCTGCGGATGTGTCTCCAGGTATATCGTCGTCACGATGCCGAAATTGTTGAAGCCACCCTGCACCACGACGTCGATGTGAGTAAGCACGCAGATCGTTGCTCATGAACTGCTTAAATGCCTACCTTCAATCCAAAGAACAAGTCGGAATTCTCAGTCGCAGTTGCGTTCACAACAATACCGGTAGGTAATACGATCTCGAAGCCTGCCACTGTATCGATGGTCAACCCGTACTGATTTGACTTGAACGAGTAGCCTAATCATCAATCAGCCTGGAAGCCACTCCCGGGAGTTGTGTGAACTCGCACCTCCACCAAGAGTGAAGCCCGCCACACCAATGCCACTCACTCGCCCACCAACTACACTGACGTTGTAGGGCTCGAGACCTGCATAGACATTATCCCAAATGTTGCCTGCTCCGACGCTCGCTATTCCTGCCTCCGCGTCGTATGATACTTCCGTGAAGCGGGTCATAGCGATCTGTACGCCAGGAGTGGCAGAAAATCCGGGGTTGGCAGTATGACCTGCACCTTTGATCTAGTAGACGGCTCAGAAATCACGGCAATCAACTTCGCAGATTGCTACCTACACCAAAAGGAGTCCGGGTAAGACCCAGGACAAGGAGCTAACGGACAACAGTCAGTCTTATGAATCAGCTCCACGCACGACGAACACATACAATATTTCCGACATCTTCGGCAGTTCCGGGCTCGACTGTACAGGTTGAGTTGGTCGTACTAGACAGCGCCCAATGAGAGTTGTCGGACGCATACTCCTTCGTGTCTACTCCCTGCACATGAGCGGCAACCTCAAATTTGACAATGCTTATCTGACGTACCAGGATAGTAGACGTCCGACTCATGAGAGATCACGTCGGCGATAGCATCGCAAGCGACTTCGTATATGAAGTTCGGGCCTTCCGTTTGAGCATAGGCATGCAGTGAAGTGAACGACAGAACGATCGCAATCGCTAGCCGCATCTTGCCGCCGCTGCGCGGTGCCAATTAGACTCAAAAGCCAGCCAAGCAGGAGGACAACCGCCGACAGTAGAGCGCGGGTACCGCTCTACTTAAGCTTTGTCGCCTAGCACATAGTGCGGCGCGGGGACGGAGGCAAAAATGACGAATGAAGCACGGAATGGTACGACGTAACCCGGGGGCTGGACATTGGGTGAGAGATGATGATAACCGGGATCTGTTCATCAGCATTTTCCAGCGGCAGTGTGTAAGTAACGAGGGACGGCCGGCGAATCGACAGGCTCTCAAAATCCGCCCGGGACGCCCATAATAACTCGAACCTTCAGAATCAGAGTGCAAGCCACAAATCACTTACAATCGGGATTAGAGGCTGCCTCAGAAGAGCGTGCATATCAAACAGCAGTGTCTCGAACGATGCCCAGTCAGACCTCGAGGCAGCATGGCTACAACGGGCTATGAGCAACATACGTGAGAAGTAGTGAACTCTATGTGCACGCACTGACGGCATGCATCAGATCGCGTAATACACGGATCCAAAGAGATGAAGAGCATGTTGGCCGCGCACGATCCTACACGAGCAAAGCGAGTCCAAATCACGCTGCTCTCATGTACAGGAAGATGCTATAAGACGCACATTTTGCGGGTACTGGTCGTATGAGGTCTTGCTTGCCACGCACAGGAAACATCAGCGACATTCTGTGAAACTCCCTTGTACGACGTACGACAACACCAAGTGGAGCTTATAGCCGTCGTACCTCAACGGTCTGATATTCGGCTAGGCACGCCAGGGGGGCGTTACGCAGGGGCTTCAGGGTACATACGAGGAGGTACAACTGCCGCACTGTGAGCGCCCCCAACGGGCTATGATCGTCTATGTGAGCATCTCAGCGCCTGCGCCGTGAGAGAGCCTGGATCAAAGCTATTACACGGCATGTACAGCGTACTTTCAATGGTACGACTTCGAAGAGAACACTCACCTTTGGTGTGACTTCTATCTTAACGAAGTTCGAGGAGAATCCTCAGGGGATGGTCCATCCCGACTTGCTGCGTACGATGGCGAGCTGCCATCGATCGTATTCATGATCACGGAATCCACGGAAATAGCTGTCATTCGAAATGGGGGTAGACTCGATGGAGACTTCAGGAACACTCAGTGTTTTGTAGACCCTCGCGCATAGGGCGTATCTCTCCAACATCAAGACCACTCTATCCATACTGAGCACCACGTTAGTGACGTAAAAATTCCGGAAGCGGAGATAACACGCACACAGCTGGCCACTGTCCCAAGGTAGCGGTGACTTAGTGTCCCGCACCATACACGATGTGAAGAAAACCTGACAGGCCTGACATGGATTCTCTCGAGTCCGGTTCGAGGCTACATATGCATGAGAGCCCTGTGAGGGTGTCCATGCTCCCAGTATGGTCCAGTGAAGCAGAAGGACACCTGAATACGCCTGTGAAACGAATGATCTATCAAATGGTTCGTTGCGTTGACACCGTACCAGTAGGATCCTGAGGGTGCACGCAACGAACGTAGGGTGCAAGACATAGTGTCGGCGTGCTCATTCCTGCAACTGGGGATTAGCCTGACAATGCAGCGAAGGATTCTAAATACTTGCGGTTGATTGTGGCGCGAAGAGAAACATGGCTCTGGATCTCGCCACGGACGACGGCGATCAGCTGTATACTCGTTCACCAAGCGCATGCACAGAGATGAACCCCACAAGGCGAGAGATACACAATACATCGAGATTGGCAGCAATACAACAGGGAAGAACTTGATCGTAAGGGAACAACCGGAGCGAGACGCCGCTGGACATAGCATCGGGCGCCATTGTGACGACAATGCGCGTCGCGCGCAGAGTAGGACAACGGCGTGTACGCAGAATCCAGACAAGAAGACACATCATCGTTTCCCTTGAGCCGCGGCCTCTACATAATGGAATGAGGGCTGAAAGTCACCCACGCAAACAGTGATTACGCACCACGCCTCGTCGCGTCCTCCAATAACTGCGTGTCGACATGCTCCGCAGGAAGCTGGACGTAGCGCACGACAGAGCCACGGATGAAGCAATTCTTTACTGCCATCTACATACAGACTTCGTTAGAGCTACCATCTCTCACCTAGACGGCGTTACCGAACCATATGAGGATGTCTTGCTTCGTCAAAGACCTCTATTTTATCGAGGCGGATGTTCAAGAATCTGTGACGGGAGGACCCTTAGTGAGAGGCCGCTGGATGAATTGTGATGATCGTCTCAGTTGGTCTGGGAAGAACTTACTGATCAACGGACTTCAGTACGCCAGTGATGGAGAGGTCGTTCTTCAACTCGACCGTGACCTTCTGGTCAGTGAGTGTTTTGAACACGGAAAAGATCAGCTGCAATGATACAGCACCAATGAATATTAGCAAGTCATTTGCTTGTGGCCCTAAGCATACCATCTTGAGATTCGCAAGTACGTTGGACACGAGAGTTAATGGAGGACAAGTTCACATCGAAACGACTCCTCCGGCATACACCCTACACGTGACCGAGCCACTCGACGCGTTTGATCCTCACTCGAGCTCATCGTTCACCACGATGAGCACCAGCAGCTTACCCGACCACGTCGACCGACTATCCCTGCTCGCGAGATCGATCCGCGCTAATGCGGCTGCAACTGCCCCAGAGACCTCAGGACCCTTCACGGAGGCAGTCCTCCGCACCCCACTCGGCGACCTCATCCGCGACATAGATCCCGCTGAGATGGGTCTGTTCACGGTCATCGCGCCTTCCAAACCTGCTGTGTCGAATACCGATGTACCTCCACCACCTGAGGGAGAACTCGCACGAGTTGAGTTCCACGGCGCAACCCCACTGAAGAAACCGCCGGCACCAAGGCCAGGAAGGCTGGATGGGCAGAGGGCCGGCGAACATGAACCGGAGGTTTATGCGCGAGCGGCCGTCAAGTACCTCGATCGATAGTGAGTAATACCAAAACTCTTAAAACGCGTCTGCTTATTAGAATGTGTTTAGTCGGTCCATCAGACCCATGCCTCGAGCATCCGAGCAGGCGGAGAGGATCATGGCACAGTTGTCTGAGGTGCGGGATAATATGCGCAAGTTGAGCGAACAGCTAAAGGAAGTGAGTGACAAGACAGTGCCTACAAGCCTTCTACCGACTGAGTTTAGCACGCGGCCTCAGACCCTCACGAAGTCCCAGCTTCTCCTAAGTCTATCATCATGGACGAGGAACAGCGGATACTTGCGGCTCGCGATCAGATAACGGAGCTGAAGAAACGCGTTCGTTATCCTGTTGACTCAAACTCGGACACTTTGCTCACATTTCGTTCAGAAAGAGACCCTGCTTCGACAGAAGGCAGCTGTACCCAAACCACCACGTAGCAGACATAAACCCAGACCGCAGACGCCCCCTTCTGCTATTGACGAACAAGAAGAGACGTTCTGGAACACGCCCGGGGCAGCAGCACGAACGCTGCACTTCACTGGCGATTCCTTGCTAGACGAGGAAGTCCACGTGGCCGATATGTCAAACCTATCATTTTCTAGTCCCGTCCCTGTGCGTAGGAGCGGTGCGGATACTGATTTGCCCGAGCGGGCTTCCGACGAAGAAGAGCTGGAAGCTGAGATGGCCGCCGATGAGCCGGTTCATACTGTAGACGAGGACTCTCTGTCGACGGAGGAGGTACTGGACGAAGACGACAGCGACCCGACGGTGAAGCTACGACCACCGCTAAAAGCAATCTCACCACCAGTGGAGGACACTGCGGTTCAAGAAGCGGCATCACCTCCCGCTACAGTCGCCGAGACGCCCGATCCTCACAAGCGAGCTAAGGTCAGGGTTACCACCGAGCTCGAACAGATTGTGGTATGTAGTAGGACACTTGCTAAGCTTGCGCCTTAGCTGATGGGCGATGCAGGCGAAGATATGGGCCACAATAGGCGACCAGATCAAAGCTGGCCACGCGAATAGCGGTAAACCGCTCAGAGCCAAGGAGACACTGTAAGGCCAACTTCTATCCTGAACGCGGCGTATCTCATACATTGAGCCAGAGCGATATTGCATCAGCTTTCCAACAGCACACCAGCACCGTCCTCGCCATCCATTAGTCTATCCTCCTTCTCCGCTACCGCGCCTGTCTCCACCACATCAGCCCAACCATCCGCACAACAGATCCTGACCGCCCACATGCTTCTGACACTCCTATCTTCACCGCCCACGTATTCCATGCCATTCGGACGTATCAAGGAAGCATTATCGGACAAGGTAGCCAGCATTGGCATCAGGGCGAGCGCTGTTGGCGGTGCAGGGATCACCAGGCCGGTTTACGGATGCGTTGCGAAACGACTTCTGAAGATCGAGCGAGGGGCAGGGAGCAGGTGGTGAGATTTGACGTGTAACAATGTACGTACCACTGTGAATACCCAGGTTGTACTCTGCACGGTGCGCAGTGCGCACCGCAGGTCTGGCCACGTGACCGTGATCTGTGAGCAGCCTCCCATTTATTCTGCTGAGGAGGAGCTTGTCGACGTCGTTCTTGAAAGCTATGTATACCGGAGCTGCTCAACGTGTATCCCCATCAGGATTCGTTGAGGGTATCGCGGCCATGCCTCTGTCACCATGGCTCCAGGAAGTCGAGCTACTCCCTTAGTCCCTATGTGTTGCCATCTTCTGACCTGATCAGCTTTCATAACTAGTTGCCCTTGCTCAACTCGAACAACTACATTTGCGGCGAGTTATGGTTCAATAACTTGTTGTTCAAACAATCGCTTTGAAGGTTGGTCTACTCATCATTCTGAAAAGGCATGCTGTCCGACCGACCGTCAAGTCGTCAAGGTGAGATCGGTTGTGACAGGGCGCTCAGTTCCGCGTGAAGTTCGACCAAAGACAGCTAGCTGACGCCGAATTTTTTCATTTCGAAGGCCTCTGCATCCTTGGTCAACATGCAGTGTTCAGTGGCAGCAGAGGCCTAATAGCTAGTTTGAAAAGTGACCTGGTTGCTGGGCTTCAACTAGTGGGTTCGTAGATCATACCGTCTGATAGAAGCCTTGAGGCTATCCTCCCTTGGGACCCCATATAGTATCATCTCCTGTGCTCGACATAGCCACTGAAGAAGCTTGCATTACGCGTCCGTGTATCATCCTACTATCTGCGAGTATTTGGACACTGGGGCGAACTAGGAAGAGGTCCTGAGTTTCGACTTGGTTTCGACAAGTCGGAAACATAACAACCCACTAGACCCGATCGAGCGCTATTCACGAGCGGGCGCGCGTCTGCGCGCTAGCCTACCGTGATCTCGACCTCCTCTCAGTCTCATCCTCACGGGAGCACCGTGCGCGATGGTCACCGCTGGCCCGTCGACGCCTCAGCGACGAGGTGTCTGGGAGCCTCTTCCGCTCATTATATATGGCTATGCAGTGCATCCGTTGTCGCCAAACCGTCGCGATACCAAGCTCTCGAGCAGGACCCGGGCATCCACATTCACCAGCACAACAGACGCCTCCGGGGACGAACACCTTGTTCACAGAGATGTCGTCTCGCTGGAGGTCGGGGACAATGTTTACGCGTTTGAAAAATATACGCCAAGGGACAAGGAGATGGAAGGTGTATGGTACCGAGGGTGCGTGCGCGAGCTCCTGCATGTCAATATGGGTGAAACTCACTGTATGAAACAAAGATACGTTGTGTGCACATCGCGTCGTCCGCAAGTAGACTGGACGCTGGTGTCCGACCCATCGTGCTCCGCCCAGAAGGCGGCTGCGAAGGCAGATGAATCGCAGCAGGTCTTTATAGGCGTCTTCCCCGCATCGCACATCTTCATTCGCGACGAGCTCTCGGACGCGGAGGGGCGGTTGTCGGAGCTAGCGACTACACTCCGTGTACAGACAAACGGGCACCAGTCTGACACGTACCCGCATGCCAACTGGATCCGGGAGACAAGGGAGAAGGCCATGACGGCCATGACAGGCTACCAGACGCCTCGAGAGGACGACGCGCTCTCGCTCAAGGATGGCATTTCACGCAAGTCGTTCAAGCTGGTGCCGCCGCCTGATCAAGCCAACTCTGCGCGTGCACGATTGCCCGTCTATCCACCGAGCCTGCGATCGGCATCCCCCACCCCGACCGAGTCTCAGGTTATGAAACCTCTCCCACCACGGCCTTCACTCAAGTCGGGAGACGACACAGCATCCGGAGCGGACCAGCCTATCATCGACGAGATTGCATCCGCCCTCCGAGAGTGGTACACACTCATGTTCCAATACCTTGCGCGGCGGGACTACAAACTTTTCATGGTCGTCCGTGAACATATCGAGGCGCTTCATCTCGGGCGCCGACAACTCCTTGCACAGACACTCAGCTCTGAAGAAACCGTCAGCCTGCGGCGAGAGTGCGTTGCGCGACTGGTAGTGGGGAACCTCGTGCAGGGTCTAGACGTCATTGTACGGCATCCGACAGGGGGTGGACTGGCGACCGTAGATGTGGAGGGCGAGATTGACCCGCGCAGCTGGATGAGCGCGTTAAGAATGTATGCGATGCAGGTCTCACTCGCGTATATGGACGTTTCGCCCTCCACACACCCGTACAAGTCTCCGCACATGGGCAGGTCACTAGACTACTCCGCGTCGGCCTCTACCCAGGCGCATTCAGTGTTTCCGGACCAAATTCGAAGGCAACACCCGCGCATTGTTGGCGCACTTGGTTCATCCTTCTCTCCCCCGCCAGTCAAGGCGAGGTTCTACCACGTCTTCCTTGACTTGCGTGCGTTCGTCGCATCGCTGTGTGCTCCGGGCGAGACAGTCGAGCTATTCTTCAATCTTTACAACAAGCACGAAGCACGCTTCGTTTCCGAGGAGTTTTGCGCGGTGTTGAATCACAACGGTGTCCTGGCGCGGGATCCTGCCGCCCGTATCCGCACGCTATTCACAGACCTGGTCCAGGCTGATGCGCAGGACCCCATCTATCTCGTATGCAAGATCGTCCGCAATGGCTCGTTGAGGATGGGGAGCAGCATGGGAGCGATCCGCGAAGGTGGTCGAAGGCCATCGGAGACATCGTTGCGGGATAGCGTCGTGCCCAATGGCTTTGGAGATTCAGGCAGTTCACTGAACGAGCTGCCGACACACTTCAGGCGACCGTTCGGATGCGCCGTTCTTGAGCTCACGCAGCTGAACGTGATGGCAGCGGAGCAGAACGGGGTTTCCGCTACTAGGGAGCACACCATGCCTATATACGTCCCAAAAAACGAAGCCACCTTCTCCATGCTTCACCAGGACGTTTTAGATGGGAAGAGTAAAGAGTACGAAAAATCGCCGAGGTGAGTGAATGTCGAACTTTCATTCTCGAACCCTAAATTGACTTCGCATAGAGCGGAGATGATGGTGGTGTCGATCAAAGTCTTCTATGGCGACGCCCAAACAATCGTACGGGAGAACACCTCGCTGTTGCAGGACATCCCCCTGAGCTTGCGCCTCGGCTTCCCCGACGTGGTATTCCCTGGAGACGTGAGGAACGAACTTTATGTCAAACTCTGGAGCGGAGATTTCTCGTCGCAGACGCTGAACCCTCGCCGCAGCATCACCAACTTTGCTCGAGGGCAGGTCAATCCTGTCAGCGGAAACGTTCAAGTCACAATCGAAGTGAGGAACCAGCACGGCCGGACTTTTGATAGGGTCATCTCACAATGCAGTGGCGAGCCCGAAACGACGCAGTTCAATTCGATGGTCTTTTTGCGTACCAGCCAACCGACGTTCGGCGAGCTGGTCAAGGTGAAGCTACCTTTCGAGGGCGCGCAGCAGTGGCACCTTTTCTTCACTTTCCGACATAGGAGCTCCCGGGACCGTCCCATAGGAAGAGGATCCGACGCGCCCGAGCGTCCATTTGCATTCGCATTCCTGCCACTCTTTCCCGATGGTCGCGCGTTCTTGGAAGATGGTGCGCACACGCTGGTGCTCTACAGTGCCGACAGGTTGAACCAGGTCAGCGCGGAAATGTACTTGGCCGCAACTCCATGGTTGCCCAGTGGCCAGCGGTCAGAGCAAGTCCTCGTACCGGTCGAGATGCAGAAGATCGCTCCGCATCTCAAAGACAGCCTCATCATCCGCTCGTCCCTCTGCTCGACGAAGTTCACCCAGAACTCGGTTTTGCTCAGTCTCCTGAACTGGGAGCAATTGCCAGATAAGGAGACGTTGTGCACCGTGTTGAGCAAGTTCACGTTCGTCAGTGAAGTCGAGATCGTCAAGTTCCTTCGGGACATCTTCGACTCGCTCTTCGCGATTCTGTCGTCGGTATATAACCAAACCGGCGACATGGACCATCTCGTTTTCAATGCTCTGGTGACGGTCTTGGGCATCATTCAGGACCGCCGGTTCAGCAACTTCCAACCTGTGCTGGACGTCTACATCGAGAAGCATTTCTGCTCGATCACCGCTTCATCGCATATTGTCCACTCCTTGAATCGCCTTCTTCAAAACCCGACTGCGAGCGAGACAGCATCGAGCTTGCGTTCTGCGCTCAAAGTATGGCACTACATCTTCAAGTTCATCGTCCGCTCGAGAGAACTCCAGAAGGCGAAGGTGTTTGATCTCGATGGCGGAGGTACAGCCGAACACCTTGAGGCCACATTCACGCGAGAAGTGCGATCTCATCTCTCGGAAGTGAATCGCATGATGTCCACTACGACACCGGCCTCGATCATCGGTACCCAAACCATCGCATTGCAACATTTCTCCTCAATTCTACCGGAGCTGAGCAAGGTCTACAACATAGTGGAGCTCGTGACCATAGTGACGCAGTTCGCGAATGCAGTCGTCTCGAACAAGGGCAAGATCGTCATCTGGAAGTTGATCATGTACCTCCAGGTCGTGAAGAGCTTCTTATTCGACAACCCTCAATCTCGCGCTCTGCTTGTGGAGAACGTTGTTTTCTGGCTGAAGCCTCACTTTGGTCGCTATGACGAGTATGTCCAGACACAGCCAGGTGATTCAGAGAACACCCGCGAGCAAGCCCGTGTTCAGTGGCTGGAATGTATCAGGTTGTCCGTGACAGTTGTCGCTGTCATGCTCGACAAGTGCCTCCAGCAACTCGTCAATCCGGCGGTTGTCGCTGATCGTAACCTGCTTAAGCAAGAGCAAGACAACATCGAGTACTATTTGCTCACGTTGATTCCCAGGTGCGTCTATTCTCCTCGCTCTCGAGAACGGTCTAGTGAATGATAGCGTCACTAGATTGCTGGACTCGTATATCGAGTATCAGAACCCGTTGTCTCAAAGGGCACTAGAGCGCAGTCGATCGACCGTGCCGACGTCGTCCATGTATCCAGTCACATTTCCTGAAGCATATCCATTCGCGATGCTCGCTCAGCTTCCGAAGGGTCCTACTGCAGTATCCGGGTCGTTCGACAATCGTCCGGATTTCATCCCTGGCCTTGGTGAAGCGGCGATCGTCCTCTTGGTTCTGGTCCTTAGTGCACCTATAAAGCATCTTCTCGGTTTCCTTGAGTCTATGCTTGAAATCGAAGGACCCGACAATTTTGCTGCGTTCCTCTCGAAGTGCTTCAAGGTTGCAGTATCTATCATCAACAACGATGCGTTCCCCAAGAATTGGCTGAACATCAACGTTCTATCCCACAAGGTGCTAATCAAGCTCATGGACCCGATTGCAACCCTGCTGGAACGCGAATTCGTTCCGCATCGCCAGCCAGGTCGCGAGTTCAATCCGACGTTGTGGAGAGATGCTTTCCATGTGTTGCTAAAGATACTTTCCTCGGAACACTTGGTGATAGAGGAGTTCATCCCGCAGGTCTGTATTCGTACTTATCTCCTTCCCCCATTCACACTGCTGACTATTCCAACAGAAACGCCGGGCAGTCTGGCGCCTTGCAGGAGACATCCGTGGTGAAGGCGCAGCGTTGCTTCTCCGATTGTGGGAGGCTCTCGGATGGTCTGAGGACGAGATGGCGAGTGACGTGACGGACAAACCTTTCGTGGTACGTGATTTGATCGATACCCGACACGTCTACTGACTTTCTCGGACAGAACTATCAGGCTGCCTTGAGTCCTCTCGTGGGCCAAGTCGTCAACCTCTGTCTGAGCCATCATGATATGCTCCGCAACAACGCAGTCCATATACTCTACTGCATGATCATCTCTGAATACTACGTCTCTGGAAACTTCGATCATATCGAGCACGAGCTGGTCAGCAAGTTGGATACCCTCTTCATGTCGGACAGCAAGGGCGATGACATTTCGCGGGCGTTCTTCATCTCCTATATCAGAAACCTCTTCGATAGCTCAGACGTTGATGAACAATTACGCGCCCGCGTCACTAGCTTCCTCAGCGAGGTGGACATGTTCCTCGAGTTGTTACTGAGTGTCCGGGCACTACCGGAGGGTGAGGAGTTCGCCGACGACCGAGTGATTGCGACGGTGCGTCCTCTCACTACCTCCTGATACCCTCATGACCCATTCTGTTCAAAGCTACGCCTCATGAACTTTATCCGACGGATCGGACGGGACGAGATCTACATCAAATACGTTCACCAGCTTGTCAATGTAAGTTCTCGCCCAATTTGGCCATCTAGAACACTAGGGCTCAGTACTTCCGCAGATGCATCTTCAAGCCCAGAACTACGTGGAGGCTGCCCTGACCCTAAAATTGCACGCCGACCTACATGACTGGGATCTGAACTCCTTCGCGCCTCCCATGGAAGAACTTGGTTTACCCCAGCAATCACACTTCCATCGGAAGGAGACGCTCTGTTTGCTCATTTTGGACTATCTCGGCAAAGGCAAGGCTTGGGAGAGTGCAATAGAGATCTGTCAGGAGCTTGCGATACAGCATGCCGAAGTGACGTTCAATTAGTGCGTCGTTTTGTCGTTTTATGGGGCAACGTTGCTGACTGCTATCTCGTTCAGCGCCCGCCTGGCCGAGATCTTGCGGCACAAGGCAGCCCTCTTAGAGCACATTATCACGGACCAGCGATACTACTCAGATTACTTCAGAGTCGCTTTCTATGGCCACTTCCCTGCTGCTATTCGCAACAAGCAATTCGTCGTATGTTATCTGTTGTTGACTTCATCCTTCATCAAACCCTTTGCTGACTTGCAGCTATATAGTACCGTGGGTACGAGTGGGAGAAGTTCGGGGCGTTCTGTGAACGTATGCTGAACAAGCATCCCGGTGTGCAACTCCTCAAAATGATCGGTGATCCTCCTGTCGACATTCGGTTTGGGACTCAACAATACATCCAATGCACGGCTGTCCAGCCTGAGCCCGATCGTGAAGCTCCTATATTCACCAATTCTGATGTTTCGCCGCAAATTCGGGCATACTATGAGCATAGGTAAGCTATGTAACGAAGCTCTGCTGCGTGCGCGGGAAGTAATGTTGTTATCAGTGCGATCAGGGTGTTCAGCTACGACCGCCCAGTAACCAAGACCGCGACAGATGGCGCTGAAGAGGTCTGGACGGAAAAGACGTTTTTGACCACAGAAGAAATGTTCCCTACTGTGCTTCGTCGTTCTGAGGTCGTTGGCGCGCAGGTGGTGGAGATTTCGCCTGTACAGACAGCATTGCAAGAAGTGGAAGAAAGTACTCGCGAGCTCGCAGGATTGAATCTTAGGTTTTCTGCTCTGGCGAAGACCTCTCAATCGGTCCCAACCAACGTGCTCGCCATGGCTCTCAACACGGCTGTCGATGCACCCCTCACGAGCGGGATCGGTGCATATCGACAAGCGTATCTCACCGGGGAGTACGTTGATCGTTACCCTGAACGAGCTGAGGAGGTGCAGAAGCTGCGCGATGCGATTGATGAGCAGGTTAGTGTGCGTTTATGTTGGATATGCATCGGCTGATCCTTTATGTCGTCAGGTTCGCATGGTTGACAGTTGCCTTCGACTGCATGGCCAGCTGTGCGCGCCCGAGATGGTCTCATTCCACAGTACTCTCGAGAAGTTCTTCCACAAGAACTTCGGGGAAGAGATTCAGCGGCTGGGACTCGACCTGAATGCTCCACCACGCCCCTCGTTGCTGGCCTCCCCGCGCAGTGGCGCACGCCCACTACCGAACCCTCAGGATCAGTTGTAAGTTGTCCTAATTCTTTGCTACTCTTTAGTACTAAGTGATATCATCAGACGGCCGCAGCTGGGCTTGATGCCGGTGCAAGTAGGCCCTGCGTACAATTCTCCAGCACTCTCTCCCTTGTCTTCGCGCTCGGTCAACGACAGCGGCTCTGTAGAACTCCCACAGAACAAGCAGACCCCTCTCCAAAGGCACCTCGCGCACCTGGCTCGGCATGGATTCAATGGCGTTTCTTCTGGCCCTGGAGATGCCGGAGGCGACAACTTGTCGGAAGAGAGTCCTCGCGACTCCTTCATAGCCACTGGTGGCATCCCTATTACCGGCCTCTCCGGGGCAGCGTCCGTCTCGGCTTCCACGATGGGCGGCAGCATGGGATCGATCCGCGGTCGACTGTCGAAGTTCTCCAGCCTCAACTTCGCGCGGAGGGACATGTGATACCAAACTATTATTATTGTAATGGGTTTGCGGTACTCGTGCGATTTTTCATAATTTTTCCTGTCATTTATACCGTTGTCTCCGAGCTGCTTGATTTTCGTTCCGAGTGTACGGTAATCGTAGTCAATGTTTCGTGTAATAATGTATGGAAGGGTTGTCCATGTAAGTTGCTCAGCCAGTGAAACTCGTACCACAGAGTTCCCGCATTTCGCCACGGATGTGGGATCTGCCTTGATCATGGCTTGCGAACAGATTATACACAAGAAATTTGCATCCAGTGGACATTGTGAACGATGGAAGCCGATCATCCCGTGCCTGTTAGCTGTGGCGTACGAGTGGTGTACGTGGTCAGGACCTGGGCGACTCCCCCAGATGTTCGGCCTCCGGGACCCTCAAAATCAGCCTCAAAGATCCTATTTTTCAGCTCTCCGGGATCCAAAATAGGACAAGGGCAGTCACTGGTCACGTCATGTGATCTGGTGTCACAGAGTACTGTCACACCTTTTCGACTCAACTTTTGGGGCTTTTGGGCCATAGATTCCTAAATTTGGGTCTGGTGAGAGTCTAGCTATAGTTTTGCAGCACCATAGAACATAAATGTTACATGTGGAATGAGGCTGTTGTCTGGTTTGCGAGTGTGAAGCAAGGCTCACATTTGATCACCATCACACCTACCAAATATGGCATCACTGTCACCCGTGAGCTGCCCCGACAACCTATGCGGAGCGATATTTTGTGCGATGTGCAAGCAAAATCAGAATTATCATAATGTCCTAGGTACCCGCCTACTCACCCAGCCTCTGACCAATTGAACATGGTCGTACCAACCACCCCTCAGAGATCCAATCGGACGAGGGTATGGGCGCTTATGGCAATTCGGCAGCCTCCGGGATCCAATGTAGGCCAGGGATTTGGCCAAAATTCGGCCCTCAAAGATCCTATTTGGGGCCGAACATCTGGGGGAGTCGCCCAGGTCCTACGTGGTCTGAGTCTGAGCCCTCGGAATGTTCGTACTGCCGGATGGGTGCTCGGATCAGCACAAGATGGAATCAAGTTGCAGCCTGAGAGTCGCCACGGAGCCAACGTGGCTAGATCGTGGATGACATGGTTGGCGAGATCTGCGAATAGTATTCTCCTGCTGCGAGGCGCGATGGAATAATGTTGATTGGTCACTGCTACAACTGCTACACAACGTCGGAGATGGTCCGAGCAACTTGATCATCGCGGTGATGGGCGGAGCGCATCGCGATGATGGAAGAAAAAATGAATTCCGTGGAGAGCAAGTTTCAACAATGTCTGACTCGTGCTTGAGCATCAACGAGGCTGTGTAGCCACTGCATATGGCGATGCCTAAAGATTGTATCGCTGTGAAGTGCACTGGTCCCTACCTGTTCGTCCATCATGAGTAGCGTTCAGGCCCCGATCGTCGTTGAAGCTCCCGGGTGGAGGGAAGACACCGCAATGGCGCACAAGCGACCTCCGAATCCTGTCCTTTGTCAAAGATCAAACCCGGTGTACTTGGAAAGGTAACGCACTATGATCGAATAACGATGGTCCAGTCTAGAGGTACAGGAATCAGAATCAATGGATCTACTCGGTAACATGTTACTAACACCAGTATCAACGCTGCAGACAAGTCGGATGGAACGGCTCCCAACCAGGGGATCCGCCATTCTTCAGGCCGTCTTGAGACCAGACGCGAGCATTTTCTGACCAGACGCGCGCAACAGGAGGGATGTGCGCCTCCACAGACAATATCCGTCCGCATGACTCTCTCGTGCACTTCTGCGAGAAGAGGTTCTCATACGAGTTGAGGAGAGCCTGCCGCCATATGTCATGAGTGATGCGGGATAACGTGTAACATGACCTTGATACGAACCAATGTTGCTCGGAGGGGGACCTGGGGCTCGGATTGAATGATTCTGACCACTTGCTGGGTGAGCTTCTGAAACACGACGAAGTCCGATTGCGAGTGATGGGGTTTCTGGCAGAGTCGTTTTAGCATTCGTCCCAGTTTGGACAGCGTTATACTTTCGCTACCTGTTCGCGCGAAGCAAAGGCTGTGGCGTTCTCCACGATCAACGACGTCCCATCCGCTCCGTCAACGGTCAGGAAGATCGTAAGTGCATCTCGGATGGAATAGCGGAGCAAGAGCGGGAGGTACAGCGTTCGGTGTGGGTCAGATGTGACGACGTGGACTTTGATCTTGGGGTTCGCGCGGTTAAATTCCTTCAGGTACTCGGCAAGTCCATCCAGCATCAATGCCGTAGCCTCGTCCCGGGGGAAACGCGACGTTGGTTGTGGTGCTTCCGGAACATACACTCGCGGGGACCCAGGCGAGGGATCCGCCGAGGATTGCCGTCTACAATAGGGATGCATTGATGAGCCCTGCTTCTACAGCTGCCAGTATAACCCCATACTTTCGCTTGCGTGTCTCGCGAGGCTTGGTGAATATAAGATCGCCTTTGACTTTCTGCTCGCTGGCTCGCGCTGCAAGCAGGGAGCCTTGCACACTCTCAGAAGCTAATGCTGCCGCAAGATCCTTAACGAGCTGGAATTTCTCCGCCAGAGTCCCGTCGAAGTTGAGCTGCTGCAAGATCCCTACTTCCGGTGGCTTGACCAATTGTGTGGGAATCCGCCTGACCGTACGCAACTGTGCATTGATGTCTGAAAGTGTCTTCAATTTTCCTTGCAGTGCAAGCAACTCTGGCGATGAGGATGAGGCGGTGGGCGTGTCTGTCACGGAGGCCATGTGCGATCTTGGGGAGTGTGGCCGTTGAGGTAGAAGGCGCGGTAGACGCCCGCTATCCAACACCGCAACTCCGAAAAGGCCGGAGGATTGAGCCCCGCCACCTCCGCCACGTGTGCCACGCGAGGCGCATCTTAGATGATCATCTCCCGATTGAATCTGGGTTCATTTTGACCAGGTCGGGATGTTCCTTATTCGGCCGTTCGACTCCCATCTCGACAACCGTACGCATCGGACGCCGAATCACTACCAGACGACCCACAGATCAGCTGCTATCCGGTGCGCAAATGGGGGTGATTATTGCGTTGTGAAAAAATAATGAGATGCTGGCTCGCACGTAAATTTTGACATTCATTCCAGGAACGTGGCGGCTCCTCGCGAGATTCGGCGACGAGGTGAGGTAGGACCGCTTGCGCGTTCAATAGACGAACCGGGACTTGTCAAGGCCGCTCGGTCTGCACATGTACCTATCAAAGGATTGCTTGTGTACACCCAGAGACCTTCCCATGGTCTGGTTTGCATAGGCCGCTCGCTGACAAAGGTCGACACAGCGTTGTTAGGCTTCGGCATGCAAGAAGAAGAATCTTCATCCACCACGGTACGCTGCTACTCCATGGGACACCTTGGGCCGTGTATATTATGTCAAGTGGCATCATGCAACGTCCCGTCGAACTTCCCCACTCTATCATGTCCTGCCTCATTGTTACGTCAGTTCATTTAGAGGTACAGAATGCCCCGGCGAAGCGTACAGATTGTTAGTCGCGTGAAGACCCTTTGAATGTGCGTATCTATCTGCGTTTCGAGAATGAGTGATCAGGAACTGACCGTCACGGTGGAGCGCAAGGACATTTACGGACCCACCCATGCCATGAGGCTGGTGTCGCACACCCTGTGCTAGTGCGCAAGGCAGACAGATTCGTTTCGCCGTTGACAACGCGAACCCCTGTGTACAAGTGACAAGTGGATTCGACCGTAGATTGCACACGAACTACCGCTACACGCGCTAGATGCCGCCTTACGGACACTTATGTACCGGGATGCGTGTGATACACCCTCCAGTTCCTAATTCAAAATTGCCTTCGATTCCTCAGCAAACTGGCCGTGGCGCCAAATTGTGTATGCGAAGGCGTGCCAATGAGATTTACCTCGAGCGATCCTATCCCAACAGCGGCAGTACGCATCTGCGTGTCGGGTGCCCCGGTCTGTACGGCCTTGCTGAACTGAAGACGTTGATTGCCAGTATCCATGCTTAACATGCCTATCTGTACGCCCGCTGGATCGGCGCACGGTGAAGGAATATAACGAAGTGCGTGTCTACAAAACCCCGCTCCCTCTAGAGCTTGCCCTCACCTACATGGTCAACGTCCACCCCTCCTTGCTTGCAGATGTTCTTTTGGAACCAAGGCAGCCTCCTGGCCGTGTCCTAGGAGACTTGCGTACTAGGGACAGTTGCCGCCGGCCCATCAAGCATTGGCCGATGGCTCTACGGAACGGATGTGCATGTCCGAGTCGCCCCTGAGTTCCTTCGGAGTCTGGACGTTACTACCTCCATGGCCGCAGAGCTGCTGCTACCGCGTCGCAGAAGTTACTGTACAATATCACGGTTAGTAACCTGGCAGACCTGACACACTATCTTCACGTCGAAGCTTTCGAAGGCTGATGCTTACGCAAATTCATACGACACCTTCCAGCTCTCTTGCGTGTACACACCCGCTGTTATTGGGCAACATAGAGCCGACACCCAGCATCGACGGTATCGTGGTCGAGACCAGGGCCCGGGCCGGCCCCTAAGAGTGGCGCGTAGAAGTGCATGGTGCCGGTGGTCCAGATATCACGTACTAGAGAGAAGACCTGGATTTGATTTGTTGAAATTGCTTCCCCTGAGCATGCCGCCACTTAGCACTAGCTTATCGACGATTAGGAGCACCCTCTGCAGTCCCGTGAGGAGTGCAGCCTTGCTGAATACTTGCTCCGGGGAAACAAAATGGCAGGGAGAACTTTCCGAGCTCCATACGGCCTGCATTTATTGTTATTGATGCCGGAAGAAGCATCTGAGCTGCCTTCCCGGGGATAGTGAATTGCGAGGGCGCGGAGGGGTAACACCTGGCGCCAAGGGGAGACGACAGAGAGAATGTGCAGGCCCTGTTTCGCGTGCGCATGGGGACATCCTGGGTCATCGTATCCAAATCGTATCCCGACCGCGTCCATGATATGGGCGCCTGGAGAACACGCTCGGGCCGATGGCATCATGCAGTGCACCCCGGCGTCGGCGGGCGGGCTAGCGCCTGGAGTTGTCCTCGATACCATTCGCAGATCCTGAAACGCACACCGCACCGCGGCCGGTGGCGGGATGGCACAATCGTATGAGGTACCTCCGACAGCCAATCATCGCGCGTCATCGGGGCATGCACGGGCGGCCTCACTTTGCATGCCGCCCGGTGACTGGCCAGGCCGCAGATGAGTGGGCGCAACGCTGCTGCCGCTGCTCTCGCCGTGAGCTGCTTCACGTCGTGAGGACGTACCGTCTTGACATGATACGGAAAGAGACCCGTTCGGCCATGGTGCTCTTGTCAATGTTCGCCCGTCCGTGCTTCGGCCCATCTAGGGCTACCTCCCGAATCCATGGCGTCGTAGAACTGGGGGGCTGTGCGTAACACAGCACGGCGGATCCTGATCAACACGGCGCATGGCTCCCGCGTGCTCTTCATCATGGCGATTGGATCTCGTCCTGTATCTACGATGCGCATCACGCACGAGGCTATCGCTCGTCACTGGAGGGCCGTACCACGGCGACGAGACAAGCACGCATCCTGTCAGACCCTTGGACCTCGAGAATTTTTGTATGTTAGACACACCTCAGAAGTTGTGGTTGATTGACCACTGCCAGTGCTGTCCGACCTATTTGCGTTGGGCAAGTTACCAGGGTTGCGGGCCGTCGGTTAGGACGAAATCAAATTGCGCGTGCCATCTCGATCTGCAGGGTCGCGGGGATGCCCGTCGTAGTCTAGCGCACCAAGCTATTACCTCTTTGGGGCACTCGAAACCCGACGACGGAACGATGCTGCGACGCGATACATATATGCAAGCTCGGAATGCGACGGCGTCACTACTTTATGCCCCTCCTCCCGCCGTACCGGGGCCTGTCTTTTGTCTGTCTCTTCTGAGCCAACCCCGCGCTCGTCTCTAACGCACACCCGCCCCCAGTCAGCCACCCGGACCAGCCTCTTTACATACAAGCCCCCGCCGCGTGTTGTCGAGCAACCTCGAGGACCGAGCACTTTAAACGCTGTGAGTAGCACTCGCCTCGCACGTTGCCCCTCCAACCCACATCACGGCTGTTCCGCGTACCAGCATGGCCTGTATTACACGAGTTCCGTCTACCGAGAGTCGTGTAGGCCCCGACCGTCACTCCGGCACCTGCAGCTCGCGCTCTGCGTATCGCCCTTATCCCTCTCCGACCTCTTCATCGTCGCGCTCATCTACACCAGGTGGTGAGTACCGTCGCCACCCCGTCCGCGCCGATCGTGAGCTTAACATGGCCCTACCTCCACAGTCCAACGGCAGCGGGACGTGATGAGCGCTCCCCCTCAATATGTCGACTCTCCGCGCGGCGCGTTACGCGTCTTTGCATACTCTCCTCCGCAAGGGCCGCCAGGTGCGACCATTACGGCGAACATCGACTTCACCGTCCAGGCCACGGATACGATCTACCTGCGCCTCGTCCTGGGCCGCCGTGCGTTGACGACGTCCGTGCGGAGGCTACCCTACAAGCATTTCGAGCTGCAGGCTCGCGTGCCCATGGACGATTCCACTGGCTCCCCTGGGTCCGTAATGGCGCTGTCCGCGCAGGCCCTGGGCAGCAACGATGAGCTGATCGACACGGTCACATTTGGCAACTTCACCATCGTCGACTTCGGTGCGTGCATTCGCTCGCGTGTGCCGCCGAGCAGTCCTAATAACATACTTTGTCAGCAGGCACCTACGTTGCGCCTATCACCGGTTACATCGCCCAGGACGACACCCTCGACAGCTCGACACCCCCGATCGTGCGCGCAACGGAGCGTCGGGACCACCGGGAAAGCTCGTCGATGGAAATCTACCCCTCGGACCACTACATGCAGGACTACAGCTGCATCCGGACAGTGCGTCCGTCCAAGAAGACGTCGCTCATCCGCACGCGGAGAACCGTGTCCGGGGATGACGACTCCGGGACGAAGTGCGCGTCCCTCGTCCTGGAAGCGGACCTCGACGACATGTCCAAGGGCTGGGAAAAGGGCGAACTCGCTGCCGGTCGGCGGCTCGTATGCTTCTCCCGAGTACAAGAGGGCTCGACGCTGAGGGTGTCGTGCGCGGCGATCAAGCAGGAAGACTACGCCGAGGGTGACGCCGTGGTCTCGTGCATATACCGGAAGGACACGGACAGCTGCTATGTCACCTCCGTCGACATCATCCTCCTTCTCGAGCGCCTCGTCGGCCAGGAGTTCGACATCGAGGAGAAAAACCGCATCCGGCGGAACTTGGAGGGCTTCCGGCCGAAGACCATCTCCAAGAACCGGCCGGAGACCAGCGAGTTCTTCCTCCAGATCATGAACTTCCCCGCCCCCAAGCCGCGCAATATTGAGAAGGACTTGAAGGTGTTCGACTGGAGCATCCTGCCGCAGGCGCTCGACAAGATCATCTCGCGTTATGTGAGTTCTCCCGCCCGCATGATCGTTGCGTCGCACTTACAGTTACCGTCACCCATGCAGACGCTTCCGCTCCCGCAGCCCCAGTCGAGGATAGACACCCCAGAGCGCACTGTGCCGTCGTCGTCGATGCCGTCGGGGTCCCTGTCGCCGCTGCCACCCTCGTCCCGCACGCACAGTCCGACGGAGTACTCGCCGCGCTCGAGCGGGTCTCTCGCAACGCCCGAGTTCCCCAGCGACGCGTACGGCGGCAGCCCCAGCACGCGCTCGTTCCCGTACATCCCCTCGCACGACCGCGGCGTGCCGGCACTCCTCCCGGGCGACGTTAGCAGCAGCTCGTACGACGAGCCGGGCTTCTACGACTCCTTCTCGTACTCGTCCGGCTCTACCGCGTCCACGCCCTTGATCACGACGCCCTCGTGCCCCGACTCGCATCCGGCATTCGGCGCAGACCAGGAGAAGGCGTTCCTGTCGTACGCGTCCTTCCCGCCGTCGGATGTTCTTGGTCCACCGGGCGTGCGCGGTGACTTCGCGGGGCTCGACACCGCACCCCTGCCGTCGTTCGGCTACGATGCGTTGAGCCAGAGGCACCACTCGCCCAGCCTATCTCCCGAAGCATACCTCTGAACCAACGCACGCGCTAACGCATCAGAATACCACGCCCGAGATGTATGTATACTATCTATTCGGAGCTGTATCCCTTACCCGCCTTGTCGACACCACGAGATCCTTCCTATAGCTTTATATATCTTCCCGTCATAGAATACCACTCTTCCCGCTTGCGAAATGGGGCTATACATGTATCATAGAAAACTCGAGTCTAACCTATGCTTGTCAGTAATACATAATTTGTCTGCCGCCATGCTCGGTTGTCAAGTCGCGACTGGTCACGGCAGCGACACTGAGCATCGATGGCACGGTGGAGGCTCGTTCTTACCGCTTGATTTCGGCGGAGCAGAATCTGCTCGGGCCGGAGCGACATGTACGGAGCCCGACTTGCAAAAGCCACATGCCCAGCCACGATAGACATGAAACGGTCGTCTCCAGATCGATAGGCTGTGTTGACCAGGATCCGAGGGGGAGTTCCTTCATGGTTCTGTGCTCTGATGTAGGACGGACGTGTACGTGGCATGGGGGGCCCACTGACGCTTGTCGCGAAGCTTGAAGAATGAAGGGAACGAGGATCATGATTATGGCAAAGCCCGAGTATTCGCTACTGATTGCAGGACGCCCCATACACACCCTGTACACACCTGGTTGAGCTTTCCGGGGCAGCTGATAGTTCTGCGGCTCGTGACTCAGCGCAAAGAGACATTCTGATGCGGTCAAAAATGACCCTGCGACTCACCAAGACCAGATCGCGACCCCTATCAAACCTACCCATGGTCCAGGCGAGCTACCCTCCGGGGCAGCGAGTTGGCCGAGGAGAATGTACAGAACCGTCGAGTTGTCCGCCGCGATCCCTTCGATCATGAGGCAGTGCCGCCCTTGCAGCTGATCTAAGGCCTCCGTTAGGCTCGCGACCTCTCGCGTCGGCTTCGCGTGGAGCGGCAAAAGCGACCCCGGAAGGTGCGTGTGTGGGGAGAGATCGACATGCCGAACCTAAGAACGCAGCGTGTATGCGCATACACCGACGTAAAAATGTGACATTGCAGGCGACGAGGCGGCTGTTGAAACGCTTACCTTCGACTCTGGCGTCTTTAGCCCTAACGCATCGATTATGTCGGGTTCGTGCCCCGTCCCAAAGTCGCCTCGCCCGAGCCAGAACGCAACGTCGCCGTACTCGTCGCTTTCGCTGTTCTGTCCCGCGAGGATGCTGCCACAAGCCAGCGAGGACGCTGCTGCTCCGGCACGCAGTGTGAGGCTCGACAGAAACCCGACATCGACGCTGTTTGATGATTGATCTCGGAGAACGAGGACGGGTGTGTCCGTGTTGTCGACGTCGATATACGGTGGGCTGTTCCCGTAAACGGCGGAGGCTGTTGCGGCCGCAGCGCGGGTTATGCTGGCTTGAGCCATGGGTGTTCTGAGGAATATAACGTCGACGATTGGGTGCAGTAGCAGTGAACACCGAAAGCATATATACACGCTGTCGCTCGTCGTCGCGGCCAATGGTAGCTTCGAGTTTTGTCGTCGGACGTAGAGGCTGCCGGTGGCGGGTGCCGCCCAGACGCGCGTGCCGCTCATCCTCCACCGCTCGCACTGTGCCTCTGCCGCCATCCTCTACCTTCACCACGACGGTCACGTTCGCTCACGCCTGACTTTCTCAATCGTATCTTTCTCTCCTCTGGAGACGCTGCTTGCATGCTGTGCGCCGTTGGACGGAATGGCTTCGTAGAGAGGTAAATAAATATCGCAAGGTTTTCATCCGGCACGCACTGAATCGGGGCACTCAATTCCTGCAGTCTTGCAGTATCAAGACACAACCGACAGGTCGTCATCTCTCAGTGCAGGCTGCGGCATGCAAACGCAAGTCTCTCGTCAATAGCGCATCGCAATTGGGCTGCGAAGCCGTCCGGTGCGCTCGTCGCGTACCAGCTGTCGGCTCGTCTATTGTCCACATCTACGCCACCGCCTGGAACGACGAAGACCAAGAACGCAAGCCCACCACCTATTCCTGCTTCCACGAGCAAATCCAAGGTTCAGCTGCGACCAGCACCTGTGAAGCCCGGCAAGCCGTCTGCGGCGCCCGCAGAACCCGTCTCAGCGCCGACCAAGTCGACAGGCGCGCCAGCTCTAAATGCTGCCACATCTGAGTCGGCACCATCCACCACCCACGCAGAGTCGGTCATCGAGGCGACGAAACACGATCTTGAGGACGCGTCGCAGCATGGCATCCTGGTCCCGCCGCCGGAGGGTGCCTCCCGGGTCGGCAAGCTCTGGCACCAAGCCAAGGAACTCTTCGTACGTATTTTCGCCCTCATGCATATTACTGTGCCCTGAGCGTGCAGTAGAAATTCTACTGGAGAGGCATCAAGCTGATCTGGACCCGACGTGCGCGCGTTCGGGAGATGGAGGAGAGGGTCAAGGCGGGCGGGCCGCCGCTGGCGCGGTGGGAGGTCAAGTTCATCCGGACGAACAACCGGGATACGTTGAAGTGAGTGATCCCTCAGCGGGTATTCGTTGCTGTCGAGATTGACTAGTGCGGGCGACCACTAGGCTCGTGCCTTTCCTCCTTATGGTGATCATCATCGAGGAGATCATCCCGCTGGTGGTGCTCTACGCACCCGGCGTGCTCCCGTCCACCTGCCTGCTCCCCTCGCAGAAGGAGCGCATCGACACTAAGCGGCGGGAGAAGCAGAAGACATACGCCCTCAACAACAGGCAGATGTTCGAGAAGCTCCGGCAGCGACTGTTGGCGAACCCGACGACGCCTGCGCGGACGCTATTGGACAGCCCGACGCTGATCGCCTTGAACGGGTGGGTTGCTACGCCTTCCGTGATCCGCAGCAATGCTGACCGGCACCGTTGATTAGTATTCTGGCCCTGTCCACGAACGGTTTGGACGCCCTCCGTTTCCGGAGACTGCACCAACACCTGATGGCCATCGCAGAAGACGACGCGCTCTTGAAGCGAGAGTCTTTAGGGCAGTTCCTGAACCAGGAGCGCCTCAGGGAAGCGCTCGAGGAGCGGGGAATGTACGTTGATCTTTCTAATATCACGACCCGCGTTCCTGGTGCTGATCGACATAGCATCACTGAGGGCCTTCCTCCCATGACCTGGCATGCGCGCCTTCAATGGTGGCTGACAAACGTCGAGGGCGGGGACCCTTTCATCCAGCGCGTGCTGCTCGTCGCGAGCAGCGGGGCGGGCAAATTCGCATGAATCGACTAAGTACGGCGCTTCTGGGAGGCCTGTAGACATCTGCATCATCATCCTGCACGCATAACATACTGTCCTGTGGTACTACTTGCTACATACGTAGTGCGGTAATTTATAATGGGGGCCACTAGAGCTACACACATCACTCACGACCTTCGCTCACGCGCTCACTGCTCGTTCTGGGTGCCGACGAAGGCGAGTGCTTCCCAGTTGCGCGTGGCCCAAGGCGAGAGCATGACGGCCTTCTGGGCTAGCTTGTGCGCTTCTGCTGTTCGTTCTGGGCTTGGGGGGGCGAGGCAGCGCGTGATCGCCTCTAGGTGCAGCGACTGCCGTGCGTGCTCGAGGTTACCTTCGTGCGACCCGGATGCGCCTGCGAGGACCGCCTGCGCGCTCTTGCTGTCGCCTTGCTGCACGTTGAGACTCGCCAGGGTCTGGCGCATTTCGGGTAGAGACGGTTCCGCGAGTACTGCCTTCTGAGCGATGGACAGGGCCTGCGCGACGTCACCCTGTAGGAGCTATCAGCATCTTCAAATATCAGGATGCGAAATGCCGAGACTGACCTGAGCGAGGTGGTGCTGTATGAGCAGGTAGGTGACGTCCCTGCCCGGGTCTCGACTGAGCCGCTGGTCCAGAGGAAGAGCGAGGATCTCCGAGAGGGCGGCGTCTACTAGACTTTCATCACCGGTTAGGATACCCATGCCTGCGAGCGTGTTGATAGCCATGAGGTTCTCAGGATCAGACTCGATGCTACATGCGTAGTCGGACATTTCAGCACGATTCGACGACGAACAACGCGAACGAGGACGAACCTTTGCAAAAGTTGCGCCTTGGCAGATTCACGTCCTTCGTCTGACCCGATCGCCCAGAGTGTTTGCCCCAGCAAGACCACGATATGTCCCCGCATCGTCGGGTCATCGGCGGCGACCGTCATTGCAGCCTCGAGGAACCCGAGCGCCTCTGCCAGTTGACCAAGCTTGAAATGAGCCAGCCCCGAAAGGAACTGTGTCTGTGCGAGCAATATTCGTGTAGTCCGGTCTTCTGGCTCTTCGGGCAACAGACCGAATACCACCTCCGTGGACGTAAGCACCTCATCGTAGTCTTGTATGGAGAGCCGCAACCTAGCCATGTTGGTATGCGCGATCGCGAAACGTCTCTCAATGTCAGGATCCTCGGTTTCCTCGTACGCGGCCTCGAGGAGAGACATCGCTCGGCTGAGGACCTCGATCCCAAGCTCGACGTGCCCGATGCGCTCGCAAACGAGGCCGAAGAGGTGCAAAGCCGAGGCATCGTCAGGTCGGCTCCTGCAGAACCTGTCCAGGACGAAGAACGCCGGGAAGAGATCATCCGATGTCGGAGCTATCCTTGACGGAGTTGTATTCAATTTCTTGAACAGCCGTGCTGCAAACTCCACGTCCGCTTCAGGCTGCACGCTGGTGTTTCAGTATCTCATGCGCTGGGCAGTTATTGTGTGCTCACCACAGGCGCCGCTAGGCCTGTTGCGTGTTCAAACAAGGCCCTCGCCTCCTGGGCATGGCCATTCACTGTGGCCACGAGACCCTGCCCCACCCAAGCCAATGCGTAGTCAGGATCAAGCGTCTGCGCCTTGAAGAACGCCTCGTTGGCAAGTTCAGCATCGTCGTGGTGAAGATAGAATAGGCCCATGCCGGTCCAGGTCACAGCGTTCTATGGGATAGTCCAAATTGTTATCATGGGATGATTGCACGGTTACATTGCACACACCTTGGAGTTGATCTCGATAGCTCGGATGTAGGCATGCTGAGCGACTCTCGGCTGCGACTCAAAGGTAGCCGTCCCCAGTGCATTCCAATACTGCTCGTTGGATGGTTCACAACGCAATGCATCCTTGATCTGGCGTGTTCCATGCTGCCGCGCCTGCTCAGCGGCTGACGCTTGCGTGACTTTCCGAGCATAAGCGAACAATGCAGCCCGAAATCGTAATGTGCACTGCCACGGCTGGCGTCGTCAACGGCGTCCAACGACGTACGATAGTCAAACGCAGCCAGTGCAACCCGTAGCGCCAAGAGAGATGTGTCCGCGGTAGTATCTAGTGATAGCGGCAGGGTCATGATACTCGCTAGCATCGCACCAGAGTGATCTGATACTAGAGGAATCAATTCAGCCAGGGCATTACGTACTGCGTCTTCATCCGAGAATTGACGAAACCGGGACAGCTGGAAGACTGCGTCGGCAGCCTTCTTCCAGGCGACACGGCGGTAACCAGGGCTAGCAGCAATGAGACGCAGCGTGACTCGGATCGCAGCGAGGAACGATGTCTCCGCCCTCGTTGTGTAGGCAGTCGCAATTTCAGCTAGACCAAGATCCAAGTAGGCTTGCCCGAGTGATACGAGCACTCCGAGTTCCGAGGGATGCTTCACCAGTATAGACTCGAATGCGACGACGGCCTCCTCGTAAGCACCGTCTGGCGTTGTACCTCTCCATGAAGTAAGAGCATATCCAGTCCTCCGGATCAAGTTCTCGCGCACGATCCAACGCCTTGACTGCGGCAGCAAATCGACCCGCCTTGCTGTAAGCTTCTCCCAGACGCAGCCAGGATAGTTGGTCGTCTACATCTGTCCTGAGTGCGATCTGGAATGCTTGTATGGCGGACGGGTAGTTCAGACGATTCTGCAAGAGAGTGAGCAAAACCTAGAATATGAAGTCTGAAAGCCACTCACGAGCTCGACAACGCCCACAGCTTTCCAAGCCCATGCATTGATAGGCAAGTACCTGGCGGTGGCGGTCCCGCCTTCCAAACCACCTTCACCGTCGATCGTCCGTCGGGCGACGACTTCCACTAGGTCCCACTCGCTCTCTTCGGCGAAGCCTTCTGCGAGTCTCCGCGCCGCATCCGCTTCTCGCGGATCAAGCTCGAAGGCTTTCTGGAAGCACTTCGATGCCCTATTGGGATCTGGTGGTGTCCAATGGTCCGAGTAGTATACTCCAAGAGACGTAAATGCAGGCGCGAATGTAGATGAACGCTTCAAAGACGTTATGAAATGCCGGTAAGCTTCTTCACGATGATCAACTATAGTGCCGCAGTGAGTGATCTGTGCAACGACAACGCGGATGCACGCAGTACCTCCCATATCCCAGTAGCATTTGCCCAATCTGTACCAGCATCGTGCCTTGTCTGTATCGCGGTCGTCACGATCGTCCAATGCCGAGGCGACGTCCCTCAGTAATTCGACAGCTTCCTCTAGGCTTCCGAATTGGCTTTACACCATGCGCTCTCTTCCTTCGCGCGAATGCCGTGGTCTGGGTCGTCTGGTAGCAGCTGTACAACCCTGGAGTATACGTTCTCGGCCTCTGTCCACTTGCATGCGTATTGCAGGATGTAGCCACGACCATAAGGCACGGTACGTTATCGGGATCCCTCGCAAGTATAGGGTTGATGATACCAAGGGCGCGGCTATGATGCTTCGGGGGGAAGAAGTCTACGAGGGCAGTCGCGAGGGCAACATTGAATGCTTTCTTCACCCTTGGATACCAATCAGCGTAAAATCGCATCTCACGAGCATCCGGCTGACTCACTGAGGAAGCACCTTGCCCGTACTTTGCTCCGCCCGACGAGTGACCTCGAGCCCGCTCTCTGCTACCTTGATCATGTTCTCGAGGTCGTTCTCGGTCTGGTAGACCTCGGTCATGATTCGGTGAGCAATGACAGAGTCCGGGAGACTAGCGAAGGCATCCTGAGATAGGGTCAGCATGACTAACCGCCTTGATTGGTTTGCGCAACGCACAATGATCATGTCTATGTCGTCGTCGATATTGTCCCCGTTTGGCTGAGAAACTCCCTCTTCGTCCTCATCGTCAGTCAGCGGGGTACCGGTGTACCCGAAGTACCCCTTGATAAGGCCCGTATATGCAGCTCCGGGGAAGAGTTGGACGAATTGGCGTAAGATTGTAAAATCGTATTGCTCTGCCATGGTCACTGCTTGACGAACCTTTCGAAGAAGGCGTGTGGGTACTCACCGATGCTTTCGGCGTCCTTCGCCTCGATGAAGAGAGTCCAGGCAAGTTCATTTGAAATCTTGAGAAGAACAATGCCGTTGATTTGGTCTTCCACTTCCGCAGCAATTCTTGCCTTCTCGTCTGCCATGTCGCTTGTCGAGGGCAGCGCAGCGAGGTAACACTGTCTATGACTAAGGAGCTTGGACTCGGTCGCGCGACGCAACTCATCGGATGTATTGGGATGGTTGATGATTTCATTGTACAGTCGAGGCAGCTGTGATGTCTATAAGCCAACAGATGAGTGGAGCGTCTATAATATCTCTTCGTACCTGAGAAGGTCCCATGAATTCTCTGGTCACTTCCTTCTTCAGCTGCTCGGGGCCTGCAGCGCCTAGCCTCGTTCTCCGCTTCTGAATCTCCTTTTCGATGTTCTCGCTCTCCTCATGTTCGTGTAGGGCAACGAGCTCCTCCAGTATAGGAAGACTGTTGTGAATGGCTGACTGTGTCGGATGAGTGGACGACGATGTGGGGTTCGTGGGATCTGGTGGAGGCAGAGTAGATAGTACGTGATAGAAGGGTGAGTCGGGTAGCAACAGAGACAAAACTTGTGCTAGCTACGGAGTATCGTCAGTAGTATGTGCATGAGGGGTAATATACAGTCGTACCTGCATGCGAGTACTGTGTTCAGATTTCCGACGAAACTCAAGCAACCGCTGCAGCGTCTCCGCACATTTCGTGGCGTCATCGCTAGTAAGAAACGTTCAGTATGTAGACAATAGTAGTTGAGACAAAGCCATACGCTTTTACGAATACGTGCGCTAGGTGCTCAAGGGTTTCCACGTATGTTTCCCAATTTCGAGTCTTCTCATACAGTTGTGAAAGCCCCTGTAATCAAAGTGCAAGCTAAGTACAGGATCAATCAGAGACACTGTGTGTTGTACCTGCCACGCCAAAGGCTGATCCGGGCTTGATGTTACGGCTCTCTTGTATGCCTAAGGGAACGCTGCTAGTTAGTTCTTTGGTATTTCGCGAAGCTTGGGCTACGTTACTTGCTCGCTTCGCTCAAGCTCGTTCAGATTGAGATACGACAGGCCGAGGAAGACGTTCCTACATCCGAGTCAAGACGAAGATGTTCGCTCGGGACGAACTGGCAACCTACGCGTGATAGTTCTCGGAGTCATAGTCGAGGACTGCTAGAGATGCGTCTCGTGCCTTCTCATAATCTTTCTTGCTGACAAAATCTTTTGCTGCTTTGAGTTTTGTCTTGACTATTGCAGACATGGGAACAACGCTATAATGAGCTCGCACCGATGAGATCAATTGCTTCTTTGTTAGCCCACCGTTCGTACCTCAATTCAAACCCGCTTTCTTTCGTCAATATCCAAGATATCTTCTTTCTGAGTCGAAGATTGTATTGCTGATCTATGAACGATATTGGTCCAGCGAGCGACGCACTGGTAGCAGGGTTACTTGACTGGCGAAGCCTTGCCAGTGGGCGCCTCCATGGAATCGAGATTCGAGAGCCGAGACGCCTTTCGCGATCACATGATGTTCCGTCCTCATGCGTGAAGTCGGGCGCCTCTTTAAAGGTGGTTCAAGTTCGCCAACTTCCCGCTCGACCTCGAAGGTATCGTCCCGAGACTAACGACGTCGGGGCTCTGTATCTCTCTCTCGTCTTGCAGCTCGGTATATGCTATTTTATCTGCTCTATTGAGGTGCGTTTGCGATGACACATCTGCAAGTAATTGAACTGACATATTGGCCAAATTGAAGCAGTAGTTCACGCTATTATGCCAGAACCCCCATCACAGGCGAACAGCAACGACGTGGCACGACAGAAAGTGATACGAGATGCACCCCCTCCGTTCAACAAGCGCGCTGCCGATGTCATTTTGCGCTCATCCGACCACGTAGACTTCCGCGTCCGGCAAAGCATTCTGGCCGAGTCCTCACCGTTCTTCGAGGCTATGTTCTCTCTCCCACAGCTACCAGAAAGCCGAAAACGAAAGGAGCGTGACGAGACAGAGTACAGGGACGGCATCCCCATTGTCGACATGTCGGAAGGCAGCCGAGTGCTGGATGCTCTGTTGCGGTTTTGCTACCCCGTCGAGGATCCGGCCCTCCCCTATCTCAAGGTCACCTGCGAGGTTCTTGAGGCGGCACGCAAGTTCGACATGACGTATGTTGTTGCCCAGGTCAAGAAGCAGTTCCTTTCGCGCGCCGCGCAGCAGCCGCTGCAGGCGTACATTGTAGCCGTGACGCGTGGTTGGGTAGATGAGATGAGAGAAGCGGCGAAGTGCACTCTGCGCCGCGAGATGCGTTGGGACGCGTACATCCCGGAGATGGAGCAGATCAGCGCCGGAGCATGGTACCGCCTTAGGGCATATCACTCTGCCTGCTCCGAAGCCGTCTCCAAGTTGGTGGACACTACTCAACCAAACGAAGACGGTGTGGTCATGGAATGGCTCACAACGACGCAGTGGCCGTGGTTCACCTGCCTATGCTCTCAGCCGGCATCCCAAAAGCCGTATACCGCCGCCCGCATCCCGTGTCGTTCTGCCCCCTGGTGGGAAGACTACCTAAAGGACGTGAAGCTAAAGCTCAAGGATAGGCCTCACAGAGCCACAATTGTCGAGTCCGACGCTGGCGAACAGCACCTGGATCGTACGACGTGTCGGACCTGTTTGTCGCAGAAGATATCGCGGAAGATGCACCTCAAGGAGTTCGAAGGCCTCCTCATACAAGAGATTGACAAAGTCATGTCAAGGTGAGGTGACGTCCGTTGCTTGTGCGTAGATCATACTGACTCCGTGTCAGATCCAACTTGAAGTCAGGATATAATTGCGTTATATATTGCTGCTGTCGTCGTGCTTTCGCGCTTTGTCCCTCACGCTTGCTCTACTCCACTGTCTCGCATGCTGCACACTCATCTACGTCACGCAACTACTCAGTCGCGCTATCATGTCATTGGACGCGTTCTCATCGATCTCGACTTACTTCTCTCCGCATGCTACGTACTCCTCTACATGGCATGGCTATGGGAACTATTTGCTAGACTCCGATGAGCCTAGACCTGTCTAACATAGCGCCATGAAGGGTGTTCAACATTCAGCACGGGGGCGGGCATCTTCATGATTTCCGGCGCTCACAGGATAGGACGGTACTTCGTGATGCTATCCGTGGAGCAAGGCCTCTGGATCGAGAACAGGAACGATTCATCAAGCCCCAAATACAGGCCCAGGCTCTTCAACGGATCCAGACATACACCGCAGGGGCAAGGTGGTACGTGTAGAAGTTTCTCACACTTCTTGGGCTATTCACAGTTGCGACATCGCAGTGGAAGCGCGGGCCCTGGGTACGAACTCAAATGTTTGATGTTCAATGACCACGACCATGAGTCTGGCTCACATGAAGCGAGCTTCATGGACTTTGCAGAAGCAAGACTCTTGCGACTGGCCGGCTGGCTCAACAAACTCCTACCAGTTTGGCCGAAGATGACGTGCCAATGCCTCCAGCGCAAAGCATAATTAGCCGCGCATTCGCGCGGGCTCTCCTACCTTACAGTAAGTTCACCGGGGATCCGCATTGACATCCAACAATGGCGCAGCCGCTGTGGAATCACTTGCCAGCCTGTACTATGCGTGGGCCGCCGTCAGACATTGAAACATCTACTATGAGGAAGAACGGTAGGAACAGATATTGACGGAGTCTTCCTTTAGACTGGGGCTGACAATCATATGCACCACAAGGTCAATCGAACCGTTAGCGCGGAAGAGTGACAAGACTCGGACTCTCCAACCGCTACTCAATCTGACCGGACTGTGAGTCGTGAATCTGTAGAGATGATATTCCGGGTATCCGCAGCTAATAGACGTGTCAGATTCGTCGGGTGATAGTGTCTGCTCGGTGTTTGGTATAAATCAAAGTTCCATCGGTCCAAGCCACTCATTTGTTGAACCTTGTCCGTGAGGTTACCGACATTCCTCCATGGAGCTTGTATGTCTCAGTCGACGATGCGTGACTGGAACTGAACGGTTAGGGTGCGTCCATGGTTCCGTATGGTTGCGCCACTGGTCAATATCAGTCTTTTGCTCACGTCTGATGATGACTTCCGTCTGGTACTGGACGTCTGGGTGCCGCCTGTTGAACCAGCGACCGGAACAATGATTTTGCGGCCCAAAATCTCCACGTTAGACTAGACTAGGTTGGACCGGCGGTGTCTATCACGACGCGTTGGTCAGTCATTCGGACACAATGCATCGCTCAGGTGAAGCTCACATGTGGGGAGTTGCAAGAAGCTTCCTACAACGGCTGGCTTATAACTACCCACCGCATCCGATACGAGTTTGCAGTAGCAACTCTCATAGCTAATCAACTACCCCGCCATGCCGCGTGTCACCGTCGATCAACACGGCTCGCAGTATTACTACGAGGACACCGGAGCTCCTCATCAGTCATCGGACTATACAACGCTCATTCTTGTCCACGGCGCAGGTTTTCAAGGTGGTATGTCATCAAGCAATCGGGTATAGCAGACTTGCTCATTCTGTGACCACGCTTTTAGCCGTGTTCGAACCGCTGTTTGCTCATGCAGCAGCCCGGAACATGCGGCTCGTAGCCGTCAACATGAGGGACTACTATGGTTCGACCCCGTACTCCGCGTCCGAGCTAGCCGACTTGGGCAGCACGGATGTAGAGAGACAGGCGAAGGCAATCCGGGCGCGTGGTCTCGAAATCTTGACATTCCTTCTCTGGTTCATTCGCAAGGAGAGTATCCCTCCTCTCTTGCCTGCGACAGAGGCCGAGGACTGGGCGATGGAGGGATATCACTACTGGGCTGGTCATGGGGAAACATGATGACGTTGTCCTGTGTCGCTCACGCAGACGAGCTTGCGCCAAATGACGTCGAGTTCCTGGCAGGATACATGCGGGCTCTGGTCCTCTATGGTGAGCACTATGATGGCCTAGTATCCTCGGATAGCTATTGACTCGCTTCCAGATCCCGCTCCTCGCGCATTCGGCGCCCCTATGTCATCGCTTCAAGACTCGTATAATCCATTGAACGACTCGTCCCTATCCCCAGAGCAAATGAAGCGCGTCTTTCCTAGCTGGGTCTCTGGCTACTATACCCATTCCAAAGCCATGCTAGACGCGTTGCCGTCTCTCAGCCGAGATGCGCTAGTCGCAGGGTTTTCGCAGGACCCGGTCGTGGACAGCCCTATTCAGCACACACCGACGATACTGCGTATGTCCGACGGAGAGCTCGCGCGCGTAGTTAACGAGGACGCAGTCGCGCATTCGCATATCCTCTATGAGCACGTAGACGGCAAGGTCTACTCAGACAACGTACGCAAGGCACTATGCCATACCTCCATCTGGCCAGGACTGCGTGTCGTGCTGGTATGGTGCGACATGTCCGTCAGCGAAACAATTCTGTCCTCTTGGGGTCTGCTCCGGCAGGTTCAACACGATTGGCCAGCCGGTGGACGACGCCTCCGTACAATTCGATTGGAAGGGGCCAATCATTTTGTACGTCCTCTCGTCGGACTTCCGAACGTGACCTTGACGTATCTGTCTTTCAGCCACACTGGGATCAGCCAGAACGCACGATGCAATTACTGGCCGACATCATACGGTCCAGAGAACCTCCAGGAAATGTGGAGATGCATGCATTGAAAAGTGCGCGCTCAAAACTATGAAACCCATGGCTGATGTATATTTGTGCTTGGACTCTGTGGTGTACAACAAGTTTGCAATGTCCGATCATAGAAGCAGTAGTAGATAAATTAGCCAATAAACGAGTGGATATCAGTGAACAAGTGCCCTTCGTTCAGGGTCGACAGCTTCTTGCCCGTTCACAGGGAGGGATATGCTTTGATCCCTGAGCTTCAACATCTCGTCGTAGCTTTCGTCATCATCAGGGTCGCATCGATCCAGGGCACGATAGACATCAGAGGACACGTCGAAGTCGCCTAGGGAGGGAATATCATGTACGCGATTGACCTCTCTGACGTTCAGGACGAGGCGGGAACCCTGAAGCAAATGTCATGAGGTGACAGCACGGAAGGAAGGCGAATGACCTACTGCTGAGCCCAGAATAGCCAGAAGCCACCTGCGGAAGGGATGCCGCGTAAGTGTATGAGGCAACCTGAAGGACCGACTGCCACTTACGGGAATCCTGAAGTGGAAACCGTCTTCGCACCGAGAGTAAACAGCACGGTATTTGTCACCATCGCAGCTGAGCAGAGTTGATCAGGCTGTTTCGCGTTCTTAACATGACGTCAGCTTACCGAAGATGACTGCGAAGGCGAGCATGCCATCGCGGACCAAGACAGTCAAAAGGCCAAGGTTCGCCATACCGTCCCGTTTGGCATGGCGATATCTAGAGATGGTGAGGGAGAAGAGAAAGGATTCAAACATAATAGAGACGATACTTGATTGATTTCAGTCGTCAGTATCGCAGATTGTAGCTGAGCACCTTCGAAAGCTTACCAGTAGATCACCAACTCCAAGGGCACCGTGGCTTCGACACAGTTCGGACTGACCAGGAATCGGGGGACGCTCATGCCGATGCATACGGCCATAACGATTGCTTGGATGACGAACGGGACCATCATGACGCGCATCGTGGTCTTGCTGCCAAGATACATGGCGAACACTTGATGTGGCCACTAAGTGAGTAGGGATAAAGCAATGGTTCCAATCCTACTCACATCGTAGTATGAGCAAGAGTTGGACGCTCAGCTCGAGGATAAGGGATGATACACTCTCGAAGACGATCCATTCTCGACATGTCATGTTGTATGAATTCCTAACGCTGCGGAACAGTGAGAACGAGCCAAGGTTAAGACCAACCGACGCACATCAGGGCAATGAGGGAGTAGTATCGAGCAATGAAGTAGAATGCTTTGGATGATGCCCATGGCGTTCTATTGGAAGCTTAGTGAGTGGCCACGAGCGGGAGCTATGTTTCGGAAGTGCGACCCGCCTCCAGATATGAATGACTGATGAATAGCGATGACCTTCAGATTCTGTATGACACACCAGCTTCGGATAGCAACTCACCTCGAGATCTGTCGTAAGGCAGATATCATAGAAGAGAAAACACAGTGCTGCCACTGAAGTTCGGTGCACCTAGGTTAATATCTTCCAGCCGTGCCACTTCTTGAACATACGACGTACGGGTGCTGTGTGTAATGTCAAGCGACTGTGTTCGTGCCTCGAGTGTCTCGACTTGTATGCCGCCGACGGCCGCTGTAGTGGCAGAATGATTGCCAGCCATGGTGGTTGCTCAGTCGACGATGACAGGATCCGTCAGTGTCACTGCACCTTGGGAAGGAACGCGTACATAACGAAGATGGGTTGTCATTGTCCAGCCTATTCGTATAGTTCCGGACTCAGGGGTACATCGGACCCATAGTTGTTTCAAGCCCTTGAAGCCGAACGGTCAAAGCAAGGCTGTACAATAAGCTCGGACGCTAAGACATCTTGGGCGATATCTCCCCGGGACTATTATTGGTGAAGCATGATCATGACCAGCTCGGTGCGCCGGTCAACAAAAGGGCTGAGTGGAAACCGCGTCGGAGATCTTGGCACAGACATAGCCCGTGATCGCCCAGGGAGAACACTTTCCTAGACTTTGACCATACTGTTCAGTGGCCTTGGTGTGGCCCAATCTAGAACGAACGCTCGCGGGTCCGAGCCCAGCAATCTGAAGTGAATCGGCATCGAATGCAAGCCCATAAGTAAGCATGATGTCGTGCGTTCCGAGCCAGGAGCGCGTTCTCGATCCGAATCTACTACGCTGGACGTACCAACACAACGAATGGTGTTAGACTCGAGTGTTCATACAGCGAATAAAGAGCAGCGAGTGTGCCGAGACTCTGGAAGAACCACCGTTCGCTGTGAAACCATAGGAGTATACATGCACATACTGTGCGTAAGCTATAGCGGGCCAGATGCAGACTTTGTAGAAGCAGATTGACCAAGGTACGCGGTACTACGCGCACGGATTCTTTCGGCGGCCCCGACTCGCGGTTTATCTGGGCACTTGGCCTGACAGCAGGTTCGACATGGCGAGACTAGGCCTGACAGTCAATCACGCGTACGGTCGATAAATATTGCACATAATTGTTGGCCAAAGAGTACACCAACGAGTTCGATATGTCCATCGACGCGGTCGTCAATGCGCCTTGTTCGAGGCTGCGGGTGGGGATCTGACAGCAATTGAAGCTGTGTATGGACTAGGATTACCACTGGCACTGATTTAACACTGTTGTAGTCCTGCCACGCCATGTGTGCATTCGCCGCCGTCTCGCTCAGTCTTTGCAGCTGCCCGCGATGCATATGCATATCATTGTATAACCGGCGCCCTCCTGGCCGGTCGCGGTGACGGCAATTGTGATGACTCACCTGGAATAGCAAGTCTGTGGGCATGGCAGCGTATACGAGTAGCCGTGCGAGGGGTATGCAGCTAAGAGGGATATAGGATACATCATAGAACTGTTGCTCACTAGGGAAGACGGTGCAGAGATGATGGACGAGCGAAGTTGGATGCCCATCAATATATGCGAGGGCGCTCAAGGTAAGCTGAGGTGAGTAAGATTGGCCTCCTCCAGAGGCATCCAATGTGACGCACTGTGACTCGGCGTTACCCCGAGGACTTATCGCGTTACTCCGGTGGCTGAGCTGCGTAGCGCTGAGGCAAGGGATGCGCGCAGCGGCGCACGGTGCGATGTAGGGAGTCTGGCGAGTGTAAGATACACAATGGCGTAGTATGTAGATTATAGTACTTCGTAGAGTATGGAAGATACAGGTCTGGTCCAATATGTACATAGGATAAAGATATAGACACTATTGAGCTTGAAGTGAGAATCAGCCTCGGGCTTTGGTGGCGGCGGCCTCGAGATCCTCCATTAGTGAGTTGGGTAGTGTACGGTGACTACGATATTTCTTTGCAGCCCAGGCGGCCTGTGCACCATTCAGTCCCTTTGCATATGCGTCCATGAAGCGACGTGAGCGTGTTGCGTAACTGCATGATAAGAGATAAACATCTCGATCACGTCATGCACGAGTCATTTTAGCACAGACTCACCGACGCATAGTCTCGATTGGAACAGCTTCAAGCGCATTGAACACGTTACGCTCCAGATCTTCCTCCCTCGACGACGGGGGATTGAGCCGGTACGTGCGCTTCGCATTTCCCCAGCATTGCTCGATAAAGTTGAGCTCACAATGGAATTTGGGCAGGAAAAGCACCTCTACACCACGACTTTTGCATGCGGTTTCCAGAAGGCTCGGCACATTCGCGAAGTCGTCTTCATTGAAAAGCATTCGTCGGCAGCAGCAATCCCGGACACCTGGTGCATCAGCAAAACGGTGTGTCGTCTGAAAGTGCCTGACGCCACATACACTCCTGAAATGGCACCTGAGCTGACCGACGCGCCTGACGCCATTCGGCACCTAATGCGTCGCTCGCGCATCCAGCTCAAGTCAGATGGCAACGCAGAGCGAGTCAGACGTGTAGGATGCAACAGACACGTCAGACAGGACTCAGACATGTCAGGCCAGTCTGCGTGGAACTCGAGTAGTGTAACACTTCATGTAGATTAGACAAGATGTATTATATTTGTCGTCACTAAAAGGCTATGTCGTGAGCATTATGATCTATCCATTTATTAATCCAGTATGCACGGAACGCGTCAAGCGAATCCGACGCGTTGAACCCTCGTGGCAGGAAGTTCTCCCCATACACAGGAATAGGGTGAGCCAGCCTCATGATTGTGTCGAGATGGACCACCTCGCACGGTCGCTGCCCATCCTCGTCAAACTCAGGCTCGACGATCCACATGCGTGCGTCCTCATCCGGTGCGTCACCGAGTGGCACAAACCACTGAATCAGTGCACAAGGGTAGAGCACCTGCTCCTGCCGGAAGGAGAACAGAAGGCGTATGCGAGCCACATGCAGTGCACGGAAACCGAGCTGAGATTCATCTTTGTTGATGAAGACACAGTCATAGCGGCCGGATTTCGAGCCTCGCCACGAACGCGTTGCGCGGATGCGTTCGCGGCGCATTCCGCTCTCGCCTGCAGCATCTGTCGGAGCGAAGAACGTGGCAACCGCAGAGTTAAACACAGAGACTCGGGTCCCGACAGTGAGGCGCTGGACATAGCGTTCAAGGGTAGAATCTGAGGGCTCGTCGAGGTGGTCGGGATGACGCTGCCAGAAGAGAAAGCGAGCGACAAGCGTGGGTAGCTCAGGATGGCCAATGGAGACCCCCAGCTCGGCAAAAGATCGCTTGGGATAACCCGAGGCTACATCGTAATTTAGCACCGTGAGTCCGTTTGCGTCTGAGATAATACTTCATGCCATGCTCACCTGGACGACGTGCGAGAAGCACAAATGCTTTGTGCGCGGCACCTTCAACATCATCCTCCGCGTCGACTTCTTCATCATCAAGCATGCTTCTTGGTGCCGCCTGTGGCTCTTCTGTGCTCTGTTCCGGTACGTCTTCTTCTTCAACTTCCTCGCCCTCTGCGTAGCCCTCCGCCTCGTTGTCTATCCGCTGCAGAGACTGTCTGAGTGCCTGCGAAAGGACGGTGCCGTCCAGCATACCACGCGCGGTGAAGTCCACGCGCGAGGCTGCGAGCTTGTCGAGTCGCTGATTCGTGAGGAGCATCTGGCCGAGGGCGTTGTGATGGTTGGAACGGCGCCATGGTTTCTTGACAGCAACAATGTGCTTTGACTCGGTGATGGACGTGCATAGCCCCAGCATCGCGCCGAAGTTGCGTGTGTGGCGCGGATAGTGGGCTACTGAGTGTTGCCGCGGGAAGGAGAATCCGTCGGGACACACACCTGCTTCCCGGAAGATCTCTCGGTGGTGATGATACTCCGTGACAAGACGCTCGACCTCGGCAATTGTGTCTTCTGTCTGGATAGGCTTACGAACGAGGTAGCAGATGTCCAGGAAAGTACTCATTGTCAGGATGATCCGGGGCGGAAGCAGGCCATGGATCGCAGGTAAGTACACCTATCGATTCATGAGATGTGCTATCAGTACAGCTATGCAGATCATACACGCACCTTCATCAATGCCTTCGAATCATCGCCGGTCCACTGCTTGAAGTCTCGGCCTTGGTGGAAATGGCGCAGCCCAGGGAATGGCGGTACAGCCGCAATGCTGTGGATGTCGGCAAGATGCGAACGAGGCCAAGGTATGCCGGACTCACCGTCGGTCTATCTCGTCCATGATTTCCTTCGCTTTGGCCTCTCCATGCACTATGACGAGGTACTGGCCAATCCAGGTGACGAGGTGATCCATGAAGCATCCCTTGATGATTTGATGCAAGATGTCGCCAGACAGCAGTTCGTGGATGTCTGCCCGTGGGAGGTCGTTACTGAAGGGCTGTATATGGTCATTGGTACGTCTCCAGCGTGTGCACACGAAGTCACGAACTTACGATAATATCGCTAACGATGCCGTAATCCTCCCACAGTGTTTTCTCATCAAGACTCTTGATTAGTAGCTCCGTATGCTCACGCGTCCGACGCCCTTGCAATAATCCCTCGTCAAGATTCTTGTGGTCGCCCGGGCACCTGGTAAGCGAGTCGGTCAACCTCCAACACAGCTAAGGTGTCTGATTCTCAGGCTGAGGAAACAAGGAGTCAACGTACGTGACACACCATCCATATACAACACACGCACACAAGGCCTGTTCAGGATAGTCGCCAGTGAATGGCCCAAGACTATAGATCGCCGTGCGGTAGTATCCGTCCCAGCACCGCAGGAAGTCGGGCTCTCTCATGTAGGGCTTCAATGGATCGAGGATGACGGAGATACTGCTGTGGTACAGCTGTCGGCGAAAGTGGCGGAAAGCTTTGGACTGCGCATGCTTCTTCTCGGCTGTCAGGTATGTTCAGTTAAGATGTTCGACGAGGTATACTGACGCACTGACTCTTAGGAATAGCTAAAAAAGCAAGGATAACCACCGCATTGCGATGCGCGCGCCGTACGTTGTTATGCACATTCCCTGTTGATAAGTACAGGGGATAGTACTCGTTTTGACCAGTAGCGACGGAGACAGTGGTTTTGTCGCTCCCAAGGATGATTGGTGTGAACATCGCCCCGTATGTATCGTGTTCAGTGTCTGCCGCAATGATATCCTGATCAGTTTTGTCAGTGCCAATCGACAGAGAGCACAAATGAATGTACCCACCGCTTGTCGCCACGCCCAATCGCCCGATAAGCAATGAATATAGTACCGCTTGCCTGCGTTATCATACAGCCTGTACGGGGCGACGTCTACTTGACCCTCAAAGTCGACGTTCTCTGTGATGAAGTGTACCAAGGTGCGTGCGTTACGCGTCCAGACTTGGTACTCAGTGGTCATCCATTCAGGAACCTCGCCCTCCGGAAGTTCGCCAGTATATTGCACGGTGAATGATTCCCAGGGCGCGTCGCCGATCGTTGTTGAGTCAATAATATTGTACAAGTCCTGACGATTTGCGAAGGGTGGCTCAGCTCCGAACGGGATGAGCGACGCAGCCCAGAGGTCAAGCAGCTCGTCAATGTTCGCCCCCGACATTTGGGCCTTCTTGAACAGGAAGCCCGCGAGCTCGAACTCTAGGCGGTTGCGATAGGGTGTATAGTCGCCATGCGCGGCACTTGTGCGAGGAGGCGGAGGTGCATTCAGTGGTAAGATGTTCCTGTTTCCGTCGCGTCGGAGGCCTGAACCGTCACTTTGGGTGTGCATCAGTACGTGGTAATGGTGCAGAAACATACCTTCGAGGTGAGAGTGCTCTTCCTTCCTCAGATCCTCATAACGGAGAGGCCTTCGATTCTCCAGGCTCTCCAGCGGGTCGTCAGTGTCGGCTTCGACATCTGCATCACCTTCAATCCCGGCTATATCTTCAAGTGCATTGAGTGGAAGTTCGTTCCCTAGATCCTGGGTCTCCTCCTCGTCATGCTCGTAGCTGCTATCACTGTCACTAGGAGGCGAGCTGCTGGGCGCGGATGTGTTTTTGTACGGCACTGGGTGAGCAGCATGTCGATGTTGTGTTAACCCAGAAAGATTCTTGTACCGGCTTCCACAGGTGAGGCAGGGGTAGCGATTGGCATTGTGCACAGGACGACTCATAGAAGTATTGCAACAGGCGGGGCGACTCAGGAGAGCGCTCTCGGGACGTACAGGGACTTGGATTGCACCGCGGCGAGTCAGAGTCCACACCGAACTGTTATCATGCTGAATAACCGGGTAAATACACCATCGACTCCCGCCCCACGCGCATTGCAACCCATCCAATCAGAACGTGCTGCGTACGTCGCCATGCTGCATGATCTCAGATATGGATTGCTTACCACCGCATTCCCTTCTTCCCAGTCCCACCATCATTCCAACTTGCCATCTCGACGTCTGAGACGTCTATACCTCCATTCATTTTTGACTGTTTATTCACATCCTAACTCTATCTTGACCAACATGATCCGAACTAGGGCCTCAAACTCGTCTAAACACCCTGGCTTGGTCGATCTCGACCCTGAGGATGAAGGCCCTGAGAAGGGCGAGAGGAAGCCCCGTCGTACGCCTGCCGAGATGGCTGCCTTTCGAAAGCAACAAGCCGAGGAGAAGCGCAACAAGGAGCGTGAAAGAGCTGAGACTGTCAAGACCGTTGCGACTCACGATGCTCAGATGCGTCAGCGTGACGACCTTGAGCAGCATGCACCCAAGGCTTCTGTCCAGGCTTCCAACGTCGTGCCTGCTAGCAGTCAAGGTAAGTGCGTTGTACTGAAAAACTGACCTCGCTAACTAGTACGGGTCTCGTGCACAGATCTTCCGGTCAAAACTGTTCTGGGCGGCATGTCCGAGCAGACACGACCGAAGCCGCACCCGAAAAAGAGGGTTGGTCGTGCAGATATCAATGCTTACCAAGCCATTCCTGCGACCGATCCACCATCTGAACAGAGCCCGGGCCTGGTCAACACACCTCAGGTTCTGAAGGCCGCACCCAGAGTGGCCGAATCTTCTCAGCTTGCAACGACGGGAGGGAATAAACGTAAGGCCACACCAACTCAGACCGCAGAGTAAGTACTACGTTTATTGCACACATTGACCACTAATTCACGTCGCACCTGTGACTCCACAGCTCCGAGACTATACCTGCGGACAAACGTTCAAGGCCCTCACACCCGTCGGGCCTGCTCCGCACCTGGGAAGGCCAGCATCAGCCTCCGCTTAAGAATGCACCGAAAACTCGCAAGTCACGCAAGTCTAAGAAGACGGTCATAGAGTCCGATGAGTCGGACACCAACACAATCCTTCCTCGTGAGCAAACCATGGCGTCCATCTTTGATCTCACTGCCCCCAAGGGGATCTCTGCTCTCGATGATGGCGAATTGTCGAGCGACGCTGACCAGCCCCATCAAACCGATGATACTGTTCGCCATGGCGGATATGCGGACTCGGAATCGGAAGACGGACTCGGAGGTGATGAGGCCTACGAAGACGTACCAGTTGCTGGCAAGAGTGGCGTCACGAAGGCGCCACAGGCTGGACAAGTCAACTTTGGTGTGGAGAGCCGCAACACGACCAAGGTATGTGATTAGCGAAACCTCTGATGAGACCTTTTGTTTGGTCCAAGTCATGCGTCGTAGTAGTATACTTACATGCTTGGTGCATTGCCAGGCTAATGTCTCGGTCACCCGGTCGAAGCCGGATGAGGCTACGCAGCGCGCCGCTTCCCAGGCTGCCAAGAAAAACAAGGGTTCTCAGGGTGATAAACGGAAGGCCTCTGAACGGGCACGAAATGAAGATTTGCCGTGTTCGCAGCGTCTGTGGCTTGGGCAGTTTGTGCCGACATTGTTTGAGCACCTCGGCATGCTCGACAACCCCTGGGACACTCAGGAAGCCAACGACATGGCCGTCCTCCAGAAGTGCTGGGACGAGGTCTTCCCTAACATTGAACACCGTGTTACGACGGGTTCTGCGGTCTATCAAGTGGTGAGTTATCTCAAGGTAACATTCGTCTTGGACTTACAAGTCTCGGAAATCCAACAGGCTCAGCGGTGATACGCCTCTAGGCTATCTAAGCCCCGAAAACGCAATCTAGGCCTCTACGATGCTCCGAAGCTCTTAGAAGATCCACTACAACTGTTCGAAGATTTCGAAGTTCGTAGCCAATCCTGGCTCACCTTAGAAGACTATCCGCGACCTTCCGGCACCTCAGTGACGCTATAGGAGCACCTACCCACCTATCTAGACGACCCCAGAGCACGCAGGTCACTCAAAGATACACTATGTGTTAGAAGACACTCGAACATGTTAGAAGACGTGCTACGGTGTTAGAAGATCTCCTGCGAGACCATAGGATGCTACAGGATGTCCAGTGAGTCCTTGCAGGTCGTCTCACATCCTCAACGAGTGGTCTCGGTTTCCGGCGTCATGTGATAGCCGGTCGGCCTTCGGACCACTGGTTAGCGAGCCCGAGAGCAGTTGTCACGTGTTAGAAGCCATAGCCGGATGTTTGGGGCCGTCGGAGCTCCGTAGTGGTAATAGCCGTGTTTCCCTGTATATACTCTGGGACTGGTTCCCTTCGAGTCGGAGAGACCCCCTTACCCTCTCAATCTCACCTCGCACCGGCGAGGTTCGTCAGCCAGTCAGTACGTTCGGAAGTCAGCAAGTTCGCCAGTCAGTCAGTACGTTCGAAGCCAGTCAGTCAGTTCGCCAGTACGTTCGCCAGCTCGTAGTTGCCCCGAGAGGCTCTACACTTCTTCTCCTGCCGTCGCTCGCCTTCCTTGTCACCGTTCGTTCGACACGTCTGTCGAAATCCTCCCTCCTACCTTCGAGGCTTAGCCCTCGTCTTCGAACAGTCTTCGACATCTTCGAAGCTCTCCCACGTCGTTCGGAGTCTTGTCCGTCCTCCTCCTTCTTACCTAGACCACTGTACAGTCCCCCGTACATCTCATAGACGCAGAGGCCTCGCATACCACTGCTCGACCTCACGGTTGGGTTTTTGTGTGGCTTTTGTGTTCTTTTCGGTCGCGTCAGCGGAAGTGCCACGACTGGCGCACGAGCCTCGGGAAGAATGGTGTCGCTGCCGTAGGCAAGTACTGGGGTGACAGTGTCATGTCCGCTGCACTACGTGCCACCTACGTTGCTGCCCAGCTGCGCGAGGACACCGAGAAGGATGTTCCCATTCCAGGGACAGCGTCGTTCCTATGGGGCGATGTTCGTCAGCGGCCGGATGGAACTGTCAAGGTATAAAATCTATTTCTACTTGTGGAATCACTCTGATTGCCATTCGCGTCGTGTAGAGGCGAGGCCGTCTCCAGTCGCGCGAGATACTGGAGACCCTTGCATACCACCTGCAGGCAACACGGGCAGCGCACGGCGGCTCTGTTGACTATCCCCGCGGTGCTCTACTCATGTCAGCAATTGCCGTAAGTCTTATCTCTCGACGCTTTTGATGTGGACGCTGCTAGGATGATTGAATAATCTTGTACTTTGCAGGTGGAGCGGGCTTGGACCCTCTGGAAGACTGGCAAGCATGAGTATGATCCGAAGTCAGACAAGTTCAGCAATGATGCTTGGCGTCACCGACTCGTCGACTACCGTATCCTCATCGAGACGCTCGACGAAGATGCGTGGGCGAGCATCCTCACGGCGTCCGATCGCATCATGCAAATGCTTCCGAAGCCTGCGATGGACATGGTGGACGCCTTGCCTGCCGAGGAGATTGCCCAGAAGAAGGCAAAGGCTACCAAGATGTTCGTCTCTGACTCGGAGTCCGACAATGATGACGAGCTTGAGGTGCGTGTCTATGAATCGATTATTTCCCTCGATGTCTGAGTTTTATTTAATGCATCATTGCATCTCGCAGTGACGCCGTTGAGCACCAACAAAGGCCTCCGCAGCGTGAGCAATAGATGTCGCATTCGAAGACGCAGCAGGGCTCTGAGAAGTGCCTGTCGATCGTGGTGCAGGCGCCACCGTCTTGATACCTGGCTTTACGATTTGTACAACCCACCCTAGTTTCCATTTCAAGTATAATCCGCGTTGGCATCGGCTTCTCTGTCGATTTCGGTTGGTTCATTACGTCTTTCGTTCGATCTGGGATTGTCATTGCCTTTCAATTCTTTGTGGACATCTGCTTTTTGATGCCTCATGCTCCGTTTATTATAGTATCTAGTATTCCCACTGGAGGACATTCTATACAGTACCTTGAATGCAAGTGCACTCGTTAATCGCTGAACGATTGTGGTGCATCCCGCGGCTGCGCGTGCTGGTCAGAGTCTGTCTGAGGTGCTCTGAGAGCAATCTGTCCTCGCCTGACAGCGGTCTGATTTCAGCCCGATGTCAGAAATGCGGTCTGACAACAGGAATGAATCTACTCTTTTCAGATGTCATGGTCCGATGCTCTGTTCAGCCTGAGATGCCCGACATCAGTACAGTCAGACAGTCTCAGACGAAGTCGATGTTTTGCTGATGTGGGCACTTGAATCCTTTGCACTCGGCGCGCTTGCCTTTCATATCGCCGTAACCGCGCTCCTCCAGGATGATCGCCATCCCCTTAAAAAGCCCTGCGTTCGGATGACCGGGTGGGAAATAAAATGACTGCGGGGAGCCGTCCTTCAAACGACCCGGAGCCATCTGGACGGTGGTCTTGGTCGGTTCGCCGTTACGCCCGTGGATGATCGCGCCGTCAGCGTCCCTTGCGGGTACTTCGACGCCCCAGTTCTTCCCTTTTTTGGGGGGAACTTGGGCATCTTCCGGGCAGATAGGGCATCCTCGGCTCGCTTGATATGTGTGCGTGCATTGTCGAAGACGAGCACATGGTCATCGTGAGGGAAGTGTTTGCATATGATGTCCATTGCGACGTCTGCCTGCTTCTGAATCTCCTCGTAGGTAAAATAGCCATCACGTCCCTTGCCCGCCTTGAAGAAGACGCGCGCTTCCTCTGGATTATCCTCCGAGTGGTCTGGAGCGCGAAGCCAACCGTAATCAGCAGAAACGAAATCCGCAACCATTAAAGATGCACCCTCGCCCTTTTGGTACGGTTTAGCCTTTTCCGTCTTGTGCACCCATCGCTGCTTACGGCGATCATGCGCATAAAATGTTGATTCATCGTGGAACCAGACGACAGTTCTGCGATTCTGTGGAAATGGCCCCGTATCTTCGGTACCATCAGACTTCCATTCACGCAGCCTTGGCTCAAGCTCCGCCCATCTCGGAAGGAACTTCCCTTGACGGTAAGCAACGACATCGTCGCGCTCGTGGCCGTCAACATACTGGCCGCGCGGTGTGAGCATCCAGCGGTACCCGAGACGCTTCATCCATCGCTGTGCTGTCGCAAGGGAAATCGTTTTCTTGGTGCCATAGCGCTCCTTGACATCTGGTTGGTCCAGGTAATGAACGAGATCCTCTGCTTTGACATATTCACCTATGGACTGCAGATGAAGGAAGATTTCTTCACGAAAATCTTCATTGTCGAGCTGCGAGCGTGCCCAAGTGCCGTACAGATTATGGGGGAGATTCTGGCGGTCTCGGATGTACGCCTGGGTGCGGCGACGTAGCACGCGGGCATGCCAAGGTCCTGCGCCCTCGGCTTTGGCGACCTGGAGCGACGCTGAAATCCAGTTCTGACCAGCGCGAACACCATATCGGGAGTTCGATTGCGGATCCGTGTAGGTGCACAGAAGACGGCGCATGCCCTCCAGCCGCTCCTGGAGAACACGATCCAATTTGGGGTCTTTGTATCCATACCCCGTCTTTCTTGGCGGCCGAAGGAGAAGTTTGATGTCTGCAAGTGCAGCCTTTGCGGACTCGAGCGATGGTGCCTGACGAGCCTTCGGATCGAAGTCATCATCAACCTCGACAGGCTGGGCAGCATCGGATTGTGAGGCCTCGGTACGCATGGCATGTTCCACATCATCCTCTGCATCTCTGATCTCATCATCCTCGTCAGGATCTGTGCCCGAGTCCGAGTCTGAATCTGCAATACTGATGAGATCACAGGGCTCGTCCTCGTCCTCGTCCTCGTCCTTCGAGTCAACACCAGCTTCATCAGCCAGGTCTCATGTAAGCACACACATTGAACTCACTTCAAGTTCGCCAGGCTCAAATTCCAGCAATGAGTCTGCTCGCGCTGGCCCTAGGTTCGCCTGGGATGTTGGTTGTGACTCATCAGGTCGCGGGAAGAATAACTCCACTGTTTGAAGCCATAGGGCCACTCCAGGGTCTACAGTCTCTGTCTGCAACTCGTGGCTATCCATTGGCAACTCGGACGCCGGATTTGGTGGGTCCAATGACGAACTCGGAAATGGAGACAACGGCGAGCGAGATTCACCAGGTGGCAGTGAGTGAGTCCCAGTCAAATCCTTGTCTGCGAAGCCTGGGCTCATGCTATGGTTCTCGAGTACCATGTTACAGGTATGCGAATAAGCGGACTGTGACGGTGCACTACTATTGCTCGGAGCAGTCTGTTTCTGCCATGGCGAGGTTAATGGTCAGTCTTGTTGTCACAGGAAGGATGAATTCAAGTTGACACACCATCTCGACATCTACGTCAGCTCCGGAGGCCCGCTTAGCCTTCTTGTGTGGTATCCCAAGGTTCTTGAAGCGCCAGCTTCCCTTCCTCTTCGGCATTTTGTTGCGCACGGGCAATGTTGCTGGCAGGCGGATGACTCGGGCTGCAGTGGCGCGGGCGCTTCGCCTCGTCGCCTCCCCGAATAACCGTCGAAAACCCACCACACTATGCTCTCGTGTAGTACTGTCGAAATTCGAATGAGGATTTGTGTAGGCAAGCAGTCCAAATATTTTCTCGTTTTCTATTCTATTTTAGAGTGTACACGAAGGTTCCCTATCGTTTTACAGTGTTATTGTCGGGTTTCTGTCACGCGCGCCTCTTTCGTTGGATAGTTCTGGAGGAGGCCAATCTTAACTGGATAAGTAGTAAGCGGCTAGTGATCGCTTAACTTACGTTCAGTTATCTATTACAGTATTTGTTCTATTTAATGTCGCTCATAACAATCAATGCTACTTTCTCCCTCCTTCCTCGTCTCGGTCGCTGCGGACGTCCGTTAGCCATGGCTTCAGGGGTCGTGTATAGTAATCTTTGGAGCAATGAAAACAATAGAATAGGGAGGGAAAAGCCCGTCTAAGTACCCATTACCCACCTGATCAGCATACTTGACTCAAATTCCGCGAGGTTATTGGTCACTTTGCCGGAGTGGTTAACGGGATCGCCTGCTATCGATGATTGTCAGCGGTTGAGCTTTGCGGGCGGCGGTGACGGGTGGCCACGGGTGACGTGGACGGCAGGTGGGTGGCGGGGACGACGAGGGGCAGGCACGAGGGTGGCGCGAGGGGAAGAGCAGGGTGGCGGGCAGACACAAGGGCGACTGAGCGAGGGCAAACAGGCGGGTGGCGGGACGAGGTGTGGACGACGGGCGGTGACGTGGGCGGCGGGCGGTGACGGGGACGACGGGCGGTGACGTGGACGACAGGCGGGTGGCGGGAACGACGACGGGCAGACGAGGTGGGCGAGGGAGAGAGCGACATGGGCGACGAGGACGGGGCGTGAGTAGGGCTGGGTAGGGTATGAGTGATTCGAACGACCGGGAGATAGCTCGCGGGTGTTCGAATCGCCCAGGTGACGTGTTTTTGCTATCCCGTAGGACTGTTTGGCACTCTAAGAGAAGGTGAGAACTCTTCACCATACGAGGCGCGCGTAGTGGCGCGCATATTGCCTCATTGGGATGCACATATACTTTCCAAATAGGGGTCGCGTTGCGCGTTTCGGAAACGCCCGTCCTGCCAGGCACGTGACGGACCGCTCACCGGAATCTGGATTTGACCTGGATGCAACAAGCACGGCAACCTTTTGAAGTACTTGGTGCTGGAGCTCAACGGCAATGTCAATGAGCACGAAGTACGCAAATCTCCCCGACATCGTGAGCTGCATGATCCTCCACATCATGTTTTTGCTAATAGTCGCCTGGGACGGCCGATCGCAGGACACGGCTCCGGACGTCTATGAGACTGAGGATGCGTTCCCCGCCTCTCATGATAGTGTATGCTATGTGTCGGCATTCGCGACGCGGCAATACTGAACAGATGCGCTCTAGAAAGGCGATTCAAGTGATGAAGAGCTGGGCCTGACAGCCAGGCCAGCAGTTCGCGGCAAGAACGGAGAGACGGGTGGGCGCGAGGAGCTGGACGGCACTCACCTGAGCCCAGAGGAGGCCAGTAGGAAGTTTCGAAAAGCGGAGAAGAGTACGTCCCATGAGCTCACTCAACATACATCACATTGACGGCTTGCGCTATCCGTGTTTGTTGACACGGCTGTACAGAACATCACCGTCCACGGATACAGTATGTCTATCCTCCATCCCCGACTTCCGACACGTCGCCGCCATCAACGCCCTCTGTCACTCCTGCCCTACCACTGTCGTACAGACTTCGGATGTTGCAAACCGAATTGTCTACTCTGGAGACCGAGTTGGCAGACCCATCAAATCCACTGTTGCAGAGGGAACGAGAGGCAGGACATGACCCGGGCGAGCTGATCCGGGGAATGGTGGATGTGAAAAACCGCTTGGGCAAAATCACCAAGGTGAAGGAGGGCAAGGGAAAATTGGTCAGTGTTGTTCTCGGGGAAGACTCGGCGGACGAACAAGATGGCGCCAGAGGAACCGTCGGGGAGGGCAAGGATGTTGGCAAGCGCGTTCTGTCCGATCAAATCGTCCCGCTGTCGACGAACACCGGAGCACCTGACGTCAAAGACATTGTCGAAATGGACCGTCGCGTCGGTGAACTGGAGAAGAGTGTTGGTGCCTCAAGCACTGCTCTAGATGAGGTGAGCCGTTGATGGGATCCTTCCTTCCCCTTGATTAATTTAGGTTTTATCTGCATAGCTCTCTCCATTGCCACCGCCGCTTCTGCCTATGCTGACTCGCCTCAATGCACAATTAACACTCCTCACCCAACCGCGCCACGTCGACTCAATCTCTCGTCGTCTGAAATTACTTCTGTCCGACCTCGAGCGCGTGTCCAGCGCCAGTGCTCATCCACATGGTTCCCAACGCCGGCAGTCATCCCATCACGCACCGACCCCTGCATCGCCGCATCCCGCGGCATCCAGCGGTTCCGCTCCTACAATACCCGCGGCACTGTATGACCAACTCACACCAATTCTGACACGTCTTGCACCGCTTCTGCCACATATACCCCATGTTCTCACTCGCCTCCGCACCCTCTCTGCCCTTCACACATCCGCCGCTGGTTTTCAGAATACCCTGGAGAGTCTCGAGGAGGAACAGAAGAGGGTTCGAGCAGTGTTGGAAGAGCTCGAGCGCGCTGTGAATGGCGTTGAGAGCAGCATCAAGGAGAACGAAGAGGTCATCAAGAAGAATGTGAAGGAACTAGATGACCGAGTTGAGGATGTAGGACGGAGAGTAGACGAGTTACGCGTTAGCAAGGGTTGACCGGATCGAGCTACCACCTGTCTGTGCCGGTTGACATACGATTCCATTGCTTTCGTGTATTGTATCCGTTCCTGGTAGTCCTTGTCTCTTCAGGTGCGTCAACATCCGATGTCGACGGAGAGGCCCTGGCATTGGGTGTACCTCCAAGGTGTATGTGGCTCGGCACTTACGTCTTTCAGACCAATCTTCTTATTGTGCATGCTACGACGTGCGGTAACGTACAGCATTGCTATGGCAGTCGTCGTTTCGACTTCCATTCCATCCCCCATAGCTGTTGACAGTTGCGGATGAGATAGCATATAGAATCGGGATACCGCCTTTCTACAGAGACGACGGGCATTGGGCAACATAGCCGTGGACTGACATAAGTTTGTCAAGTCAACATCTGGTTATTCTAGCAAGTCAGGCAATGCTCGGCCTGAGGACAAGCATGTCTGGTTTCTGTTCCGATGAATTTGGAGGACCGCGACGTCTGCCAACTGCCAATGTCGCCAGTTCCGCTTGTCCTCTCCGCTGCAATACTACCACTGGTAGGGCGGTCCGCACAACTGACCGTTGACAGCCCCGTGTAAGATTCTGCTTTTTGTTGAACCAGTGTCGCTCGATGACGATGCCGCCATGAGGTGTAGACTGTGATCGGCGACAAACGCCCGTTAATAACGACATAACAGGCAATTGAATGCTATCCCTTGTGCATGGCACTACACTTGCGGGTGAAGCACGAATACTTAGTTTCAAATAGTACTTTATGCGTAGTCAGACATGCGCGAAACAGACAGCACATAGAGAAGGGGTCAAGTTTCAGGATCGGTCCGGCGGTTCAAACGTATGCGTATCATGCGTCACGGTACCAGCTCCTTTTCACACATCTCGACATTCAATTGAAGCATCTGGCCGATTGGGCACTGCCTCATGAAGGTGATAGGATCTCTTGGTGTGTATCTACGAAACGGGATCTCGGAATTAAAGCCAGGGGCAGCGATTGCGACTGCACCGACTCATGCCGCGACGGAACTTGCAGTGCCGCAACGATAACAGTGGCCAAAGGTATTGAAATACTTCCGCTGTGCTTATGAACGCCGAGCGAGGATCTGAGTACTTTCTGAGGGACACTCGGCCGTAGTATACTTACGTGGTACAGACGGAACACTCTGACGCAAGCTGAGCCGCAGTGCGCAACCGCTGGCTTTCACTGACTCGGTGGTCGTCACATGACCGATAATCTACCTTTCATGGCAGTCGTTGAACGTTACGAGTCAGTACGCGCACAGTGACTCCAGCTGTTCTTCGTGCTTCGTGAAGTCGACACTTGCGATTCATATACAAATATCGGCATGTGCTTTTCCTCGCTGATAGGGCTTACGCTTTCTTCCCAGGCATCAGAAGAAGCGTACCACACAGTGTGCAAACGGTGGCTCGTTTATTGTCGTCGCGGCAGGCCATCCTAGGATCCGCACATAATATGGAGTCTACTTCCGAGCCCGACGCAGCTACTGCGCCTGTCATGCGCCAACAGTGCTTGTTTCACGCATTATCAATCCTTTGATTAAGACATCGCAGGGGAGCTTCAGCAGTGCGCGCCCACGGCGGACGACCCGCATAGGATGACTCGGAACTGATCGAGAGTACTCCCTGAGGTAATGTTCGCTTTGCTCGCACACATATTTTGATGTGCTGTCATAGTGGCCGCTAGCCGAATCAGCGGTACTTGCGTACGCATCCAGTGGTCTGGACACTTGGTTCCCCGGACCGCCAAATCGTGGTATCCCGGGTTGTTGAGCTGTGCACTCATTGACTCACTAGGACAAGCAGGCTTAGAGACCATCCTCGGGCGCGAGCGATTTCCTTTATAGTGTGTACCACCTTCAGGCTCCCTCATATTCTCTCTCCCATACTCACCACATCTTCTCCTTCGAGCCTCGTTACGAACTCTGGTATAAGAATTGCCAAGCCTAGCTACGCACTGCACATAATGTCTGAACCCGATCGTAAGTAGCGAATTACCCTCAATGATGTTGACTCACTAACCATGTCAATAGACTGGCGCATGAGACTCAACAACTACCTGCAAGGCAATGGTGGCCCCCGCACATTGAGCTGGGAAGTATATCAATCTGGCCCATTACACCAGCCTGTGTGGACGGCGGTGGCCTATGGTGAGTACTGTGCATAATACTGACCAATATCACGCCAGAGACTGACTGTGTCTTCAGTCAGAGGAGTCGAGTACGGAAGAAGCACTGGTTCCAGCCAGAATGCTGTCAAGGAAGAGGCGGCGCGACAAACGCTTTCTGCCCTTTATCACGACCGTGGTGTGCGGGGCTGACCGCGAATGCCCGCAATTCCTGTAGGTATCATTTCACGAAGACTACCCAGTCTTGTCATTTGTCTCCGCTAACACCCCTATAGTCAGTCGTGTACATGTGCTTTGTATCTGCTCTGCTGTTCTCGTCGCAAGGGCCACCACCATAACGTACCACTACTTTATGCTATTTACGCTATCATATTGACTCTGACTCATGACTTCCATGGACATTTGTTCTACTATATACTATACTTGTATCGATCGCGAGCTATAGGCACCCGTACCGCATAGACTCTCTAGTCGTTGTCCTAGGTCTGCGCGAACTGTGTTATTGTATTGCCCGTCTCTGCATGTACTCTACTCCTAATTGTACCACCTCGTATATCTAGTTGGGCTGTTTCTGACACCGGCCGGGCCCCTACCCATTGCCTACCCGCGTTCATCGGTGCTTGACCGCGCACGGGTTGCCAATATTTGCGGACCATGATGTATGTTCAGCGTATGGTGGCCCCACACTTGATCGCCGCCCATGCATCCCATGGCAGGTGAACCATATGCTGCCGCTGTGCAAACGTCATCCACACGCTGCGCCGTCGCTTCGTATCCCCGTCGCGCTCATGTCTCGTTTTCCCTACCAAGACCCGAGTGCGTCCATGGTCCGAACTGAGAGCGCTTGCACGGCTGCGTGAACGACATCGACCGAGCTGCCCTTCCTGATCGCATGGTTCCGACAAGACTGACAGCTCGTGCCACAGGATCATGCACATGGTTGACAAGATCTGATCGGTTGGCCGTAACGGCCTCTATTGCGACTGCGGCCCTCTGCGGTCTGCAGCAAACATGTGCACCTATCAGCAGTTAGTACAGTTGCCGGGGTGGCCCGGAGGTATCGGCTGTGGGTCCGAATAGCTTCGCACAAACTAAGCTGCGATCGAGCAACGCATAACACCAAGACTGAACGACTTTGCACGGATCGCCGCCCCAATCGGGACGTTGACCGCAGTAAGACACAGGGCTTGCGCACGCGCGTTGCCCTCGGCAACGGCAGCATTGGTCAACGCGAGCTCCTGAACGTGTTGCATAGGCAAGCGCACACCGAACCGCAGCTCAGATGCGACTGCCTGACAGTGGCAATTTGTCGTCCTCGTCATAAGTATTTGATCCCGTTCAAACAAAGGTCCACATAATATACGCACCGCAGCTTTTGACAGAAACCACCATTCTCTACGGCGGTGATAGATAACGTGTGGCATTACTAGGCAATGCCATTCATTAATCACTTCGGCGCTTACTGGTGCATCGAGCACAGTACGTGCAGTCCAACCAGTGTACAGAGGGATGCATGTCGTCTGTTGCTGGTGACGTATGAGTACGATTGCTATTCATTGGGATGCAGCTGAAACGAAACATGCCTGGCTGTGATTCAAAGAACCAATCAATGATGATCTGGGGTCGACATCTTACGACACTCTTCGACGCTCATGCTTTACTAGTAGATGAGTTGACACGCACGCTCGCCTGCCAGAGTTCTCTCTCATGAACGAAGTGCACTTCATACTCTTTCATCCCACCTGTGATGTTGTAAGTGAGTGGTCGACCAACACCGCGCTCAATATGTTTACTACCCACCAACATCTCGGACGGGACGGAGTCGGCGACCAGGGAGTCGTTTGTAATTCGAAGATGAGACTGAGTGCGACGTATCGGACGTACACCCAAGGATGATTCAGGACTATTCTGCGCGATGCAAGCTTGGGGTAGTCTTCAAAAAACAAGACTGAAGGGCAGCGTAAGAAAGGTGCACTGGCCGAGATCACCGCATGAACAGTGTCAGCTTGAGTGGGTTGTCCACGCATGGTGGAAATATAAGCAGACATACCTTGCCGTACGCGATCATATTGCGGTCCAAATGTGTGCAGAACGAACGTCGAGGGAGAGACATTAGCCCGGGAAGTACTGCTTGCCCCCCGGGCCCTGAGTCACAGTGGCAAGTGTCCTTGAGTCTCCTCGGGTTCCCCGCTCAACGCAGCGTGCGTCGCCGCCTTCTCCGCTATTACCAACATGCCTTCAGTAGGCTTCCGTGCTATCACGTTGGTGATTATCATAGGGAGGGCGTATGGTGCACGTCTTCCGATCTATCATGTGAGATAACATTAAGCAAGCACGTTGCCGAACCCAAGCGTGTGGGCCTGACAGTGATGCGGGCAACGGATTGAAGCGGAATGACTGCGCTTCTCGTATTGCACCCAGAGTGCCCAGGGCTGCCCAGGGTAACTTACCGGTGGGAATCACGAGCGCGCGTCTGACCGGGATATAAAATGACTGAATGCCCCAGTGCCGCTAGCTGAGGGCCATAGCTACGCGGTAGACCCGGTCACCATGCGCTTCTCTTCCAGCGTCGCATTCATCCTCATCGTCTGCGCCACCTTCGCGACTGCGCTGCCTCAACCTTGCGACCCACATGTGCCTGCGTGCGGGCACGAGGATGGGCCTGAGGTCTAGGGACAATCCCAGACAACTCAGTTGTGATGGACATGGATCCAGTGAGTGGCTTCGTGTCAGCGCGAGCCAATCGAACTGACCCTGTAGAACGAAGCGCGATGAAGAAAAATGACTGAGACGGAGGACTTGCGGCGCAACGTCTTCTGTATTGAGGTTTTGCGAGGAGAGGGGTGGGAGAGCGAGCTCTGGGTCTTGCAACGGTTGTGGTTTGAGGTCGACAATGATTTCATTCTCACCCACTAGACCTGCCATCGCGCTGTGCGTTATATGAGATCGACCAAGAGGTAGTGAACGTACCTTCGGGCCTGAGTTCCTCCTCCACGCAATGCAGCGCAAGTATACGGCAGCGTGGATGTGAGGGTGGAGCGCAGCTCGATACCTGTAGCGAGACAGCCTCGAAATGGCGTCTCGCCGTTTCCTATTATGGTATCTACGCTGTGAGTGGTCATGACGACGGTGAACAACATTATCTATATGCTATATCGACAGAAGTGCGAGACTCGAATGACGCCTGGGCAGCGATCGTCAGTCACACTCCGGCAAACGACAAAAGACTCACCTGAACTTCTCTCCAGCCGAACGAAGGACCCAACATGAACTGCAGCCCGCTTAGTCCACGTCTCTCGTCAAGTCCTGCCGCGAACCCAAGGCACTGCCAACCCGCATGGTTCTTTGCTGATATTCCACAAAGTCCACCAGGAAGCGGACTTGCTCGTATGTCTCTACGGCCTTGGGACTCCTTCGCCGCCTTACGACAGTAATGACGCGTTCGATGAGCTGCATCGTCTCTTTTTTGACAGGTAGTGTTGTCTCCGCCGCTCGAGCCTCCATGGTAGGCAGATCTTCAGGCGTGGTAGACGCCGCGAATTCGGTCCCGCCGCATAGCCCGAGTTTCAACATCCAGCAGCAAGCGACAAGGCCGGCGCGACCAACGCCTCCACGGCAATGCACAAGCACGTTGAGACCATTGACAGTGTAAGACCGGATCAGCTTTGTCAATTGGGCGTCGAAATCAGAGACGGAGCTGGGGGTCAGGCCTTCCGGAGTCGGGATCCTGAGCGCGGACATAGTCAGCGGCATCTAACTACATACAATTAGAGACTCACCGCAGGACGTCAAGTCCAACTTCGTCGGCGATAGCAGAATAATCTGCCCAAGGAACCCCGAGCAATTTTAACTCTTCGTCGTCAAGGCAGCTAGGTTTCGTCAACAGGGTGCGCATTGTGAATTCAATGACAGGTCGGCTTACCACACGGTGCAGGCAATGCCAAAATCCTTAATACGCTGCAAGTCCATCCGCAAATCCCTACACACACCGCACTTGCCTTTCACGGGGCCACTCAACCTCACTTTGACACGAAGTTAGGGTCTATGCGTGACAATACATATCTCATGACTAACCTTTCTTGCCTGGACAAGACGAAAGGTATAGGTTCCCTAACAACCATGGCTGCGGCGCCAAAGCAGGAAGAGGGGGGCGCTCATCGGACAAGGCGGGCAATAGCGGCATGTCCAGCGGTACCCTGAGAGTAGAGAATGAACTGGATCGTCTGTGTTGCGGAGAGGTATCAAGCCTGCTGAGCTGCGACATGAGAAAAGCGTCATGCTGGACTTCGGAGGCCACTCACACTTCGCCGGCCGCAGGGCAGCCGATCCCTCCAGTCTTGTCTGGCCTTGACTGCGTCAACACGGAAGAAGTGGAATGTGATCTTCGTAGGGCATCTTGTGCGGATGCTATCTCTTCGTGAAGACACGTGCGCGACGGAACTGTTTTTTCATCCACCTTCGCTGGGAGGGTTGTGGGTTGCGCAGTCGTGGACACAGGCTTGCAATGCTTCCCATGGGAACTAGCAGTCAGTTGCAGGGCTCGTCGCAACGTGGGATTGTTCAACAACAAGTGGGTGAGCCGTACCGAACGGCTCGAAGAGTGTACGGGGGAGCGCGCAAACAGCGGCTGCTCTGTCATATTGGAAGGACATGGGTATGAGCGACTGAGGGAGGTAGACGTGACGCTGGTCGGGAGAACGGGAGATTGGCTAACGATGCGGTCCAGAAAATGTGTAAGCGGCAAGTCGAACATCACGGGCGAGTGATCATCGTTCCGTGAGAGGTGCGGAGATATTATCCCTAACAGTTCGAGCGGTATTATGGATGACAGACTGCCTAGGTGCTTAGCCAGAATTGAAACGGCGCATGAGAAAGTCATACTTTATGGGATGCGAGCATGACGTCTTGACAGACGACTGGTCTAGATATGCCGTGGGCCAGCCGTACGGCGGAACGAGCCTTGAGGATATTGCAGCACGAAGCTCCTGTTGTATGTCCGGATTTGACGACGGATAGCTTAGACGCGGTTGGGCCTGGGACCCGGGTGCATCGTCCGCTATCATTGTAGACACAGTCGCCCTTTTCTCGCATAGCCACCAGACTTGGCGGGTTGCATATCGCGCTTGGTGTGCCTGCAGCTGCTTCACGCGCTCCGGCATCTGAACGGAGAATGGCACGTATGCAACAGGACATCCTTGGGACGCAGGGATCTGTCGGTCAAATCGGCAGTGGACAAGCTCCCGGCGTCCCTCACCTTTTGGCCCGAATTTGAGGCGGCTGTACTCACTTGCATGGTGTTGCGACGCCAGTCGGACGAGCTAGATGTACACATTCATTCAGATTAGGACTTGAGGGTGAGGTCTCTTTTCAAACCACGCACCTGGGAGACCTCCACTCCTCCTGCTTCCGACGACCAGTCGTGGGAGCCAGCGCCAGGCAGAAGTTGGATGCGGTCTGGACTTGTGAGATGCAATGCAGGGTATGTTTGAGTTTCTGACATAGTCAGCACATCCGCCAAAAGCCCCAAAGTCGAGAAATATGAAAGAGTGGAAGAGAGATAGTTGTATGATTGTTTAAGATGCTCTACGCTAACAGTCAAGGGTCTCCAGCTCGGCTAAGAAGGGAAATCATTGTTGCCATTCCATCAATAAGAATACTATATATGGTGAAGGAACGATCACTGATTCAAGTTTGTAACAATCGGTAACAATCTGTAACGACTGGTAATGACTGGTAACAAATGTTAATAAACGGTAACAACCGTTTACAAACTTGGCGAGACTTGGCGCTTTCCCGCAACCCCTTCGTCGTCGACGACCACCACATGCTCGCTGTCTGAACAGCTGTACTTTGGCTGTACTCGTCGTGTCCTCTCCTTCACGACCACATTCCTTTACCATGGCTGCTCGGTCAGCGACCAGAGTACGATACAACGAACCAGACGTCACCCGCGCGTCCTCAACCCGGAGCCGCGACCATCCGTCGCGCGAAAACCCTCACTCGTCCGGAGCGCAATGTCGCGCCTGTACCCCTCATCAATCCCCAGTCTGCGCACCTACCCGCTGGGACTGCCGCTCCGCTGAGGACGAGACCCTCGATGCATGGCGCATATTCTCCCGCCTCGTCACCTTCTGGGCCCCGAGCTCGCTCCTTCGCTCCCTCGGCGGGCTCGACGACAGACACAAGGTCCAGGCATGGCGCGAGAAGATGGCGTTGTGCTTCATCATTGCCTGCATGTGCGGGTCATCGGCTTCATCACCGTCGGGGCGCAGAAAGTCCTCTGCCCGCAGATCGAGCAGCAGAGCGCGGGCCGGTACGTGCGCAAAGGCAGCGTCGACCTTGTGCTCGGCGTGCAGGGCTGGCAGATGAACTTCACGTACTTGAGCCAGACCGCCACCCAGGGGCTGAACGTGAACTTTACGCAGCTACTGAAGGAGCCCGGACAGGACATCACGCCATACTTCCAACGGTCGGCGGCAGACTACCCTGCCTGCAACGGGCTCTCGTTCCGTGCGGCGGCGGAGCAGCCATGCAATAGCGCCACACCGTGCCCTCTCGGTGCTCTCAATTCTTCGTCGGTGTTCGCGGGGCTGGGGGTGGAGAACACGACGCTGATCGTGGGCTACGACTGGGACCAGGTGGCGGCGTTGGACAACTACATGGTGCTCGACGGTGCGGTGCTGAACATGAATACGTACATGAAGCTGCATCCGAGCGCAATTCCATCCGACGCGCTGGATTCGACAATTCGGGCGGTGCTGACGGCGCCGGGCGACTGGGGGCGGGACGGGACACGGCTGTTCTCGTACCACGCAGACGTTTCGAAGGCGATGCCATGCATGATCCAGCGGTACTACGCGGGCAACATCGACAAGATTACCCCCGGTTGCCTGCTCTCGAACCTCATCCTCTACGCCGGCCTCATCGTCATCCTCGGACTCGTGCTCATCCGCTTCGCGATGGCGTGCGTGTTCTCGTGGTTTGTCTCCAAGCGACTGTGCAGCCCACCCGACAGCAGGCAGCTCATGCAGTCTGCGATCAGTCCTGCGGTGCTCCCGGAAGGCGCGAACATCTCCGTCGACAACATCACCGGTACGGCTCCCTGGGCTGGTCCGGCTGGGTCGAAGAAGCTGGGTAAGCCAAGGGGTAAGGATGTTCGCTCGCTCACATCCTCCGCGTCCACCCTCGTCAATGAAGCTGGCACCGTCCCATCCACCGTGACGCTTGCACAAATAGGCGCCGAACTCTTCGCCGTTTGTTTGGTGACGTGCTATTCCGAGGGAGAGGAGTCGCTGCGGACGACGCTTGACTCAATCTCCACCACGACCTATGCCGACTCACGGAAGCTCTTGTTCGTCGTAGCTGACGGGATGATCACTGGTGCCGGTGAGAAGCGGAGCACGCCTGACACCTGTGTGAGTTTGCTTGAACCGGACCCGCGGTTTGGGAACCCAGCACCGATGAGCTACGTTGCTGTCGGTGCAGGCGCAAAGGCAGAGAACAGAGCGATGGTGTATGCAGGTCACTACAGTAAGGATCTATCTTCTATATGGCTATTCAGAGCTAGCTTTGATGCGATGCTAACGGCATTGCGTAGCCGTGGCCGGGCGTCGAACGCCGACTGTGATCATAGTGAAGTGCGGCACGGAGGCTGAGGCCGCGACTGAAAAGAAGCCGGGCAATCGGGGCAAGCGCGACAGTCAGCTTATCCTCATGAACTTCTTCTCCCGCGTTACGTTCAACGATCGGATGACGCCTCTGGATTTCGACCTCTTCCGGAAGGTTCATGTCCTCATGGGCGTCACGCCTGACTTCTTCGAGGTCTGCCTCATGGTGAGTGCCCGTATGCCTTCCATTGCTTGCGGAAGCCCTTACACATCACTTCCAGGTCGACGCGGATACGAAGGTCTTCCCTGACTCCCTCTCGTATCTGGTCAATTGCATGCATCACGACAACATGATCATGGGCGTCTGCGGAGAGACGCGTATCGCGAACAAACGACAGTCGTGGGTCACAGCAATCCAGGTCTTCGAGTACTTCATTTCGCATCACTTGGCCAAAGCCTTCGAATCTGTGTTCGGCGGCGTTTCCTGTCTGCCGGGATGCTTCTCTATGTTCCGACTCAAAGCTCGTCGAGACACGGGCGACGACTGGGTTCCCCTCATCACCAAGCCCGAGATCGTGCAGCAGTACAGTCAGAGCGTCGTGACCACGTTGCACCAGAAGAACCTGCTTCTGCTCGGCGAGGACCGGTTCTTGACCACGATCATGTTCCGCACGTTCCCCAATCGCAAGATGATCTTCCTGCCTCAGGCTCGCTGTCGCACCATCGTTCCGGACACCTTCTCCGTCCTGCTGTCACAGCGCCGTCGATGGATCAACTCAACGATTCACAATCTCATGGAGCTCGTACTCGTTCGGAATACTTGTGGTACATTCTGCTTCAGCACCCAGTTTGTCGTCTTCATGGATCTGCTCGGCACGGTCGTTCTGCCCATCGCCATCTCCCTGACGTACATGCTCATCGTTGGTATGGCACTGGCACCACCGAAGTCGTTCGAGGAGGCAATCCCGCTCATCCTGCTCATTGCCGTCTTGGGTTTGCCCGGTGTTCTCATCATGATGACGACGAGGAAGGTGGTCTACGTCTTCTGGATGATGATATACTTGCTCGCACTGCCGGTGTGGAACTTCATCCTACCCGTCTACGCTTTCTGGCACTTTGACGACTTCTCGTGGGGTGAGACCAGGTAGGCCATCATGTTGAATGGGCACCTGGTGGAGTTGTATTGATTGACCTGTGCAGAAAAGTCGAGGGAGAGCTCAAGGCCGAGGGCCACGACGGAGGAGGCCCGGCAGCATCTGGATCTTCCGTACCACTGCGCCGATGGGAAGATTGGGAACGTTCGCGACTGCGTAAGATTCGTCGGGAAGAGCGTCGGCGCAAGGATCTCGAACGGATGCAGGGCGCGTACATGAGCGCCAACGGCGAGCTGACCGCTAGGCACGACTCGTATAGCCAGTATGATGGGTCTGACACCGTGTCAGTCGCGTCCTCCGAGGATGACCAATGGGGCGCGCAAATAGGTGGTTACAACGAGAACAGTACTGCGTATCCTCCACCGCCCCTCGGCCTGCAACAACACGCACTCGCGAGCGCCGAAGCTATCGCGGCCGCAGACATGGAAGCAATGCTAGATGCCGGGTTTGATGACGAGCCATCCCCGCCAGCGTCTCGCGCGCCTTCACAAGCTCCACGTTACCAGCTCTCCGACGCCGCGCCTTCGCTCGACGTCAACGGCTACGCCCCTTTGTCTAGATCTGGGTCGCCAGGCCCAACTCCTGGTGCCAGAGATCATACATTTTCACCGATCTCACCTATGCGACCGACAGGGGCCGTGAGTACAGCCGTTGACGATGAATGGCGGGGGCACGCGAAGAAACGGAGTACGGGTCGCAATGACACTGGGGAATACGGACCATTAGGGCCTCTGGATCCCAACTCAAGAATATGAGGAAGGGGATTTCATTTTTGTCTATATCCGTCTTTAACTCCTTCGATGTTTGAACTTCTTTGTACCGGGCAGTCATACCCGCTCCCTTGTCATCATATCCCACTCGCTGCAATCGCCACCTTTACAATACGTAGTCGGCCACCAGCCTCGTCCATACCACTAGGTCCCGTGCATCCATACATACCATTCACCCGTAATAAGGGTAACCGCATCTCTGTCGTACGGCTGTTGCATTCCTTGGATGTCGCATCACTTCTCTAATCTACCATGTGAATAGCCATAGACGTAGCGAGTAGAGGAGCGGCAATGTATCAGATATTTCCCAAGGGGTTGTGAGGTGTCAGCCAAGGTCAGTCTTCGAGGTCAATGTTGGCCAGGTCGATCGCGGATGGTTCAATTGCATCAATTGCTGAAGTCCAGCCCGTACGGGGCAGAGACAAAGCAGAAGTCAGAATGGGTGCTTACTATAATCTAGGGTGGACCTCCTCCGTGTCGCGCATCCGGATGACTGATGGAATGTCTTCGGCCCATATGATGTCAGCCAGTAGTTGCATTGTACGTTCCGGATAATCCCAGTGCGGCTTGAAGAGGGGCGTGTCAACAAAATAGACTTCAAAGAGATCAACTGACGTACGAAATGATTAGCACCCTTCATACGAACTGCATCTATACGCCTCCCACCAGCCGGCCATTCGTCTTGGTACTCCTTCAGTAGGCCCCAAGACGACATGACCGTCGCACTGACGGACATGTCACACCACAGCAGCGCCACGCGCAATCCTGGCCATACGGAGGTGTCATGCAATGCTCGACGCATGGTATCCTTGTAGACTTTGTCGTCCATGAATACATAAAACATATGCGAATGCGCCATGACGTCCTCATTGGCTACCTTCCCCAGCTCATCGGAAGACATACGCAGAAGCGTTGGTGTTTGATGAGGAGGCGGGTCTGCTATGCGGTTGGTCGAAAGTCCCGCACATGCTTCTGCATATGCGCGAGAGGGGAGTGCGTCTAAGATGGCAGGAGAATGTGCGTAGTAACCGGAGGCCCATTCGGGGAAGCTCTTCTGTCTTGCGTCTGGTGTTAAAGACGCGTCCTCGAAGGGGTTGTAACAGTCTTCAAAAGGTATCATAGGTGCACCGAACGCGCGAGCACTGGGATCTGCAAAAGGTAAACAGGGCTACGCTTGAACGCAAGGCAGCGAGATGCTCACCAAGGAGAATGAGCGCTCGCATGTAGCCTGCCAGAAGCTCTCTGTCATCGTGCGACAGCTGCTGCGCGCACGCAATGCAAGACAAGGCCATCTTGCACCCCCATGACCAGGCAAGCAGCGATATTCCGCCACCACCTATCCATCCCCCTCGTGTCTTCGCGGACAAAAGAGGAATGCCCTCCTTGCGGATGTACCACAGAAGAAACGCCAAGATTTCGAGCCCACGAGCATGCAGTGCTGCTGCCTGTCTCTCAACGTCACCGCCTAAGTCGGCCAAGTCAGACGGAGAATATGGGGTCGAACCAGCGTAGTCGCGCATATTGACCGCTACGAGCCGCATGTTATGTTTCGCTGCATGGACAAACAAACGCTCGAAGATGGCTACGAAGGAATCCGCGTAGGGCGTCACCATCAGGCTGAGCAGTACAACAGACTCGTGAGGATGTCGACTCACCGCCTTGAAAGCCTGCTCCGTGAATGAGCACGAGAGTCGTGTAGTTGGAATTAGGAGGTGCGCCAGTGTCCACATAATAGCACTGCGAACCGAATTCATCGACGGTTGCTAGTGGCATGGTGTCCAGCTGAGGGGAATCCAGTGGGTTTCAGGCTGTGAACAGGGCTCCGAGTTGTGTCGAGGTCTGACTGCAGTAGATTTAATACCACCGGGGACTGAATTCTCAGAACGAATACGAATTAGCTCAGATCGAAGACAATGTTATTTGCATGCGCGGCCCCGAGCGATGACGCGGACGTGAGGATCATGGCCGTCAGGGACCGCAATGAATGCAAATCAAACTTACACCACCATATGTAGGCAAGATCGTGGACCTGCGGGCTTAGCACGATGTCCCAACGTGCACATTCAGCGGCCGGAGGCTGAGCGCTGAGAAGGCGGCGTCTCAATTGAATTGCTGTAATGGATATAGTTTGACGCGGTCAATCTCAGTTGAGCGGTCAAATAAGATGAGGTGACGACGACTGACGACCGCAGATGTGCGCTCTGAGTCTTCTTTGACTGTATGAAAGACGTACTTAGCTTTCTGAGCTCTCGAGATAAATTCCCAGTGTACCTTGTCCACAGGCTGTTGATAGGTTTCGCTCGTGCCATGCTGTAGTACCTGACTGTACGTGATACCTGTAAAGGTTCGTCGCTCTAATCCATATGTTACCGTCGCGAAACGCTATGAAGCACCATGCAGAAAGTCAAACGAGGTTCCGACTTGCAGTGTCATTTGATCCCCCGAGCATACTGGTGATGATAAGCCGTCAGACAGTTCACACCGATGCATACCAAATCATTCGTCATTCGGCATGGAGTGCTGATGTCTTCAAATACTTAGATGTTCTCAGCTAGAACACGCATAGTCTGCTCGGGCAAGTCAACATGCGGCTGGGTGGTAAGTATTAGTGAGTTTCTACCATGACCACGATGACTCCGCTTACGAAGTGGTTGCCCCCTTCCAATCGCACGACATGAATCCTCCTTCTCCCTCTGGCCACGCCGTCTTTGCATGACGTGCGATGTCCCAGGACGTGTGAATGACTTCACCAATGGTCATATCTCCCCACACAAGGCAGACTCGTAGGCGCGGCCATACAGACCGATCCTGCAATGCCGCGCGCGTATTCTCCCTGAAGAGCTCCAAATCAATGAAGTCTGGCTGGTAAAGAACTTGCGAGCGCGCCCAGACGTGGTTCGCCGATGTCGCGGCTATCTCTTCCGCAGTCAGCCGCTGCAGGGTGGGGATCTGATGCGGACGCGGGTTCTCGACGCGTTCCATCGCCAGCCCTAGGTCTACTTCTTCACGAGTGAGAGACGCGAAGGAGTCCAGTAGGACACGCGAATGCGCGTAGTATCCGGAGACCCACAACGGAAACGCGGTAGCTTGTTGCTCTGGCGTCAATGTCTGGTCGCGGAGGGGATTGTGTGCTTCGTCGAAGTAAGAAACAGCGCTGATGCTCGAGTGTGGTGCAGGTTCTGGATGCGAATGTGTCTTCAGTGTCAACGGGAGACGAGTAGAGGTTGCCTGAATCGGCTCACCGTAGATCACGAGCGCTCGCATGTAAGCCTCTAGGAACTCCTGATCCTCCTTCGGAAGCTCGCTAGCGCGTGCGATGAAGGACAACGACATGGTGTTTCCCCAGGACCAACCCAGCACGGAGATACCTCCGCGAATATCGTTTCCATTCAATGTGAACGGCGGAATATTCTCATTGCGTATGAACCACGCGACGAAGGCGGCGATCTCGAACCCTCGTCTATGAAGCTGCGTCCGCTGACCGTCTCTGTCCGGGCCTCGCATCGCAGTTAGCTCGGCATCGGTATATGGTGTCGAGCCGGGATAGTCCCTCATGTTCAACGTGACGAGCCGGATGTTGTGTTGAGAGGAATTGGAAACAGAGTCTTGAAGGAAGCTAGTGGTATGAGGAGTCAGCACGCAGGGAAAACCCCCCATCCGAGACGACATTAGAATGCATACTCACCGCCATGAACCAGTGCCCCGTGTATCAGAACGAGGGTCGTATAGTCGGTAGACCCAGGCGGAGATCCTGTGTCCTCGTAGTAGTACTGTGTCCCCTGAGCATCGACGGGGGCAAGAGGCATGGTGCAGCTGGTCGCAGGTCGTACGCTCACAGTTTGTAGACACAAGGGGGTCAAGGAAAAGGGATGACTCATATAAACTCCAGCAGCATACCTCGCGACCGCGGGAAAGCAGAGAGCCAGCTGAGCTATTCTCATGTGAACACCGAACGTACGACAGCCAGATAAGATTCTGCCACCAGGCTTCGCCGTGTCCCGTGTTAGCTGGCTTGTGCCATCTTGCAGATAGTGGAGATGCTAGTTCATGAAGACTCTGCACCCGAAGCATTCGGCGAACGTGTAGAGCTGGGGCCACTAGCGCACTCATTCCCGCTGTGGACAAGAAACATCCCGGGTCATCCCCAACGTTTTGGTTCGAGCGAATGGCATAGAGGAGGATGGTGTTAAGGCAGTTGGTTCAAAACGAAATGCACAACAATGTCAAGGACAAAAACTGATCCTGCTCAAGACTCGCAGTGACTCAGGAGGGGCGAGGATCGTGGCGGCAAGCCGGGCCGCAGGGAATAACAGCGGGCGCACCGTGTCCCAAGGCTGGTAAAAATCAAAAATCAAATACAATACAGCGACATACCAGCGAACCGGCAACGCCAGAATAGTCATTTAAGTAGGCATGCGACGCTTCGCATGCGCCGCACCTTGCGGATGAGATTTTGAGTGTCTCGAGCCCTTGCTACAGCTGCACTAGTGACACTCCGATGCGTATGCGGACTGGTATTTAGGCGGAGATACTCTGCCCCTCAAATGCAATGGCGATACCATCGTATGCGGGCGTGCGCGTGTAGTTCTGGAAGGACGTCAGAATTGTTCGGCAGACGATGTAGACCACACTTACTGCGTCCCATGGGCACGCATCACCATATCCAGGGAAGGTGCCGGGAACCCACGAGTACTGTTCTCGTTCGTCGGATCAGAGACGTGCGAGCGGGCCACCTCTAAGCACTCGCCTTGTCAGTCCAGTCCCAGACGGTCACACCGACACATGCAGAGACCTGCATACAGGCGTTGACGACGGTGTAGTAGTCCTGCTTCTGCTGCTCGTAAAGCTCCTCGGTCGCTGGAAGCTCCATGCGTATATCGAGCTCAGTGATAGCAAACTCGAGCCCGAGCGCTGCGTAGGCTTCGAAATTCTCCACCAGCGTCGTCGGCACCTCGCCGACGATGAAGTGGGACTCCATGCCGACACCGCTGAGGGGAACGCCTTCCGACTGCAGCTGCTTAATCAGGTTCTGCATCGCTGTTGACTTGGTTCCTGAAACAAATGTTAGAAATCATGTATGGATAGTGCTGCGTGAAATCCACTGACCAACGTATTCGATGTTGTACTCATTGATGTAGAGCTTGACATTGGGGTCCGCCGCGCGGGCAGCCTCCAATGCAATGTTGATGTAAGTCGTGTTGAGGGCATTATAGAACAAGTCCTCGCGGTATGTTCCATTGTCGTTCAACGGCTCTACACGTGCACTTGGTCATCTCCCCATAAACCACGATTGCGTCAAAAACATACCGTTGACGACGTCCCAAGCGTACCTGAGTTGCTAGTGATCAGGAACATCTTGTCGTGTTGCGCTAAGTAGGGGAGCTTACACTCGACCAGCGTACTGTCCCACAATACCGCTGACGTGCCGTTGCACAGCGTATGCGAGCCCCGTCGCATTCCAATCGGTCGACGTGACCCAGCTCGGGAGCTCCTCGTACCAGACCCCGTTGTGGCCTGCCAAACGAGTTCGGGTCCAGAATGCAGATGATTCATTGAGAGCAACTCACCTCGGAGCACCATACCATATTCCTCGGCGAGGTCAGCAATCTGGTTCCCGAGCGTAAAGTTGAACACGCCAGGCTCAGGCTCAATGTACATCTATCCCCAGAACAGCCTGCTGTCAGCACACGTCTCTTAGGCCACATCTACCCATGCACTCACCCACTTCATCGCGTTCGCCGGCGTCAGCTGTCCGAACTGGTTGTAGTTCTCCAGGATACCCATGTAGGTCGGGTCAGTGAACTCGGGCGTCGTGTTGTCCGTCGCCGTGCCGAAGTAGAGCTTCCCAGCGGCGCGCGCAAGTTCGTTCAGACCGGCCACGACGGATGTCGCAGTGGGCAACGCGGAGCTAGCAGCTGCCGTCGCGGTCGCCGGCAGCGCCGAGGCCGACAGAGGGGCAACAACAGCAGCGCGAGGAGGACCAGGGCGGACTGCATGATTAGACCTGCGAGGCTGGAGCGTCGCCGACACAGAGGGCGAGGCTGCGGCGCACGCCCCCTTTATATCTTCTGCGAGCGCAGTGGCGGGAGCGAGCATATGCTTGACACGGCGAGCAGAAATAGACGAGGATCATGCAGAGACGTCGCAATGCACGTCGCTGGGATCATGCGTGGTGTATAGCGGGCAAACCGGCGCGACGGGCGTGCCCAGGATGTCTTGAATCCTTGATCGTCAGGAATTACCTCGGGCATAAGCTCGTGACCGGTGGAAGGTTAGCATCGCGTGTTGCATCGCTGCAGCAAAAGTGTCTCCGTAATCGTGAACAGCAGCGATGTAGTGGCAAGAGCGTGGTCGGAGTCGTTTATGATAGCTGCAGCCAAAGCATCCTCGATAGTTCGAAAGACTGCCAGAGGGGATACTGAATGAAAACGTTTATATAACCAGAGTGCAGCCATCTTGAACAAGGAGTAAGCTCGGAGTAGCTTGAGACGAATGACCATGGTGGTCACGGGTGCGGCGTGGACTGGACCGGCGCGTGAGAGAAGACAGAAGTGGGTTGATGAATGGAGAACAAGATGCAAAACCTGAGACGGTCCAACCAAGATGCGGAAACACCTACGAATGGGGATACGACGATGAGCGATCCGTCAATAATACAACGCTCACCTTACATGATCAGACGAAGCAGTCTAACTTCGTGACCATCTCGAAGGGAACGTCATCGATATAGACTGTTCCTCCGAGATGGGTCGCGGCTCCCTCAAGTACTCATAGCAGAACATTCTCCTATAGCTACATGAGGCCCACACTCCATCAAGACGCAGACTATTCCAGCGATAGCTGGAGCCGACCGCTCAGTCGAGCTCATCATCATCGAATATAGCTGTCTTGGGAACGCCGTCTGGACGAATGACACCGCGGTACATCCCCGAGCAGTTCAGGGGCAGCGCAACTAAATAGACAAATTGAATGGATGTGTCTTGTGCGGCTGAAGACCACTTACCGTTCCCTTGATCGTCAAGCGCGATGACACCGCCGACACCACCGTCGTGTCGAAGCTCCTCGACGCAGTGTTTCGCCGCTTTCGTAAGCGACTCGTTGAGATAGTTCATTCGCCGCCCGATCGTCGAGGCAGTCGCCAGGCGAATGAAATACTAAACAACGGCTCATCAATACACTGAGATGCTGACACAGAGCAGACACCCACGTCGCCGTCGCCCGTACCACTGACACCGACCGCGATCTTGGCACCCTTTCCTCTCACCTTCCTCCAGGCACGTCTGGCGAATCCCTTCACACGCCACTCCTCTGCCCAAAAGCCCGCGCCCATGTGGGGCGTATCGCCCACGCGTCCGACGAGTTTGTTCGTACGCCCGCCAGTTGAAGTGCACGATGCGATGCAGCCACGCTCGTCCAGTGCTACCGCACCAACCGTGCCCGTGGGCAGCTGGTCCAGTAGTTCCTTTGGCACCTCCTCGTCGCCCGCCTTCGGTGGGAACGGGAGCGGTTCTTCTGGAAGGCCCAGCCCGCGGCGGTGTTCCCTCCAGCGCGCTTCCGTGAAGAAGTAGCTCTCGTCGACCAGCTGTACGCCTTGCGCGGCTCCGAGTGCCTCTGCGTTGCTGCCGGACATCATGGTATGCTCGACGGTCTCTGGCGAGAGATACAGCGCACGGGCAAGCTGTGACGGGTTGCGCGCATGCGTGATGAGGGTTATGCCCATCCCGCGCCTTGTTTCGGGGATGTCAGGGTGCGTTGAGGGAGGCTTTGAGAGCATTAAAGAGGTCTCTAGCTCATGCTGAAGGATGAAGAACAGTTCAATGACGATCCCTATGTAAGAGATCTAACGCACTTTTCCGGCAGTGTTGAAGACAGCACCTCGTCCAGAGTTGAACAGGGGACAGTCTATATGAGCATATGTTAGATGTTCTCGCAGGCAGCGTGTACGTCGCACGTACCTTCCATAGACGACACAGCTGCCACCACCGCGTCCATCGCCTCGCCTCCCATATTCAGCACTTCGTAGCCCGCCAGCAACGCTCTACTAAGAGCTGCTTTGTATGCGGCTCGCAACTCAGGAGTAGATCGACGTCTGTCCATGGTCCCTGCACCTCCATGGATGACCAGCGTGAACTTGCGTTCGGCATTCGTGGGTGCGCGGTGCAGTAGAACCTGCTTCTCGTCCATGCCTGCGAGGATCGGGCCAGCGATTGGCGTGACTGGAGGACAAGATGAATCACCAGCACGACGAGGTCTATGTATATTGATCCTGGGGCCTGCGATAAGGGTGTGAGTGCCTGTTACCACGCAAGCCGTCGGGCCGCCGCTGTCCAGACGCATGTCCGTCGTACCCCGGTGCTATGTAACATGTTAGAAGGCTGGCGCATAGAGAAAATCCAGGCTGTGTCTTTCATGTGGCCTGTATTGTAATAGGGTGAGGTGAAGGTGGAGGAGGCTCAGGAGGTGGTCGCGGTCGTGCCCAAGTCGTGCACGCGCGTGCCACCGTTTCAGTAGGTTTCAGTGCCACCGCGAGCAGTCTCATACCAATTGAAACTCACCCTGCCATCATCATCCATGCACTCGCCTTGACTCGTCAAACAATGGTACGTTGAGGTACGAAGGTTGAAGGAATTGTCTACGTTCTTGGGGAGGCTATCTGACTCTATCGTGCGTCTAGAAAATGTAGGGCATGCAATCCTATGACTGCCCTATACCGCCATCGATCACGGAATGCGGTATTGTACGAGGACAAAGAAGCTCCCTACGGTCTACGGTCTACTTATACGGCCCTTGCTCTCTATGGAACACTTGCCAGGATTTATGGCGGTGAGCATGCACACTAGCACCGACTTTAAGAGATATATAGCTTGCTAAATATCTCATACTACTATCATTGACATCCTTCATTGATCCTTCAAGACTGTTTCCATATGCCTTTCAAGACAACATTCAGCCTGTTACGCTACGCTGAACACGAGGAATCACAAATCTCCGCCGTATGCCGATGCCACGTCAATCACGAGGCAAGGCGTACATAGGAGTAGGGCGAGCCTCACAGTCGAGGCTTGGGGTTTGCTGCCCTCGTCTTGTAGCTCCTACGCCGTTCACATTGGACGAAAAGAAAGCGAGCGCAGCCAATTATGTGATGGGGGAACACCGCGTCCTTGTCCTTCAACGTATGTGCTAGAGAGCTTCCGAAAGAGATCATGAGTCCCTAGAGGCTTACATGTGGGCGTTTGTGATCTATGGTGAGCCGAGTTGAGGCGATCTCTACGCGTCTCGCACTGACAGTCTAAGGACATGTCGCGTCTACTAGTAGAGCCTGAATCATCAGCGCTATGTCCTGCATCCGAGTTAACGAGGCGCACAATCAGCGTTCGCGTTTACTTTTTCGCGTCTCTCACTCCTGAAGAATTAGACGATGGGAACCCACCCGCTGCCACAATTCGGATCCCATCCACAACCCGACCCCAGTCATGGTTTTCATGAGCGTTCTTTTAGAAGCTCACTGATGTGTGGCTGCCAATTAGCCCCATGTGGACTTGCCCGGGCAGACTGCGCATGTCCTATGCGGCTGAGAACGTTCCAGTCTTTCAAGATACAATTGCCGCATGACGAGTCATCGTATGCGTTGGCGCGGTGTGGTGCTACATGTCTGTTAGGTTACCGCCACCTCTCGCCTACTAGTGGGATCGGACGTAAGTCTGAACTTTATGTCGCGCACATGAGCGGTACTGATAGCTTTTTGATGTGTATGAATAGGATCGCAGGTCCATTGCAGTCTGAAAATGCCACGTACAGTCCGTCTACAGGCCGTATACTCCCCGTAGGCCAGCCATCAGTACTACGGCTGAACACGCCAATGATTTACTGTGAGACATCAGTCGATTTGTTACGTTTTCCACAGAGTCGACGACACTCGCACCGATCGCTCAGAGACGCTTCATTGCTCGCCAAACGACATTGTTTCCACAGCGCTCATGTCAACTAGAAGCTATCTAGTCCACCTTCGCTCTTCGCACGCAGTCACCTCTGGCAATATTTATACGATCGTCGCCAGGGGGTGATATGACCCCATACACATCACAGCTCGAGCTCTCCGACTCTTGACGTCGACGACAACTCCTCTAACTACCTTCCATGCCGTTAGCGACCGTTGACGATTCCGGGTCGCAGTGCTACTATGAGGACACGGGCGCCCCTCCCAATTCCTCTGACTACACGACACTTGTGCTTATCCACGGCGCAGGTCATCAAGGCGGTAAGTCGCCATCCTCTGTTGTATTGATCTGTCTGGTGTTGACGTCCTATGCGAACTCGCTCGTAGCCGTTTTCGGGCGTTTGTTCGACCGTGCAGCGAAACATAACATGCGACTGGTAGCAGTCAACATGCGTGACTATGCTCGCTCGACCCCTTATTCGCAGTCCGAGTTGGGCGACTTGCGTAGTGCGGATGTCGAGAGGCAGGCGGCAGCACTCCGTGCTCGTGGGCTCGAAGTTGTGGTGTTCCTGCTGTGGTACATTCGCAAGGAGCGCATTCCTCCATTGTCTGCGAACACACATGAGGGACGCATAGGTGGTGGCGGAATATCGCTGCTTGGCTGGTCATGGGGTTGCAAGATGGCCTTGTCCTGCGTCGCGCGTGCGCAGGACTTGCAGCTCGGCGATAGGGAGCTCTTGGCAGGTTATATACGAGCACTCATCCTCTTCGGTGAGCATCTCACTGAAATTCGTCCATTCCTACGCCTTCCTGACCCATTCTCAGATCCCAGTCCTCGTGTGTTCGGTGCTCCGATGCTACCTATCGAGGACTGTTTCAATCCCTTCTACGACACTTCGTCAACACCAGAAGAGACGCAGAAGAACTTCCCCGAATGGGTCTCCTCATACTATCTACACTCTCCTGTCGTGTTGGACGCACTCCACTCCGACGGGTACGCAGAAGTATGTGCGGGACTTTCGACCAACCGCATAGCAGACCCGCCCCTTCATCAAACAGCCACGCTTCTGCGCATGACATCCGATTAGCTGGCTAAGGTGCTAAATGCGGACGTCATTGCACGTTCGCATATATTTTATGAATTTCTGGACGGCGAAGTCTACAAGGATACTATGCGTCGAGCATTGCATGACACCTCCATTTGGCCGGGATTGCGAGTGGTGCTGCTGTGGTGTGACATGTCCGTTAGCGCAGTGGTTATGTCGTCTTGGGGCCTGCTGAAGGAGTATCATGGCGACTGGCCCGCTGGTGGGAGACGTATAGACGCAGTTCGGATGAAGGGTGCTAATCACTTCGTACGTCATTTCATCTCTTGAGACATTTTTATGTTGATGCACCCCTCCCCAGCCGCATTGGGATTATCCGGAACAAACGATGCAACTACTGGCCGATATCATATGGTCTGAAGACTCTGTTCCCTCAGTTGTCCAGATGGACGACACGCCGGAGGACGTTCAGTCCTGGTTGTAGTACATGATTCATGTGCATATATAATGTGAAAGCGCTCATTTTGCTAGGCATAGGACATTTAACATTCATCGAGATGAGAACTAAATGAACTGAGCCTGAGTGGGAAGCTCAGCCACTCTGAGAGCTTCAGATGTAGAATAGCGGGCGTCTAGTGCGCGGCTCCATATATGGAAATAGAACGGGCGTCAAAGCCTTTGGACAACACAGACAAATAGCCCTCGCCTCCTCCCAGCCACAGAAACAGCCTGAACACCACCTAACACCACACGTGCACAAGACTTCCTTGAGCAAATACATCTGGAGGCTTTCTCGTCAATGTGCCTCGCGCTATGTGCAAACAGAGTTACCGGTGTAGTATCTTGGCATTATGCATATCTCATTTCTTGACCATTATGTTGACATTTTATGGACCCCGCGCCCGATTCGCCCTGTAAGGTTGCCTCTAGCCTGGCTTGACTCTCAGAGGACCCTGATGATACGAACAGATCTGCTAACGATCCCCACGCACAGGTGCGTTGTCCATGCACTCCCAAAATATGTGGTTTGCCAGTGCTGAGCGTGCCACTTTGTCAGGACTCAGTGGTTGTGCCAAACATGGTTCACAATAGGTAGCCGGCGGCAATGACACGCTCTACATCAGAGTCCGTAAGTCGCACTTCTCTGTCGTCGTGGATGCTGAGCGCTGAGCCCATGAGCTTGCGCATCACACTGGCAGGATCGAGGCTCGGAACATCCTGTGATTAAACCCGGGCCGCTCTGGCTCAGGAACATCGCGACGACTGTCATGGTGATCAATATATATTCAATCCCGGACATCCTTCAACTCTGTCGCAACCAAGTCGCAACCGGAGGCTTGGTGCGGATGCTCTTCCAGTGCTCTTCAGCCAGTATGACATAGACTCCGGGGTCACCCGTTCCGTTCATATTGCCACCTCCGCGTGAATTTCGCTCTTCTTCATTCATCTCACCATCATTCGTCCGTGGCTTGAAGCCCGAGGTTTGGCCTTACGGCATAGTTAAAAGTCTCTCCCGTTCGCAACGGCAGCCTGTGTGCTTCGTCCTCCCTCCACGTCTACGGAACTCTGGTGCGGACATGAAGTTCTCTCAGGCTGTGAAGCTAGCCGTCCTCGTCGGGGCTTCCCTCCCCACCCAGGCAGCGGCTGTCCCGACCCCAGCTGCGTCGAGCGCGCTGCCGACTGGGACGTCCGTGGTGTCTGGACTGAACGTCTTGGCAAAGGCGGCTGGCAAGCTCTATTTCGGTTCGGCCACCGACAACCCAGAGCTCACCGACACTACGTACACGAGTTACCTCGATAGCAGCGCGCACTTCGGCCAGATCACTCCAGGCAACAGCTTAAAATGGGTGAGTTGGCCTGAAGCGTGCTTCGCTTCTGTACATTATTGACGACGATTCTCGGCGCGCCAGGATGCCACTGAACCCGAGCCGAACACCTTCACTTTCACTGAGGGTGACCAGGTTACGGATCTCGTTAAGAGCAACGGCCAAATTCTGCGCGGTAGGAGTATCCTCCAGAATTCTCTGACATGATTGAGAGGCTCATCGCCGATCGGCAGCACACAACCTGGTTTGGCATGAACAGCTCCCCGACTGGGTGACGGCGAACAATTACAATGCCACTGGCTTGACGGCGGTCATTCAAAACCACATCGCAAACGTAGCAGGACACTACAAGGGCCAGCCGTAAGTTTCTCCGCAGAATGCATCAGATCTATGCTCACTTACCGTATTTGCTAGCTGTATGTGTGCGCATACCCAGTTGGGATTGACATACTGACATCTCTCTCAAGACGCCTGGGACGTAGTTAACGGTGATTGCCCTATGTATGATATATGCTTCGAGGTGATCCCTGACACAAGTGGCAGAACCCCTCAACGACGGTGATGGGAGCTTCCGGTCAGATGTGTTCTACGATACCCTGGGCAGCAGCTACATCTCCATCGCCCTGACCGCGGCGCGCGAGGCTGACCCGAACGCCAAGTTGTACATCAACGACTACAACATCGAGTCCACCGGTAAGTCCCCCTATCCCTATCATCCTCCTGACCGGCACTGACCATGTGTACGCACAGGCGCGAAAGCCACAGCGATGCAGAACCTCGTCAAGTCGCTCCAGGCCGACGGTGTGCCCATCGACGGCATCGGCATGGAGTCGCACTTCATCGTCGGCGAGGTGCCGACCACGCTCGTGGAGAACTTCCAGGCGTTCGCCGCGCTCGGCGTCGAGATCGCCATCACGGAGCTCGACATCCGCATGACGCTCCCCGAGACGGCCGCCCTGCTCGAGCAGCAGAAGCAGGACTTCTACACCGTCGTCGACGCGTGCCTGCAGGTTTCCGCGTGCAAGGGCATCACTGTGTGGGACTGGACGGACAAGGTGACGTGCTGCTTCGCTGGTCATGGTGGGTGGATTGGCACTGACGATGGGCGCTGTTGTGATAGTACTCATGGGTCCCCTCGACGTTCTCTGGTCAGGGTGCCGCCACGCCTTTCGACGACGTAAGCTTCCATGCCCCGTAAACTAGCACCAGATGCTGATGTCGACCGACTACTGTAGAATTTCGTCGAGAAGCCCGCCTTCGACGGTATTGTCGAGGCGCTCAAAGGGCAGAGCTTCTCGTAAGCTGCTTGACTCCGTACTCTGTCTTTCTGCCCGCTGCGCTCGTCTTCCATTCGTTAGACGTGTGTTTCCGACGGTCGACGGTCTGTATAACGGCGTGATGCAAAAGGTGATATATGGTGTGTACAAGTAGCGCAAGAGCGTCGGTAGTATTGTGAGCCTCGTCACCTGCTTTCACACAAGCTGTCAAAAGGTGCGTCGCCACGACATGGCCAGGTGTCGCACGAACTATCAGACCATGTCATGAACAGCGCCACCGGTGTCGAGGGAATGCGAGGTCTGTTAGGTAACACTAAGTCCGGGGAGCTGCCTTCATGCACGACGAGACGAATCAGGAATCCTTCCGCCGCTCCCGAACCACCGCACTGCTCTATGCCACACTTGTGTGCCTTCCACTGGCTTTCGACAGGATTGATAAACGAGCATTGGGATGTTTATGCGATTTCACCATGCTTGAAAGCTTGACGAGCGAGTGTTACCGGATAGTTGGCGCTACACCAATCACCGTCATGCGGTTTGTAAACCGTGTAAGCTCGTTTGCGCAAGCAACTGAAAAGTCGACGTTTCAACAGAGAACAATTTGAATGTGTGAGGGGATTGTGAATACGCATGTCTGTATTTTGCGCAGCACTGGGCGCCGTTGGTAGTGGTGCGAGAACAAGATCTTCTTGTTCCCGTACCACCACCGGCGCGGCGGGGACTGTGGCGCCTGCGCGCGGCGGTGTTGTGCGGCGGCCAGACTGGGCGATGCTGGATGCGGGTTTCATTTGGACAGGTGTGCGGTGTACCGGTCAAACTCCGTGTTGCGGGTCAGTCTATTTCTACAGCAAAATGTATTGGACAATCGGATGGCAGTCGAACGATACTGACTTTTATCGATTCACGAGCGAGACTGAACCGCCGGTGGCACCACTTTCCTCCTCCTATAAGCCTCCCAATTGTCTCGGGTCCGCACACCGCATTCCACACACTCCTCGACGACCACACGATGTCAAAGACCGACGCAAAAGCAGAGAAGAGACAGAAGTTCGAGGCGGTGTACGATGTGCTGCGCGATGAACTGCTCGAACACTTTGCAGCGCAAGGTATGCCGGAGGAAGCGAAGCAGTGGTACCGCAAGGTGAGCGTTGATAACAAGGATGTCTCTGGAGTTGGGGCGCGCCAGGGACGAGTAAAGTCAGAAACCGAGCCAGCAGCCAGCGCCGCTATCCCCATCAAATATATGATGGACCGTTCGACGACCGTATAGGTATCGGTGCACTCACGCTCCTACCTCGGGCGGCTCCATTTCACAGTATCTGCTGACTCACAAAGATATTAACCTGTTGACATGCTAGAACTTGGACTACAACGTGCCCGGAGGCAAGCTGAACCGCGGACTGTCCGTAGTCGACACGGTTGAGATCCTGAAGGGGAGGACATTGACGGAGGATGAGTACTTCAAGGCAGCACTCCTCGGCTGGTGCGTTGAACTAGTGAGTGCACAGTTGACGCATGCTGGTCAATGCTCATGGTGCACATGGACAGCTGCAAGCCTTCTTCCTCGTATCAGACGACATGATGGATCAGTCCATCACTCGCCGTGGCCAACCATGCTACTTCCGGCTCGAATATGTGAACCTGAACGCCATTAACGACTCCTTCATGCTCGAGATGGCCATATACCACCTCATCAAGTCGCACTTCCGCTCAGAGCCATACTACATCCACTTGCTAGAGCTGTTCCTCGAGGTACGTTGTTACGACTCAGCCAAGCAACTGGGATCGTTGACGTCCTGATCACGTCAGACCACCTACCAAACGGAGATGGGTCAATTGATCGACCTCATCACCGCACCCGAGGACAACGTCGACCTCAACAAGTTCTCCCTCCAAAAGTACGCTTCATCCCGCTTCTCCCGCGTGAGACCTACTAACGGCCTGACCTCCCCACCAGGCACCAGCTCATCGTCATCTTCAAAACCGCCTACTACTCCTTCTACCTCCCCGTCGCGCTCGCGATGTACATGTGCGGGATCCCGCACGCGTCCGCGGGCGCGTCGAGCACGGACCCGTACGCGCTCGCCAAGGCGATCCTCATCCCGCTCGGCGAGTACTTCCAGGTGCAGGACGACTTCCTCGACTTCGCGGGCACGCCGGAGCAGATCGGCAAGGTCGGCACGGACATCATCGACAACAAGTGCTCGTGGTGTGTCAACACCGCGCTCGCGCACGCCGTGCCCGCGCAGCGCGCCGTCCTCGACGCGAACTACGGCCGCAAGGACGCGCAGTGCGAGGCGCGCGTGAAGGCGCTGTATGAGGAGATGGGCATCCGGAAGCTGTACGAGGAGTACGAGGAGGGCGCGTACAAGCGTATCATGGGCCTCATCGAGACCATCCCGGAGAACCCCGTGGCCAAGCCTGGGGAGGTGACGCTGAAGAGGGAGGTGTTTAAGAGCTTCTTGAACAAGATCTACAAGAGGCAGAAATGAGGGTGATATGTTGGTGCGCGTGTCGAATATCTTGGTATCTAGTACTTTACACGTTACTGTCTATTGCATTGCTTTCGTTTCCCCGCGGCATTCTTCAGTGGCCAGACCCACAAGTGTGCCGAGCGATGGCCACTCCTCTGCCCGGTGTGAATGAGGCAGCTTCGCTACTGCCGCGCTTTGACCATCGACCAGCCGAAGCGAATGACGTCGCCGTTGCGACGGTTGACATTGTTTTCCCCAGTTCTCCCATGTGTTTGCCTCAATACGCTTTGACCGCTCTGTACCAGCGCATACACGCGTTTCAAGGCACCACCACATTGTTCGCGATATCAGGACTACAGGGACAAATCCTCCTACAGGTATAAATACGCTGGAGAAATCGACGACCCCATCTCCCATCCCCCGCTCGCATCGACCTGTACACTCATGCACATCCGCGATCCCTGCCTACGTCCGCTCCATCGTATGGAGCACGCGCTACCATTCCTCCTAACCACTGGGCTCAGCCCTCGCGCTTCACGTTGACGGCGCTGATGAAGGTACGCTCGTGCGCTCACCCCCCCGTTTGACATCCACTCATAGTGCTCCCCAGTCAGTTCAAGGCTTCTCGTTGCGGCGTTGACCAAGTACCATGGCAACCGGTCAAGCCACGTACCAGTACGCTCGTGCACCACATGCCACCGAGCACCTATACTCACTGGCATCGCTCCTCCACAGTGCTCTACCGAAAGCGCAAAGTGTTCGGCCGCCGCGAATCGTGGCCACGAGCACCAGATTCGGTCCTCCATTACTCAGACGCGCCTACCTCCATACCAAAGGCTGAGGGCAGTCCACCACCGAATGGACGCCGGATCACATGGAGCTGCATCTGGGCGCACGGCCGAGTCCTCAACTTGACAAGCGGGCAAACCGAACAATGAACGCGAGGCTGAGATAGACCACTGGGTCGTTCGGGAGCTGGAGCGAATGGACGCCGGATCACATCCCGCCGGCGAGGCGATATGGGGTCCACAGTGTCGAAGGCAACGGCCATATCTTCAGCCGTGCAAGGCGACATCACCAACGCTCAGAGCATGGGCTGGTCAAATTACTGGGCGTGTCCGACGGCTTGATTGAATGGACGCCGGATCACATCGACCTCGCCGGCGCGCGACATCACAGTGGGGCCTTCGCAGCAGGGCAAGTAGGGGACTGGTGAGCAGTCCTGTGCCACCAGAGCCACTTGATCGACGGGGTGCACTCAGGCTCGTCGTGCCCCCGAAGAAGATCGGACTCCCCTAGCACCATTTCCGGCAAAGCGTGTCTTCGCCGGGGATGTTGCCAGTTGGGCTCGGTCGTCTCTTCGAAAGGTTGGGGAGTTGCATTGTAAACATACACTGATCTGCATTTCTCCTAGTTGCAGCTCTGTCATTGAGAGAGTTGTGGTATCCGCCACTTACCATGGCACATTCAAGTTGTCGCATTTCGTCTCCCATGGCACAATCCCGGGCCAGCGGCGGTAAGGTGCAACATTCTTCCGCGCGACCATTACACCAGTCTACTAAGGAACTGTCGTCGCCATTGCGACGTTCGGTACGAGTCATGGAATCTGAGCCTCAAAGAAGTTAGAAATATCGGTATCCTCGCTGCATCAATGCCAGCTAGACCGGCGCACACTAGGCTTCGATGTGGCTGGCAAAGACGACGTCTTGAGCAGGGCAAGCGTCCCCCTTCACATCGCATCCCATTACCGACCAGTACAGCACGCGTACCGACAACAGAGGCACGAGAACGAGTCCATGCGTCGAGCATCTCCCCCACCAGGTGGAGTTGATGCATGCCTCAGACCGGATGTATCATAGCCAACTGGACTGACGCGCACGTTTCACGACATTGACCGCGACGCCTAGTGAACAACATTCGACATAAGTATTGAATCCCGTCAAGAAGTGTTTGGCTTACATCGCAACGTTTTCACAATTCCCGGTAGTCATCGCCCTCCCACACACACCCTCCTTGCATCCTGACTGTCCGAAACGTATGGATATGATCACGCAGTTTTTTCTTAGCCACGGCGTCAACTTGGGGGTGATGATACTGGCTGAGTAAATGCTGATGTCGCCACATCTCCACACGAAGTAAGGGGAACAGGCGGTTGAGGAATAGGGCAGCGTCCACGATCGTGGTGTCTTCGTAATCCAAAAAACTTCCCTCTCTGATCAAGAGGGATGTCAAGCCGTGCGACATGGTCGGAGGTGTGTCGAGGGTTGAGGTCAAGGTCATATCCATGTAAGAGACGTGCAACTTGCGCAGATGCGGGCACGACTTCGCTACGACCAGGAGGCTCCGAAGAGAAGGTTTCGGTAGGTCTGGTGCAGTCTCCCACAACAGAGTCATCGAGACGATGTTCGGCCAGGCCGTCAGCACGGTGCATAGCTGGTCATCGGAGAAGGGGCTAGGCGGTGCACTGTCGGGGCTACTAAAGAGGCTGACGGTGCGTAGGTTGCGGATGTGGAGGAGCGGTTCGATAGGCAAAAGAGGTGACGCTGTCGCGCTGTCGACGGAATGGAAAGGGATACACCTTATGATGATCTCGTCTAGCGATGCGCTGTATCGAGACTTGACGACGGTCACCAAATCTTGGCAACTTGACCTTGGAGAGTCCGAGGGCCCGGGAGGGGGAGGGGAATTGAGAGTAATGTCAAGGTGTCGAAAGATAGAGTTCGATGGCGTAAATCCCGTCAAGATGCTGCCGATTGATTGAGGGTCGCCTTCGATGGCAAGCTTTTCGAGGCTGCGGAAGCCTCCTTGGAATATCTGAGTGATGTCCCGTCCAAGCTCCCTCACGCAACACACGGAGAGGTCGGTGAGCTTTTCCAGACAGGAGAATGCGGACAAATGTGCGCACTGCTCTGTCAATGGATATCCAGAGATATGCAGCTGGCGCAGGCTGCGACAAGCAGCGAAGGGGAGGAAGTAGAATGGTGGGGCAGTGGATAAGAGCCGTAACTCCTCGAGATGCGGAACGGCTGCGGCCACTCGTTCACACAAGGTGTCGAGTACGAATGTCACGTAGGGCACAGAGTTGATCGACGCCGTCGGTGAATCAGGGTTGTCGCGGTGAAAGGCGAACTCTAGGACCCGAAGTGAGGGCGAAACGAAATGGAGCAGATCGTGATCGATCACCCTGGTTTGTGTCCAGCACAGTCGTTGGAGCCGTGGCAGCAGAGGTTGACCGCCCAATGCTTGAGACAGTGTGAGCAGTACAAATGATGGTATTTGCAGATCGTCCTTGTGCACGTAGAGACGCGTTACCTTGCGGGCGTGCAGCCGGAAACGATGCAAGTCTTCGGGCTTCAAACTGCCAAATAAACCCTAGATTGTCGCTGTCAACAAGATACTCATGCGACATAGAGCATAGCTAGGTCCACTCACATACTGCCTTGTATATCTACCTTTGCTTCCATCGTCGTCAGAGATATCTGCTAGCTGGAATGACGGTAAGATCTTGAACAGAGGGAGTATATCTTCCAAATCCCTCCACAGAAGGTCCATCGCACAGCCGTAGAAGACTTTGTTGACACGAACGCATTGAGCTAGCACCCCTTGCGACTCGCGAAAGTCGCCCCAGTCGGTGTCAGGACGGAGGTAGTCGAAGGTTTCTTGGAGAATGTCTATGGTTCGTAAGGCTCGAGACACAGCCATGCCTGTATCAAAGTCAATACAAGAGCCCTTAGGCTCCTCCAGGCCAATATCGTTCAACTTCAAGAGGTGAGATGAACAAGTCAGACCGTGCGTCGCGGCGGCTCCAGCCGGCGCTTTCGGCTAACACTCGCATCTCAGCTCTCCGTTGGCTCTCCGTTCCAGACCATAACAGCTGGTTAACGTCGCAGTTTGTAGCAACTGGCAAGGGGTACGTATCCATTGAGATATCGAAGACAGGGCTATTGCACATCAGGGATACAAGTCCCAAAACAAGGCTATTACAAGAATGCGTAAGTAGACGTACACGAGATTGAACAGATAAGTTGATACAGTCATGATGATGAATGCCACTCCAGTAACAACGCCCGTCGGCGCCGTCAACTCAAGACGTAGTCGCACTCTGCACAGCGGCCTTGAGCCTCTTCCTCAGTCCGTCCTTCTCTTCGTCTGCTGGTGTCGTGGCAGGAGGTTTCTTGTCGAAGCTGTCTGGTCTGCCCTGCGCAGGCTCCCAGTCGGGGTGCACGGTGACGTTTACTGGTGATAGTCCGACTGAGGGTGCATTGGACGTGTACTCGCCGTCGTCATCCCGCTGGATACCGGTCTCTCCTGGCTCTGCGGGATCCACCGTCTCGATAAGGATCGCGATGCGTGTCCACCGTCGGTAACGGGTGTACTGCGAGCATGTTCGTATCAGCGAGCTCCGCGTGGACAGAGCCTACAGCATACCTTGCCCATCCCGCCCTTCGCACTTGGACCTTCCCACTTGTTATCCGCGTACACCCACCCATCCGGGTCGGTGAAGACTTCCTCCTCCTCGTCTTCGTCCTCAGTCCCACCCTGGTGCTCGCCCTCATCTCCCTCCTTCTCCTTAACCTTCGGGCGCTCCGGACTTCCCCCAACACTCCCCTCGCGCATCTTCCCAGCAGCCCTCAACATCCTCGCCGCGCTGCTGGCCGTCGTGCTCTGCGGCTCTTCCTTCGGGAGCGGCCGCTCGACGCGCGCAGAGGCCTCACCCTCCTTGTGCACTACCACCCGCCACTCCGGTTCGGCCCAGCGCCAGCGCGCCGTGCGCTTCACGCGCGTGCCGTCGGCGTTGCGCATGTACACCGTGGTCGGCGCTGGGAGCGCGAAAACGGCGGGTGGCTGGACAGGCTGCAGGGACGCGGAGCACCATGAGGGGCGCTCGCCTGGGAGGAGCGCGGCCGTCCAGTCGAGGCCCATCCACCACCGCTGGTTCTCGCACACTGTGAAGAGGAAGCGGATCGCTTGGGCGGGTTGCTCGGCGGGTGGTTCTGCAGCGGTAGTGGAGACGGATGTAGATGTTCGGAGTGACGCGAGGCTGGGGGACAGAGGTTGACCAGAGAGAAGGGCCCAGATGCGGTAGATCGCCCAGCGGACGTGTGCGCTGCGCCAGAGGCCGCGCCGTATGAGCCCAACCCAACGGGCGCGCCAGCTTAGGAGGAGGGTCCCCGCGAGCGCGAGAAGAACCCGAAGGGGAATGAAGAAGGTGATAATGAGGTATGGTACATAAGAGATGGCAAGGACGCGTAGGAGTACTTTCGTCGGGGGTAGAGTGGTCGGCAGAGAGACGGTGGGCAGCAGGGCGTGAATCGTCGTGAGGTCCGAGATAGTCTGCTGCAGGCTATCTTCGGTAGCGAGTTGCGGGGCAGTATTGACTTTCTGTCTCCAACCTGTGTACACTACCAAGGAGGTAACGAGCAGAGGTAGCATGTACCTATCGCGTGACGGTCAGCGGATGGCACACGACGCAAAGACTGCATACCTCACTCCCACTTCCGCGAACAGGCATATGGCCCATAGTGCTCCCAGTGCAATCCAGCTGTCCTCCCATGTCGTCTTCCAGCTGAAGACCTGCGCAACGCGTCTTATTCGCGCGATGTGTGGGGCAAGTCCTACGAGGGCGGTGACCAATGGCGACGGTAATGTATTGAGAAACTCGGCGAGCGGTGGTGGCGCATTGCTCTCGACGACGGCTTTCGACATGGTAATGCTGAGATGGTCTGCGTCGAGCGCATCGGGGTCGTCGTCGTTGGGATGAGGGATGCGCGTATAGGCCATCCCGGTCCGTCGTTCGAGGCGCGCAGGCTGGCCACAATCACGTGCGTGCCTTCAGGCAGCTGCAGTCCAGGCAAATTCGCGCGACGATTTCTTCCACCTTGTCTGCGTCTGTCTACGTACTACAGGATATATCATTCTTGTCTAACGTATGTGGTTTGTTTCACGCATCGACAACTCCTCCAGCGAGCATTTACCCTTTGTGTTTTCAGGCGTATACGACTCGGAGTCTAGATTGCAGGTGCTGCACTGACTACCAGTGTACGCCGTATTTTACTAAGCTTATACGCTACAGCTGGTAGCGGACAATTACCGTGGACAGTCTCGGTGACAGTACCTACTGGTATGTACTCGTTCGCGACAAGTATCGTCTGGCTTGACGGTTTGGTGACGGTTGTGCATTCATATGAGTGACGGTTTCGTGGAAAAATACTTACGGGCAAGTCTTACTTTCGCGTGACTTAGACTTAGTGGAATAGGCGCCCGGCCGACGTGCCCGAGGCGAGACCGAGGCGGCCTTGCCAAATCGGGATGAACTTCGCACTTGCCGAGGCCACTGCTCCAGACGGTTTCCCCGTTATTCTCTGTGACGCACAGTGTTCCTTCATTCATTTCATACACTTCTGTCATATGAGTTACAATATTTTTGTCTTTCGAATTCATGAGAACCACGGGGACTAGTAGTATTGGCTCTCCCCGGAGTCTGAATTTTCTACTGAAGCATCTCAGGCCATACATCTCGTCGATAATGATTTTTGAGAGGAGTTTCACGATCCGCTTCTGTAGAATCATAAGCAGGCTTCCGCATTCGTGCTATCCATGCCGTGCAATGAACAGCACCGGGCGAAGACAGAGTTGCCATAAATGGCTAATGATTCCGCATTGGGCAATTGACCAGCCACCGAAGCGAAATCAGGTGTTCTAGGATGGTGCATACCACCGATCTTTGCCTCGCCGCAATCAATATACAGTGCTGACATGGCCAGAGTTATCGGAGATCGTAGAGACCAAGTGTACGAAACGAAGCGAAACTATGTCTAAGGTGTGCGGATCACGTGTCAACTAAGTAGTAAGTCTTACACGATAACTAAGTCCTGAATGTAAGTATTTTTCCGTGATAACGACCGTCATACATTCAGAACCATAGCCGTCCTGACGCATCGGCCTTCCCGCCGCCATGGCTGCACATCGGGTTTTGCAGTCCGGAGACCTCCTCCAACAAATTTTCAGTCACCTCGATCCTCACTCGTCTCCGTGGCACAATCGCTCGCACTGCAGAGGAACACTGTCGTCGTGTGCTCGTGTCAACAAGGCTTTGTCCACTTCTGCTGTGTCCGTTCTCTGGAGGCACATGTACAGCCTTCTCCCGTTATTCAAGGTCCTGTCGTCCTTCCAGAAGGTGAATATCATCGGCGATGACTCTGACTCTGACGAGGCCGGCGGCGACTTGAACGCCAGAGCACAATATGTGAGTTAGACGATTGTCTTTTTGTGCATCCGTGAATGAGTATACCTCGTCAGCGCCTACTTGGCCAACTCCTGCCCGCAGATTTGCGTCGCTTTCAACACTATTCTCAGCTCATCTTCGACCTCCAGGTGGAGAAATATAGACCAGGAGTGGATTCGTATGTCCTTCTCTCCCTTTCCAAGGCGCTTGCCGGACAACCTCTCTTGCCGCGGCTGCAAAAACTTCGCTGGTCGCAATCACACCTCAGTGATCATGACATCCTCCATTTCATCTCCCCCTCCCTTCATTACCTCATTTTCAACTACGACGGCTATGCTACTTCAATCGTATCAGCCGACTCCGGGACTGAATGCTTGTTTCTGTTGGACACACTTCTTCAGCAAGTGGCAGCAGCCGCACCATCTCTACGAAGGCTGTGTCTTGCAGCGCACGAGACTATGCCCTGCGCGTTTGTCCCCTTTTCCGTATGTCGCAGCCTACGCCAGGTGGACATCTCAGCGAGGACTCTCGTAGGGCGGTGCACGTATCTGTCTGCGCTGACCTCGCTGCAAAACCTCACCACCCTTGCCCTTTCCGGCCTCTACACGCTGGAAGATGACGATGTCAAGGCTCTTCAGGGCTTCAGCACCCTGGAGCAAATCATTCTCGAGGGCGATTGTGCATCACTGGGCTCCGTCCTCCTGCATGTAGGAAGATCTCCCTCCACTATACAAAAAGTGGGTATCTCTGTAATTGGCTACAATACCGAGAAACAAGCAGCGTTGATGGCCATCATCGTGTCTCAGTTCTCTGCGTCGTTGGAAGACCTCCGTCTGAATACGTTGATAGATGAGGATATCCCGTTACACAACACCATCCCTCTGCCTATGACAGTCATCCGACCACTTCTCTCCATGGGACAGCTATGTAACGTCTACTGGGCGGGTGGCTTTGTACCGCCGTCGTCCGCCGGCTGGTCCAACGAAGACTTCTGTGCTATGGCTTCGGCTTGGCCCAAGCTGATCTCGTTGGTGATCCTTTGGGATTCCTGGCCGCAGACGCGTGCAGTGCCAAGCCCCACGGTGACTCTGGAATGCCTGCCGCATATCGCGAGGGCTTGTCCGTGCTTACGGATGTTGCGCATTACGACCTTGAAGTGGACGTGGGCAGCCGATCTGGATGCCTATCCTATCATGTCGCATCGCCTCGAAAGGCTCGATACCGACATATACACCACGGAAGACAACTCAGCACCTGGAAGAACTGTTGCGGACACCGCACTTTTCCTTGACCGATTATTTCCCTATCTTGATGCACGCGACAACGAGTTAGCCCCCCAGCCCCAGATGTCCAAAGACATCTTCAAGCACATCTGTACCCTTCAGGCAGCGAGACTCCAGGAACGACGTCGTATCACGTCGGAGAAGCGATGAGCTTTCATGTAGGCTACTATCTTGATGGTCTTCTGCCATAACCCCTACCCACTGATTCCTTATGATACTGTGCTTTCGTAGTACAGGGTACTCGAGATGATCATTTTGTAGTCTGGTATATAAATCGCTCACAAGAGGTTACAGCTCACAGTACTTAAAATGTGTACATGTACGGTTCAATATCATGTAACTTACTTGCCTGGCGCAACTAGCCCACCGCGCTCGTAGCCTCCGGGCCAGCATTCCGTGGACCGTCGTCTCCAAGTCGTCTCCATACGGACCCGTTAGTCCGCTCGAAGGTGTACCAAGCAAGGCTCGGGGGCAGCCTCAGCCCTTCGCTCGCTGCACCGCATGTTCCCGTGCGCATGTTGTCGTTCCTCGGCGTCGAGATTGCGGGTCGTCATCGCGCCGTAGATCTCCATGTACCCACCTGCCTAGAGTCGAGACAGGGCGGAAGTCGTCTCATTATGGGGCTGAAGCCACCGACCCGACTGAATGTTAACGTCAACCCAAGTCTGTCAACCCGAGTCATCGATGACTGACCACGTCACTCTTCAAGCTCGAGCTTCACCGTTCGGCCAGACTCTTCGACCTGAGAGTACCCGGACGCGCAATTTTTTCACTTGCGTGGCTCTGAGGAGTGCATCCCTGTGTGAAAACAGACTTGCGTTGATGCCTTCGTTGTATCAGGCGACTTCAAGTATCGCGTGGAACGGTATTCAATGTGCCAACTACTTACCTCATGCCATTGCCTGATGGGCGTCGCTGTGTCTGTGAGCGGACGCAGTTGGCGCCTTCGAACTGCCGTTGCTTGTTCGACCTAGATTGTACTGCAGCTAAAATGAATGATCTGATGCGCTGAGTCGAACTTTTGCACCTAACCATCGGGTCGGCTCCAACGTAAGTTTACACCATGCATGCGGCGGCCCACTCGCAACCTATCCACCGTCGCTGGTCCTCAGACATTGTGAAGAGACAGCAAGTTGTCTGCGCAGGTTCCTCGGTTGGTAGTCCTGCGGAGACAGCCATGATTACTTGGGAGTAATGCGCGGTTGGGTAATGAAATAGAGGTTGCCCGGGATTGGAGTCAAGAGGTAAGGGCCCAGCTACGATAGAACGTCCAACCGACTTGGGCGCTACTCCAGAGACCACAGCTTGTGAGTCCAGCCCTCCAAGTGTACCAGGTGAGGAAGGCGGACCCCGCGAATGCAACGAGAGACGCGAAGGGATAATAGGATATGGCAACGTTATGCACGTACGAGATGGAAAGAACACGTGGAGAACCCAGTCTGAGGGAGTGATAGGCAAAGAGACGGTGGGCGGCAAGGCATGAATCATTGTTAGGTCCGAGATGGTCTGCGGCAGGCTATCCTCGCTAGCAAGTCGCGGTTCTTGATCCAGGTTCTGTGTCCGGCTTGTGTACACTAGCACGGAGGTAACTTAATGAGCAGAGATTACTGAAGTAGACCGTAGCACGTACCGGTCGCGTGACGGTCAGCGAAGGACACACGACGCAAAGGCTACCTCACTCCGACTCCTGCAAACGGTTGGAAAACGGGCATACGACCCATAGCGCTCCCAGTGCGATCCAGCCTTCTCTCCATGCCGTCTTCCAGCTGAACACCTGCACAGCGTGTCCTCTTCGCGCAGTGCGCAGTGACAAGTCACGATGGTTACGTGTTGAGAAACTCGGCGAGCAGCAGTGGCGCACTGGTTTTGACGGCTTTCCACATGGCGAGATAGTGACGGTCTGCGTCGAGCTCACCGGGATCGTGGAGGTTGAGGTAGAAGATGCATTTTGAGGGTGCGCGTAATACCACGTTCGGTGTCGGGACTCGGGCACTTATGTAATCAAGCGCATTCTCGCCAAATTCTCGCGAACTTCTCTTTGCGCTTCCTGATTCACCTGAAGTTCCTCCAACTAAGTACATATGGCTGCACGCCAGGCCTTACAACTCGGAGAAATCCTCCAGCTAATCTTTGATTATTTTTCCCCCGAACAACACCCATCCTCGCACGCAAATCGCGTGAACTATCAACATACGTTGGCAACATGCGCTCGTGTCAACAAGTCGTTCAACGATGTTGCGGTAGACGTCCTCTGGAAGCACATGCACGGTATCACCCCTCTGCTCAGGGTTCTGCCTGCCTTTCAGTGGGCGGAAATCACTGATAGTGACGACGATGCACCGCAGCTTGTGAGTGAGACCTACTGATCTCGACGTTACCTGCGGATATCACTGACGGGATAGGCTAGGGCCTGTTTGGTAGACTTCACCCCAAAGATTTGCGTCGTTTTCGAGAGTACGCTCAGAGGATCACCGACCTCACCATTAGCAACTATGCTCTGCAAGTAGATCCATCCGCGCTATTCTGCCTATTAAGGGCGCTGGGAGGCCAATCACTTCTTCCACGGCTGCGACGACTGCACTGGACCCAGTTCAAAGCAACAAATTGCGACGTTCTCTACTTCGCCTCTCCTTCGCTCCGAACTTTGACCCTTTATTATGAAGGTTCCCAGGACACGCCCGAGGCGTCGGTGTCGATCAATTCAGTCCCATGCGAATTCCTCTTCGAAGCCGTGTGCGAGCAAATGGCTGCTGTTGCGCCATGTCTCGAAACATTGACGATCACATCAATCTGCACACCCTGCTACTTCCCTCCTTTCGCTAGATGTCGTGGCCTGCGCGAAGTCTCCATAAGTGGAGAGCTCTTGACCAGTCAATGCGCAAACTTATCCACACTTTCATCTCTGGACAACCTCGCCAAGCTGGAAGTGCGCGGTGTCGTGCAGCTTCATCGGGACGAAGTCCTTGGCTTCCAAGGCTTCCACGCTCTTCAAGAGCTTTCCATCGAAGGCGAACCTGAGTCCCTTGGTCACATTCTCATGTGTCTCGCATCCTCCGACGCCACTATACGGAAACTGGACATCGAGCTTAATCCAACGCCCACTCCTCAAGAGACCTTCCAATTGATGAATATACTCAAGACGCATTCCAGCGCAGCTCTGGAAGACGTCACGGTGATGCCTCTGCCAATGTGGTCGAACGGTGACGCAACGCAGCTTTTCGAGCCCATCCGACCTCTGCTCGACATCCGTAATCTGCGCACCGTTCGGTGTATGTTTGCCCGGTGGCCATGCGACTTGTCCGACGACGACTTATGCATGATGGCTGATGCCTGGCCGAACCTCGTCTCACTGACGGTGCGATGGCTCCATGCAGAAGACATGGCCAGGCCGCGGGTGCTGCCCTCTCTGGACTGTCTACCGCGGATCGCAAGGTCGTGCTCGCGCCTGCAGAGTCTGACCATGACCTGCGCAGCCATGACATTCACGGCGGGCGTCGAGGTCATGTCACACTGTCTCAGCCACCTACGGATCGAGAAAACCTCGTGGGCCCCCGAGAAAATTCTCGCGATGGACGTCGCGCTCTTCTTCGACCGTCTTTTCCCTTATCTGGACCTGAAAACATTGCGGGAGTCAAGAACGGGGCGAGATTCCGCACAATTATGCAGAGCGTGGGCTCAAGTGTGCGATCATCTGCAGAGCTTCCGGACCGTCAGGGCACAGGAGAGAAAGCGGTTAGAGGGGAGCAGCCTTTGAGCAGGAGGCAAAGTGCCGCAGTGCCGGTGGTTCAGATCGGGCTTCGGGTAGGTCGTTTGTCAATAATCAAAGGTTCCGTTGATACAAGCCTCGTCAGGGAGCTTTCGTTGAGCCGCACGTACTGAGATGGAACATTCGCCATACTTACTGTATCTGGCCGAAAGCATGCGCGGTTGTGATAGACACCTGGTAGACATAACCCTCTCCTACCTTCTGCGTCCTCTAGAATTGCCCTTCTGCCACATGGCTGCGTACAGGGCCTTCCAGATAGGAGATATAGTTGAGGAAACTCTCAATCACTTATGCTCTGAGCCTGAACAATACTCGGAGTCGTGGTACGTACGCTGCGACGCCGGCGATCCACCTTCAAGTTGAACAACGGAAAACACTGGCATCATGCGCTCGCGTTAACAAGTTCGTCCACGACTTCGCCTTGGATGCTCTCTGGAGGAGCATGGACGACCTGCAACCTTTGCTCAAGGTTCTACCGGCCTTCCAGCAGGCAAGGGTATTCGACGACCCCAGTGACTATACTCGAGAATACGTGCGCCCTCCTCTATCCCATTCTACTCTAGCCACATCACTGACAAGGTCCACCATATCCTGCTTAAAGCTGCCTTCTGAGCACTTAGATCGTTTTCAGATGTACGCGCGGAGGATCATCAACCTCCATGTAGAGGCTACTAGCTCTCAGCCAGTCCGAGCATCCGTACTGCTCTCCTTGTTCAGGGCACTGGGCCACCAACCGCTATTGCCGCGACTCCGAACGCTAACCTGGGAGCACTCCCTCTTGACCGATCACGATGTTCTCTACTTCGTCTCGCCCTCACTCCGATCCCTGACCTTCCAGTTCTTGGATAGTGTGGCATCAATCATCGCGACCATCCATGGAGTCTCAGGCAAATTTCGTTACGAGGTGTTGTGCGAGCAGGTCGCTGCCGCCGTGCCATATCTCGAAGAATTGACGGTGCTGTCGGATGACCCCCCTACTACTTCGTTCCCTTCGGCACATGTGGTGGTCTACGGGAAGTCACCATAAGCGGAGATCCAAGTCAGTACATACATGGTCTAGGAGCACTTTCCTCCTTGGACAAGCTGGCCAAGCTGGACTTGATTGACGTCTCTGGGCTTGATCAGGATACTGTCCAGGAAATTCGCGGATTCCGGGCTCTCAAGGTGCTTCGCATTGAAGGCGACCCTCGATCCATCTGTCGCGTCCTTATGGGTTTTGCAACGTCGGATGCCACCCTATGCGAACTGGAGGTCAAGAACGGCATATCGTACTCCTTTGACCGTCAAACCGTCACCGACTTGTTGAGCGTCATCAAGTCCCACTTCAGTGTGTCGCTGCGCGAGCTCACGTTGTCTAGCCTACCCCTGGAGTCAACCCACGGCGGTGCTAGTTCGCCTCTACACCCTATCCCGGTGTTTGCGCTCCGCAACCTACACACCGTTCGCATATCCACACCATCGCGAATCGCTTTATCCAATGAGGACCTCTATACAATCACTTCTGCCTGGGCAAATCTCGTCTCGCTGCACATTCGATGGTCTGCGGGAGACAGTGTGGTCGTGGCGAGACCCACTCTAGACTGTCTACCGCGCATCGCGAGGTCATGCCCAAACCTGCGCGTGCTATACGTCTCGTCCATGGACTTGACGTTTGCGGCGGGCCTCGACACATACCCGATCCTGTCACACCATCTTGACTACCTCGGTATCCAGAGCACGTCAGACCGTCAGAAGATCGACGTGGTGGACGTCGCGCTCTTCCTTGACCGTCTGTTCCCTTTCCTCGACGCAAAGATGCTGCGACATCTTTACGAACAACGGGACCGTGAGGGACAGACGTCGTTGGCTCGAGTGTATCATCAGCTCCAGGGATTCCACGCCGTTAGGATGCAGGACAGAAAACGAATGTTGAGCCGCACTCTATAACGAGAAGCGGCGAAATGCTCAACTAGTATATATTGTAATGCTCTTGAATAGGATGCTCGCTGACATAAATTCTCGTTAGATAGCTGCCATTGTACTATGTGTATGTCGTGACAATATGGTTCAATCGATGTATGACTTACTGTGCCAGTCGAGGGTACGTAACGGTATGCATACGGCTTCAGCTTCCCTGCCAGAATATAGTACAGTGCAATCACGATGATGCGCTAGGAAATGTGTGTATTGCTTACATATACTCATTCCGCAAGTAGCCACGGCGCAGGAGACGTCGTCTAGCGGCAGGTCGTGTTTGAACCCTGAGAGCTCCGTATGTTGATTCCGACATCCCATGCCCTCTATTGTAGTTGAATCCCGCAATGCTGCAAGCTACGTACGCGCACAAAGAACGGCGTACTGTGGCTTCTAGTCTCATGCAGACGTAAGTACATTCGCGCGGGTGAACGGTCCCTGTAAAGGGCATCTGCATAGATACGCCGGTTCGACTCACCGACCCGTTGTATGACCAGCTGAACGTTGAACGTTGAGCCCTGACAGGACGGTGTTTGAACAAATGATGAATGCTTGCATCACATCAGTTTGGCCGCACGTCGAATGGCCGCACCTGCGAACATGCAAGAGGCAATGCATGGTCTCTATGAACTAGATGAGATTTGGTGAGAGCGTGCCAGAACTTGACCAGAATGAATGCAAGGATGAGTTTGTGCAGACAAACATAGGCGCTCAGTGGATGTGAGCGTCGACAATATTATTGACATCCGCTCAGAGTCACAGCGACAGTGAACACGTACACACACCCCATACTTCGATGATGCCGAGTCGTAGACGTCGTGCGACGTAGCATGATCCTAATGGTGATATCCTATAAAGTAGTCAGCCGCACGCACTCAATGAGCATATGTTGCGAAGATTACCGACCACCCGCACTGTGACTACCGCACTTCCTCAGTCTCCAGCCCCTTGGCGACGTCCTCCAGCCTGCTCCGCACTTCCTCTAGTCTGCCACCCTGCTTGTCCGCCTCACCACGATGGAGCAACCGGATAGCCGCTCTCGTCTCCTTCACGAACTCGTACGATCGCTCGACAGACTCGTTGACGTCCTTGGACTGTCCACCAGCAAGAGAGGATGTATCCGAAGGTACTGTCTTCGAGGGCGACGGAAGAGCAGAGGAGAGGTTGCAGTCTGATGCGCGCAGGAGCGCAAGGTCGCGAAGCGTGTCGCCGAGAGGCAGAGGGTTGCCTTTCTTCTTTGCCGGCATGGTGCTCCTGAGCCTAGCAGAGTATGACGCGCTCGTGATGGATAATCGCGTAAAGCAGACGTCGTGGTGTTCAGACCTGGGCCAACACCAACATCGACGTCGAAGACACGGTGGATGTGGGCAAGATGTGGGCGGTCGTACTGTACACTAGGCGCCCGACTGAAGCACGGCAAGTCAAGTCGCCTTCACGCCGATAGACCCTTCAGTACTTCAGTGACGAAGACGTACTTTGCCTTGTGGACCCTTCACTCATGGGCAACGTGTACATTTATGTATATGTATAACACAGGATCACAACAACATTCTTGAACGTAGTCCAAAGACTCCGACATATGACATAGAGAAAAGAATCAACGGAGTCTTGAGTACATAAGGCCTAAGTTCCTGGAGTCTATTGTCCCCCGTCGCAAGGCCCGTGGCTGGGAGAACGGTGAAGGATGACTAGTGCATGAAGACGTTAACATCCTGAAGCCGTTTGTAGAGTGCGACTCACCATAAAGAAATACAGCGTAGCGGTTACATGGTTACCTATGAAATCGCAAGAGTCGGCATGTAGACTTCAAGGCATGCTAATGAAGTAACACTCACGATGAGCCGATATCTTCTATGGTATAAAAATCCGAAATCCAAAACACAACAACGAATCCAAAACACATAAAGAAAAACAGTGAGTCAAAGATCGGCACCGACTTTGACAAGGTTGAACTTGAATGTACCGGGTAGTACGCGCGCCGCACGCTCCTGCACGAGCCCCCACTGGACCCACCAGTCGTCCGCCTCTTCCTCCGGATCAAATATGAAGATATCCCGGATGGCCTACCGCCCCGCGTCAGCGTCACGCACCCAGATCTGGCGAAAACATCCCAGACGAACCTCCTCGGTATACCACGCCGCCTCTTCGTTACCCATCGACTCCACGACGTTCTTGAGCGTCTTCGCCTGGAGGATCCCGGGCGGCATCGACATCGACGCGGGGTTCGTGCTCTGCGCCTTCTTGACCGACTGCACGCGCCGTTGCCGGTTCTCCGCGAACGCGGCGAGGAAGCTCGGGATCTGCTCGCGGCGGTGCAGGTAGCTGAACAGCCGCCCGAGCATCATCCCGTCGCCCGCGGCGATGCTGACCGCGTACAGCGAGCCAGTCTGGTAGATGAAAGGCATCTGAGTGCGCGGAGAGGGGAGGGGAGGGGAAGGGAAGCTTACGGTGAGTGGGTGCGCGGCCTCACCGATGACGACGAACTGGCCGCATTCGTGCACCCAGTCTTCGATCTCCGGCTTGTCGGTGACGGGCATGGCCATGACTCTCGTGGCCATCTCGACCAACTTGATAAGCCTGCTCAAAGCGCCGTCAGAGGCATGCGGTCCCAAAGAAAAGCGGCACTGACCGGGGTTCACAGCTCTCCGACCTCATCACTGCAAGGAGCTCTTCGTTGCCTGACATGTAGACTGGTTGATTGACTAGGAGGTTCTCACTCCCACTGTCGGGCGCATAGATGTGTAGGTGGAATTCGTTCCGCTTCTAGGGCCTCATGTGTTAATCGCCGTAGGCAACAGTGCTTCAGACTACGTACGATGGGGAAACCGATAACACCGCATCCGTGTCCTGCCCATGACCATGCGGTGCCGAGTCCCTGAACCATCGGCAGTTAGACTAGAGCGGTTGTAGATAGGAAAACTCACAACTTCGGGGAGAAATCCGGCCAGATCTGCTTCCAACTTGATTTTGTCCATCGGGACGACAGCGCTTCGCACAAGCGTCAGTTGTGCGGACAGCTCTCCTTCGAGTGGGTCGCTCACTTGTACAGAACCATCCCCGTTGAGCGCGTTTCGTCTTCCTCAGGCTCGAGCATGAGTGACCGCGAAACGCTGTGCGTGCCATCCGCGCCGACAATAACGTCGGCTGTGACCTGCTCCCCGCTTTCGAGAGTGACTGAAGGCCTCTCCCCGCTCAGATCAACCGTGACGACCTTCGCATCGCCTCGCAAATTCGCCCCGGACGTGACGGCGGTCTCGTAGAGCACCCGGCGGAAATCTGCGTACTGCTCGAGAACCGTCAGAACAGCGATAGACAATGTTGACTGCCAATGACGCACGTGCATCCCGAGGAAAACTCCGCCGCTTTCCGTCTTGAAGTCGTGTACCCATTCGCCCCGTGCAACGACCTCTCCGGTTTCACCTGATGGACCGTATTCGGGTCATGAACAGATCGACACGGGGTTACCAAAATAATCCTTACATTGCATGAAGCACACATATTGCTGCATGTAAGAAATATCGCGGAGTTGCGTCTCGAGGCCCCATCGGAAGTAGAGCCTAGACATATTGGGTGCGAGCCTGCACCCGCCCGCCAGGTTCGTCTGGTACCATCAGTAGCCAGATCAGTCGTGGTCCCTGCAGAATTAGATGCATCACGCTCACTTCCTGGAAATCATTTCCCTCTTCCAGCAATGTGACCCTGTGTCCTGTCCGCGCGAGAGCAATTGCAGCGGTGAGACCTGATATGCCTCCGCCGATGATCAGAAAATCGACCACAAGGAGGTCTGCATCCTGGGGAAGAGACCGAAATGAGCCGTTTGGATCGCTCCTCCCAATCGATAGCGCGTCTAAATCACCTGCATGTTGAGTACCGTGCTCGCCATCTCGCCAGGGTGAATACGCAGGACGGTCGCCGGTGAAGCTTCGAGTTGGCAGTGGCCCTCACGGTCTATAGACGGTCATACGCGAGAATGTGGAGAATGCATAGGGGCATAGATGAGGGGGGTTTCTGCCCCGGCTTTTTCTGCAACCGCCACGGCCGACGAACAGAGCATGTTCCGCCATTGCTTGACAGATTGGCATCTTACAGGGGCTCAACGGTTCTGGAGCAAGGTACGACGTCGATATCATCGGATCGGGCACCTAACGGGTGTTATAGTACATCGCTGTGATAGGCTACATAGGAGTGAGCACGAAGTAACAAAGTTCTGGAATATGGAAGCACAAACCCGCGAGGGTCGGGTCCGGGTGGGATGCACTGCAGCCGAGCCGCTGGGTAAAAGTCGAATGTGCCAGTGAGGACGTTGCTTGCGAGAACATACTGTACTCGAATACATATTGTCAGCTTCAAGCATCACTTCTCGGAAATTCCTTACCCGCCGGTGCTTGAAGGCAGCGCGAAGGTGTTCAAGAAATTCGAAGACGTAGATGTTCTCCGAGTCACGCGCCTAACTGTGAAGCGATATGGCTCGGTTTGATTCGGCCCTCTCAATTTATCAACCCATAGGTCCGACTTGAGTCTGACCACTCTTTCCAGCCAAATAAGAAACCTGCCAAAAACGATAGACGTTTCGCCTTTGGCCAAGATGATGTTCCCGGAGGGGGAGGAGAACCGGGAGGGCCGCGCCACAGAAGCCACCGGGGATCCCTCGGGCGTCTGTGGCAGGTGGCTGCTGTGGCGCGGCAGGTGGGAGGAGGAGGAGGAGGGTATTCCATTTAGTCCATTGCGGCCGGAGGCCCGGTGAGTTCGGAAGCTCTCGTTCGCGAGATTCCACTGCCCTTCTCCTACCCCCTGGCAAGTACCGGACAGATAAGTACATGGGTATGTCCACTCAAGCTAGGACTGAAGTTACTCAGGGAATGGTGAACGGATTGAGGAACTTGAAGCCACCCGAGTTACTTCGATGCAGTGTTCAAATTACATTCACTAGCGCCCCCAGAAGCCAACGACCTCGAGGCTCGCTTACAGCCAGCGCCACTGGCAGTCGGACTCATCGTCCTCATCGTCCGTGACACCGGCACCTGCTATGACTTCAGTTTAGCGAAGACGGCGTTGAACATCATCATAGGTGCGCCGTACAGCTGTCCAAAACATGATCACAAACAATCAGGTGCGGTCCGTGCCTGTGTAAGGAGGTGTAAGGACGGTAACTTGAACTTACCTTCGCGCCCATCACGAGATACCGATCCTAGCAGCAGTAGTGCTTCTCGATCTCAGAATGATGATGAGCATGCCGACGCGGAGCTCCAGCACCGTTCGGTCACCCTGGTACCAAGAAGTCACCGTTACAAAGGTTATCCCCAGGTGAGTCGTCTTATCGGAGCACGCGTCGTCATGCGCAGGCGTACTTAGAAGCAGTGCATCTCAAGTGCATCTCGCATATGCATTCCCTCTGGCCCGGCTGTAGCTCGCCGTCTCGGTGAGCTTCGTCCTGGTCATGGATTCAAAGTGTAGCGCGAGTTACCGATTGGCAGACTTCACGCCGGATGTGACTTCACAGTATACTCCAGACTCGAACACGCACGGCCTTCCATACTCCTTCCATCCGATGCAGACGACCTTATGCTGACGACAACATTCCCATCAGACGTGTCGAGATGTTACCGACAAAGACACTCATCTCAATTGCATCTCACGGCAGTAAGAGTGCCAGGCTTTCTGTGGGTCATAGTAGCCTCGTATACAGGTACGCCGAGAATCATGTACACGTACACACACCGGGCGACCGTGGCGGCGTCCCATTGTGACCGTGTCTGTGCATGAAGCTTAACACAACTCGAGTCGCCATCGAAGTGCAACTGGCTTTTGAGTTTTAGGGTTCTAGTTGCGTAGATTCCGGACGAATCAGGAAGGACAGGCCCAGGAGGAGGAGGACCCGAGGAGGTCGTCCTGCTGACGCAGCGCTCGTGACAGCCGAGAACTCGTTGTGCCAATCAGCCGGGCGAGGCGAGGTTACACCTCCGTTTAGTGCGGAATAAGGCAGCTACGGAGGCGCGCTGTAGCAACGTGCCTTTGCTTCTAGGGACAGGCCGTGTCGTATGGGCTAGAGGCGGGTTGGACGTACCACCGGTGCAGCCCTCTACCTGTTGTGGTCGTGCGACCATTTGAGAATGAACTGGGCCTTGCAGACTGCATGGCATGCAGGAACAGGGGTAATTCGTCACGCGGCTTCTCGGGCTTCTCAGCCGTCCCCCGAGATTGCGATCCTACCGATAGTTCTTCCCGCACCTGTCACCACAACAGCCGGGCACCAAAACGCGGAACTCTGCCTCCGCGTGGTCACGGTGGCACGGGAATGCATCGTTGCTCCTCCCTCCCTCCCTCCCGGCATAACCTCAGCACGTCTGACAATGTGCTTGCCTTCCAGAGGGCGACAGGCACTGCAATTAATCACGCCGCAATACATGGTATTGATTATTTAGTGCCCAGGGCGAGCAGATCCAGCAGAATGATCTGTCGTTCCACGGCACCTGTAGCGTTCTCGGCCAATCAGCTCTGTCGAAGGCTGCCGTCTTGCTCGGCGGCCCGCCAGCATGTCCCCAGACCTGTCCCCGTGGAACACGCGCGCTGGTTCGTATCCGCCTCGGACCCATTTGCAGGTGCAAATAAAGCCTAGATCGGATCCGCCATTGGCGATCGCGGGGCGCAGCCCTCCTATAATAATACGATGCTCGTCTCGTGGACCGCAGCCCTTCTCGGCTCGCAGGCCTTCCAGTACCCCCACAGTGTATCTCTATTCCTAGAATTGACCGTACGACGACGCCATGGTACGCACCCTTCGCTCTGGCTCGTGAGACGCGAACTTATGCGGCTGCGCGGATGAGCAGACGACCCAGAGGAGGAACACCGCAGACTTTTCCCAATCCAAGTTGTGATCATCGGCGGCGGCATCGCAGGCCTGACCGCGGCGATCGCGTTCAGCCGTGTCGGGCATAGAGTGGTGGTGCTAGAACAAGATGCAGACCTGAACGTGGCAAGTCTCACCGTTCCCTATTGACGACCCTAACCAAGCGACGTCCGACAGACACGATATGCGGGGGATGCAGATTGGCACCCAACATGGCGTCGGTGTTCAAGCGCTGGGGCTTGGAGCCCCGCTTGAGGCAGATAGGTGTGCTCATGGACCACGCCGAATTTCCCGGATGTGAGTATGCTCTAGCACGCTTTTGGACCACACTCACGTTTCGTGCAGTTCAAAGTGGTCAAGCTGCGGCCGGAGGTGACTGGGCGGACGACATGACGGTGGAGGCAGGAGCAAAGCACTTCGGCATGCGGGTAAGTCCGTTCGCAAATGGCCGCAGTCAGTTCCGTGATGTACCACCTGCCAGTACGAAGATTTCCGCAGGCTACTTGCCGACACTGCCAGAGCATCTGGGGTGATCATCCGACCCAACTCTCGGGCGGTCTCTACATCCGTCAAACCAGACAGCGCAACGGTGAAGCTTGTTTCTGGAGAGCTGGTGGCGGGGGACCTGGTCGTAGCCGCAGACGGCTTGAACGAAGTGGAGGGAAAGCTTCCCATCTCTCGACCGATGATGTTGGGTGATCGGGAGTATTCAACATACAAAAAGCTGATGCTATACAAGTAAGTCCACTTCTCCCGAACTGTCGACGCACGTTGCTTAGCCTTTCCCCAGCGCTCTTATCCCTGCGTCAGCAATGCGTGAAGACCCATCTTAGCGCAGATGCTGCCCAAAGGTGTAGGTGTCTTGGGCATGGTTTCACTGCACTTCGGCAGCGTTCTCATATACTTGTCCAAGATCGATCATGGCGCCGTGTACTCTTGGTATGGCGACTCGTACGGTGCCATCGGGTTCCCAACGGTCAGTCTCGCCGCGCCGAACATCCGCAGTGTAGCTCACGCCAGCACGCCTCAGAGGCTGGACGAATTCTGTCTGCACATATACATCCCTACGCCCCACCCCTCCGAGGACAAGATCACCGTAACAGGGCCGGAGGAGCTCGTCAAAGTCGTGACAGCTGGCAAGGCCGAGCCTCGGTGCGTCGCGTCTGTCTGTCTGTCTCTCGCGGCGTGGTGTCCATAACGCGCGCATACACGCAGACTGCAGAAGCTCGCCGCAGCCGCGCACACCGTGGTCGGTATCCCGCTGAAGGACCGCCCGTCCCTCGAGGACTGGGCGCACCCGGACGGCCCGATGATCGTCATCGGCGAAGCCGCGCACCCGCTCACGGTAAAGCCCCCCTCGCCCCCTCCCCGCGCCCAGCACTGATACTACACACCGCACAGAGCGGCTCGCTGTCCGCGCTGAACCTCGCCGTGGGCGACGGCGTGTTCCTCGGCCGGCTGTTCAAGAACCTCCACCGGAAGCAGCAGATCGGCGCCTTCCTGGGTGCCCTGGTCGAGAACCGCCAGAAGCGCATCGCCGACGTCCAAAAGTCGGAGCGCCTCAACCCGACTATCATGTCGCTGCCTGCGGGCGTGGAGCAGGCGCGGTACCTGAAGACGACCGTGCAGCACATGAGTGACGAGGGTGCAGTTACCTTCGGGGAGGAGGTATGCGTTGCGAGTGTGCCCGCTACGTACCCGCTGCTGACCACGGTACAGGCGATCAGGAACACCTTCGCGTACGACCCCGAGGACGAGGCCGACAGCTGGTGGGAGGAATGGGGCCTGCTGCAAGAACGCGCCGCGAAAATCACGCCGATCACACCGCTGAACCTCAACTCCGAGTTGCACGCGCGCATCCAAAGCATCTCCTGAAGCCTCGGCTCGTCAACGACCATCACGTCCGCTCCGTTCGTCCACGTCATGACTTACGACTTCCGTTCATGTGTTTCATTTTGGTCACTCGATGGGACTCTGCAGTATTCTGTATACCCTGTAGCATCCCTCGCCCGGTCACCGCCTGTCGGATGGACATTCGGATGATGTGTATGCTTTCATCACGGCCCTATAGCAAACATGCAGTGTATCCAGTACTGGTCAATATTAGTCTCCCTTAGGTAGACTCTAAACGCGACCTTTTGAGTGGGGGCGGCGTTGCATTACAGGTTCAGGCTGACAGGAGCAGCAACAGTGGGGCGTGGGTTGTACCTTGCCGGAAGAATCCGACCACTCTGTCTGATCCAAGTCTGATCAACTCTCCATTCGACGACGCGTTCAGGCCCCGAAACCGATGAGTCCAGACCAAGTCCAGACCTTGCGCGCTCAGGAAACGCTTCTTTCTGATGCTTCTCATGGATCGCATCCAGATTGCGACTATACGAGACGCCGAAGTCGCATGCGGTTTCCGCACAGAAATCGCTGGAGCGCTATCTGCACCCTGGAAATGCACGTTCCAAAGGGCCAAGATTGGGCCAAGACACTTTCGGTCTGAGGCATCGCAGGCGCCTTAGCCGAGTCTGGCTGGCCAGCTTACCGCCCGGTGCGAGAGTAATCGAACCGATGTGAAGTGAATGCAGAAACGTGATGTATTGATACAGCATGCAAATTGACCTTGGTCCAGCTACTGTGAGCAATATGTCAGATCGTGGTCAACACACAGCAAGATTGACGCACAGCAGTGAGTGATAAGTTATGCGGGGCAGCCATTCGTCCCCAATGTTCCCCATACAAACCGGATGCAAACCCTATCTTGGGGTGTTCATGCCAACCATCCGCTCAACGACGGCCTGCGATGTCGGTGGTGAGCGCCGCGCGATCGTCGACAGGCCAACGACGATGAACCATAGTGCTACCCACCTGGGCCTGGTCCCAATCCATGTTCTCCTCCTCGTCCTCTTCCACCTTGTTCTCCTCGCCGGTGACGCCCAGTCCCCATCCACCATCAACGCGCTCAGGATCCGGACTCCTAACCACACCCAACACGTTCACAGTCAGCTCCCGCCCGGATAACGACTGATTTCCGCTCAATTGCCACCGTACCTCAGCGAATCCAAGAACTCCTTATCCCGCTCCCGCAAGTGCGTCAGATGCGCGAAGCGCGCCGCCATCCTCGGCGTCTCGTCCCCGCCCCCGTCCTCCTCGCCCTCCTCGCCCTCTGCATTCGCGTGCACACCGCTCGGCCGCCGGATACCGGTCCGCCTACGGTCATACTTCTGCGCGATCCACCCCCGGCGATCGCGCGGTCGTGCTGTTGAGAGGTAGGTAGCACTGCCGCGCTGCATGCTGCGCTCGAGCTGGGTGAGAGGGGCCCGAATGGCTCGGAGTAGGTGTTGCACGGCGGCTTCTCCCGCGGTGGGCTGTGGTGGTGCGGATGTCAGGGAGAAGGATAACGGCCGGGGTCGCTGCGATACGAGGACAAGGAGCCTTGATCGCATGTTCAGTTGTCGTAGGTACGTACGCGAGGGAAGGTAGAAACGCACATCTGCTGTAGCCGGGGCTGCGATGACAGCGGGCTCTCTGGCACGACGTCCTCCTTGGAGGCAGTCAGGCGGGAGTACATTCGATGGTAAATGGGTAGGATGACTGCGTCTCGGAACGATTGCAGAGCGACAGTCCGGACGTCGATCTGCGGCGCGGACTGGAGCATGATGGAGGACATCGACCCTTTCCCGTTCCCGCCTGTAGGCGTCGTATTTGGCTTGTGACCTTTTGGCACACGATACAGAGAGGACAGAAGCGGATCGGTTTGTAGAGGTAGTAGGGCCTGTGGTGCTGAACGGTGAATGGTAGTATGCTAGTATCGACAAGCGACGCACCCCTTCGACATAAGGAAGCACCTGGTCCCAGAAGAAACCCCAAAGCTCTACGATCCGTACTATAAGCTTCTCGTCGTCGATGTCGCTGATCTTCGCGTTCAGCGTGACCATTCCTGACGCGATGAGCTCCGAGGTGTCATGTTCCAGAATGGCAAATGCCTTCGCCGGGGACTGGGAAACGATCGTTTGAAGATGGCGCTTGACGAGTTGGTTCAGATCCTCGCTGTTTGCTGTTATAGCATGCGTGAATGTACGAAGACGTGCAAGACTCACATTGGCACACGGAGTGGCTCGCCGTTGAACAACGGAAGAACGAGGACATGGAGAGCTTGCCACGGCTCGTTCGAAGAAGTGGATGAGATATTGGGTAGACTTGAGTTGACTAGGGTGTGGGAGCTGGCGATCTGAGACGCCGCAGAAAGGGAGGGTGCGAGGGTAGGGAGATGTGAATGCGCAAGATTGCCTAGGCGATGCATCTCGCGCGAGACGAGCTTGGAGTCATACGTACGAGCAGAGGCCTAAGGGAAGAGCAACGGTGTGAGCCATGTGCGGCGAAGCATGGAAATGAACTTTGTATGCTTCGAGGTGATAGGATCACGGGGGCGGCTGCGACGACCTGCATTGCTCTCACCATCGCGCAGTGCATGAACAGCTGTCAATCAAGCAACAACCCTGACTATATGCGCGCCAGTGGGTGGTCCAAAACTTATGGCATTCTGGTGCTGATGCAGTGATATGTGGATCCAGCTGCGTGCATGGTACCGAGTGAGCTCAACTCCAATATAGCAGCGTCGATCCTCTCCGTCCACGGCCTAAGGAGACCATGCCCTCTGACTGCCTTCTCATCGGGAAACGATGCTGCCCCGCATCCTGTCACAAACTGTGATGTATGAATATAAGCGCACCTTGGTGGGCGATGTATGGCCTTTCTGGTGTGTGGACGGGGTCGCCATGGCCGGCACGGGGGAGGCGGTCAGTTCGCGAGGGGTGCCGGATGCAGAGTCGCCTCTGGAGTGGGTGCGGGCTGAGAGAGGACTAGAGGCACTTCGTTGTCCGACAGACGAGCCGACGGATGCAGAAGACAAAAGCATGTCGGACAAAAAGGCGAGTCTCTTGGACGGCTGGGGATCAGCGCCGGCATGGCCAGCGCTCGTGTCCGGATGGCCAGCGGCGCTCATCGCGTTGAGGGGGAAGCCTGTCGCGCGCGGTGTCTCGTCGCCCTGGCTCGACGACCGTCGTCGTTCGGGCGTGCGCGCGAAAACGCCGCCCTCCTGGGAGCATCTTCGGTGATGATGGGGCCCGCCGACCATCGCTATGTCCTAGTTTGGAGGATTCGCCCCACGGTCACAAGGTGGACGACCAACGCAGAATGCGTGTATGTTACACGACGGTCTCCGAGAACGAGCAGCACAGCGACGGAGCAGACAGGCGCGACCTCGGGCTCGTTCCAAGTTCGTTCCTGTAAAGCTGGTTCAATGATCACCATTGCCAGTAAATGACAATTATTTATTGTACATACCGGATCAGCAACCTGAAACGGGCAGGTAACAAAATATTATTGTTAGAGAAACAAATGGTGGCTGAGGGATCCTCTCCGTCTGTTTCCCTTGGTCTTTAGTCTCTGCGGCGAATGTACGGGCTTCGAGGGTCTGCGGCGGCCAAGACAGTCAAGAATGTCATAAAACCCACACCAAGCCCTCAAAGACTGCGTAACCCTCACTCAAAGGTGCTCACAGTCCTAGGAGTGGAGACTTCGGCGGACGACAGCTGTGCGGCAGTCGTCACTTCGGACCGTCGAATACTTTCAAATGTAGTCATTCGGCAGGACGAATAGTGAGCTATCTTGTCTCGCATGCATGAGTTTCTACTACTGAGTAGCTCCGTGCAGCCATGAGCCCAACGGAGGCATACAGCCGTTGGTGGCAATAGAGGCACACCAGCGGAACCTGGTGAGTTGCCTCCGGTACTCCATGTACACGCTCGAAACGACCTGAAGTCTAGCCCGGTGCAGTGCAGCAAGCTCTGGACGAGGCAGGCATGTCCCTCCAGGACGTGGACGGCATCGCCTACACCCGTGGGCCCGGCATTGGCGGCTGTCTCAGCGTAGGATCCAATGCAATGCGGACGCTGGCAGCAGCCATGAAGAAGCCACTGGTCGCTGTGCACCATATGGTACGTCCCCATCATCTCGCCTCTAGACTCTGACGCAAACCTGGCTCGCTAGCAAGCCCACGCTCTGACACCGTTCCTGACCGAGCCCATCGACTCGCTCCCGACCTATCCGTTCCTCAGCTTGCTCATCTCCGGCGGACACACGCTCCTGCTGCTTGCGAACTCGCCGCGGGACTTCAAAATACTCGCGACCGCAACGGACGAAGCCATTGGGCGCACAATCGACAAGGTCGCCCGAGCACTCCAAATACCGTGGGCGAGCGGGGTTCGGCCCGTCGCTCGAAGAGTACTTACGGGCAGGACCGCCCGAAGGATACAAGCCCGAGGAAGGCTACGAACTCCCGCTCTACGTCACGCCCATGCCCGGGCGCCTGCAGTTCGCGTTCGCGGCCTTCACTCCGTCACGGAAGTGTACATGCGTGAGCGCGACGGGTCCATAGACGAGTGCACCAGGTACGCGGTCGCGAGCGCGTTCCAGCGGGCGGTCTTGCGCCACCTGGAGGACAAGCTCGATCTAGCTCTGCGACACTGCAGCCGGGAGCGCATACCTATCAGACATCTCGTCGTCAGCGGCGGCGTCGCCAGCAACATCTACCTCGGGAAAGGTGGATCTATCATCCGTATACCTATGAGTCCCATTGCTGACGCACCACCAAGATTGTTTGAATATCTGGAGGAGCAGACGCATTTCGGTCATCCCATCGATCTGGTATTCCCTCCGGTCTCTCTGTGCACTGGTGAGCCCTCTCCTTACCGCCATCAAGATCCTCCCGCTGAACGCCCTCACAGACAATGCCGCCATGATCGCCTGGGCGTCGATGGACCGTTTCCTCTCCGGGAATACAGATCCGTACACGATTGACTTGAAAGCAAAATGGAGTATAGAGGACCTTGACGCTCCACCGTTCAATACTATGTTCCCACCCGGAACCAGGCTTCATGACGTATATTACATTGGATCTAACGTAGGCGTATAATGCATTCCCTACTCATGCTTCTGAGAACGCGACGACGGCACGCATGCTCGCTGGCATCAACGTCTGTATCCGACATACCACAGCCAATGCATCCCCGGAGCTACATGCCTGACTGCTAAAGTACACAAGAGAATGTTGGGTGAGTTATGGTCTTTTGCCCCTGGAATACAACTAATCTCGGATGTATTGCACTATTCACAGTAGTAGATCGTATTATAATACAATATGATGCAAGGTCCCAACGCTACGCAATCGCATTCCAAGAAAACTCAAGAACCAGTAGACATCAAGAAAAGCGCGACTTAGACGGTCAAATCAATGATCACTTCAGCGTCCCGCAAGTAGCCGGTGTCGCTGAGCCTGCTAGGCTGAGACGACGAAGGGTCGCTAGCACGAGCATAACGCGGCCGCCGCTTCGGTGCAGGCAGCGATGGTCGTTCGTCGTCCGAGCTCTCTATCTCGATCACGTCGTCGGCGTGGAGCGAGCGGGCTCGCTTGCGTCCCGGAGTCGGGGCGGGCGGCGAAGGAGACGGGAAGAACAGCGGGAGAGGCCGTTCATCGCGGGGTTGTGCAGCTCGCGAGGACCCAGACGCTTGTGCTTGTGCTCTCGCACCAAGGGGAGAGGGCAGGCGCATGGGTTCAGGTGCACGGACGGGGGCGGAGGCGTGGATGGACGAGCTGCCCTGGGCCTGGGCCTCGGAGGGAGGCGCTCCTACTCCTGTTCACCGAGGCGTGGGCGACAGCCAGATGCGTAGTCTTCCGCCGAGAGCTAGCATTCCTGGCCGGACGGCCTCTTGTGCCAGAGCCTCGCGGCCTTCCCGGTCTGCCCCTCGCAGGTGCCTTTCCCTTACTGCGTGGCAGGAGGAGGGCGTCCATCCATGCATTTGCATCGTTGTCCTCGTCCATGTCGGGATCGGGATCGCCGCCTTGCATGCCGTCGACAAAAGCCGCTGAGACTGCGTCCAACGAGGACCGAGCGGCACTTGCAGCTGGTGCCGAGGCTCGAGGGCGCCGTGGAGGTGGTCCTTTGCCTTTGCCTTTGCCTCTCGTACTCGAGGAAGCCGTAGGAGGTCTGGCGACGGACTTGTCCTTCCGGGTTGGGAACGTGCACCGTTGATCATCGCGCTCTGCCAAGACCGCACCCCGTCGTCGTGCACGTCGCTGTTGTAGTCGTCTTCTTCGCTCGACTCCACGGAACCCGTCCGAGGACGCCTCTGAGGTGACTCCCTGCGTGACCTAGTGGTCCCGGGCCTCGCAGAAGATGTACTCGGTTGTGACAGAATGGCTGGCTGCGACGCATGTTGAGCCATCAGGGGAGGTTCTTCATCGGCGTCCAGATCGACAAGGACGCCCACATTCTCATCGTCATCCATGATAAGCATGTCAGGGCTGTCGGGATCGGGAAACGTGAATATGAAGCCACAATTCCGCATGGGCAAAGATGACTCCGCGCGGATGTCGATCTCTATCCCCGCTGAGCGTCCCCCTCGAGCCGAGGTGGATGGCAGGTCTCTGTTTTGCTGGATGACACGATCACCGGGTGCAGGCACCGCCGTCTCCTTCGCTCGTTTGCTGGGCGAAGCTGCGGGGGAGCGATCTCCTCTGCCTCGCTGCCTTCGTCCGGCTCGATATCCTCCTGTCTCTTGCGCTTGCTACCTGTCTTCTTGGTCTGCTTCGTCGCCGCGGCGGTCTTGAACTCTTCCACGAGCCTCGGGTGGACCTGGCGCATGATAGATGCTGGCACCCATATCCGTTTGATGCTACATGGCTCTGGCGGTGGGTTCTTCGGGCCCGACTTTTTCGACTGGGAACCGCCTTGGGAGCTGTCGAAGAATTCTAGAAGATCTGGGAAGTCTTCGTCATCGGCGTCGTCGTTGCCCTCTTGTGGTTCCCGGTGCTTCCCCTTGATACCTGACTGCGCAAGCCTGACCAGTTGTGTGGGGTCGACTTCGACGCGGTATTCGAAGATATTGTCTGTAGAGACATGTCGACGGGCGCCCACTATCTTTTTGATGAGAGGATTGTCGTCTAGCAGTGGTTCGGGCGCGGCAGGTGCTGGTTCGTCCCGCCTGACGAATGCCGCAGCTCGCCTATCTATTTCGGTCGGGCTCAGATATTTCTTGATCAAGTACGCCGTCGTTCCCACTTCTTCTGCAATTGAAGGCTCTAGTGGTCCACGTATGGCCGTGTCCATCCGCCCGGCAGCAATACGCTTGTTTTCCTCCTTCTCGTCCGCCTCAAGTGCAGCGCGCCGAAGGACACGCATGACAGCTGCATCCCACAAGATGGCGCGGAAGCGTTTGAGAATGGCCGAGCGATGTCCCCATTCGTCGAAATGATCTTCGCAGAACGTAGCGATCCTTGGTATGCTCAGGTCGCCGTTGTCCCGTAAATTCCCGCCGCCTTGCCTTCCGGCGCTTACGCTGCAGACCGGATTCACATAGCATCGCAGGACTTCCATGTCCGGGAACGTCGGTGGAATGGTGAGTGCGGGCATCTTGTGGCGTAGTAGGTTATGGGCATTGGTGTGCAACTCTGTGTTCATGTCTGCACGCCAACGTGAGAGGAAGGCTTCCATGTTGCGACCTTGACACCGCTCGTACTCCGCGATAAGTTGGTCACCGAAGCCCAGCCTTGCTAGACAGTGGGCTACTTGAGGGCCGAAGTTCTTGAGTCCCTGGATCCATCAATCAGTTCTGGACACGCGAACAAGCAAGCCACTCAGCTAACGTTGTCGTAGTCACCACCAGACACAAGGGCAAAGAGGACGAGACCACCTCTTGTCATTTGTATCTCCGGGTGCATGCGAATTGACTCCGCAGAAAACGTCATAACGTGGTATTTGCTGGTCTTTCCATTCAGGTCAGTGGCAGGATTGGCCCGGTTGCCCGTAAGATTGAGGCTCGCACTGTATGTAGTATGGTTAGGGAGACCCATCCTATGAAGTGGAGGACGTGGATGGGACGGACTTGCGAATAATGATCTTAGCACCGAATATGAAGGTATCCGCGTCGTCTGTCAACACTGCATCTATTACGCCGACCCGGTTCAGGTAAGCGAGCTCCGCCTCCGCCTCTCCTAATGCCTTGTATACACTTCAATGCTGCAGCCCCATCGCAATATGGTGCGCTCACCATTCGCCACTCCATTCCGAACCCCTCCAAAAGTTTCTTGAATCCATTCGTTAGGGCATGAGAGCCGCTCTTGCCCTTCTTGCTTCCACGTTTGATCTGCGGTCTTTCACGGCCGTCAAATACAAAGAGAGGGATGAACGGCACTTGGCATAGCTTGAGCAGTCGAAAGAACAGCAGCCGGAGCTCGGGATTTGCACCCTTCTTGGGAGTATGCATCGCGTGTTGGTACCAAATGCTAGCATCAATGCCAACTCGGTAGGCCCTGCGTCCGGAAATGTTCGTTTCAAAGCCGTCTACGACTGCGAGGTGCGCCAGCGAACGCGACTGTCCAGCCGTGCTGAGGACCTAATAGCAACATGAGCGGCTATGGGTCAGAACTGTGGGATGTAGCACTGATATACAGAGATGCTTACATCCCATAGTCCTTGCACTCCCATTGCATGTTAGACGACGGAAGAGAAGAGAGCAGAGCTCACTGAGTGGCAATCGCGTCTCAATAGAGTTCCAAGGGCCAAACCCCTTGAGCGCCACACGGACTTGGAGATGGCACTCGCCGTCACAGTCATGTGCAGTGTGACGCGTCGCGACTAAAGTGGCACATTCAAGTTCAAGTTGCGGCCAGTCTCACTGGACTTCGAAGTCTTGACCCCATCTACTAACTTCCTTAGTACTAGTAATACGTAGTATCACACAAAAATTGCTCTAGCATGAATTACGCATTGTTCCATAAGTTGTCCGTCATCCCAGCCGGTTGAGTGAATGAGAAATGATACACATTGTGCATCAGTCTATATGCCATCTTCCGGCTGCTCTTCGTCTTCATCTATGATCGCCTTCACTCCCCTCTCGAAAGAAACGATACGGTCCCTCCCGGTACTTCATCCACGGTCGGATCGGGTCCACTCTCTGCCAGCACCTTCTCAAGGTCAACAGCATCGAACAGCCTTTCCAGCCGCGATTGACTTGCCGCGGAAGTCGGTTTCGATTGCGAGGGCTTTGTATATAGCATCTGCGACAGGATGTCGTCTTGAATGAGCTCGCGCGCATTCGTTTGAGACAGTTGATGTGGGTCCATTCACCCAACGCGGCCAACTGCGCCTTCTTCTGCTTGAGATACTGCAAAGAGAACGTGAACTGGAGAGCGGAGATGGTGATGATGTGGACATACAGCTTTGTCAGGCTTCTCAACTTGCTCCTGTTTCACTTGCGAAGCTGCCATGAAGTGCATGTGTTGCTCCTCTTCATCGCTTTCCCCATCGCTTTCCCCTCGCTCTTTCCACTGCGGTCTCCATCAGCGTCCAAGTTAATCGTCCCGCCAGATGATTCGCAGGGACACTCGAGAAGATCATGTGTATGACACGCGGTATGCGGATAGACGGTGAAGATGTCTTGCAACTATGGTGCAGTGAGCTGAGTCAGCGGTCATCCCATGCAGTATGTCCGGCACTCACGTCCTTTCGGGTAAATGAGTCCGACTTCGACGATCCTGCCCCCTATCATTGCGGATTGTCAGCACCTGTAGTATCAAGTATTCGAACGACCTCACGTTGCCCATGAGCGCTATGAGCAGGACGATGAGCCGAAGGATTGCAGAAACGGAAAGACGCGCTCACAGTCGCTCAATCCCAACTTCGTTACTTGTCGCTGATAGATTTTCTCTTCCGCGCCGCTCAGCACTACGCGCAAGAATCACTGAGACCATGTGTGACATACCATCGATCGCTCCAGCAGTCAAGAAGCGATATATAAAGACAGGACGTTTCTGACCATCGCTGGGAGGCCATGAATGTCAAGAATCTACAGCTGACGTACCTGCTTACCGATGAATTCGAGCCATAGATTGCAAGTCATGGCTAGGACAGCGTTCAGCAGACATGCGGTCACATCGAGCATGTGCATACCTTGGATTCCAGTCCGAATCGACAAGGACTAGCCGAGAAGCACCTATGAGATTCAGGCCTACACCTCCCGCCTTCGAGCTGAGAAGGAAAACGACTTTTCGCCGTTGAGGTGACGAGGCGAGCGATGGATTGAGCCGCACTCACATCGCTTCGCCTGAGGTGCCTTGTTGAAATCATTGACATACTCCTGCCTTTTCTGGGCCGGTGTTTGTCTGATTTCGGCGCACGCATTCAGCGAGCGAGAACACGTAGAGCGAGAACAAAGCATACCCATCGAGTCGGTGATACGAGTAATTCTTGCTTCGGCAGAAAGCCTCCACAATATTCAAAGTCGATGTGTAATGCGAGACGATAATGCACTTCTCGTCGGTTTGCTATCGAATATGTCAGTAAAAGAGGGGGACGATTCGCTGCTTAATTCACCTCTCGGAGCACTCGAAGCAGAGTAGCAAGAGCAGTCAGCTTGCCTGAGACAGTATAAGCATTAGACAAACAAATGATGAAAAGCGATGCATAACCGACCACTGAGGGAGACGTCCTCTACCCTGGCTTTGTCGGGAAGTAGGGTAACAGCCTCCTCGATGGCCTTCGTCTTGATTGCGTCGCCACCGTTACCGGCCTTGTTCTTGGCTTGATCGAGCGTCGCTTTCAGGAGAATCGGGCTATTACTGATCTTCGTCAACATATTGATCAGCGCCAGCGACTCGGCGGTTGAATTTCGGACAAGATTGTCCAGCTTGTCCGCAGATAGAATCTTGCTAAAAATGGCGAGTTGCAACTTGGTAGGGGTGACAAAGACGACATATTCGTCTGCAAGACGGCGGCACTGAGAAGGCGTGCGTATGAAGCAGAGGGCAGGACACATACGTTTGGGCGGCAGGTACTTCTTCAGAATGGTGGCATCCCGCCTGAGTACGAAGCTTCGTGCGATTGCAGATAACTGTAGCCCGTGCACATGGTCAATTTGACGCCAGAAGAGCACGGCGGAAGTGCGAATTCACCTGAGCGGACCGCGCTTCACCTAACTCAGTCTCTTTGGCTGAGCAACCCGGCGCTCGGCTCTTGAGGATTGGCGTCTCATATACACGGCGGAAGGTATTATAGTCATCTGAGCGAGATCGACTTAATTAGCTTTGCGAAGCCTATCATGTCGTTGTATCACGTCAGACCCACCGAGCAGTCCAGGATTGCAGAAATCAGCCTGCAATCAGAAGGGTGAATACAGCGGGCGTTTATACGGAGCTCGGCAGCATCTCACCATCGCGTGGAATTCCCCAAGGTCGTTCTGGATGGGAGTTCCCGAGAGAATGATTCTACGCGGTGTCCGAAGCGCCTCAAACATCGTCGATGTCTTGTTGTTCGCGGACTTTAGCCTGTGGCCTAAAGTCGGGATTTAGTCAAGGAAACAGCGTCACGACTGCGCACGTACCTTCGTCGCATATGATCAGACCAATAGGCGGGCTCAATGATTATGGGGTGAGTCTGATATAGTTAGCACCTCAGGTCGGGGGTACTTACTTGCAGTAAGCCAGGTCGGAGCTGCTCAACCCTTGGTAAGCATAAGATACCCACATAGGTGGAGTTTGGCGACTGACATCACCGTTCGCAGGCGTTCATAACCAATGATCAATACATGGTGAATCTTCCTAGATGCAGAGGATTATATTGAGCACCCAGAGTATGTTTGAGTATGTTTCCGCATAAACTCACGAGTTCACGAAATGCTTGATCGAGGCTTTGTCCTTGTCTCCCACCATCACGCCTACCCTATCTCTTCCCAGCCTAGATGCGGCATCAGAACAAAACTGAGTCTCCAGGGAAAAATAATAGAAATCGTGTGACCGAACCATTTGTGAAATTCGTTCTTCCAGTTCTGTGCGGTCAGAACGCAAGTGAGATGACGCACATCGACTAGGTTTCAGAATACATACGTTAACGAGCGTCACTGGGCATACGATTAGTATCTTTCCGACAACCGGGCCCGCTCCCGCATAGGGGTTTTGCTCTGTGGCAGCAAGGTTAATATAGATGCTGCAACGGGTAACTGCTACACACTGAGCAATGTCCAACACAGGGTAATTGTCTACTAAGGATGAGTAAGAGGGCCGAATGTTCCGACGATCAGCGCTCACCTGGAGTGTTTTACCCATGCCCTGAGCAGCAAGAAAGGTTAGCTTGTAGTGAGAGCGTTATCCTCAGCACTTGCATTTCATCGGCCAAGATGCATCCGTTGCCCTCGTGCTTTCGTAAACCCATCACACATTCGTACAAGAACTTGACACCTATCGAAGAAGCGGTGAGCGCGCAGCCAGAAATCAACATGAATTATATATACCCTCTACTTGGTGAGGGCGAAGACGTCTTGCCAGAATGGGGTCAATGACGACTCCGACAGTCGGCAGATTCCTGATGTTCTAGTCAACGGGACCGCCCGGCAAATATGAGAGTAGAGCTTTCATACTTCTTGTTATGTTTCGCAGCATGTTCCTTCGTCGGGGCTTTCATCACGATTGCGCCTTCGGCATTCGGATCGTGCCTGGCATTTCGCGCAGTCCATGAATATCAGGTAAGGTCGGTAGAAGGATTTATGCCTACAGAGGCCCTCTCGGCTTTGGCTTCGCAGGGGCCTTGCCGTAGAACGACGTGGGTGTAACAAATTTCTTCAACGCCGCAGGCGAATTTGCGGAAGGGCTACTGCTCGTCTCTGCTGAGTCTCTTCTAGATTTGACGAGGAACGAAGGCTGAGCTGGCGTCTGCGGTGAACTGTCAATTTCAGGGTCCAAACTAGCTTCAATGGACGATCCGACAATTGTCGGCAGGTCGGACTCGGAAATCTGGCCGTCAAGCTCTACTTCTTTTCCGCCGATGAATGTCGAATATCCGCTATACAGCGGAAGTCCATCCCACTTCTTTGTGCCGATGCTATCCTGCTAGTCAGCAGTGTAGACGCCGCTCTCATTCAGAAGATCTTACACCATGCCCTTCTCAGAGATGAGAGCCATTTTCTCTGCCCGGAGGCTCAAAAACGCGTCCCCATCCCACGTCTTGTGCTTCTTCTGTTGTGGCTTTCGCCTACCGATGAATGGAAGTCAGCATGCTGGTTCGCGCCAGTCAGAGGCCGAGAACCAGGAAATGTGTTCTGATGTAAGGTCCGAGGAGCTCCATGCACTGTGCCCACAGATCCTAAGGAGAGTGCGGCAAGCGTGAAGGCATGTGCCTAATGCATTATTGCATCTCAGGTTGCACGCAACCACACTTCCACACCGCTTCCTCGCGTCCAAATATTTACATGGGTGCGTCTGAAGGATGGATGACAACGTTGCTAGAGCAGCTGTGACACGGAAGGAAGCACACAGTCCCCCCGGTGAAGATTGACCAGGCGAGGCATGGTCACAACCAATACGCACCGAGGCAAGCAAGCATAACGCAAAGTGATAATGGCTAGCAACCGGGCCGAGTGGCACGATGGCACGACACCCAGGTGCAGGGCTGACAGTATCTGCTCTAAGCAGTGCACAGCACGCGCGCATACCTCTGGTGAATGATGCAACATGGACATGAATCCTGCTTCACGTCGCATCCTTCCACTAAGGCATCTGCTCCGGCTTACAGAAAGAAATGGCAGGTTTTTCGGACCCGGAGCAGAAGCGTGGAACGAACTGCTCAACGCCTCCTTCAGCCGCTTCCAAACATAGCCGGGAACGGATGACCACTGAGTCGCGCCGAAGCAAACCTCGAGTGGCACGACAATAAATGGTGTGGAGTGAGCCGAGCAGCGTCATGAACAGCATGACAAGTCTGCATGTGCCTCAACGAGCGACCACGCTGACTCTCGGAGAATCCCTTGTAGTGAGTAATGCACGCACGCCAGAGCACTGTCGTCGTGCAGGCACACATGGACTGTTTGACATTGTGTGACAAGTCAAAGTGGGATCTCCCATCGCGCTCGTCTGGACGCCGATCATGAATATGATATGCGAAGGGTGCTTACCAATTTGCGGTCCAGAAGGAAACCTGTGTGTTGCCTTTCGAAGAAAATTTGTCGCCTTTCACAAGATCAACGGGCTCGAGCTCGATGGCCTTCTTAGGCGCGACAGCCTCGCTGACCCTGCTCGGGGGCTTGAATCCATTCATTGCTTTGGGTCTGAGAGGCGCGTAAGGCTTCGACGGGGCCCCGGATGTTGATGGAGCAGGCATGGGGGACGAATGGCCAACCCGGCCGTTTGAGAAACACTTCCCTGACATGAAGTCCGAGCGAAGAACCACATGGTCTACTTCGAGTTCCTTGTTTCCGACCGTCAAGTTGACCCCTTGGTCAAGTGCGTCCGCCGATTCAATGCCATGAAGTCGTCCACTCGTAAAGCTATTCAAGCGCACAGTACATGAGCAAGCGCATATAGTCAGCAATGAATTGCGCTGAATGCGTACGATCTGCCATCATGTCGAACAATGTGCACGAATTGCCGATCACCTGCATGACCGCGTCGCCATCCCAAGTCTTGTGCTTCTTGTACTGAGGCGCTCTCCTGGGATATCTCGTCTACATATGATTCGACTACGCAGCTCTTCACGCACCATTGTACCATCCAGAACTTTTCCTTCGATGCATCTCCTCCACCCCTGCCTTCGCTTGTTGACTCAACTGCTTGTCGTTTGCGATTCGCAGAGTTTGGGTCGTGGAAGTCCGACTTTCGCTTCTGTGCCCCGGTTTGCGGATTCTGATATGTGGGCATATTCAAAAGCGCGTATGTTGACACAAAAAGTGAGCCGCCGGGGAAAGTGAAGTGGATCAGAGGTAGAGCACAAGGAGGGTGCCAGACTGTCGTGGCTGAGTCTCAAGACGCGACGCGCCAGTGGCGCGCACAAGACAACCGCCCAGCCACGTGCACGTGGTCGTGTCCTGGTCACTGGCAGACTGCAAGCAGCATCACGTATCCCGCAAAGGGTATGGGTATATACATAATCCAGAGAGCTCTATGTTACATGTAAGTAGCAACTCAGTATATCGCCAATATCTGACCGCGCCATCCTGCAATGTCCATGATGCATTTATAGAAACCGTCCAAATGAACACCAAGCAGCTACCGGCGTATCATGCATTGTTCCCGGCTGGCTCACAAAGTGCCGTATGCAGCTTTGCCATCAATGACCGTGGCCGCGATCTTCGTCTTCATAATCTCCGTCACGGGCACAGACATGATGTCTTGCGACAGGACGACAAAGTCCGCCCGCTTGCCAGGCGTGATGGACCCGAGCGTGTTCTCGGAGAACGAGGCGTAGGCTGGGTCAATTGTCATGCCTTCGCAGGGAGAAGACCCGTCAATGAGTAAATCAAGTCCAGGCGGTTCGCGCCAGCATGACGTACCCTTCAATGCTTCCTCCCGCGTCATGCGCTGCTCCGGGAACCTGAGCAAGTCATCAACTCAAGCGCACGCGAGTCATGAGCGCAAATTCACCCACCAGCCTCCCGGCCCATGAGGCGACCGGCCATCCTGCGAGAGTCGTGTGATCGCAGCGTAGAATCCCGCAAGAGGGTTCACGCCCTCAACGGGGAAGTCAGAGCCCAAGGTGATACGAGCGCCGTGGTCGAGAATGCTTCGGAAAGCGTAAAGCCCCTTGACACGTTCAGGGCCCTGCGAAAAGATCAGTGACTTTCCCAGTTGACCAAGCTCGTGTGAAGCTCACCAAGCGCTCTTCGCTGTACCACATATCGTCCGTGCTGCACACGTCAGGTAAGTATCCCGCGGGACGCTCGATACAATGAGCTACGCACGCGTGTGTCGGCTGGATACTGGCGATGACTAGCCGAAGTTAGTTACGATCAGAAAGACGCTCTGGGAAATGAACGCATACCACCCAGGTTTCCGAACCGTGCCATGTCCGCCTCGGCAAGGATCTGGGCGTGTTCAAGACGTGGTCGGAGAGCAGACACGTTTGCCTCCTTGAGCGCCTCCTCAAATGCGTCCAGAACAATGCCGTTCGCGCGATCACCGATTGCATGCACATTCTGGCAGGCCGCTCCCGTCAGACAGTCGCGGAGATGAGAATTCGTCAACGCCGTCAACGCACCACCTGCCATCCGTCCTTCATGAATTTGGGGATCACCCTGTTGAGGACTTCCGGTTCCGTCCGCATGACACCACGAGTGCTCGGGTTGTCTGTGTACGGTTCGTATAGCTGCGTACTGAAATTAGCACACCGTCAGATGCCAGGCGCAAGAATGTACCGCTGCCAGACCGGTTCGCAAGGCACCTGAGAAGAAGTAAGCTCCGTGCAGAAACGGTGCATACGCGTCATACGAACCATCGGCGAAGATTTTGACACTGCGAGCCGTAAGCCTGTCATCGCCGGCACCAATGATCTTAGTGGCACGATCCCCCCAGTAATCCTTCGTTTCGTCGAAGAACGTCATGCCGTATATACGAAGCTGTAGATAAAAATAAGTCAGATAAGCATGGTCCGAAGAGCTTCACCGGCTTTCCTTACCGGTAATTTGCCATCATCTGCTTGCCTATAAGGGGTACAGTTCAGTAGAGCAAAAGGGGATGTAAGGCAACAATACGGCTGACCTCTGGAAGAACTCCAACGACATGGGATCGAGAGCAGCATCGTGAATCGAGGTCAGGCCTGCAGCAAGTGCGTCCTTGACCGTTGCATTGAAACGCGCTTCCAACATCTCATGCGTTGGCTTAGGTCGTTCCACCAGTGCTTGTGCATTGTCTAGGAAGGAGCCTGTCGCACACCAATTTAGACACCGACCAACCTTACTTCAGGAATCGACGAACCGGTTGGTCTTCCTGAGGCATCGCGGACTATTAAACCACCGGGCACTTCGTCCGGCAATGTGCCCATCGACTGAAGTACCCGTTTCGAGACCCATAGTGCATGCCCGTCCTTGCTCTGCAGCACGATCAACCGACCCGCCACCACGGGGTCTGCCTCGAAGTGAGCCTGGAGCCGTGAGTGTCAATATGGAAGACATGCGAGAGAGAGCTGACGCGACAAACAGCTAGAGGGAACGCCTGGTTTTTCCAATTAATGTGGTCCCAACCCCAGCCTTCGATGAACTTGGTCTTGTCGTTGCGGATGTCGGGATGTGCCAGTATGTAGTCCTTCACTCTAAGAACAGTTTCTGTGTGACGGTGAGCGTGATTGACATCTTTGAGTCTGACAGACATACTGTACCTTCTACGGTCCGCGTCTCCTCGAGAGGAATGACCTTCATCGCACCGTACTCCAGGATATGTGCATGGGAGTCTTAACAATTAGAGTGAGGACCTATCCGTCTCCCGTAACAAGAACACCTACCGCTGAAACCAGGAACCACGACATGGCCTGCAGGAATATAGCGGACCTCAAGATCGGCGGGAAGTACGTCCGAGGAGTTGCGCGACGCATAGGCGGCAGATTTCCATCGTTCAGTCACCTCCTCTACAAAGGCGGTCCATCAGCATCAGCCTCAAGAACGCCTATTCCACCATACCAAGTGTGCCAACATCGGTAAAATGCGAGTGATGCACTACGAGACACTGTACTCGAGGCTTTGCATCATCAACGGTGAAGACATTGGCGCCTCTCGGTGAGCAGAGGGCGTAGGACTCTGACGGCGTTGATAACGATCGGAAGCGAAGTAGGGCATATAGCGAGAGCGTCAAGGAAGCGATGAGGAGGCCTAGATTGGCACGGGACACTCCGAACAACTCCCGACTCGCGGGAGTAGCACTTCTGGGCACCTTCGCGGGCGCTGGCCCCTCGGAGGTCGGGACGACCTTGGGTCGAGCCTCGACGGGAGGGGTACGGTTGCGCAGACCCCAGGACTGCTTGTCGACGAGGGACATGGTTGGCGGGTGGGTTGCCCTTCAGGAGACGGGAAAGGGGGCCTATAAGTAGCCCGTCGTGGCGCCGCATGAGAAGCTTACTCCGGCAAGTGCAAATCCAGAAAGTCGAGCAAGGAAAATTATGATGAGGTGTTGTCCCTGAGCAGCAACATCTGCGTTGCGCACATGCTGGGCGTGAAACGCGGGGTCCTTGCCATTTGTGCAAGGAGTCCGCTGCCGACAAGCGCCAGGCCCATACGCTTTACCGCATGCAGAGCTTGTGGGCGCCTGCGTGCCCCCATCAGAACCACAAGCGTGCACCATTTAGCGCGAGCGCCTGCCTCTTCGTATGTTTTCCGCGTATCCGACCTGTCGCTTTGCGCCGCTCAATTCAGAGGTGCATGGAACGGCTGGGAAAGGGCAGCAGTGTCCGCGTTCTGACCTTCCGAGTATCGTGCGCGTTGGAAATACACTTTGAACCGCTTTCGCCGAGTATGTTATGCTCTGCGCCAGATAAGTTATCACGATGGGAGTGCGCAGGTACTTATTACACAGACGTGCTATGTAAGCCAGTGTATGCCGGAAGACAGAGGAAGAAGTGGCCGAAGACTGAAGAGAGACGCCACAGTTATGGATAGAGATTGAGATTGTTTCGCCGGCGGTAAAGCTGCGTTTTTACAAGCCTTCCATTCTTGGACGCGGTCCGGCTAACCCCGGGCGCTCGGGCGGCGCTACTACAATCGGATAAGTACATACTCGGTCAGTCGAGTTCCATTTTCCAGCCCGCCAGAAGGTAAGCACTGGCATAGCACGTATGTAGAGATTGACGAGTCTCAGACTTATTGTGCTTTGTGAGCCAAGTGGTCAACCGGGATGGCCAATGGTGCCCAGATCACCGAGAAGCCTGGTGGCTGGGACGACATTTCCGCCGATTGCCTATTGCAGGGTTATCCCGCTATTAGTATTCGCGGAAATTGCCACGTCGCGTCCGGCGGCGTGACGCAGTGCGCGCAGACCACTGCCCACTGCACTCAGTCCGGTGTCCTCTGTTTGAACTCGTTGCGCCGGTCTCGCTCTAGACAGCCACTGGACGCCTTTGACTCTGGCACCCGAGCCGGGGTCGCCCCCCATGCCCCTCAACGACCTCGTGCGGCAGCGGCTGCAGCCTCTCACGTCGCTCGTTACCTCGAACCGCATCGCTTGTACTGCGTGCTGAGTGTTCTCTTACTCGTCGGCACCATCGCCAATGCGTGTCGGAGCTACAGCAACTTCTATTCGGTGACGATCTACTTGTCTAAGAGCAGCAGGAGTGTGTTGGTACGTCTGTCTGAATTCCATGCCCTCAGGCGAGGCTGAGCGGACCGCGGTGTCTGTAGGTACTGGCCAATACCGGCGTGCTCCTCGCGCTTGGATCTGGAAGGCTGTTGCAGCAGTTCTTCTTCGGACCGTTGCAAGCACGCGAAGTCGAGGTGCGTCAACTGTTTTCTTCCGTCGAGTACAACTGAGACCCCCCGCAGAGGCTATACGACCAAACGTGGATCTTCGTCACAGAATCCCTTCTGGCCTTCACCATATTCCGCGATGACTTCGACATCCCCTTCGTGATCATGTTTGGCTTCTTGCTATTTGTGAAGTGCTTCCACTGGCTTATGGCTGACCGTGTGGAAACGGTACGCATGCGTGTCTGGTGTCCGAAGGTGTGTAAATGATGCTGATGGTCACGAAGATGGACCAAATCACGTACCCAGGCCCTCCCCTCTTGTTTCATATACGGATGAACACCCTCTTCGTTCTGTTATGGGCAGTCGACCTCGTGATGTTCGCGTTTGCCGTGGAAAGCACCCTGAATCATGGAGTGAATGGCATGGTTTTGTTCGCAAGCGAGGCACGTACCGGCTACTCTAGCGCATACGGAACAGCTGATCATCCGCGGGAGCAGTACGCTATTCTCATGGCAAGCGCCCTGAACTCGATGGCCAGATACATTTTATCAGTCGTCGATTACCGGCGAGCACGCGCTCGAGGAGGCGAGAATGCGCCGCCGATGGAGAACAAGAGCATGTACATCTTCTATATCGAGCTATGCACAGGTACGCATCGATGCGTACTAGTATGCGAATCCTGTGGGCTAATACAATTCTGGTGCAGACTTCCTCAAGCTGATCACATACCTGACGTTCTTCATGCTCATCATGACCTTCTATGGCTTGCCACTGAACATCATTCGCGATGTTTATCTTACCGCCCGGTCCTTCATCACGCGTTTGCGTGCTCTCATCCGGTATCATAACGCCACCCGGGACATGGATCGTCGGTACCCGGACGCAACAGAAGCAGAGCTGTCGGATATGTCCGATCGGACGTGCATCATCTGCCGCGAAGAGATGTACTCGCGCAATGCTCAACCGCAAGTTGGCGAGGGGAATGCCGAAGGTCAGGCGCCCACATATGCAGATGGGCCCAACATGACCGCGAAGAGACTGCCTTGTGGTCACATCTTCCATTTCCAATGCCTCCGTTCGTGGTTAGAACGCCAACAAAGTTGCCCGACCTGGTTAGTTTAACGTATCCTCCCTCACCACTTGCTTACTGATATTGTTTGATTCGCCGCCGTAGTCGTCGCACTGTTCTGGAAACAAACGATCAAGACCAGAACCAAAACCAAGGCCAAGCACAAGCGCGAGGGCGTCAGGCCGGAGCTCCTGCTGCTCCTCAAGCTGGCGCGGTTCCCCAGGCAGGACAGGCGCCAGCTGGAGTTGCTATGGGATGGCTAAATAATTTCCTCGGTGCCCCGCCCCCAGGAGCTGCCATGCAGGGACAGTTTGGCAACGTACAGGGGGCGCCGCCAGGCCCCGCGCCTGGTCCAGCTCAGCCACAGAACTTTGGTTGGCCGCCCGCTCAGCCTCCGATGTATTACCAGCTACCACCACACCTGCCGCCAGCTCAACCCGTACCGCCTTTCAGAGGCTTCTATGGACCGGGTGGTGTGTGGCAGCCTTGGGGTGTCGATCCGAGGTGGTTCGGTAACGCTCCGCAGCAGCCTGCCCCAGCACCGACACCTGCTCAACCAGCGAACACACCTCCGAGCCAACCCACCAGCGCTCCTGCAGATCATCGTCCAGCCACACAGGTGGACCCCCCAAGAGCTGACGTGCCGGTACCGACACCCACCACTAATCCGTCCGCCGCTGATGCCAGCCAGTCGCTAACAGCGAGGGATGCCGCGGCACAGGCAACATTACGCAGGCTGGGACTCTCACCTCGTAATACGACCGCATTTGATGCGACACCATCGCATGCCTCCACATCCGCGGCGGGCGCTACACCGACTGTGCCTGCGGCGGGTGCTCCATCTGGTCAAGGCGAGGGCTCGAGGCGCGATTCCAACCAGCCTATCGATGGCCGCCGGGATGTGGTACCCTCCTTGATCCCGCTCTACGATCTCTTCTCGCGTCCACCCCCTCACCCAGCGGCGTATATGTCATATGGCAACCAGCACGCCCTTCGCGTCCCGTTACAAGCCCACTCGCAGTTAGCTAATGCGCGAGCATCATCGCATCAGGGCGACTTACGGCCCGCGCGCTCCTCGGGCTCGACGGCGTCTGCGCACACGCCGCTTGCGCAGCTCCCAGCGACGCTTACGGATGAACAGCTCGCGCGGCTCGACCGCGTTACGCGCGAGGCTATCGACGAACGCTTGCGTGTCCTGGAGGGGGTCTCGGGCGCCGTGCATCGGTGTATCGAAGAGCTGACACGCGTCCGGAGTGTCTTACCTGCGGCTGGACACGCCGGACCTGCGAGCGCGAGCGGACAGACGCAAACACGGGAGCGCCCGGCTGGCCCGACGAGTGAAGCAACACCGGGTGAAGGCTCTGCATTCCTTGGGCGACAGGCTGACGCGGTCGCGGGTACGCCGAACGGTGCGGCGTCGGCGCCTGCGGTCGGACCCGCCCAAACACCAGCGCCTGCAGGCTCGGAATCGAGCACATAGTTGTGGCGGTCAGCGTTTCCCCTGGCATAGTGATCCGTTCCATGTAGCATTCCGGACTGTCTCAATCCACTGTCGATCTGTTGTGTTTCGTGTTTGTGTCAGAGGAGGGTTTCATTCTACGCACGCATCGTGTACGATACTCAGGAATATAAATATGTGCACATTCGGAGACACGGCTCATGCGGATGTGGATGTCTTGGCCGAGGTCAATAGCGCTTCTGCCCTGCTACTAGCAAAAGCCCCGTCAACATTTGAGCTGTCCACCTTGGTATACAACCGCGCGAGCAATAGTCCCTTAGCCTTCTTCGCATTCGGCTCCGAGACCAACTCTGGGTATTCGTTCAAAGTGTCCTGGATTGCCTTGTCGATGTCGGCTTCCGACAGCAGTGGTGGAAGCAGTGCCTGAAGAAGTTCTGCTTCCTGCTTTTCTTTGGCAGCCAAGTCCGCCCTTGACGCCTTTTCGTACTGGCCGGCGGAATCCAACTGTAGCGTGATGAGAGGATAATTCATGACGGCAGTAAGAGTTCATCAGGATTTACCCTTCGTTTGAGTCCCTGCCTCATGAGTCCTACGATGACGGCAGAGGAGGCGGGACCCTTGTGTTTGGGGGCCTTGTCCGCTGCATACACCTCCGATAATACGGACTGACATGGAATCATGATAAGCTCGAGTTGCAGTCTTGATGTCTGCCACTTACGCGAAGAAGCGTTGACTTCACAGAGTCCTTAGCCTTTCCTACGTGTCAGGACAGAGTAGGACGTGCAGAGACGTCCGCATCACCTTCATGGCTGCTTTTAGCTCAGACATAAGCTGTGCACGCATTCCTGATACAGAAGATGAGATAGTCATTAGCTGACTCCTGCTCTGCACTCAAAACTCACCTTCCCCCTCGCTTGTTGTCCCCATGAACCGGCTATTCGACACCACGACAGGTCTCCGTAGGGCATTTCGGAGGACCAGTCTTCGAGCAATAGACAATGCCGACATGTTTTCACAGAACCAGCAAGAAGGCGGGAGATACGATGAAGTTATACGACTAAACGTTGCACGCAGACACGCTCTGTGGGTGCCGCGACGGTCGAGACACTCGTCGCTCGACTTCAAGCTGCCACCTCTGCGCGATCATGTGACTGGGATGTGGTGGCGCGCGCCGCGCTCATTGCTCAACCTGACCCTACTCCATAGTTTGACGCTGTTCCAATCTCACCCACTGCGATTTTTTCATACTCATTCACCGTAACACTATGGTCGTCAAACCTGACAGAGGGAAGAACTGGGAATCACTGTGCGCGAACCACTTGATCTGTATGATTTGGGCTCCAATCCTAGTACCTCTTACGCTCACCGTTTCAGATTGGTCACCATCAGGTTAGTTTGCCATCTAAGTTCAGCAAAATCCGAGATCGTCTTACTGTAAAAGTGATGCATTGAAGGAATACTACACAAGATCTGCTCAACTGGGCCGCCCTTACACCGAGCGTCCTATTTGACTCATAGCCATATGTCCTTAGGCTCTGGCGACAGCGTGCATCCCCTTCTGCTGCCAACACCACGTCGCATATCACCGTGTTAGACGCGTGTATGGTCGGTTTAACGCTGTATGCGCCTCATTCATATCAGATGGGCATATATAGCCACTGAATCGAGGGCCACACACGGCGAGCTCCGGGAACATTCTAGCGTCTCGACGATGACAATGGCCTTCGCGACGTCGCTATCGGACTGAGCAACGCGAAGTAGACCTTGGTAACGTTCCTTCCTTGACGTTTTCGTTAGTAGCCCTGACGCGGGCGCCATTATAGTTCGTTGAATCGAGTTAGCCAGCTGTTCCAGAGAACAAACCTCGCCGGCGTTCAAACACGTAAGTTCGTTCTTTAGTGGAGGTCTGGCCGCATCTAACAAATATAAGGGTCGCCGCCTCGACTCGGGCGCACGGCGGAAGCTCCATTTAGGCCGTGGGCTTCGCCTTCGCTGTAAGATAGCGGACAACAGGAACCAGCGCCCCTTATGTAAGCAGCTGCAACGACTTTTATTCCTCGCTCGACAACAAACCTACGCACATTCTGCGTGCGGCAAACGATTCAATGGGGTTGAGAGACCAACTCCCCGGAAGAATTTCTCACATAAATATATTTTTGGTGGTGCTATTTCGTCAAAAGTGCAAACATCGCTGAACACCTTCTTTCGCGATTTGAACATTTTCTGGCGAGGGTTGTGCTCGGAGACCTTCAGGATTTTGCCGCGTCACGTGACCTGCCGGAGACCGTGCCGATGGTTCCGGCGCTCTGCAGCGAGGGAGGTAGGAGGCCGGGCGTGAGCTGTAGGCAGTCAATAAACATGGCGCGAAGCAAGAAGGCCACAGTCGCACGTCGGAGCAACCTTACGAAGGCCAATAGAAGCCGACAGAAAAAAAGTGACATCGACATTAACAGTGACAACACCCAAGGCACTGCGACACCCACCACTGGTCCAAGCCACGGCGGGGACGAGTCGCCAGCGTCGCCGCGGCGGCGTCGATCTGCGGAACTTGATGACGCGTTTGACGCATACTTCGAGAGTCTTGAGGACTCGGTGGAGTCTGACCCGGAGTTCTGTCCAGACATGGTCAGCTGCCATGACAGTAGCTCAGAGACTGAGGATTCAGACTCGGAGGATGGCACTGACCTTGACCAAGACGAGGATGAGGTGGCCGAGCTTGAGGATGAAGCTGCCTTGGCTTCCTTCTCAGCATTCTTGCAGCAGGCGCAGCTTGCTGCAGCCGCTGCCGAAGCGAGAAGAGTTGCTGATGGTGGCCGGAAGAAGCGGGGCAAATACTCGGGCATGTCGGATCGAGCAAGACGATGGCGAGCGCAGAAAGGTCGCGAGGCACGAGAGGAGCTTTCAAAGACGAATCAGCAGTTCATCACCAATTGGGTGAAGGCCTTACCAGTGCCGGATGATGATGCAGAGGGCGAAGTAGACTCCGAGTCTGGGTGTGACTCGTGGACAGCCTTTGACATTGATGAAGCCTGTAGAATTATCTTCGAGAGCAGTACAAATTTTGTGAGCCTATAACAGTGCTCCTGCAGATGCTGGAAATACTGACCTTGTCTTCGACATAGCATGACCCAAAGGTCGAAAACCCCATGTCGAAAGCAACCACTACTACATCTAGTAGCCTGCCGCTGCACCGAGCCTCAGCCGCCGCGGCGCAGGCTGCTGGTTGCGCGGAAGCTTCTGCGACACCCACGCCGCCTTCAGATGATCTACATACAACACCGGATTCACACGCGCGAGCGACACTCTCACCTGAACGCATCCGCGAGCTCCTCGCATCAATTTCCGAACCCAAATCCCCACATGAAGAGAGGCCTTCCAATGACGAGTCGGACACTGCAGACGACCCGCTGAATAAGCTCAGTATTCATGATCTCCCCGCACTGAGACAAGCAGTGGCAAGACTCACCGTGAAAAGCAAGGATAAGAAGATTGATGTCTTCTTTCGCTCACGCATCACCGCCATGGTCGGGACACTCAATCTCTGGCTCGACCCACGGATGTCGTACACATGGCGGCAATCATCTCTCGTCGCTGCAACTGCATCAGGAAAACATGAAATCTGTCTGACAGCCCTGTCAGGGGGTTCAGAAGCCTTCAGAAGCCTTCAGATTGCTTCAGATTGCTTCAGATTTTCAGCCCTCATGACCTCAACTTTTTTCGATGTTAACACGTCAGACAGGATCCTCAGAACGTTCAGACAGCTTGTCAGACTGCCCAGTTCATCAGCCACTTCAGCCAGGACATACGGAATCGACTTTTTTAAATCACATATATTGCATTCTATCACTACTACTGTACAAAATACCACCCGCTAATACTTATGTACAGTCCACTCGTGCGAGCTACTGCCCAGTGGACCCGCACCTGTGTCGGGCTTGCGTGTGGCAGGTTCGCTGCTGCTCGTTGTTTCATACTCGGTGCCTATGCGCGTCGGGCCAGTGAACGAGCTGACGGGTGAGTGGGTCAAAAAGGCACTGGATAAGCAAGCAGCCAGAGGCGTGCATACAAATGGCGAGCGGGCGAATTGACGAGTGTGCGGCATGCTCGTTCTAGTCCGTCTCCGAGAACCGCCGTGGTGTCGTCCCGAGCTCGCAGATCACACCACATGTGGAAACGTAGACGGCGTGCTTGACAGACGTTTCGAACGCGAGCGTGGGCTCGAGGATGCGCAACGTGCCGTTCATCGCGAGGATGATCTGCTCGTCGGGCTCGATGGCGTTCAGTGTGTGCGGGCGCGGCTGTAGGCTGGATTAGATCAATGCACTTGACGGCTTTGTTGAGCACGCCCTTCCTGTTGGGCGTTGAACATGAGTGCCGGACGTATGGTGAGAAGGAAGATGCATACCTTGGCGATGCCCTCGATGACGAGCTTAGCGCCGAATTTGGCTGAGGCCTGTTTGAGCGGCACGATCTTGCTCTCGGAGTGGACGGTCCCTCGGGTGGCGGGTGGAGTGGGTGCGCGGGTGAGTGGACGGATGCGAGTATAGGCGGCGGGCTGGTCAGCCATCGAGCATACAAGCGGGCGGGGCAGCTCGCTGAGTAAGTACACAAGCATACAAACGAATGGACGTGCCGCGGTTGGCTACGGGGTCGAGGTGAAAGACGGTGCACTCACCTGAACTACTGGCCCTTCTGGCCGCAGCCCCCTTTCCTTCCTGCGTGGTGATCCTTCACGAGCATCCAGCGATGCCCTTGGCGCATCGCTGGAGCTCGTTGCGGTCGCGTACAGCGCGGTCTTCGGCCGTGCAGTGGTCCAAATCGCCGATTGAGATGTTCTGTCTCTTGAGGACCGGCCTGCCTGTGCGTACTGGTGGACGGCGGCGGGAAAACGAGGGTGAAGCGGGCGGGAACAAGGGCGAAGCAGATGGGAAGGAGGGGACAGACAGTAGTGTAGAGGCGGACGAGAGGAGAAGTCCAGCAAACGCGCGTGACGTGTCGTGGCAGAGGCGCTTAGCACTTCTCGCGAGTTGCCTCCTCCACGTCCACGTCGCCTCAACCTCGACACTGCAACGCTGCGCGGTAGCGTCAAGACACACAAGACGCGACGGAGAAGAGTGATGGAAACATGGAGTCGAGGGAGGCGGGCCCCTGCAGATTTAGTACAGGACCCAGGTGAGTCGCTCGCCCACTTGCGCATGCATGCGTACGCTCGCCAGCCCTTCTCGCCCGCCCGTCTTCTCGCCCGCCCGTCTTCTCGCCCGCCCGTCTTCTCGCCCACCCGTCTTCTCGCCCGCCCGTCTTCTCGCCCACCCGTCTTCTCTCCCACCCGTCTTCTCGCCCACCCATCTTCTCGCCCACTCGCCTTCTCATCAGCCCGTACGTCTTCCCGCTGGCTCGCTGACCTTACTCGCTGACCTGCCTGGCTTGCCCACCCACCTCACTCGACTAGACATCCACCTCACTCCCTCACTCACCTCGCTCCGGTCGGGCAACCGACTCCGCACGAGCTCGACGAGCGCCTTGCCCCCCAGATGCCCGCCCCACCGGAAGTCGACCTTGGTGAGCCGCAGACAGAGCCCATGCGGGCCATGCAGCAGGCGGAGCGTCTCGTCCGAGATGGAGCTCTCGTGCAGCCGGCGCTCGCGGAGATGGGTGAGCGCGCGGAAGGCCGCCGCGAACGTCTCCGGGGCCAGGTCCATGTCGTGCAGCCAGCGGGTCGGCGCCCGTTCCGAAGTCCAGCGCCTCGACAAGGATTTCGGTGAACGACGACGGCGCGGGAGAAGGCGGTGGCGGTAGCGGAAGATGCGGGCGTGAGCATGCAGAACGTGAGTGCGGCGGTCGGGGATGTGCTCGTGACGGCTAGCGGTCCTGGGCTGACCACGGCGGGGCTGAAGGGCACGGCAGGGACACAGCTGAAGGAACACGAGGAGAAGAACCTGGGAGAGGGCCAGATGCCTCACTCACTCGTTCACCGGCCTGCCGGCCTGCTCATCTTCTCGTTTTCCCGCCCGCTTGCTCCACTGCCCTTCCACTTGCTCACTGACCCGCTCGCCCGCCGACCCGCCGGTTCTTCACTTGCTTACTCACTGTCTGTTTTACTCGCGAACGGGTGCAGGCCACGGCCTTTTTCGTTCCCTGCACGGCAAATGCAGTCCTTCGCAATCTTCCAACTGGGGCTCCAGACTCACCAAGGCCATGCCTGCCCCCGACGCACAGCAGAGGTGCTACGTGCAAACGCAGCCAAGAAACGCACCGCGGACACAGTCACAGCGGTGAGAGGAAGGCGGGGGGACGGGCGGGAGGGGTGTGAACGGTGAGCATATAGCAGGAAAAGGCGAGCGCATGGCAGGGACGGGCGAGGGTGATGCAGACGGGTGAGTGCAGACGTGCACGAGCAAGCTTGCTAACTGCAGGCACAGGAGGTGGCGACGTGAAGGATGATATGTACGCCGACCGCGAGCGCGCAGGGCAATTGCCCTGTGTGCAGACACAGCCGTCGAACGGACAGTGGGCATACAAGTGAAAGGTACACGGGCAGGCGGGCACGGGGCACAACAACGTGCAGCACGACATGTACAGTGACCGTGAACATGCAGGGCTAACACCGTGCGTGCAGGCGTGGCCGACAAACGGGCGGCGGAGCTTCGTAAATCTATCTACGTATGTACACGAGTAGCTAATTATGCAATATAATGGTACTGGACGGCCAATGTTGTCTAAAGTAGCTTTGGTGCTACTGTCGAGGGCATGAGTGATGTACGCAGACAGTAAGTGTGATTGTATGAGTACTGTACAAGCTAGAAATTACGAGTGTAAGAGTACATGGCAGAGATACTGTACCTGTCTGGCAACTGTCTGTCTCTGAAGGTGACTGGTAAGTCTGAGTGAACTGAGCTTCTGAGAGGTGGCTGTCAGCCGGTCAGATGCTCAGAAATTGCCGAATTTGCTGATGCTGCCCTAGGCCATGGTATCAATCATGCACGGAACATACGCACCTGGATCCACCAATATCTTCGTGATGGTAGCCTTCCACTACACCGTTATGGTCGCTTCCACTCGTCTATCCTTGAAGATGAAGACTTCGCGCACGAGCTCCAGCTCTACCTGATGGAGATCTCGAAAGCGGAGAAGTACATCCGTGCCGAAGATGTTGTTGACTATGTAGCGAAGCCAGAAGTACAAGAAAAGCTTGCCGCAGTCAATGGTGGGCCCGGGAAGCCAGTCACAATCTCCGAGTCGGCTCGGACAGGGCGGCGCTGGCTGAAGAAGCTGAGTTGGAGGTATACACGCGTGCGGAAGGGGATGTATATCGATGGACATGAAAGGGAGGACATCGTGGCTTACCGGAATGGGTTCGTCGTGCACTGGAAAGAGTATGAGAAGTGCATGACAAAGTTCGATGAAGATGGAAATCCGATAGAACCTCAACATGGCTTCCCTGTCCCACAGACCGGTCGCTTCAAGCTTATCCTTGTGACACATGACGAGTCGACGTTCTACGCCAACGATCGTCGCAAGACCAAATGGGTCCACGAGAGCGAGAAGGTGAAACCGCTGCCAAAAGGCGAAGGCTCGTCAATCATGATTTCAGACTTCCTCGTCCCGGAATGGCATCAGCAAAAGCGCCGGATAATGATTTCACAAGCGGTGAGTTATATTGCTCACCTCGTAAGATTTAGTATTCGCTCCCAAGATAACTGGAGAGAATTCGAAGACCCCAAGGCGTGAGTTTGGATGTAAGCAGCTTTCCGGAATGTCATTGTAATTCGACAACTTACCAGAAGTGCGAAGACATGCGCAGAGAATTGGCCCTCTCAGCGCCGCTTCAGGCAGCGCGGCGTGTAACAGTCATGTACGACACCATTCCTGAGGTATCTGCCGACCTACCAAAATAGAATTTGGTCGGAAACGGGGACGTTGCAGGCACTTACGGGCCTACGCATATTGAAGGCTGTGCGAGTCCAGCCACTCAGGCGCGGCGAGACGACGCGCGCGACTCGAAGTCAAGCGCCCGCCCAAGTGAGATCATTGCTCATGCTGTAGCATGAGCACATCCTACGTGAGGGTCCTGAAAATTGACAGAGACACATTAGATACACAATATTAGACATCCGTCAGAATTCCATACCTTAGAGAATGATCCCCCATGCACAATGCCCGCGCGCGTCGAGCCGTGCGGGCGGGCGCTTCGCAGCGCCGCGACGAGGCTCAGGCGCCCGCAGGCCGCGCGCAACTGTCGCAGTTGGCGAGCGAAGCCCAACCTCGGATTTCCGTGTCATCCTTTGTGTTGCGATACATCTCATCGGCTTGGTAAATATGCTCTGCATGTCAGATTGCATCGTGGGGATAATACACTTGTAAGTAGCACTGCAAATACAATCAGTACAAGTGACCTCGCGGCGGCGGTGAGACTCGGTGCTCGACTCGGACGCACCACTAGTAAGAGTACGGCGGGGAATCTTCTACACAGCCGGTCACTTCCAGGATACAAGAATGATAGCCTCTGCCACGTCGGGTAGTACGCCATGTAGGCTAGTCGCAGAACATCATTTCAGCTTGATGTAAATACGGAGAGTGACTACTACAGCAACGTGCTCACTCACTGTTCGATCAGAGCGGCGCATAGCCTTCGCCGTCATCTTCATCATCATCCTGAGGATAGTCGTCTTCCGGCCCAAGCTCCGCTTCGTCATCTACCTCTTGCTCGTCCACTGGCTCCTCGCCTGCTGTCTCGTCATCTTCTTGATCTTCAGGATAGTCCCAGCCATACCCAAAGTCTTCTTCGTCACTTGGTACTGCATCCTCTTCCTCCGTGTCTGAATCCTCGGCGTCGCCACCAGCCATCGCGTCGTTCTTGGGTACATCCGGCGAGTCGGCACTTGGCGCATTTGTGTCTGCCCAAAGCTTGTCCACGAGCGCATCGTTCAAGTTCAAGGTCTCCTTCGGGTATCGAATGCTTCGGGTTTGAGAGCAGCGGTGAATGAACCTGCGAACCTTGTCTATCAGATGCTGGATGGTGATACGGTTCGATGGCAGGCCTTTGTGGCCAACTGCGCCACCGAGGTACCGCATGACCATGTCACGGTCAGCAAACCTGTCATACAGTGAGCAGACACAATGCATGAGATGATTGTAGTACTCACATTCCGACATAATGATATATGTAGTCTTCGTCGTTGTCCTCAGGTTGACGAGCTATCGAAGGTGGGAGGTACTCTGTGGTCTTGCCATGTGTGAAGCCCGGGATGAGATGGCTTGCGCGAAGCACTTGTGCAGGGTCGAGGAAACCAAAAGCGTTAGGTTCGTCAGAATCAATGAAGCCTACGCGATGGAGGCGGCGAGCCTTGAAACCCCCGGGTTCACTGAGGTCGCGACCAAACCAACGAATCCAGAGAACGTCCATGCGCTGGACATCCTTACATCGCGAAAGAAGCCCGCGGTGCTTCACGTTCACATGAAAGATCCCGATGACTCGGGCATACCAGTAGGGATGGGCGTTCGCTTGCGAGTCTCCATCGTCTTCGTGTGGTGCGAGGAGCATGACGTCCGCCTGCCTGCGTGGATTGATGGAGTCCTGGCTGCGACGCATGTCGTAGGTTGTGTAATTGATACGGAGGGCCTTGTGGAGGTAGATGCGGTCATTGACAAACTGTATGGTATCGTGCTCATCCGGGCCAAAGGTATCCTCGTCGCCATCGTACTCACGTCCTGTAAGACGAGACAGAAGATGGTCTTTGAGGTTCGGAACAAAGTTCTTTTGTGATAGGTTAGTATTAGCATGCCATGCCAGCTCGACAACTTGAAACACCGTGCACGCACCCTTAAAGCTGGATCATCCCCGAGTCGAGCATTGGCCCACCTGAAGATGTTCTCGTGATGGCGTTCGGAGTCTGACATATGATAGCGATCCTTCGGAGTGGTATGGAAGGGAAGCGGGTCCTCTTCTGAGAGCCAGAGGGCTGCTCGACGACGTGCTGTATCCGCGAGTGTACCGTTCCTAGGACGGTTTACTGTCTTATTCAATGATGACTGCTTTTGTGCAGTGTCGTTGCCTTGAGGCCGAGCTTGTTGAGTTCCAGCTGTAAGTTCAGCACGTCGTTGTCTATCCTTCTCGAGTAATCGAGTCAAAAGCTGTTCACGGCGCTGGCGGCGGGCTATTTGACGTGCAGCCTTGTTCTTGTTCGTCCGAACGTAGAACCGCTTGACACGGCGGTGTTCCTGCTCCCCCTAGTACATGAGAAAATGGTGTTAGCTCAAACAGAAACCAAAGGATGGTGTACCGAGACAACTCACCTGTTGCGTGTTTCCTACATCATGGGTCCCATACCAGCCTACCATCCATGCGTAGTCACCAAGGCTGTGCCACTTTCCTGTCTTAAGGTTGAGCGTCTTGCGCTTCGGTCCAGGCGCATTCTTTGTGGCACCCTTCGATGACGACACCTTCTTTTTGCTTCTAGAGGACTTCTTTGCACGCATAGCAGCTGTTCGACAGCCTCGTGCTGCCTCCTCGGCTGGAAGCTCCTGGGTATCGTAAGCTTCGCAAGTTGTTGCGGCGAACTCACGAGTAGTCCTGCCGAGCTCCCAGGTGACGCCGTGAAAGATCGCTACTGTTTCCTCAGTATGCAAGCGGAGTTTGGCGAGTGCATGCCAGAAAGCGAGCGTGAAGAGAAGGCTCATCACGAGGTCATCGTGCGGTGGAGGGAGCAGGCCTTCGAACACAGGCATGATACACTAGTAGGAGTTGTAAGACCTCAAATCGGAAGAGTAATAGGGATATATTACCTGCAGAATATCCTCAAAATCTCGCCCGGCCATTTGCTTCAGCCCAGAGACATTGCGCGAGAATCGTCGGATTGTACTGCGTCCGAATGGTGGGATTTTGCGAAAGCTGAATATGATGGAGTAAGGAAAGAGAGTTGGGATATCACTCGAGGCATGACAGCGCTCACCGCTCATTGACAATCTGAATGCGATCCTTACCCTCTGCATATAAGATACGCAGGAGATGTATGAAGATTGCCTTCCAGACTCCGAGCTCAAACTCGTGCAGGATGTCAGGAACAAATAACGAGTAGAAATTGAAGCCTGTGTCGGCTAGGCGTTCCGAGAATGCGCTCTACATTGGAATCAGTGCATGCCAGTTTGGTCACAATGTACAAAGACACTTACACGTGTTGGAAGAATGGAAACAGGATCAATAATGCGACGAAGAAACTTGCTCGTGAGTGAGTAGCCCTGCTTGAAAACCCAGTTTCGAACGCGATTGATGAGTGAATGAAGTCCGGGTCTGTCGACGCGGATCTTATGCCGAGTTTTGTTGTCAGCACTCGAGCCCATGTCCACAACATCGTCCTTCTTGACATAGCAGCGAGGGCAGGGACAAAGTCCCAGAAAGCGGATGCATGCAAGTAAGACTCTGTGGTACATAAGCTGATTAATAAAGCGACCGGGTACGCCTATCGTGTGACTCGGGAAATCATGACTTACTTCTCGGGGTAGTCTGCTGAGTAGATGAAGAACCGAGGGAAAAGGCGTCGAAGGATGCCATCTCCACACAACACTAGCATGCCTTCATGGTACGCTTTCATGAAGTCTTCATCAAGCAGGAGCCGCCAGATCGCATGCATAAGCTCCTTCCTGCAGAAGCGAAGTGTTTCGGCGGTAGCAGATGTGCCGAATACGTTCTGGTACCAGTCCTGGAATGAATCAGGGAGCTAGAGACTGCGTATCAGAATTGAAGCGAGAGGCTTTAATGTGGCAAATAAAACGTACCGAGGGTATGTACGCCAGATGATGGGCTGCAAACTTCGTCGGACAGCCTCTGATGTACTTGGTGAGCCAGCCGAAATAGACGTAGATTGGCCAGAGATGAGCACCACCGAAGTTCGCCAGGTGCGTAGAGTCGGACCAGAGTAGGATAGGAGCGATGGCGTACTCAACCTCAGGGCCATCTTCAGGATTCCGAGGTTGCGCGCGAAGACGCGCATCTTCCTCAATCATTGCGTCGGTGTCCGGAACATCTGAGAATATGCGAATATTCTCGTACTCAGGCACCCCATCGGAGTCGCTCCCAGAGTCGGATTCGGCTGCTGTAGACAGGGGACCTTGTTTGATGCGATGCCAGTACATGCGGAAGGGCAGCCAGTTGAAACGGAAGGCGTCCGTCGCCTCGGCCGCACACCGTACAACCTCGGTGAGTTTGCGGACAAAGACTTCACCGACCTCAAACGTTGGTGCTGCAGCTTCGGAAGCGAATCTGCTACCCTCCTTCGGAACAGGGATCTTGACGGACGTCTCATGCCAGCCATCCGATGAGGAGAAAACATGGCCTGGCTTGTCAATGCTGTCAAGCCGCTCGAGTTCCCGTGTAACACGAAAGCGTCGAAGGTCCTCGAGGTCGAAGTCGGGCGCAAGCAACACGTCGTCGACCAGGCGCTGAACCTCGACATTTGACTTGAGATTTGAGCCAGTGTTCGCCCAGGCCATGAGACGGCATACTGTTGGGTTTAGAAATGGATAGAACCACTCCTTCGCCGTCTCCAGACTGCTCCGCAGAGACCTGACAACCCTCGCACCAAACCCTTGCACCGCCTGTGTTCCGTCGAGTTCCTGAGCAGGTGGGCATAATGTTGGCGCATCACTGAGTTCCTGAAGGCTCGTAGCCTCCTGAGGCTCAGCAACCGGGCGGGTGGGGTAGCAGCGGAGGACACCGAACTCGTTAGGAGAGGTCTGGTAGTAAGTGGGACCATGATTGGCTGGTGCAGGCGGCGGGCCAGAGGAGCGTTGAGCGGAATTGTGCACAGGTGGATCATGCTCATGAGAAGCGTGGTTATCATTCGACTCGTTGTCATTGTCTACAGTGAGTGGTACTGGGATGTGAGAGGGTATTCCGATGGTAGTGGTGGGCAAGTAGTCGCGAAGGCGGCGCGGTACACGGTGCCTTCGGCCTGCGCGACTGAGGGACACTGGGGCGTCCTGAGGAGGTGGTGAGGGTAGACGCGCAGAAGAGGTCCCATAATCCTCGCTTAACGGTTGGCCTTGGAACTCGGGTGGAGGAGCAGCCTGGTCCACCGATCAGTCGAAGAAAAACCTAACATACAAATGAGCATGCGCACCTCAATCTCTGCATCCCTTATAGCCTCCCTCTCTCTAACTACAACGGCTAAATCCTCCGTGTGTAAGACCTTCGCCGGCCCAGGAGCGAGGTCATCCCGCGGACGCTTTGCAGTGACAGGCTTTGAGAGGTTGAAGGTGATGCTCTTCGTGCACCGCTTTCGATGTAACTTGAGTGCTTTGTTGGTCTCGTAGTCGCGCTTGCAGCCCAGACAGATGGTTGCGAGCGAGGACATGAAGAGAGTGGCAAGAATGAGCAGGTAAGCCCTCATGGCAGGGTGTAGCAAAAACCCCAAGTCCGCGTCCTCAGCCACCGGCGCGCGACTGCACGCGATCACGTGGGCGCATACAGTCAGTCCGGATTGACTGTATGCGCTCTCCGCTTCTTCTTCTCTCATAACCACCATCCACCATGCCTCGACAAGCCTCGTACACACCGTCCCCTCCAACATCTCGTGAACCAACTCCGAGGCCGGCGACACCACCAGTGCCACCACGACCGCCAAAGTCCACACACACCCACGAGAGGTCGAAGAGGCGCAAAGAAAAGGAGAAAGAAGTCGCAACTCAGTCAGCTCAGGATTTGGAAGAAGAACGTGAGGACCGCGAAGACGAGCATCGTCGCAAGCGGCCCAGGACCTCGGCACCGGTCCCCTCTCAGGCTTCGACATCGAGGACACAGGCTAGTACTGCCATCGCTCCTCGAGTCCAATCCACTCCCAGAAACCCGCAGCCCAGCACGCAAAGTGATCCAGCTCAGGAATTAGACACTACGCCAGAAGTTAATGAACAAGCCAATCAAGCTCGCGACCGCCCAGGCCGACTAAGTCGGGACAAGACGAAGAAGGCTGTCAAGACGAAGCCATTCGACCGCAACGAGTACAAGAAGTTTATGAAGGGACTCAAGGAGGCTTTGAAGTTGGCGCATATGAGCAAGTGCGTATTTAGATACAAAGGGACATGTCTGGCACTAACACCGGCTAAGGGCCGAGCCAACCTACAAAGACCTGTGGATGGAAGTGCGGGCTATACCGCGCCTGGTAGGGCCCTTGGAGAATTCCGAGCACCTTGTGCAAGTCGGGAGCTGGCTTCATGCACACCCAGATATCGACCTCTCCGACGAAGGGCCTGATCTCGGTGAAGACGATCTCGCTGACATGTAGGTGCCAGATCCATATCCGCGGTACGAGACTCGGATGCAACTCTGCTCTGCTAACATTACAACAGGCCCAAGTCCGAGTTGCGATACATACTCGAGGCCTTCAAGCGACTTATCACTGTCTGCCCCACCATTAAGCGCATCCTCCCTGAGCTGCAGAAACGCAGGGACGAAACTGACATCAATGCTGTGGTCGACTTGGCGAGTAGTACTTTCTGTTTACTGGCTTCCGACTCTACCGGTTATCTGCATGTTGACACCGAGTGCTAATTCTAGATCGACAAAGCACAGAACAGTGGGCGAACCGACGACATCTCGCGGCTCAAATACGAGCTACTATATTATCTTCCCCGTGTCAACGGCATAGACACCCCGGACCCCAAGCTTGAAAAGGAGTCTCGAGGCTGGCGCTGTCATGCAACGGCACGCATGTTGTGTCCGCGTGATCTGCGCGACGAGTTTGATGCCGATCCAGAGAAGTTCGTCTACTCACTCTAATTGTTCATCGACTAATGTCTTGTCAGGTTTTGCCAGGAGGTCCGCAATGGCGCACGTAAACTTGAAATCAATCACGACAATTGGCCGACTCTCGCATACAGTGAGACGGAGTACAACCCAGAGAACCTTGACTTTGGCCTTCTCAAGTCCGCTTTTTTGCTCAGGGTAAGTCGAGCTGTTGCTGGTCCCTTGCAATGCCATTCACTGCCACTGATCCTCACCGTCCTAGTGCTGGCTGTGCCTCTTCAAGGGACCAAGCAGTGCACGACTCGCTGACAACCTTGGCACCAAACGAAAGGGTGGCCGCCACGTTGTCGCCCAGACATACAACATTACCCGTGTCGATGAGTATAGTCTGTGCTATACAGTTCTTCTGGTGAGTGCCAACTGAGCGTCATTCAATGTCGCTTTACATCTTGTACTAGGCTCGCTTCCTACTCAACGGGATTCACGATTGGGCCCGGGATGATGGTGTCTTCATTGGCGCCGCGTTTTGGGCGAACATGAAGTCCCTTTTCGAGGACAAGAAGTGGCGCGACGATACTCTCGCATGGTGGAACGAGTAAGTGCCGTGTATACTGTGCAATTTATACTGATGTTTGCGACAGGAACGTCTTCGGTATCAAGCGGCCAGGCGTCCAGAATTCGACTGCCGCGATCTCACGGAACGGCCCCTCGACAGTCACCAAGCTGCAAGAACAGCGCGCAGCCCGCCTTCGACTTCAACGCCAGAACTCTGCCGCTTCCGCTGCTTGAATCTCGGTGAGTGTATATAGTACCTTCTTCTGCTCATATTGAAATCTTGTAGTCGTGCTTATGCGATGTTGTTCAGCTGTCCGACGCACATTGTTGCGCGTCTCCATCGCTCAAGCCTTCTATTTGCAGTTCATTCGTTCTCTCGACTCAGTGTCCCTCGACTCGGACTCGTTCTGTCCCCTTTACTCCGTCCATCTTTCCAACCCCAATCATCTGCTCGTCTCCCTCGCACCAGTGTCGGCTCGCCACGTCTGGCGCTCGACTCGTTTCATCCCATTTCCGTTGACTCAGTTTCTCTCTCTCGGTTTTGACCTCGCGGTCTCGTCTCGTCAGCGCGTCAGTAGTAAAGCAAGTGTGTAAGTTATTCCGTGGCGGGTGAACGGTGTATTATATTTTTTGTACCTGCATATGCAGGCACGAATATCTGTCAGTGATGTACAATGTATGGTCAAGCCGAGTACATTGAAGGGTGAAGACAGTGACTGAAATAGACATTCGGTCCAATTGTTTGTATGAGACAGTACGTACTTCTTGTATTGCCTGTGCGTTATCTTTCCTTCGCTGATGCATGTCTTTTCGGCCAATAGCGCCACTGCATGATGTGGCGAGGGAGTTGAAGATGTCAAATAGAAAGAAAGCTGTGGCGACCCAGGACGAAAGTTGTACCAGAAAGAGGGCAACTTAGAAAGATGTGCAAGATAATAAAGATGAGTCATACAACGCATGATAATGTGAGATCTGCGACCTGCACTTTTGGCGATGGGGGACGCTTGACGGATCATAATGAGTGAGTTTTTGTTACGATAAGGTATCAGTACTCACCGTGACATTACTGCAGCGAAGCGCGGGTCATTTTCAAAGCCGGAAAGAATAGGGATGGCTGGTTCAATGGTGATGACCTCATGAAGCAGGTGGAGAATGCAGTCGATGTCTTCGAAGCAACTTGAAGAACCAATGGCTTCGCCACTGGCCTGTTCCTTTTTGACAACGCACCAAGCCATCAAAGACGTGCAGATGATGCCTTATCTGCTCGCAAGATGCCCAAGGGCCCTCACGAGACGTGGCGACTGCACAAGGATGGGCCCAAGATGCGTCCCGGGGTCAATCCTTCGACGGGTAAGCCACAAGAATTCTACTGGCCTGACAACCACCCTACGACACCGGGTTGGTTTAAGGGCATGCAGCAGATCATTGTCGAACGTGGCCTGTGGCCTGCCAAAGGCCTTCGGGCCGAGTGCGAGGGGTTTAAGTGTGTGCCAGGACGCAGTGATTGCTGCTGCCGGAGGCTCTTATTCAACCAGTCAGATTTCGTGGCGCAGAAGTCACGGCTCGAGGAATACATCGAATCACGCGGGCATATCTGTGATTTATATCCAAAATATCACTGCGAGCTCAATTTCATCGAACAATACTGGGGCGCGGCGAAGTTGCGGTATCGGGAGACGCAGCGTACACTTACGATCGAAGCAATGGAGGAGAATGTCCTGCAATGCTTAGATAGTGTGCCTCTTCAACAAATTCAACGGTGTGTCTGAGTCGTGTCTTACACACCAATTGTTTCACCTGTTCTAACCTTTTGCACAGGTATTCAACCCGTTCGGCACGGTTTATGCATGCGTACGAGAGCGGTTTGACCGGAGCGCAGGCTGCATGGGCTAACCACCGGTATCATGGCCATCGCACACTGCCTCCGGAAATGGTTGAAAAAGCACGAAAAGCGGTCCCTGATATGTCTTAATACATACAAAAAGTTTTATACATCTTCGGTGGTGCGTCCGCTGTCTCAATGCCTACCTTCCGGGTCCCCAGAATCCTCGATTTTGCCGCTTATGTAATAGGCGCCTGCTTATGTAAGGGGTGCTGGTTCCTGTTGTCCGCTATCTTAGACACGTTCAGTGGTAAGATTGGTACTTCGTAGAGCAAGGCGGCCCGTGCATGTTCAACATAGCAGGACCCCGTATTCTACTGATACCCCGACTCCGGCGCTCTAGCCCCGAGCCTGAGTCAGAGTCAGAGCCGCCTGAGGTATGTAAACGCCGCCCTGTAACTTGCCGTTGTCGTGACCATTAAGACAGAATTCACTATCCTCTGACAGATGCGTGCAGTGCAGCCTCTTGGACGGTGTGTAGCCACTCAGTCACGGATTCAACATGAAGGCTGATATGCAGGTGCGTGAGCAACACCGAGCGCTTCAGCTAGCACAATGCAAAAACACTTCTCCATTGGAAAGTCCACTACACCGCGACCATCCTGGGGTAGCCGTCGTTCAGGTGAGAATAACTACTCTTCCAAAACAATACAGTCACACACGTAGTATCCAGAGCCAAATTCCAAACCATGCCTTGACCAGCTCGCGCAGTCCTGTCAAGTGTTGCTCGGGCCCTCTAGCAAGCGAAAGGCGTCACCAACCGTCACTTGACGTCAATTCATAGAACGCCCAAGGAGCTAGGACCGTTATGCGGGTTCACTCGATGTCGCATACAAACTCGGCACCCTTTTCCAATATGCAGCGCGCCAGAAGAGTCATCGAATACTTCGGAGTAGTACGGCATTGCCCACGGACCTCAAGCTAACTTCTGACAGTAAGCACGGTGATGGGTGTCCAAACCTTACGGGGCGTTGGTTTAGCGGCGCCCAAGCCATGCGTAGGCTGGTGTTTTTCCGGCTATTGTTGACGCGATGCAATGGCTTTTGCCTTCTGTGGGTAGTGCGGTAGCGTCTGACGCTGCCGTATCGTAATGATGCATCCGTGCGCTTGGTGCTAACAGTATGTTCTTCTATTCAGACCCGCGCCTTCATCCCATGGTCATGCGTGACGCTGTTAGCTTTAGGGACTAGCAAACTCGTCGTGCTCCTGTCCCTTAGCAGCTCGATGACAAGCGCTGCGACTCCCCATTGCAAGCGCCAGATCTCGCCGTCTCTTCACTGCCTCCTAACTCGTGGTAAGCCTCGTTAACATTTTCTAGTCGTACTGGAATCTCACCATCATCTTTACAGCTACACGAGTGCTGCCAGTGACCGTGAGGTGTCTAGCTACCAGCCAGGGTTTGTTCAGGCCACCATGGGAGCGATAGGCGTCTGGCATTCCACGATCGTTGGCGCTTCAATCTCAGCGACACGACAGGGATCTTCAGAAGGCCTCCTCGATCGGCAACAGGAGATTGGAGATCCAGCAACTTGAAGGATCTCGGTATTACTCGGATTCGGACTCGGGCTCGGACTCTGAGCCTGCGAGCGGCTGGCGTGCGTTTCGATATCACTGCCAGTGGCCTGGCTTACGAGATGACGTGCGCATTGTGCAGTGCTATATCCTGTCCAGGCTTAGTTACAGGTGCTTTGAGCAAGGCCGGGCACTACAAATGGGGACCCAGAACAAGGTTGGACAGATCTTGTAACGCTGAGACAAGAATAGCCGTCGTCGATTTATTGCCCTTGATAGCACGCCGGTCTGAATACCCTACAGATGCCACGCACTATACACGCAATGGACCTTCAGTTGAACGCCGAGACAGCGACGTGGCTACAAGATCAACATCTTACGTTGAGACAAGGCACCGCTCTTACCCGGGGACAAGCTGTCCAATTCCAAGGGTTCCCTGGTACGCTATCACCAAATCTCATCCATTGCCTCTTGCATGTTCGCAGGCGCAGCCATTCTGCGCGTGTGGCCAAACTGCCCGTTTTGTCAAAACACCGTCCCGTCACGGTCCAATCATTCAACGGGTCGGGCCGGCGTATCTATGCATGTTCCATCCTTTTCAGCGACCACTCACTCGCGCTGTGTATGTCTGTACGAGACAGGAAGCCACAGTAAGCATATCGGTATGTACTCTGCCGCTCTTTGTCCCATACATGGCAACACTGACGCCGCCCGCGATGGCCACTCCGCGACGAGTATAATTTCGAGCACACCGAGGCTTCCATCGGGTAATGGTCCGTGAACACCATGCATTATGTCTTACACAGCCCTTTCTACAACATCATCCATGCCGTCCACTCAGCGCCGATACGCGCGTACGCAGCAGCGTTGCGGAATTCAAAGTAGAACTGCAGTAGAGGACAAGGAGTATTGTAATCAGCGTACGGAGCTCTTGAGCATCAAACACGGCCTGCCGCCAGACGATGTCTCCTGCGCCAATGCTACCTGCGGAACGAGTATCAGCGTACACGCATCTTCCTAGCGCGTCGTCGTGATTGCTACTGTACTATATTCTGGCAGGGAAGTTTGAAGCTGTACGCACACTGTTACACACCCTTGACTGGCACAATAACTGATACGTCGACTGAGCTATAATTACGATATACACATACAACGGCAACATCTGACGAAACTTTGTGTCAACGAGCATCCTATTCGAGAGCACTCCAATACATACCAGCTGAGCATTTCGCCGACTCGTCAAAAATTGCGCTCCTCCATTTGTTTTCTCGCCTGCGTCCTCATGACCTGGAAAGCCTGGAGCTGATCGCACACTCGAGCCAACGACGGAAGTCCATCATGAAGCCGTTCGTATAACTCTCGCAACGCCTTTATGTCGAGGAAAGGGAACAGACGGTCAAGCAAGAGTGCGACGTCCATCACGTCGATCTCCTGACGGTCTGAAATGCTCTCGATACCGAGGAAATCGAGATGGTGTGACAGGCTCGGGTATGTGTCGAGGCCCGCCGCGAACGTCAAGTCCATGGACGAGACGTATAGCATGCGCAGGTGTGGGCATGACCTCGCGATGCGCGGTAGACAGTCTAGAGTGGGTCTCGCCATGACCACATCTCCTGCAGTCTTCCATCGAATGCGCAGCGAGACGATATTTGCCCAGGAGGAAGTGATTGCACAGAGGTCCTCATCGGATACAGCGATTCGCGATGGTATAAATAGATAGACGGTGTGTAGATTGCGGAGCCCAAACAACAGTGGGAGAGGGTGCAAAGACGGACTAGCATCGCCGTGGGTTGACTCCAGGGGTAGGTTAGATAGCGTGAGCTTGTGCAGCGACACACTGAAGTGAGACTTGATTGTGCTCAGCAAGTCAGTGGCGGTTTGAGGGTCGCAGGAATATGGTGTTCTGATCTCGACCTCTATTTCGCATAGGGTGGCATCCGACGTCGCAAAACCCATAAGGACGCGACAGATGGATCGAGGATCGCCTTCAATGCGAACAGCCTTGAGACCACGGAATCCGGGAAGTTCCTGGACAACATCCTGGCCAAGCTCAGAGGCGTCCCTTAGGTGGAGCCGGGTCAGATTGTCCAAGGAAGAAAGTGCTCCTAGACCATGTGTGTACTGACTTGGCTGTCCGGTTATGGCCACTTCCCGCAGACCACCACATTTGCCGAAGGGAACGAAGTAGTAGGGGGTGGCATACGACATCACCGTCAATGTTTCGAGACCTGGCGCGGCGGTAGCCACCTGCTCGCACAACGTCTCGTAAAGGAATTTGCGTGTGACTCCATCGATGTTCTCGGTGACTGTGTTCACATCATCGAAGAAACGGAAGGACAGGGATCGGAGTGAGGGCGAGACGAAGTAGAGAACATCGTGATCGGCCAGGTCGTCGTGTCTCCAGCTTAGCGTTCGGAGTCGTGGCAATAGCGGTTGGTGGCCCAGTGCCCTGTACAAGGAGAGTAGGACGGATGGATGGATCGGCTGAGACTCGGAATACTCGCGGTCTATATGGAGAGTGATGATCCTCTGCGCGTATAGCTGGAAACGATGTAAGTCCTCGGAACTCAGCCTGCCGAACAGGATCTTGTCGGCTTGTCAATGATGTGGCTAAAGTAGTAGGATGTAGGAGGGCTCACATAGTCGGAAGTACGGTCACGGTGGTCGTGAAGAACGGTTGCCCGCTGGAAGGCCGGTAGAACCTTGAACAAAGGATGTAGGTCGTCCATGCTGCTCCAGAGAACATCCAAGGCGAACTCGTGGACGAACTTGTTAACGCGGGCGCATGATGCCAGCGTTTCCCGCTTTTCAGGGTTCGAGTATTGTTCAAAAAACGGATCGGGGTATAGATGATTGAGTGTTTCCCCAAGTATGTCTCCAATCTGAAAGGCCCTGGATGCAGCCATGTTGCAGAAGAGCAATCCTAGAGAACGCAGAAAGTAGTAGCTAGGAGAGGGATATGTCTACGCAGCCGCCGATCGATCGCAACCGCGCAGAACCGCGCATGCTTCCGGCTTGTGCGCCTCGATTAGTCTACTTTTCGACGCGCTCCCTTGTCGACAGGTCGGTATTTTCAATCGCAGTTTGAATGTACGTAGTGGATCGCAGGCGGAACCTCAAGTGTGTGGCTGAGCTTGTGGCGGGTGCGTCTGTGGCGGAAGCAAATATTGCATTGTTCTCGTCGCGTACTACTACTAGGTCGCCGTCTTTTGCACTGCTCGTCCTCAGCTTGAAGATAGCGACTTACACCGCTATCTACCGTTTCTTTCCGCGAGGAGACGTCCTTCAGCTAAAGGTTCGAAGGTTCACCCCTTGCGCGTTCTAACAGTGTTCTTGATGTCCCGTTGCGCGACGACTCCGGACACGAGCACGCAGACAAGGATGCGTGAAGGTTTTCTCGCTCGTCCATCGAGCGCGGCATGCTCAAGAAGGCGACGCACGCACTTGAGTGAGCGTTGTGTGCGCGACAAGTAGCGATTCAAAGGTCTGTCCCTCGCCGCCCGTCTGCGACCTAGCGCACTTTACAGTCTGGATAGTTCATCAAGCGAGTTTGGCGTGTAGCGGAGTCACTGGAACGGCGTGTTTCACAAGCTCGCCATTCGGTTTGTCCTCCATCTATCGCCCGAGCCTCTGGTCCTTCCCACCCACACTTTCTCGTGTGCACCTACTCGGCATGCCCTCTTCTGGATTCTCGCTTGCCTCGGTATGTGTCTGCCGTCTGGAACACTGGCTGGTAGCTGACTCTGAGATCAATTGCTGGACCGACAAGGCGGCACCTCCTGGCGGCGTGCAGCTCTAGCGACACACTGTCCGGCCGCGCGAAATCAGCCACCATAGTGAAAGTCGAGCTTCGGGTACAAGATGTCAATGACCGTAGTGTGCACGGGATGAAGCCTAGGGGGAACTGCCAAGGAAGAAGGGATGGCGAAGGTAAGTACAGCAAATTCGAAGCTTCGAAGCCGAAGTACGCCCCTGCAAGCGACCGTTAACCCGCAAACTCATCTGTCTGCCCGCACGCGCGTCCACTCGCCCATTTAAATGCTCGTGCGCCAATCCGAACGCTGTCCCGCACGTTCGCCCGCTCGCACACAGTCGCTTACCTATCCTTGTGCTCAACGGCTTGGGCGCCCGCTCGCCCACGCGCTTGGTTGCCCGTGCGTTCGTGCACTCGATTACTCGCGCGCACGCCGCTCATCTGCCCGTGCACTCGTCCATCTAGCTGCAAACATATCCCCTGGCTCCTCCGCCTGCGCGCTCGCCCGTCTGGCAGCCCGCCTACGGTGCCACCCGCCAGCTCGGCCACCCGACTGCCCGCCTGCCCGCCTGCTCCGTTGTATGGCAACTCAGTCATTTGTGTACCTGCCTACTCGCGTGTCTACGTCTTCGTCTGCGCTCTCACCAAGCCACTCAGAGATATATTAATATTACTGTATAGTCTAATATTTTGCTGGGTTCAGTGCACCTGCGCGGTGCTGATTGATGTCATCGACACATAAGTAGCAGAGATTCTGTAAAGAGGACATGTACAGCGACATCGCGGATTGCATAGCAGAACATGTCATAACAGATTGTAATGACCGAGACGCGCCTCGGACGCGTCAGAGCGCGTTGTGCCGACGTGTTTGTACAAACTCGTGACGTGCCGAGCGGCTGATGGCGACCTCCAGACAATAGGGGGGTATCAAAAGCAGACGTTAGACAAGGATATCCGGAGCCAGCGAAGGTTGAAGGAATTGTCTACTCTGCCCACGGGAGACTAGCCTCGATGCCTGATCTTGCCGAACACCGTATGCTACTCTTATGTCTGTTCGAGTAGGAGCTGGTGGTGGGCCTGAACGTTCATATGGCTGCAGTACGATACTTTCCTTCCCGATCCGTCAACCACTCACGCGTCGTGCTTCTTTCGAGCCGCCTCCCACTCGCCGACGTGTCTTTCTCGCTCTTCAGCTTTCACTACTAGTGCTAGGTGTTTGGTCTCTCCCTCTCGCTTCCATGGCTCGTGTCTCTTCGTGTGTCTTAGCACTGGGCAGCGTCGCCCTGACCGCTATCGAGTTTCTCTGCAGTTCTCTCATCTCGCAGTCCCGACTCCGGTACATTTGTGCGACGACACCGTCGCGTGTGCAACACTATCCGAGGAGCAAGTCGAGCAGAACGTGGCGAGTCGAGTCGCGTTTCGATATCGGTAAGTGTTCCTCTAGTTTCGACGGCCTAACTACTCGTTACAGACCACCACCGTCGCCCTTCACCGAGCCCTACGTCCATCTCGACCAGTCGACATCCCGGCATCAGGACGAGCGCGCGTGTTTTGTTGGTGCTTGTCCTCGCCACGCACGCGTTCTTTCCGACAGCAGGGACACGCGAATGCATATCAACTTGAAGCAGGACATCATCCCTCACGACGAGACGCCAGCCTGAGCCGCGTCGCGACTCGGTGACGGGGAATCACCGCCCTCAAGCCCAAATACTGCGAGCCTACGTCCCCAGCAACCCTCGAGCCTGGCGACTACCAGTCTTCTCCCCTCATCAACCTCCGCCCTCAGCAAACCTCGACCCCTCTGTCCGCCCTCCATCATATGCGGCTCACACCGTTCGCGCTGTCCCGCCGTCAAGCATGGTCACCCCGTATGTGTCCACTATCACGCCGTCGAAGGCCTACCGCGCCCATCCGCTCAACGCATACGCGCACCCCAGCATGCTGACGCCATTCGTGCACTTGATCGGGCCACCTCCCGACGTCGCGCTCGATTCCCGTACCTCAGGCAACCTCGGCCTCCTCGTTCGTAGTAGGTGCCGCACAAACGCCATCCTCCGACACCGCTCTTCTGTTCCCCGTCCCCATGCTCGCCGTCCTCTCCCTCGACGACCTCTCGCCCTAACGCTGCAGCCATGGCGTCCGCAGTTGCTCGCCTCCGCCGCACGCAAGCACTCCCTCGCATCCTCCTTCGCCGCGTCCTCGTTTAGCCGTGCCATGACATACCTCCCCACTGCCGCCATGCCATGATGTCCGCCCTTTCTAGCGGCGACCCGCAACATCCGCCGACCGCAACATTCGTCAAGCCGCTGGGACAGACACCCTGGTGTCATTCCCTTATAGAAGGCGAAGGCGAAAGAGCCGTCGACAAAGCCGCTCTCCCCCGACGCGGCGTCGCCGCAAGTAGCAGCGCGCCCGCGGCCCGCTCCGAAAGCCGAGCGGCGCAAGCCCACCATCAAACCGACCGAAGCTCTCGTGCGTAGCCCCGGAGCGCTCCACTCATGACCTGCACGCTGAGAGACCGACGGCGGGCGGTGCGTCTGAGACACCCGGCGCTGTGCAGCGGCTCCGTGTACTGCTCAAGCGACCCGCACTCCAGCTCATACGAATAGGCGTGCGGAACAAGGGCTCTCGTACCAGCTCCAGTACGTCGGCAAGCCGGGCAAGTTCGACGAGGTCGTTGGGCAGGACGGCGTGAAGGTCCTCATCGACAGCAAAGCGCTCTTCTCCATCATCGGCAGCGAGATGGACTAGCACGAGGGCGCACTGAGGTGCCTCATCCCCCCGCGTTTCCTCTTGTGATCGTGCTCATCTCGCTCGGTATGCGCAGCGCGAAGCTCGCGTTCAAGAACCCGAGCATCAAGGACGCGTGCGGGTGCGGAGAGTCGTTCAGCGTCGGTTCGTGAGCCAAGTGCACCGAGCCTCAAGTGTACGCTTATCACGTTCTCTATATCACCCCGGATGACGCCTGTGCGCACGAGCTAATATCCCTGCTTCACCACATCTGTATCCATATATTCCTACCCGGTGATATACTAGACAGTATTCGGACCGTAAGCTTCACCGTCTCAGGCTCATGAGGCACGATATTGTAGGTTTGCATGCAAGTCTGTCACGACGACGCTCCGTTAGTACCTACACTTCGCTGTGTTGTCACAATGCCTGCATGTTTTGCGTCGAGGCACCAGGAGGTCATGACGACATTCTCGCTCGATCGTCAGCGTTCGTCGACGTCATCTGGAGGTCGAAGACTTCGGTGAACTCATTTGCGCTCCCTGTGTTTTCGTCTCTGTGGCTCACGCGCTCAATCTTAAGCAATTAAGTACGGTCCCAGTAGCGACACAAGTTGGATATATAGATCAATTGAAAGTCTGTCTCGAGCACACAACCATACCATCGTCTGTCCAACACAATTCCAAGAGATGATCGTGCATGATACAAGCATGAGTGAGCGCGAGCTCTTTCTCCGACAACAACATATTGATCCGTGTTGCGGCCGCGGGGCCATTCTATACGTTGAGATCGCACAACGAATTAGCAGAGCGGCCTCATGAGGATGGTTCCATACTCACGAATTACATGCAACATTACGAGCCAGGGGTTGCAAGGACGTCAGTCCGTGCTGCCTCGAGGACCCTCGGCCTGCGGTTGCACCTCCTCTCCGGCGGTGTTCGTCTGTTCAGCTTGCTTACTCTGATCATGTATCTGATCCGTGTCCTCCGTCCAGCTGTCGTATTCTAGGAAGTTATGCATAGTGCTTCAATGGACACTCAGCTTTCCTTCGCGATCTATCCAACTCCAGAGTACTACATACCTCAATATACCTCGTCCATGCGAGCGTGGCATATTCCGCCTGACGAGCTCGTCCAACCGATCGTACCGTTCTCGCAGTGCTGAACCCATCCCAATAAGCTCATTGCCAGACGTCCAAAGGTTTCCATCGTCGTCAACACCTATACAGAAGCCGCGCGACACAATAGTACCGGAGAAGCGCTTCTCCTGCAGTGTACTGTCCAATCGCGCCAGGACATCATCCTGCTCCATTGTCGTCAGCAGTCCGTCCAGGTCTTCGGCCTTGTGGTCTGTCCGAAGCAATAGAACAACAACCATAGCTTGGAAGTGTTTCGAGACGATGTTAGACAGAATATGCGGAATCCAGGGCCATGCTGCGAAGGGGTGGTACAGCCAGATCTCCAACTTCCACAGCTGGTCGTGGTGTGAAAGGTTGTAATTTCGCTCTGTAAGCATGAAACAATCAGCAAAGCGGCTCCAGAGAGAACAAAGAAAACTTTCCGACTGTGGCATCAATTGCACCATCACGAACAGGAGAACTGTGATCGATATGGAGCACAACCGTTTCTGCAGATGTGGAACTCGCATCCAGCAAAGTCTGGGTTCTGCTGACTGCCGAGGATGGTTCCAACTCGCCGTCCACTCCAAGATCGACAAAGCGCACTTGAGAAGCCCGGCTGATCTGCACGAAGAGGTCTTCGACTGCTGGTGCAGCCCATCGCACTTGGAGATGCTCCAGATTTGCACAGTTCAGTGGAAGGGAGGCCGGGGAGACGTGCTGTTTCTGCAAGCAGTCAACATTGAAGCACCATAATTTCCTAAGCCACGGGAGTGCTGAAACGAGGCGGGACAGCTGGGCGGCGCTCGACAAGGTGACATTGTAGATGTCTAGAGCGTCGATGTAGCTGAACACCCCTAGGAAGCCGATGTCCTCCATTCGGACCGAGCCCATGGTCCACTCAGCATTTTCAATGGTGATCCGCGACAACCTCGGGGCCTTGCCCGCGAGCATAACAGCAAACATACCCAGGTGCCGGATCGGTTGACGCTCCCCGGGAGAAGCACTCGAAATAACGACCTGTTGAATGACCTCACGGAGGCGAGGTTTTGCGCGGAGTGTCTTGGAGAGCGAGAGGACGTCCTTCCGGTCTCGTAGATAGATGCATTGACGCAGATGGTACCACGTCAGGGAGTACCAGTCTTGGCATACGAGCGCGCAGGATGTGAGAGTGATCAGATGTGGCTCGCCCTTTGTACGGATATAACCCGTATTGCATCCCGCAGCTATGTAGTCGATGATCCGTTCACAGACCTCCACAGGAAGCCGCGGGATCGAAGGACCACGAGAGGAGTCCTCGGACGTTGACGCAGCTGTCCTGTAATCCACATGTGTAAACTATGGTACCCGCGTCTGTTCAGTGACACTTACATTGACTCGGTTTTGTCCATTGCGCTGACGTGGGATGTGCGCGATGGCGATGTGATCGCGCTGTCACACCGACGGAGGTCTCCTGCAGGTCTGTGGCGACAACTACGCAGACCCTCGACAATGGAAACACGTAACTAACAGCAGCGTCTCAGATCGCGGCTCTCCAAGTACACTAGCATAGTATGATAACACACCACCTGATATCCGGTATGTATACTGGCCCCCAGACAAGCCAATATGCGCCGTCTTGGTCGTCGGTTCGCGCGGTGCTGGCGCCCGTTGGTGGTCGCGACGCTAAAAGGAAAGCACGGTGTCAGTAAAGAGATTCGTTGGCGAGAGCGGAGTCGTACCTCGTGAGAACTCTCACAGCAATACTCTTGGTCTGCGCTGCAAGAACTCAGCTTGAAGCTGGACGAGGGGGAGAGCGCGGGGACAGCGTTGAAGGCAATGATGTGGTATATATCATAAATGCATCGATACAACGTAGCGCGCGCTCGCCGGCGTAAAGCGTGCCTCCTTCATCATTCTGGGTACGCGTCTGACCGGCCGAGATCCAGTACTATGTACCATAACTAATCAGAATAGACTATCGGCTCTTATGGTCTGCACCGCGCTCAGTTCTACTCGACGTCGAGACCTGTCGATACGTACCCCTACGCGCTCACGGCGGCTCGACGCAGGCTGAGGCCTCCTCAACATGTCAGATCGAAAGCCGGCGTCGATGCCAGTACTTGCGTTGCAGCCGCTGGTCAAGTTTCTCAATGCAATACAGTCACTACTCGTCACCGCCCTCGATGGGTTCGTCCCCGAGCCGTATTTTGCGCGAATAAGACATGCTGCGCAGGTGCGTAGCTAGATCAGTGGAATGCGACGTGAGAGGATACCTGGATCACGCTGGGAGTGTCATGCCAGGCCATATGCCTCTCAGTGAGGTATGCAGCCCTTGTGTCGTGTACAAACATGATCCGCTGACATGCGAAAGGTGCTTGCTGCCTCTGCTCATTACCTCTGCACTAGTGTGCATAAGCTAGAGACAGAAATTGAACTTGAGACGAAGGCTCGCCGTCGAAGACTGCCGCCTGCCCCAAACCATCCCGGACCTGACCATCGAAGTTCGCGAGTCATAGTCACCGTCTCGGCAACATGCTTCGCGACCTTGCGCTCCTGCGCGCATCAGACTGTGCCCTCTGCTCTGCTCTTTGAATAGAGTACCTTCGAAGGCATCCTCTCTTGCTGATGGACAGGCCGTACGCACACTGTTACATACCCTCGACTCGCACCGTGACTGATACATCGACTGAGCCACATTGTCACGATATACACATACAACGGCAGCTATCTAACGAGGATTTGTGTCATCGAGCATCCTAATCACGAGGATTCCAACACATACCAGTTGAACATTTCGCTGACCCTCGTCAAACATTGCCCTCCACCATTCGTTTTGTATCCTGCATCCTAACGGCGTGGAGACCTTGGAGCCGATCGTACACTCGAGCCAACCACGGCTGTTCGTCAATGTATAACTTTCGCAGCTTCTTTGCGTCGAGGAAAGGGAACAGACGGTCAAGGAAGAGTGCGACGTCCATCACGTCGGTCTTTTGACTGTTTGAGATGCCCGTGTGGATATCGAGGTAGTCGAGCTGGTGTGACAGGATCGGGTATGTGTCAAGGCCCGCCGCGAACGTCAAGTTCATGGACGAGATGTCCAGCCTACGTAGGTGTGGGCATGACCTCGCGATGCGCGGTAGACAGTCTAGAGTGGGTCTCGCCATGACCACATCTTCCGCAGTCATCCATCGAATATGCAGGGAGAAGATATTTGCCCAGGCGGAAGCGAGTGTACAGAGATCCTCATCGGAGAAAGCGATTTTCGACCAAGTAGACAGACTGACGGTGTGTAGGTTGTGGAAGCCGAGCATCAGTGGGATAGGGTGCAAGGGCGAACCAGAGCCACCGTGGGCCGATTGAAGCGGTAGCTCCAATAATTCGAGCTTGTGCAGCGCCGCATTGAATTGAGACTTGATTATATTCAACAAGTCAGTGGCTGTTTGACGATCGCAGGGGTCAATGGTGACCTCCAATAAAGTGATATCCGACGTTGCAAAAGCCATGAGGACGCTGCCGATGGATCGAGGATTGCCTCGAACGCAAAGCACCTTGAGAGCGCGGAACCCGTGAGACCCCCAGTGGACAACATCCTGACCAAGCTCGGAGACGTGCCTCACGTCCAGCTTTGTCAGATTGTCCAAGGAAGACAGCACACCTAGATATGCGCACTGACTTGGATGTCCGCCTATGGTTACTTCTCGCAGACCACCACATTTGCCGAAGGGAATGAAGCAGTAGGGGGAGGCCTCGGACAACACTGACAATTTCTCGAGACATGGTACGGCAGCAGCCACCTGCTCGCATAGCGCCTCGAAAAGAAATCTGCATGGAACTGAATCCATGTTCTTGACAACTGCTCCCGAAGCACCGGTGAAATGGAAGGTCAAGGATCGGAGTGAGGGCGAGACAAAGTAGAGAACATCGTGATCGGTCACATTATAGTGTGTCCAGGCCAGCGTTCGGAGTCGTGGCAATAGCGGCTGGTGGCCCAGAGCCCTGGACAAGGAGAGTAGTACGGATGAATGGCGACGGACTAGATAAGGGCTTCGCGTTATATCGAGACTGATGATCCTCCGCGCATACAGCTGAAAACGATGTAAATCCTCGGAAGACAGCCTGCCGAGCAGGGTCTAGCCGACTTTGTCAGTGATGTGGCTAAAGTCACAGGATAAAGGAGGGCTCACATATTCAGTAGTATCACGACCACGGTAGTCTTTATGGACCGTTGCCTGCTGGAAGGCCGGTAGAACCTTGAGCAAAGGTCGTAGATCGTGCATGCTCCTCCAGAGAACGTCCAATGCAATGTCGTGGACGAATTTGTCAACGCGTGCGCATGATGCCAGTGTTTTCCGTCGTTCACGAATTTGAAGGTATTCCACCCCGTCCCACGGGTATAGGTGATCGAGAATTTCCTCAATGATATCTTCTATCTGGAAAGCCCGGGAGGCAGCCATGTTTGCGGCTCTGAAGGCAGTCCTAGAGAACGAGGATGTAAGTGGGAGAGGGGCATATGTCTCCCAGGTGCCAGTGAGTCTACGCAGCCACCGATCGATCGCAACTGCGCGCCTCGATGCCGAACCTTGCCGAACACAGTACTTATACTACGCGCATTCTTGCTCAGTTCTACCGTTCGACATCGATGCCCCCTACGCGCTCGACGCAGGCTGGGGCCTCCTCAACATCTCATATCGAAAGCCTTCGCCAATCATGGGCTGCAGCCGCTCGTCGAGTTTCTCGATGCGTTTCACTCACCGCTCGGTACCGTCCTTGAAAGGCTTACCCTGCATTTTGCGCGAATAAGACATGCTGCGCAGGTGCGTAGTTGAATGCGATGCGAGAAGATGTCTGGATCACGCTGACACGACAAAGGTACTTGCTGCCTCTTACACCAGTGTGCGCAAGCTAGAGACAGAACCTGAATCTTGGACAACAGCTCTCTGTTAAGACTGCCTGAACCATACCATCCCGGACCTGACCTTCGGGTTCGCAAGTCACTCTCACCGTCTCCTAGGTGCCTTCTCGCCCTTGCAAGTCATCCTTCCCTTGGCGCCCCCGTTCCGAGTCAACCACGCTCATACGGCGCGGTCTCTAACACAGTGCGCACGTCCGCGTGAGGGTCCACCGCAGCTAGATTGTCCCCGCTGGACATTTATTGTTCACCGGCTCCGCGTCGCTACGAGCATTTTCGTCCCGTCTTCACTGGTGCCACAGATCGTTTGGACGAACAACCCGCGCAAGCTATCCCTGCCTCAATTAGCGATGGTAGAGGAAGGCCGTGGATGTCTACAACGGCGTTAGTACCGCGCAACTCCGTTTCTAGTCGCAAATACCTGCCTTACAAACCGGATACATCAGGAAGGAGTACTTTGTCACCGAGCGTCTTCTTGATAGTGGATGCATCCGCAGGGATCATGCAGGAGTTGGCCACAAACGGCCTGGTAGGTGCATAGCGAAGCGTAGTGTGGTCAGCTAATAGCATCCTTACACAATATACGATAGATGGCTCACGCACCGCCGCCCGACAGAGAACACGACTCTGAGCGGGTCCCTATCCTCGGGTTCTGGCTCACTCAGTGCTGAGAGCCATCCTGGGACGAGCATCTCTGCGTCTCTGTAGAGCTCTTCATCGCGCGTCGTGGCCCTGGGACGAGCACGGAAGGTGTCAGACTCCGCTGCAGAGGAAAGATGCGCACGTAGCGTCTCGATGCCTCGGGACTGTGCGGTCGGTAGATGAATACGCTGAGCATATAAGGTATACATCAACTGGTTAAAATAGCAGAATGCATACGAGCTCGAGCAGGCATATATCAATCGTGTGCAATCCGTCAACTCTTACTGCGCCAATGGTGACCACGCACATACGAGTACTCAAAGTGAGGTGTTCCGCGCACGTAGTACGGTACAATCACCGATGTGCAGAGCATCTAATCCAGCACTGCGATGCCGTCGAGAATCAGTTGCCGGGTCCGGTCAGATCGAGGATGGATGTCGCAGACAAAAGGTTCAGGACGCCTAAGCATGCTATGAGGGAACAAGTACATGCCGTCCATGATGTGACTCACATGATGGTACCAGAGATGTACATCGGCGTTGGGGTTATCTCCTCGCCACGCGCGTTCCGCGCCTTGGTTATGTCCATGGTCGCTACAATGCTCGCGATCCCGAGCCACAGATTATCGTCAGCAAAATATCGCCCTGGGCATATCCTGCCCAATTTCAGACTCAGTGTATGTCGGAGATCTAGAAATGCACCTCCGGCCAAAGCCAAACACTATCTTCCTGGGATCTATGAGGTCGGGATTCTCGCTCGAGTTCGAACCGAGGAATCGCTCCAGCTTGAAGACTTCCGGCTCTGGATATACCTCAGGATCTCGACACATTGCCCTAGATCATTCATCATGGGCACAGAAGACACAACAGAGGCTGTACAAGCGTACCAGAGGTTTGAAATTACCATTGAACCCTTGGGGAGGTAGTAACCTCGGTACGCATCATCTTCTGTCAGCCGATGGGGAACAGCTGGGATGAGAGCGACTCAGCGAGGGAGCGATGGACTCGGACAGTGATGTCACTTACAAAGGGGAGCTACAGGGCACCATCTCCGTCCGTCCGTCAAGAATGTCAGTATCGTCCATATCTGTAGGATTGCAAGTATCCGCGCACCTATATACTTCCAACAGCACGCACTCGAGATACGTTAATGATGCTCGGTCGTCAAAGTCCGGGAGCCTTGCGTCGCCGACTACGCGGATCATCTCTGCTTGGGCTTTCCTGAAGACATCGGGATGCTGCACCATCATGAGGATGAACACAATCATGGTTGTCAACGACTAGATGCTGTGAGATCATATCGGCGCTCCTTGCTTTTAATCGGTTCGAACTTACCGAGTCGGTGCCCGCTGTGTGGGGGTCGCGTCAAAATAGTGCCACCGCACGAAGCCCCGTAAGGCAACATACCGAAATACAGTGTGCCTGTGGCACCCTTGATATCGTCTTCGTCTTTTGCTGTCAAGGATCCTTTACGCGAGCAATCCTCTATCAAGGCCGCGGTGAATGAAGGCCGGGCAATACCGTCCACCTACACTAACGATCAGCTGATGCTCAAGCGATCCAACCGAGCACTACTCACAATTTCGTCTTTGACAGTATTGTATGGTATCATCTCCATGTTCTTGACGGCTTTCCGAGCCTTCACAGCAGAGTACTTGAAGCCCATTCCAGGCAGCCATGCAGGGAAATATCGCACTAGGGCTATGAGCTGACCATATACCGACACGTATCACCCGGTCACTCACAGAATGGGATGAAGTCCACCAGTGCAGCACCAGTACTACTCTCAACAAGCGCAGCTCTAATACCATCCTCCGTCAGCTTCACAAACTTACCACCGTCCAACGACGCGATATCATATCCATAGCCGATCTCAAAGATGATACCCCCGGTATACCTGTTCAAGGGCTATTAGTACCAGGTCGATTAGACATGTCGCTACTCTCACCTTTTCATCTGATACACGAAGTCGTCCGGGTGTCGTAGGAGGTTCAGCAACAACCGGCGTGCTTCGCGGCGCTGCACCGGATGGTAGCTGTCCACGGCAGACCTGGCGATGAACGCGTGCTGGAACCATTTTCGCATACGTCGCCATGTCTCGTTATACCCGCAGAGTGAGGTGTTGGAGGTCCATCCAATCCTGCAGTGGGCCGTTCAAAAATTCACTGTGTAGATGTCGAAGTGATCCAAGTAACGTACAGCTCATGGAACCACACAAACCGCGGTCGATCGGAGTATATCGACCCGCGCTTGTCCATAAGGTCAATCGCAGCCTTGACGGAGCTGAGGATGATCGTGGGCCGCGTGAAGATTTTGACGTAGACGACATCCCCTACACACGGTATCGGTTGTCAATCTCCTTGAAGGTAGTTCATTCAGAGAACTCGTACCATACTGGGCAGCCCACTTCGTGAATGTAAGGTGCTGGTCGTTTTGCGGCAACTGATGTGCATTGCCAAGGAGAGGGATGCGCGGGGGTCCGGGAGGTAAGGGTCCGGGTCTCGGTGGGTGCAGAACGTACGGAAGAACGGCAGCTGCCAGACATAGGCCGGCGAGAGCCATGATATCCGCTAGGGCAGGCATACTGAGAATGATACAAGTGTACCGCAAGAGGGTGTCACGCCAGCCAGCTATACATACTTACTGTGAAGATCCCGATATCCATCGTGTATATGCCAGTGTGTTTGCAATCCGGAGGGCATGTTCGCGAACCTTAGTTGACTGTGTCCCGCGGTTCTCGATGCCTGCAGATACACTGCGACTCCATGATTCGTCCAGCTATCTCCACAGATTTGGTCGATGGTCATGGGGCCTTTCAACGAACGCAAACGATCAATACGCATGGTATAAATGGCAAGGGATATACCCGGGCAGCAGGCGAATGTTGCGTCGATTAGGCGTCGAAGTATTCTCGTCAGGACGTCGTTGATCATGGGAGTTGTATGTGCTTACCAAGGTGGTTTGAGTTCAAACGTGGCTGGTTCAGAGCCTCGCCGGAGACGATATTGAAAAAGCTGTGAAGAAGTAGGATGGCCACTAGGGTCATTGTACATAGCTATTATGAATGTGCGACTCGGCGACCCGGCCGTATGCGACCCATGACCAGATCAACGGCGTAACGAAGACACAGGCTTGTCCAAGGGGGAAAGCAGTATCAGCAGTCATGATTCAAGCAAACACGCCGATGGAAATGCTCAGTCGCTATGATTTGATGGAATCATGCAGCAAACGAGTCGAGGTTGAGGCCACTGGTGCGACTCGGAAGACGCGCTTGTGGCGCCAAACTGCCATCTGAACTCCGCCTGAATGAAAGGTGGCGCAGATTCGAACGCTGCCTGGCCAATGATGAATCGATGACACTTGACTCGCATCTCGCAATAATCAGTACCTCAGTATGCTTTCTGTGCCCCGCCAAGGCAACGAGGCCACATACGTACGTAAGTATGGGACGTGGACGTAGATGCTCATTTGCGGCCCCACTGCACAGCAGCTTGGAGCATCGATGCGGTTTTCACTGGGAGCTTCGAAGTCGTTGGGACAAAAGCCCGTCGCGGCCCCGTGACCTATTTACTCCCAGGCAAGTGGAACGCGCTACGGTCGAGAGCCACAGCGAGGGGTGGGTCGAGGCCTATGACAGCAACCCCACAGTATTCCGTCATAAGTGCGTGTCATTGTCCTCAGGTCGTATATATATCCCCGTCTTATTGCTGCTCCAGCCAAATCACTTCGCCTCATATTTCAAACACGTTCAAGTTCTGGCTTCTATACGCTTCACCAGAAGACTACTTACCACGATGACCACTCACGGTAGGCGTCCTTATACGCGCACATCGTGTTTGGCCGTTCTGACGCGACTCTCCTACAGGAAAGGATCCCACTCGTGTCGCCGCTGGCCTGAAGGCTGCCATCAACAACCCCAACGTCAGCGAGGAGGGCCGAGAGCGGGCTGCAGACAGGCTCGACGGGATCGACGGTGGCGCTCATGGCACCAACGGTAGCACTGCAACCACTTCGGTCGAGGACCAACACCGGAACCGCGAGCTGGGCGGTTACAAAGCGACGCTGCACAGTAAGTTCAGCCTCGCGGTTCGATGTGACCTCGCGTCATTGACTGCCCGCTGCTTAGATGACCGTACTTCCGCTCAGGCCAAGGAGCACGCACGAGAGGTGCTCGAGGCCGCCGGCTACACTGTCGAGCCAGGCCCTGGCGTGACTGAGGACGAGCATCAGACTCGTGTCCTCGCTGGTTACAAGGCTGCTTTGAATAGTGAGTCTTGATTCTCCACAGAGGATTGATTGGTTGACAAAGACGCGTTGTAGACCCTCGTGTTTCCGAGGAAGCTAAACAGCACGCCAGGGAGTACCTCAATGAGTACGGTGCTTGAATCGAGTTCCCGGTTTGTTATCGTATAAATATCGAGGGATAAATGGTGTATCATAGTGTATCTCATAGTTGTGTAACACGTCTCCTGTCAAGTCCTTGAATCTTCCACAGCACCGACTTTCGTCTCGAGTATGAGTGAGCTGACGGGAACCTTTCGTACCTACGAGTCTACCCTTCGCCACAAGTCAACCTGACGCGGCGACGCGGTGAAGCAGTCTCAAACCATATTGTGGTTCTGCGCCTTTAACCGCTTCGCCGTACATTGGCCATCTATCTATATTTTGACGGTGCGTACTGAGTAACTCTTATTAGTACGTAGAGGCTGCGTACCGGTATCACTCTTAGCGCCTCCGTGACGCGTCTGTGGCTGCTCAAAGCTCCGCTTGAACTTGCCATCAGGGCTGCCAACAGACTGATTTCTTCCTCGACCGAGCTCCCCCTGGCTCCTGCAATCCTCCGAGCACATCGCGATGTCGAATCCAGCTCTCAAGCAATACATCTGATCTAACATGCAACGGCTCTAGTTTACACCGTCCTATCGTTTGCAGCTGCACTTCATTGCGCCCATCAAATGCACGGGCCCGTCGGCCGCGGCTTTTATGCACGCCCAGGTCAATAAATCACTGCCAAATGATGCCGCCTGGTGCTCAGGTCCGCATTTCCGACCATGGCTAAAGTCAGCCAGGCGTTTCGAGGTTCGTGACGTTTCGTTGGTCGGCTGACATGCCCTAAGATGGAGCTAAGTATCGTATGTGTGCCCGGGTTGGTCTCGTACCCATCCGATGGGAGGAAGTTGCACCCTACCACCGCACTTAGGGAGGAGTGCGGTGGTAAAAGGGTGCGACGTCCTCCCATCGGATGGGTACCAGCCCGGGTCAGTTTGGCCTCGGGTTCCCTGAGGTATCTCACAGTGTGCCGAACAAGCTCGCAAGGATTGACGAGTGGTACTTTTAGTACGGGCTTTATCCGGCTCAATACCGATTCCGGACCATCCGAGTTACCGCCTCCTTGGTAAGTTATGTGATGGCGCTCGACGCCTCGTAAATTGACAGATCCATGCACATACGCGCGCAAATAAATGGTCAGCGCGCGAGCGTGGCGGGATTTAGCCTGCCTTGCTCTCAGGTCCCTGCGTTCAGAGAGGTCGTCGAGCCATCGCGGCCGAGTGCCCTTGACGTCGCTCTTTCTGTGGTCATGCTACTTTCTCTACTTCTGTGTCTTCTTTCCTTGATAGCATGTGTTCTCTCTCAGGCGCAGATCCAGACCTTCTGGCCCGCTGCAGCTCCGATCGCTGTCCGCAGCCCCTACCTGAATGTGTGGCAGACCGCGATCTCGACGAACGACTACCCCATCTCCTGGAATGGCTCAGTACATTCGCTGCCATCTGAATCATAGTGTTTTTGTGATCTGACAGCTCGGATAGGTCCTTGGGTGGGTGGGCCTGATCCGCGTCGATGGGAGCACGTATCGGTGGCTCGGAAACAACTTCGACATGACGGGCTCAGTGGGCGCGGGGTGCAACGTAACCTTCACAGAGGTGACGCCTACTCGGACGATCCAGACTGTCCAGGCAGGTCCTATGAACATGACGCTCACCTTCCTGAGCCCGATCGAGGTACGTTTCTGTGCTGCTTCGGGAAGCATGGTCCTGACTTCTCTCGCTGGAAGCCCTCGGACTGGGTGAAGCAGTCGATGCCGTTCTCGTATCTCGCTGTTGAGTTTGCGTCGACGGACGGGAAGCAGCATGATGTTCAGCTCTACTCCGACATCAGCGCAGGTGAGTGAGGCTTCTTCCGCTTACCTACCAGCAATCGAGTTCGAATCACACAGAGTGGGTGTCCGCCAATAAGGGATACGTTGCGGAATGGAGCACCAATCAGACAGACAACATGGTCTACCATGCCATCAAGCTACAACAGGCAAGGGCTTTCGACGAGGAGTACCAACAAGCCGCCGATGGCACAGCTTACTATGCGATGTCGCTCGTAAGTGCCGAAGCGTGCCGCGGCGATGACTGGAACCTGATATCACGCCGACTTAGGGTTATGGTCAAAGTGTCGGGTGGCAGAGTTGTCAAGACACAGTCTGCTACGAGACATTTTACGGGTCTGGCGCTCTCAGCAGCAAGAACGACAATGACACTTTCCGTGCCATCTCGACGTAAGTCGCAGGATCCCATACGAGTAGCCATGAGTTTACGAACTGAGTTGCCCACTTCTGTGCTAGTGACCTGCCTGTGTTCGCGTTTTCCGTGGACTTCGGAAGTGTTAGCGGGACACAATCTCCGGTCGTCTGGACCGTTGGCTACGTTCGCGATCCATCTATCGAGTACACGCTCTTAGAAGACGTGACGACTCTGCGCCCATACTACACTAGTCAATACTCCAACGCTCAGGACGTCGTAAGTGTTCGCGTTTGTGTTCTAAAACTGTACTCACGTAGGACCCATCAGGTCGAAACATTCCTTTCCGATTATAACGACGCTCTAAGCAGGGCTGAAGCTCTGGATAGCCAGGTTCAAAGTGCCGCGTCGAATGTCTCCTCTGGAAGCCAGTACTACAATATGCTCTCCCTCGCCGCCCGCCAAACGTTTGGTGCACTCGATCTGACGACGTCAGGTGGCTCGACGAGGTTCTTCATGAAAGACATCGGCTACAGTAGGTGAGTGTACGAGTGTCGGTTCGCATGTGCTAACCTCATCCGCGGAGCAGCCGAGTGACTCCCGTCGAGACGCTGTATGCCGCACTGCCGATGTTCCTGTACTTCAACGCTTCGATGGTGAAGCCGTTCCTTCTCCCGCTGTTGGAGCAGCAGAATACTTCGTATACTGCTCAGTACGCTGCGAGGGATATTGGTGAGTTAATGGAATGTCCCCCTTGGGCGTTACTCTTCTCATAGCGCCTTCAGGGACCTCTTACCCTGTCGTGTCAGAACCGAGCGCGGAAGCTAACGAAGGGATCGAACGTGAGTTCGGCATTGCAGAGATTGAGCTCAGCTGATTCGACCCACAGAATCGGGCAACATGCTGATCATGGTCTTGGCTCATGCTACGTATTCGAGCGACTCGACATTGCTCCAGGCGTATGTGAGTCAGGTCTAACAGCGCGTTGATGGGTAGCCGAGTCACACCTTGTCTAGTATTCTCTGCTGAAGACGTGGGCCGACTATCTTGTCTCGAATGCGTTGTATCCTGCAAATCAGTAAGTGGACATGTTTACTGTGATCGTGGCTCAGCGTATCAAATCACATCCGTGTCAGATTATCCGTGGATACAGAGAGCACAGCCAGCAATTCGACCAATCTTGCTCTCAAGGGCATCATCGGTATTCAAGCCATGGCAAACATCAGCGCTGTCCTGGGAAGAGACGAGGATGCACAACACTACTCCGTAAGCGTCTGTCTCCGTTCATTCCACAAATATGATATCAATTACGGGTTTGTTGTGTAGTCGGTTGCAACACAGTACACCGAAACTTGGAGAACGCTGGCTATGCCGTCAGACTCAACGCATATCATACCGACATACGGGGACGCGTCGTCGGCTTGGTCGCTGTCATACAACATGTATGCCCACACGCTCCTCAGCTTGAACCTGTTAGACGAAAAGGTGAGGGCATTGATCGCCGTGTCGAGAGATGATGATTGAGCCTTCGGGAGATCTTCACGGGCGTCACGACCTATTACCAAGGACTGTTTCAATCCGGTGCCAGTAGGGTCTCACCTCAGCTGCAGTGATCGAATATCTGATGCGTCTTCTCCTCTCCTCAGACTATACTTACGGTCTACCGCTCGATAGCGACCATGATACTCTCGGTAGTCCAGGTAAGCTGACCTAACCAACAACTCACAGGGACCGTCGCTGATGTTCTGCAGCGTGGATGTCATTGACCGCAGCGGCTCTCACGGATACAGGTGTTCGCCAGCAGATGCTGAGTCATCTGTGGGAGTTCGCTTCGTCGAGCGTCACTTCGGCGCCATTTGCGAGTAGGTACAGCGTCTCCAATGGGAGTTACATTGGCGGCACTGCAAGGTAAGCTTTCTAGTAGTCGGGCCGTACATGCGACTTGACATAGCTTCTAGTCCCGCTCAGGGTGCCTTGTTTGCTCCTCTGGTGTTGAGGTAAGCAAGCATAATCCGCGATACTAAACCGAACTTACATCCGTACGTCAGTGGCAACCGTCTGAACGGGTCGCAAGGGCCGCCCTCAACGGGTTCATCTTCGGATTCATCGGGAAAACATCGTACACTCGTCGCAGCGATCGTAGGGGGCGTTGTGGGCGGGGTTGTTGGCCTCATATTAATTGCCCTGGGAGCTTTATTCTTCTACCGAAGACGCCGCGTACGGACTACCGCGATCGAGCCGTACCCCTCTCCGGTACTTCCGGAGAAGGACGTAGACGCTACAGCTTCGCCCAGCCGGCTTCTCTTGCTGCGCAAGCATTCGAGTCCAGCATCTGTAACGGGGAACACATCGTTCATCGGTGGCACTCCGTCCTCCATCTCGGCTCCGATGGTTACACAGAACGCACCTGCCTCCGTCATCGTCCTCGGCAATCCGCCGTCGGTCATATCGTCTGATACAGCGACGAGTTCAGCGCCCGCAAGAAGCGTTCCGGCACCTGCTCTGGCCTCGCCGCCTACTCCAACGGTGTATGACCGGTCAGCGCCAACCGGCTTCGCGCCGCTTTCTTCGAGTTCGTCTCGACCCTCCGAGCCGCTGGGAGCTGCAGGCTCGGTTACCGTATCGTCGCCGTTGCCCAGCGCGAGCACTGGCAGGGAAGACCCCGAGATCCAATCACCAGACGCTGCTCCCAAGCTCAGTCAGGATCGGGACGCGGAACTGGCGAGCCTGCGCAACGATATGCAGCAACTTCGTCAAGAACTGCGTCGGGTGGTGCCTGTTCTGGAGCGGCTGGAGGAGCCTCCGCCGGACTACTGGTCGCAATAGCCACGTAGATGGTCTTTTACAGGATGGGGTAGAGTTTGCAATGTTATTGCTAGTGATTGAATTCTGCTAGTGAGTAGCGCGCTTTCGGGTTCTCTAGCCGTCGTTGTGGTACAACTTCAAATATCTCGTTATTGGTGTATATATTGCATCCCCTTTAGAATCGCATGATCTAGGTACAACATGAAAGCGCCTATGAGCTTGGTCCTCGAGTCCAAACTTTCACCATTCAGAGTCAGGGGCCTGAGAACGAGAATGAGACCATTCCACTGCCAGGAAATTCCAGCAGATCAGTGTGCTGCATAGGGACGTCACGTGCTGCTGTCTACTGGCACGCCCAGTTCCGCTGTTGCACTTTTGTTGCACTCGCCGACGACGGGCTATAAAGAGGCCCAGGGCACTGTTCTTCGCGCTCTAATACAACTCTTCCTTGAAAAACCTCCACCCGTGGGTGTTGGCCACGATCGAGTCGGGGCTGGGCAGCGACAATTGGGCTGGCAACTTGCTCGGCCACAGCGGCTTCTCTTCTCAATTGGAGTTTCATGTCTTCCGTACGCACGGTGCCGGTGCTTTGCCCAGATAGGTCTTCGAGCTATTATGGACGGCCGTCATGCGATCTGTCAGATTGTGGACCACATCGTCTACACGCTCGAACTCCGAGTCCATCTCAACAGATTGTTTCGCCGGCGCGATGTCGGTAGGCCGGGGCAGGCAAGGGAAATAATATTCGAGGCTTGGAGCAAGGCCACACAGGGTCTGAATGAACTTGGTTGTGAGTGACATTTGTTTCTTCGTACTGCCAGGAGCCAGAAAAGTCCCCCCTCTGCGTCTGTGGGGCCGTGGTGATGCAGCCCCATTAGAAGCGTGCTACGATGAATATGGAGCTACTTATGTATGCACTGACATCGTCTCGCTATACCGAGGGCGAGAGGATCATGCTCGTGTGTTAAAGCTATTCTCGTCACATCCATTCGGCACCTGGCTCAATCTGCCAGTGGCATGTCACTCGATCTGTGGCTCGTCAGTGCATCCCATGCCTAGCACTTAGGTTACGTTCCGATTGCTGACTACGCCCATAGCATGGCAAGTCTTGGAAGCCAGCGTGTATCAAGGTTGAGGGTGACTCGCACGTAAGTAGTTCAATTAGTCGCTTCGTATTTGGTGGGGCTATGTTGCACATCTGACCTTTCGCAATTGTACCAGGTCTTCTGTATTCCAAATACGAGCGGTTACCGCGAAGTCGCAGCTGTCTCTGTTGACATGCACGTATCAAACAGATGAGCCCCCTTCACAGCCCTGTCATGATGGAGATGCTCCGTGAGATGCAGGCGCCGCATGTTTTCGTAAGTCAGACTTCCTCCGGAACGTGCGTACCTGTGCTCTCAGCCACAACTTGCCAGGGAGTCCTGCACTGAAGCCATTTGACACTACGTTCGTAAGTACGTTTGGCAAGTCTCACGGCTATGCATGGTTCTGACGCTGTTTTTTAAGCGGCACGATCCTACCAACGCATCGTTGTTGCCGTATGTAGCCTCGGAACTGCGCGCTTGTAACGATGCCGAATACTATTGAACGCCCTGGAAGTTCCAATTAAGGTTCGGATGAGTCGAGGATGCTGAACCCAATCAGATTCGAATTTATCTATCACGCAGACCAGAAAGGTCCCGTTGCTGCGGGTTCCAGTGCAGGACGACTAAAGGACGACGGTTCTCGGAACAGAACCTCGGAAGATGACGCCGGTGGCGTGCCACCGTGCTTGCAATGTTGCGAGGAAAATTTGGCATGAGATGCCGAGCTGAAACCCTCACAATGAATTGGCATCGCTTCACCACAGAACAGCCAGCGGCCCGCACTGACAAGGTTCGCCGCCCGCGGTCAACTACGGGCGACGCTGACTAGGTCCCGCTCCCTCTCTGCTTCCTCCATGATGTTCCTTGTTCTGGCTCCATTTCTGTTTCTCCTACGCTTTGCCATCTTGCAAGTGCATGGCGCGCAAACATTCTGGCCATTAGCGATACCATTTGCTGTTCGCACACCTTACTTGAACTCATGGATGTACACAACGAAAACGTCGGGGAACATTACAAACGATTGGCCGTCTTTCTGGAGTGGAGGGGTGCGATCCTTAATGTCTGGTCATTCTCGTGGGCTGATCTCTGGGTTCAATAGATTCTTGGGTGGATATGCTACATTAGAGTGGACGGAAAGACGTACATTTTGTATGGCAACGGCAATCTCGCGGGCAACTACTCCGTGACACCTGGCAACTTTCCACAAACGGAACTGACCCCCACTCGTACCATACAAGTCATCGAAGCTGGCCCTATGAACGTTACGCTGACATTTCTGAGTCCCATAGATGTAGGTTTGTGAACCAGAAGTACCCTCTACGTTGCTGACACCATAGCAAGCCGTCTGATCTCGTACGCCAATCTCTTCCGTTCGCTTATGCGGCCCTGGACTTCACATCCACCGATAATCAACCACATGACATACAGCTGTACTCCGACATTACTGGAGGTGTGTAGTATTTAGAACGCGTGCGCGCATCTGGCTACTCGTGAGCTGATATTTTTCTAGAATGGCTGGCTAACAACAAGGGGCTGCAGATGTCGTGGAGTCCGCCGTCGCAAACCAGTAGCATGATCTATCACGAACTGCACCTCACGAATCCGACACCTTTTCAGGAGCAAGGAGGACAAGCCTTAGACGGTGCAGCGTACTTCGCGATGGAGCTGGTACAACAACTTGATCTTTGCCAAGGACTATGCTGACTTCAGTGGCAGGGACAACAAGGACGCGACGTCACTTGGCAGACTTGCTCAGACGTCGTCTGTCGCGAAGAGTTCCAAGATTATGGTCGCGTAAACGCGAGTGACAGCAATAGTACCTCTCGGGATATAAATAAGTAGGGGCGCTACATTCTGCTGCGCGCATCAGGAGCTCATGCATATCGCAGCGCTTGGCCCGTCTTCCCGATCTCGGTCGACTTGGGAAGTGTTGCTTCTCTGGACTCGCCCGTTGTCTGGGCCATTGGCTATGTACGCGATCCCAGCATCAGTTACACATTGTCAGGAAACACGGAATCCCTCCGCCCGTACTACACAACACAGTATCCTACCACCGAAGACGCCGTGAGTTATAACACAGCTAACTTTGTTGGCCCATGTCACTGAACTTCGCATATGTAGTTGGAGTTCTTCGTCTCCGATTTCAATAACTCACTGACTCAGGCAAACTTGCTCGATACGCAAGTCCGTGAAGCGGCTTCAAGCATTTCGGCTGACGGCAAACTGTACGACATGCTTTCGCTCGCCACTCGCCAGGTGTTCAGCTCTCTCGAGATAACGGCTCCCTATCAGTCGGACGGCACAACTAGGATCTTCATGAAAGACATGGGCACCAGCCAGTGAGTCATACTGGGTCCATGCAAGCACTCCGTATCTCACACGACAATCCACAGACGTGTCACTCCCGTGGAGAAGTTGTACGCCGCTCTGCCTTTGTTCTTGTACTACAATGCTTCGCTAGTCAAGCCACTCCTGGCACCGCTCCTTGAACAACAGAATACGTCGTTGGGCGAATATCCGTACGCATCAAAAGACCTTGGTGAGCTCTCATCACACTTTGCCGACAACGGTGTGTTGATGGTCTTATTCAGGCTCCTTGTTCCCGGATGCATCTGGTCCGAACCTGACATCTACAGAGGCAATCGAACGTGAGCATGCTTTGCCGCAGCAACGACACGCCTGCTGACCAATGGTGACTGTAGAGTCCGGGAACATGCTCATCATTGCACTCGCTCACGCCAGATACTCGAACGATACATCGCTGCTCCATGGCTATGTGCGTCTTCATCTTCGAGAGTTGTGTGCTTAGCTTAGCTTCTCATGCACGCAGTATCCCTTGCTCAAGAATTGGGCAGAGTATTTGACGGGACATGGGCCATTTCCTCCTCAGGGCCAGTGCGTATCATGTTTTATGGTGCTCGAAAACAACTCACCGAGAACTGTCAGATTATCTGTCGATGACGGAAGTGACGCCACAAACTCGACCAACCTGGCGGTGAAGGGTATCTTCGCCATCCAGGCCATGGCGGAGATCAGTCAATTAGTCGGGCAGAGTAATGATTCTGAGCACTTCAGCGTGAGTGATCGACCGTGTACTACAACTTGGCAAGAACTCGGAATCCTGACGAGTTTCGGCACGTTCATAGAGCACAGCGACCAACTTTATGAACACCTGGCAACCGCTTGCCATATCGTCAGGAGGCGCCTCTGCGTCCGTGAATCCGACGTTGAACTCGGCAGTCACAGGCGTCTGGTCTTTACCGTATAATCTCTACCCGCAGACTCTGTTCGGATTTGATCTCTTGAACCAGACAGTACGTCATTGTGTTGTTTGCGGGAATGCACTGCTGATCTCGCCACACAGTGGCTTGACAAGCTTACTGTCATGTATGGACAGTGGATCCAACCTGAAACTGGTAAGGATCCCCTGCCATCGCGTTCATATCGATTATTCAACGCTTTCCCAGCCAACTATACGCACGGGTTGCCCATGCAGAGCTCAGCACAATCGCTTGGCAATGTCGGTGTGTCAAAATCCCATGAGAGTACTCGTAACTCCGACTCAAATGTGATTGTACAGCCTGGAATGCTTTCATCGCGGCTACCTGCACCAACGACACGATCCGCGGTCAGATTCTTGATGCGGTCTGGAATTATGCGTCGTTCAACGGGACATCGCTCCCGTTCGGCGCAGTGTACAATGTCGAATCTGGTGCCTACGTGGATGGAACGTTGAGGTTAGTCGTGCTATTCTTGTGTCAGAGAATCGACGTCTAATCCGCGAGACAGCCCCGCGTTAGGAGGCCTCTTCGCCCCGTTCTTGCGCAGGTGAGGTTGCAGCATATCACAAGTCTACCTATACTGAACGTAATGAGCAGCAATACTATCACCGGCTCCCCATCTCCCACTCAGTCTGCAAGCTCCACGAATCACGGTAGCGCCTCCGGTGGTGGCAAGGTCGACGTCGGCGCCATAGCAGGCGGCGTCGTCGGGGGCGTCGTCGGCTTACTTGTGCTCGTCGGGCTTGTACTATTGCTATTCCGACACCGTCGGAACCAGAAGAACGTCGCCCTCCTCGACACTTCTGGTACGAGGACAGAGCCAACGCCCTTCGAGTCTGCGCCTGCTTTTTCGGCCCAGGCTCCGGGTGTCATACTCACGGAAAAGCGGCGGCGGGAACTCGAGTCGCCGAGGGAAGGAGCGCCTCTGTTGCCTTCAACCGGCTCGTTTTCCGCCATGGGCGACGAGCCTCCGTCTGGTAGCGCCACGGTTCCCTCTACGACGAACAGCGATTCTGCGAGGTCGCGAGAGAATGATTTGCTGGGGCTGCGCACGGAGATCGAGGATCTGCGCAGGATCATGCTGAATGTGCACATCGAGGGACCGGAACCTTCGGACTTGGGTGCACCGCCAGGTTACTCGTGACGAGTCTAATTAGTGCTATCTCTTTTAGCGCATCGGACTATGTATACTCGGATTCAAAACCTGGGTCCACTGTGGATCTCTGCTCCCTCAATGTATCGGTGCTGCCAGTGAAATAGCGTTGCATTACCATCTTAATACTCGGACGATGGTCTACAAGACGCCTCGATGCGAGAAGCTTAATGCTAAAATCATCGTGTTGAACTTGGTATATAAAAAATCCCACACGAATGCAGATGGACTTGCTGAGACTTTGTCCAAACTCATGGTACTTGAGCTTGAGTACTTACTGAGCGTACTTGAGTGACTGTAAGTTACGTAGTGGAGTAACTTATTAGTAGACTGTATTATGTAATCGCACTGCTGGGTCGAACTTGGGTCGACCCTCCTTCTCCTCCGCGTCGATCATCCTCATCTGTTAACCTGGTCACATTCGCGTCAAATCCGCAGCTATGCTCTCTGGAGGATTACAACGCTTCTGTCGGACCATCAATTGAACTCTCTGTAACTCTGTGGGACGGCATTCCGGAATCCAGCCGTCCGCGTCGACGCATCGCACGGAACACTACTTTCATTGGGCAGGTCCTTGCAACGCACATTATGTAGTATGGCACTGTCAATGTGACGTGCTGAGTATGTCTTCGTCGTTCCACGAATCACCTCGCGCGGGTCGTGGCATGCCGGACCGTAGCCAGCTGCTAGTACTTCGGGTATGTCCATGACAATCTTAACCTTATGGTGTATTAGCTTTTTGAATGTCAGTGCTGATTATGCTTTTCCAGTGATCCAATCGCTCAGATTGTGCCTTCTCCCAGACTCAATCCACGTCCACGTTTGCGTTTGATTTTCTACGAGTACGACAGTCACTTCCTGTCCAAATATCAGAGTGGTCTATAATGGTGAGTGCCTTCTCATCTCGACTGGAGATGACGTCGGAACGATAATCCGAGTTTCAGTCTAGATGTAGAACGTGCGCTGACATCCCGAACGAGTGTCTGGATTCAGTACGTATGCGGCTACCTGGATGGTTCGTGATGGAGTCGGGATATACAGGGGATGGCTCACTGGCATAGCTATTGCGTATCTCTTTGCGCGAAGAAGGTGATTTCGCATTGCCGAAGAGTTTTCCTCAGGCGTGGAGGGCAGCGACGTTGGAAGCGGTACGACATGTAAAGATGCGAGAGACCAAGAATGGAGACGTGATCAACAAAGCTCAGCGATAGCATGACACAGTAGAAGGATATCTTGAGGCATGCAGCGCTGGGCATGACTCGGAATGAGACAAGAAGTTCTACAAGAGTTCGGCCGCCGTGGATCAACAATGGGCGCACAAGGCTGGCGGAAAGAATGTTCGTCAACTTGTTACGGGTGCGTGCATATGTGTTAATGATGAACACCGCAGCAAGCGTTGATTCGACGTCTTGCCAGTGTTCAGTGTAGTTTCAGGTTTCCGCAGTACAAGCTGCCGGAATGCAGAGTCTTTGACCCTCAGGCTCCGTCTGGGCCATCTATGATCTATGTCGCGCTCTAAGTGCATATATGCACTGCCAATCTGACCGCACTACTACAGGAGTCCGAGGGAAGTTCGTGATGTGCGTAACGATCTTCTGAGAGAAGCTGTGCAGTGTGGGAATCAGGAAGAGCTATGCATGAGGAAGGTAGCGCGTCCCGACTTGGCTTCGGAGGTCGTTCCGTGACCATATTAGTGCATATTGGTACGTGGGGCCGCAACTTCATCAATGAACCACTTAGCATCCCGGGTGCCAGTAGGGGGGAAGACGACTCTCAGTGCCCGGATACACTGCGCTCGGGCCAGACTTGTCAAGGATGTTGAGCGGCACGAGTCAATGGCAGGGCGACCGGATTTCAGGCGACCGGTTGAGTAGACCGGGTCGTCTTGCGCTGTAGCTATGTCTGCGGAAGATAGGGTCTCGTCAGCTATTCACCTATACAGAGCATACAGTACATATCACTTCGCAAAATTACTGGCCTGTGCGTCGTCCAGTTCAAATCAATGGTGGCAATGGCACGATTACGGAAGGGGTAGCCTCACCGTTGCCATCAACGGACTCGTCTGCAGCCGTCACGGTGCGAACCGCACCCTCTGTGCCTAATCATGCGACGGTTCCCCCAACGACCAGCGACCCGCTCGGATCGCGTCTAGACGAACTGCTCAACCTGCGCTCGGATATCCAGGATTTGCGCAGGATCGTGCTGGGCGCGCAGGTCGCGGGACCAGAGCTGTCGGATTTGGGGGCGCCACCGGGTTATTCGTAGCCTGCACTGTTCGCTTTGGGTTGAAGCTCTGAGTTTCCTGTCTCGCTGTTAAATTGAGGTCTGATTCTTCTTGAAGTTTAGTCAGTATATCCAGTCCCAAGTCGTTGATACCACTGTCGATAGCTTTGATAGTCTCATCTAAATTATACTTTGCGGTCTGCAGTGGATGCGGGAGTTCTTGCCCATTAAGCCCTATGGCATCGATGATCCTTTGTCGGGCTTCTCGAGCCAATTGTTGCCTCATGATGTAACATACACATCCGTCAGTGCCTTAGTCTCCACTCCACCCTCCCTGCTAGCTATACATGTGTTGACGAGTGTCAGCGAACCGTCGACGATAGACTCAATTTACTGTCGCAGCCCCGGCGGTCTGCTGCTTCAGTTTCGACAGGAACTCCTCTATACTCATCAACGGCACGTTCTCCGACCACGCGTGGTACTCCTCCGCGGTCTCGAGGAGGCTCTGCCCCTTCCTCCGCAGGGTCTCGACGGCGTCCTGGCCTAGCGGCACGCGCAGAGGTGGGTCCTGCAGCTCCGCGATCTTGCAGATCAGATGGGCGGCGGCCTCGGGGTAGGCGGCTGGCTTCGTGTAGAGATGCAGCCGAGCGGTGGGTTGCTGCGTGTCGGCGTCGATATAAGCGGGGTGCGGGGGTGGACGCTTCATGTTCGGTCCGGCGTTGGTGTGGTATGAGCCGAGGACGATCGACGTGACCTGAACCAAGGCAGCTGCATAGTGAGTGTATAGTGCATGGGTTCGTGAGGGTGCCGTACCTTGATGTTCCACTCTGGCCGGAGTTCTGCGGCGAGACCTTCCGTGAAGCCTTCGAGCGCTAAAATCGACGTTGGATCATCAGGCCACTCGTACGATCGTTCGGGCCGGCAACCCACCGTGTTTGCTCGCACAGTAGTACGGGAGGGCAGAGAGGCTCTCAATGCCCCCAGCAGACGACGCCTGCAAGAGTCGACCGCCCTGAGGATTGTTCACTTCGCGGAAGAACCTGACAGCCTCCCGGCTGACGTTCACCGCGCCCCAGAAGTTCACGTCGAACAGCTCCCGGGCGACGTCCTCGGACGCGCTCTCCGCCTCGCTCATGAGTGTGAAGCCCGCGTTGTTGAAGACAACGTCGATCCGGCCGAAGAGCTCCTTCGCCTGGGCGAAGGCATCGCGGATCTCGTCGGCGTTGCGCACGTCCAGTTTGAGGACCGAGAGCTTGCTGGGCGGGTATCGCGATGCGAGATCGGAGAGGGCGTCGGGGTTCCGAAGGGTGGCGATCGCGATGCCGCCATTCTCGAGGACCGTCTCTGCGACGAGCCTTCCGAAACCTGACGAAGCACCGGTGACTGCGGGATCTCCGTCAGAGTCAATAGAGCATGTGCCTTCTTGCTCGACTTACTGAGCCAAATTTGCGAAGCGATCATCGAGACGATATATCAAACTCACACTGGGTAGAGGGTGGGAGGGGACGTGTAGCGCAGTGGTCGTTATTTATTGCAGCCGGCCGTTGCGAACCTTCCCTGCTGCCGAGGCCCCGGAGAAACGCCTGAGAGATACGTATGCTTGCTCTGAGTGGTTTAGGCCAGGACAAATTGACAGGAGGGATGGACGACGCGGGATTGACCCGAGCACTTAGGGCACCGTACATCCGTGAAGCGAGAATCTATGCCAGAATGTACGGTTAATCCGAGCTCACCGCCGACATATTAATCCTATCACATACCTAAAGAGTACAATGATTGATTCTCGCACCATGCGCAGTGGCATGGTTCTACAGCGGGATTAGACCATGCGACGGGGAACCTGCCGACCATAATGCGGCCCAAGTTCGTCTGGCACAACTTGAAGGGCCTTTGTGAATCCTCGGAATTCTAGAGAATTGACACATAACAGACACAGACCCTATAGAAATCGTGAGCAACGACAGCGCGGTACGGGGAATCGTGAATGGTGTATGGGGTGGAGGAAGAAGCTGGAGAGGTAACACACGAGAAGCAATGCATGCCCGGGCCGGCAATGGGGTGGCGAATCGAGTGGCTGCTATATTGTCGATCTCGTCACGGGACCCAAGCGAGATAAGATAACCACGTGGTCGACGCGTTCTGGGATCGAGATTCGAGGAGGCCTGAGCGTGTGGAGGACGCGGACGGCCCACCCGCGACGCTTGCTCTCCTCCCACCGCCCACAACCTCCGCGCCCCGCCAGCATCCCAGCGGACTCTCTCTCTCCTCGATATCTCCCATATTTTCTTGTTTGAACACGTAGCGGCACCCACGCAGCAATGGCGACCTCAACGATCCGCCGCAAACCCATACACACCTACAAGTCACCCTCGTTCGACACCACATCCGATCAGCTATCATACCGTAAGTCTCTCGCTCTCCAAACCTGCGCGCAAAACTCATACTGCGCGCAGCCATCCCCCGCGCGACACCCAGAGCCTCTTCCTCCGCGTCCCACTCGGACAAGTCTACCACGGAAGGCACAACGGTGACGGTCATCGTGCCGTACGTGAGCACGCACGCGACGAAGCATCGCCAGCCACCCGCGCTCCCTCTCTACCACCCACTCGGGCCCTTCGCGCTCTCCCTGCCCAAGCTCGACCCCGGCTTCTTTGGCCTCCCCAACCAAATCAACGTCGACGACGCGGTCGACGAGCCCGCCGACCCCGGGCGCCGCTCCTCGTCGCGTGCACGACGGCCCGCGGCGAAGGTGCGCGAGCGCGACGGCGCAGACGAGGAGGACGCGGCAGCGGTACCGACGACGAGCGCCCAGAGCGCCCCGCGAGAGGCTGGTACGCGCGCTCCGGGCAGTCCGCGCAAGAGGCGCGCGGGTGGTGGCGCGGGCGGCGCGAGGCGCAAGCGCAAGGCAGAAACGGAAGAGGTCGACGGCGCATTCCCGCCACCGGCGAAGCGTACACGGAACCCGCGCGGTACGGGCAACGCGACGCCCGTGGTGGCCTCGCCACTTGTGAGCGAGGCTGTGGTCGCCAGTGTCGAGGAGGTTCCTGAGGCAGAGGCACTGCCTTCGCCGGAGGGCGCGGAGACAGAGGAGGTGGCGACGGAGCTGCCTGCTGCACCGGAGCCGAAGCGCACGAGGACGCGGAAGGCGCGTGCACCCGCCACCAAGCGGAGGAACTCGAGCGCGAGCGCGTCGACGAACACCTCCGTGTCAGTGTCAATCGCTGCGAACACACGTACCACGCGCGCGAAAGCCGCCAGAGAGAGCGCGTCCGATGGCGACGGAGAGAAGAAGGAAGAAGAGGAAGGCGAGGCTGAGGAGACGCCGCGGGGGCAGGTCGAAGAGGAGGAGGGCGCGATGCCCCCGTCACCGGTCGAGAATCTCGCCAACACGCTCGCCAATGAGCAGCCTAAAGCTGAAGAACAGAAGGACGAAGAGAAGATGGAGGTCGACGCCCCTCCTGTAGCTCAAGAGCCTTTGCCTGCACTGGCACCCATCGCTCCTTCGCCTTCGCCCCCGCCCGAGAAGGAGGAGAAAGAGGAAGGGGAGCTCAGCGATGAGCACTAGAACGCACCCACCGCGCAAGACACATACAGTCGACATATTTAACCGGCCTCACATCGCCCTTGACATCGCTCTCGACATCCACTTCTCCCGGATCTCCTATCTACTCTGACAGTGTATCACCATCGCATCGCTCTGTCGTAGCTTTCTCCGCTATCTTTGCGCCCTCTGACTGTGTCTCTCGGAAACCCGCTGTACCACCAACGACCATCTATCTTGTGTCGCCTTAGCTCTGTTGTATACCAGCTACCGGCGCTCGCATTGTTTCTGTCTAGCAAGTACAATAGATATCCTACCCCGGACGATAAATTTCCTGGATGCATACGCTAGCCTTGCATGCATGCTGGGATTTTCGTGCGTGTACCTTGAGGTCGTTCGTGTGTGCTAGATGTCGAGGATGAGGGACGGTCGACCCTTCGCGCGTCACTGGCTCGGGTTATGAAGTAGCTTGGGAATCAGCTGTCGTTGATGGCCTCCAGGGGACAAGCGGGATGAGCCTTGCGCGGCGTCTCCGGTGAAGTTGTGGGGGCAGAACTCGACGGCATCCCTCGGCTGGTTGTCCCGCATCGTTCGTCTGGTGTTGAGGCTAGAGAAGGTCAGCTAAACTGTCACTGTACGAGTGGACGTCGTTTGAGCACCCACTTCGCCAGCAAAGAGAGCGCAAACACTGCGATGTGGCGATCACGAGGTGTCAACAATTCAGGGTTAGATGAGATTCGAAGGGTGCGGGAGTTACGTGACTAACGTCTGCACTGCAGCTCGACGAATCTGCCGTCGAGGAGGCTGCTTTTGTCGAGAATAAACTAATATAGGGGTGTCGCATCGATATGAGTAACTTCTACGCATGCTGAAGTTCTCTTTGACATACCGCCAACAGCGCAGCCACCGACGCCGCCCTATTCAGTTGGATAAGATCGCGAGTCAATATGCCAGTGGTTGGTATACGGAAGCGAGTTTTGAAGTTGGCATGCAGACTTGCATCGTGATGGCTCCCATATTCACGGAGTAGATCATAACGGTCCGTATGATGTACTCTGTTCTAAGTACAGCATTAGCTTGCATTTTGCTCCCGGGCCAGGTTGGAAGTGAGCGTACCCGCAGGCTCCGGTCCGCCTCCGCCGAAGGTAATAGAACTGGCTTGCGACGATCACTGCGTCGTTCACCGCCGCACAACTGAGTGAGACCGGCAATATGACCTGCAGTCCCAGATTGAGCGAGTCTGATGTGATACATTTCACGGAACTTAATCTGAACGAACATTGGCAGTGAGTTCTTCGCGATATTGGGACCAGCTATTGGCAGTGAACCTGTTCAGTGAGTTGTGTGAGTCATCCGTTGTTGAAGCGTTGGCGCTACTCGACCAAAACGTACATGAGAACGGCGGTATCTACATACCCACATCAGCTTGTCGTCGCATGTGTCTACACGACAACAGGAAAACGCACAATAACCGAGCGCTTGCAAAAGACACTGTCAAGCCACAAATGGAGTGTCAGACAATTTGCTCACCTATACGGATGGCTGTCAATACCAGCTGGGATGAAGTTAGCTATTATCCTTATTCCGAAAGCAGAAAACGTACAGGTATCACCAGAACTCTGTAGGCCCTTTCGCTGACTGGTATAGGTTGAGTGGTACGGCTCATATTGATCACAGTGCTGTCTGACACGCACATGTCCAAATTCTCCAGATATAGAAGCTGGATATGTGAGAGCTCGTCAGCACATGATCTTGCTGGACCTGCCATGGGCGTACCATTGCACGATTGTTACGCTCGTATTCTGGCATATCACGATCATGGAAGCGACGTATACCAATGCATGGCAGTTGACTGCACCTGATAATCGCGACGAGCTAGATACGAGCATGAATTGCCAAGTCAGCACGACCTAGGGTTGGGAATAGTCATGGTGTTTCACCCCTGGAGTCCTGTCGGTGCACATGCGTGAAATCAAGACTCGTTCATAACCACGCGTTCACGACGACTTGGTTAAAGCTTACCAATAGACAAAGTCCACATCGTTGCCCATGGCGTGCCACTGTACGAGATATGCGTCTATCATGACGGCGCATGCGTGTGTGCAAGCAATTTCCAAGATACTGTAGTCAACGGCATTAGGACTCAGTGCTATAGAGTGAATGGCCAATCAACAGCTGACATACAGGACAATATAGACCATGGCCTTTATTCGTCTTGCGTCTTCAGGAAAGCTGCGATGATACAAGCAGAATTGGCATGCGATTATGCCCAGCAGCCTGACAGGAAAACAAAATGTGAGTGTCTCTTCCTCTGTCGAGAGACAGGCCACACACGGGAATGTGAATGACATGGTTACAAAAACACCTCCAAGTCCGAGCGATCTAAAAATATCTTTCATGGCGATTGAGTCGGAGGCGCTATAGCACTATGGTAGCTGAGCATGCAAGGTGTCGCGGATGGTAGTCGGCTCACTCAAGATTTCCTGGGTCGACGGCTTCATGTAGCTTTTGCAACTTTCACCGCCTTCCATTCGTGATCATTGGAGACGACGCACTGAACACCATCGTGAGTTGAGACTAACAGTTCTGATGTACGCCTGGCAGTTAGATCCGCAGAGCAGCCGAGTGACTCCCGTCGAGACTTTGTATGCCGCACTGCCGATGTTCCTGTACTTCAACGCTTCGATGGTGAAGCCGTTCCTTCTCCCGCTGTTGGAGCAGCAGAATACTTCGTATACTGCTCAGTACGCTGCGAGGGATATTGATTGCCACATACAGCCAGCGCGCTGAACAAGACACCCTACCCTCACCCTTGGAAAGTCCGATACTGATATCAGTAACATGGAGTCATCTCATCACAGAAGCACAGTACCTTGGGTCAATACAGCGTCGAGACTGTTCGGATAATGATACCAAGATGTTACTGGACCTCACCAATCTGTCGTGTACGATCATCGCTTCTTTACAGCAATAGCCTCCGTCACATCACAGCGCTACTCAGGTATCCAGTCTGCCTTCGATGAATTTCTATCCCGGATCTTGTTTGTGATAAGTTGATACTTACAGAGAAGGTTCTTCAGCGCCAAACATGCCAGCATTTAGCATCATACATCCAGCTCCACCGAGAAAGACTGATTGGATTGAAGCGTGGCTAGCCCGGATTCGCGTTACGAGTGCTCGTACTTCGGACCGCGCTGACTCGACGATGCCTGGTTTCGCCCTGCAGGTAACAAGTCTGTCTGGGCTGATACGATGTCCTCGAGATTAGGAGGATCGATGTCGACAGCGCTTGGTTGATTTATACGAAGAGTTCGTCGCGCATTGATGCTGCACGAACCAGTAGGTCAGTCTGCGACTCCTGGGACCTGAACTGCCATCCATGAAAGCTCACTTGATAAGCAGCGAATTTGCGAATACTGCGATACAGAGGGTGTATGTCACTAAGCGGTGACATGCGCGTAGACGCGATACTACGCACACTTGCTTTGCAGTTCGATGAGACCGCCAAATAAGAGGGAGCTCTGATCAAGAACGAACTAGTGGGGCGAAGACGTCTTAGGCATGAACACGCAGCGGGCCATTAAGACGTACCGTCAACAGCACAGCTATCGAGAATATCCTGAATGATTAATCGAAGCGATGGCTGGGTGAACGACAGCAGTATGCAAAGAGAACGTTGTCGCTTGCATTGTCATAGCTCCCAAGTTTATCGCGTAGAACATAACAGTCCGGATGATATATTCCGTCCTGTCGGTGCAGCAATGCCACAGTGAGTGAGTGATTATGACCGCGACAGAGCACGTACCCCCGAAGTCCAGTTCGCCTTCGGTGAAGATAGTATACTTGAGTTGCAGTAATGACTATATCATTCGCAGCCGAGGATGCAAATCCCACAGACAATACGACCTAGAGCAGGCACTGAATATGTGAATACACGGTGAAACCGAAAGAGTGACGCAGACGAACCGTCGCGACGTGATTCTTGCGATATTGTGGCCAGACGTGCAATGTGAACCTGATGGACATTTGAGAAAGATGCTGACAGCAAACTTTTCGCAACAGGACCCACATAGCCACTGCCGTAACTACACGCCAGCGTCACGGCGTTATGAAAAGTCCTAGTGCCATTATACATAGCTGCTCACCGTAGCCAACGACTCCAGAAACGGGACGGTCAGTAAAAGGTCACGCCGAGCTGGGGAAAGAGAGGGGGGACCTACTTATACGGACGACAGTCAGTAAGATCTGGAATAACGCGAATCAGTACTCGCTTTCGCAGAAGAGGAGCCCGAGACATACAGGGATCAACAACACTTTAGAGGACCTCTCGCTGACTACCGTGTCTCAATAGGTTGTCCGAAGGATGAATCGTCTCGAGAAGACGCACGGATCCATATTCTGTAGACATAAGAGCTGATTTGTAGTCAAGATGTGAACTACTGCCGTCAAGGGTCCTATTTGAGCGTACGTACCATTGCACTATGGTTACGATCGAGCTCTGCGACACTAGTAAGTACTGCTAAAGCCTTGTTAGCCGATGAATCACAGCAAACCTGGAAAAAGATTGTGGCCTAGAGTCTTATATGAAGAGTCAACCGGATTTGATGTGGAAGAGATGACATGACAGCCTCACTGCAGCGGTCCTGCCCTCGAGCGCCATCAACATCACAAATACGGCAACCATTTGAACAAGAGCCTTACCAGTGAAGCAAGGCGAGGTTCGTCTCCAGGCCGTGCCAACGAACCAGGTACGTATATAACATCGCAACGCATACAATCGTATGTGCGATATCCAGCATCCTACGGCCGTGAGTTGGGGAATTCCAAACAAGCATGTAGTAAACCGCCGGCATACATCACAGCGTAGACTATAGCTTTCATGCGCGTCACGTCATCAGGAAAACTGCGTCGATATAAGCAGAATTGGCATATAGTCATGCCGAATATTCTGCAAGGCAAGCAACAGAGGGAGGTTCACCATAGGAAAGTCATCGAGAGGCGAGCGACGTACATGAATGCCACGATCAGAGACACGAAGACGCTACCAAACGACATTGCGGAGCTGGTCATGGCGAATGTGGTCTTGCACAGCGTAGCACAGGCAGGATGAAAAACGCAAGGCCCTCTTTCGGGCGTGCCGAAGATGTACCTCCAGAGACGACGTGGACCTTTAGTTATATATATGGCTTACCTTGCACTGCCGTCCGCCTGCATTCGCCGCTACCGCGCTTCTTTATGCCTGGCAATGCGCTCACATACTGTGACCGGACTGTGATAGGCTAGCACCTGGACAGCATCACCCGATTCACCAGGGCAAAGTGGTACCAATTGGGGGCCAATGTCGAGCGCCGCTCTATGTGTTCGGAGAACTTGCGGAGGACCTAATCTTCTGCCCGGTCCGTCGAGTTTCAGCGCCAGCGACTAAGCCCATACCAGACTGGCACGTGTCATGGAAACAGCGAGTGAACAGCATCTTTGCATTGAGACCGCACGGTACTGCCGACCAGCGTCGAGACAAAACACTGCGTACAGGGAATGTGCCCCGCTTCAGAAACTGACCACCTTCTTCGCCGGTGCGATTGTCCTGTCTGCGTACGACTTCACGACGCCGGAGTGAACGCCGACGAGGACCTTTGCCTGTCGCTTTACCCGATGTTCGAGTTTCTCCGACTTATCGACCTCGGCGGTGTGGCGCTTGAGGGCGTGGAAGTCGTCTTCGTCGGCACCGGCATCCTCCCCTGTGCCCAGTACGGTAGCTGAAGCTGTGACATCTTGCAATAACTGCGGATCAGTTGTTGCAATAGAGCTCTGGCTCGACAAGTCCTCACCTTTTTTGCGCAGCCCGCAGTCCTTCGCCAGATGAGTTATCTCGCCACATAGCTTGCAGCATCCGCCGTTCGGGTAGACGCCCTTGGACTGGTTTTGCGGACATGCCGAGGCGAGATGACCTTTGCCCGAGCACACGAAGCATGACGCGAATGGTAGAGGGTCTAAAGGGTCGACTGGCTCCCTGCATGCCGATAGATTGTGTGCCCGGGAGCCACACCTAGCAGCACGGTGAAAAGGAGCCCGACGTGTTTGATGGTCACACACGCACCTGTAGCAAATCCCCACGGCACTTTTTCCAATACTCTTCTTCGCTCTGGGACCTGCGCTCGCACTGCCGCTCTCTTCAAGCGGTTTGAGGGCTTTCGTACATTCTCGGGCTGCGTGACCCCTTTCTCGACAAGCAAAGCACACGGTGTCGGACGTGCGCTGATCTTTCCGCTTGAGCCGTCGTCGCTCAGAGGACTCCTTACGGGTTTGCGCATCTGTATGAGTGGAAGTCAGTAATGAAGACATTGGTTTCGGCGAGTACGGACCTCTTATGCGTCTCCGCTCGGCCCTGATAGCACCCCTGCTCCGTTTCTTTGTGCCCTCGCCACTGACCTCAGCCTCAGCCTTGCCTGCACCGGTCTCATCACCCTGTGTCTCGCCATCCACTGCTTCATCATCATCATCTCGATCATGTCGTCCCTGCTGAGATTCCCCAGAAACCTTCGTAGCGGCTGCGGCATTTGCTGACTCGGTTTTCCTACGTTTTGACGAACCGTTCTTTCGTCTCTTTTTCGAGGGCTCGGCTGATTGCTCCTGTGCTACTCCTTCGTGGCCACTACTACTGCCAGCTTGTATAGGTTCCACAGCCTTCTCCCCGCCTTCGGTATCGTCCTCTCGGTAGTTCAGCCCAGCCTGCACGTAGGTGCGTTTGCGGGAAAAGTCTGTGTATCTCGTCATCCCAGATGGTATCCAAACAGTTGGCTGTGTATGCAGCCCTGAGCTTGGTTGAATATGTTGATAGGCTTTTCCGAAGAATGAAGTCGCGGGAGGTATGCAGCTTGTAGGAGGAGGCAAGCTTGTACTCAGTATGAAGAGACGGTTCTACGCGGGCGCCTACTATGCATGATCCCCGACTCCGACCGGAGGGAGAGAGGAGGGCTTTGTCCACCCTAACTTGAGACGATGCCGGCGATGCCGCTTCCTCCGTGGGAAACACGTGACTTGCAACTCCCATAAACGGTATCGCAGCAATGCTCGAGTGTCCTACGAGGCAGCTCGAGGCAGTTGGATCCTTCCGTGCATCTGGCTGTGTCTGGACGCCTGGATCTCTGACCATCAAACGACTCCTCCCAAATGCAGGAGAGTTTCTCTCATTTTTGATAGCCTGCACTTACAGACTTATGTACTGTGATACATACTGAGTCGTGGAAGCCCGAGACGCCCGGGCGGCGAAGCCGCCGCGGGCGTGAGGGCTTCCAATTGAGTCTCCATACCACTCCGATGGTACAATATTACAATACATACATAATATACTCTGGTGCCGCTGTGGCAGGCTGAGTAGCTGTGTTCCATGCAGGAGTCGGGGATCGGCGCTTGCGCCGCTACGATCACATGTACCGTGTTTTGGGGCTCACGACGCGTCACGATGGTTCAAACTTGCGCCTATGTCGATCCTCGTACTCGTCAAGCTTGCTTGTGACTTAATGCTTATGCTACTGGTCCCATGCCGGAATATACCCTGAAGTTCTCTTCTTCTGCGGTTGCGGATACGGCTGCGTTCAAGTTGCTTGAGCTGCCACCCGACCTGAGCAAGCTGGTCGAGTCGAATCCCGATGAATCCTCGAGGTATACCTCCTGGAAGTACTATCAATCGATACCCATATCTAACATCCGTGCAGCTGGTCAATCAAGGGGAACCCTGACGAAGATGCTGTGCTCTGTACCGCAGACAAGACGCACACCATTCGCTCGATAGCTCTCTCAAATTCCGTCATCGTGGCAACAGCAGGGGACAGGGAAGACACCTCTACCGATGAGGCTTCTTATTCTACCTCTGTCGAGGTGCGAAATCAGCTGAACGAAATCCTTGAGCTGGTGCCGTCGGTCCCGAGGCTTCACAAGCTGCACGTTCTGTTACGAGGGAAAGAGTACGACGAAGGGCAGGAGGGGGATGATGATATGCATATGGACGAATCTGAAGTAGGTACGTATGTCAGTCGAGACACTGGCGCGTGAATCGCGGGCTCATAGTCCCAACGATACGACAGAAGTTCACGTATGAGGAGGCAAGAGCGACGCTACAAGCGAGCGACACGGAGCTAGACCAAGGCCTCAAGAAGAGACGTGTTCTCATTCTCAACGGTGTGTGGTATCGGTTATGTCTCCCCTTCACTACTCATACCACATCATGCAGGCGAGCTCCGCCCGATCTCTCCGACCTACTTGAACGCCATACTCGAGCTTTTACTCACTCGTCTCGTCTCATTATCGCTCCCACATGATTCTGCGTCAATAGACGCGCTGTGCTGCGCACTTCAGGACGGTTACGACGTCCGGAAATACGTCTGCAAACAGGTCATGGCCTGATTGATTGACATTATCGACGGCGAGTGGTGCACGGACAAAACTGCCGTTGTGCGTAAAAGCGTTGGCGACACCTTCGAGTCCGAGGTGTCCGTCGACCTCCTCTCCGTAAACCTTTCCCGTCGAATGCCCTCGTGTCGTAGTGATATCCGTGCCAGGGCAAATACCTCACACAAACAGACGTACTCAAAGAGCCGCCTATCGTGGTCCTTATATACTTCCCGTGCTTCCAACTCCCCATCGACCCCGCGGCGCGCTTCACGGATCTCTTCCTCACACGGCCGCGCTGGAAGGCTGACGAGATTCCCCCTTTCCTCGCGGACATCGTTGTGGACGCCAAGGAGCGGGACAAATTTCTGCTGAAGTATACGCGGGCGATCACGGATGCGGAGGCAATACGGTACTCTGCACGGGCGAAGTACAACGGGTAACTGATGAAGTGTGTCGCATCGATGGATGGGCCGCACCGAAGATAGATGTGTCCGGACAAGGAAGACGACACTCGATTGTCGAAATGCTGTACTTCTTGGATCTCAGTCTCTATTCGGATCGATGTTGGCCTGTCAAGCTTCAAAGCTTCAAGGCTCAGCGCTCAGTATACACGCTCGAATTCTAATCTCAGTAGACGATCACGTCGGCGCGATGCTGGTGGACCGGGGCTGATAACACATCGAAGGGCAATGGTTCCCTCGTGGACTTACCTGTGAGTTGCGTGTTTCTTTCTTCTTCTCTGGGCACATAAACTCTATGTGAGTTCGTAGGGAGGCGATGCATCTCCGAGCGGAGCGGAATCCAACTTATGACGGATGTGGGATGCTTCATCCATATCTTTTCATACCTGTGATTCGGGGAAGAGAGGGAATTTACTCATACGCTTTGTTATTTCTCGCCGCATTGATGCGTACAGTTTCTGCCATGTTCAAAATGTTGGCTACGCACCAGAGAGAAATATCTAGGAAAGTCGATGCGGCTTTTCGAGGGTGACTCTCGTGATCATTGATCGTTTCGTCTTAAGCTCTGTGGAGTTACAGTGACAGCTGACTTTGAAGAATTACAGGTCTTCAATATTCAATTCCGATACTTGCAGTTGCTATGAGGCCACAGTCTCCCTTGATACACATGTAACAGACAATGTCGCCTCCGCCGTCCTGTGCGTCGTGAGATGGATCCGCTGCACGTTCTCGTAAGTCAGTCCTCCGCAAGCCACTCAGGCATACCTTCGCTCCTCCTTCATATCTTGCCAACAGGCACACTAGGTTCGTCAATATGGCGGAATCGTAGCTATATTCAGCTCTGTCCAAGTTATTTCTAATACTGTCGTCACGCAATCACGTATCTGTGATGGTGCTGGATAGCATCGGACGCTCCTAGTAATTGGCAGCCTCGATCTATGTTCGGCAGGGTCAATGGTGATGAACCCAATCTAACTCGGATTCATTCGTCACGTTGACCACATCGATGCGAGCCTTAGATGGTCCCCGGAGCAAAGGAAGACGACGCCGGTGGCGTGCTACCGTTCCTGCAGTGTTACAAGCAAGATGTGGCATGAGATGCCGAGCTGAACCCTTACAATGAATTGACATACGCGTTCATCCACGTTCAGAACAGCGTGGGGATCGCTGTCACAGGGTTCGCCGCCCGGTATTACAGGTGATGCTGAGTTCGTCTCGCTCCCTCGCTGCTCCCTCCATGGCGCTCCTTGCTCTCGGCACCTTTCTGTTTCTTGCACGCTTTGCCCTCTTGCCAGTGCATGGCTCACAAACATTCTGGCCCTTAGCGGTACCACTTGCTGTTCGCACGCCTTATTTGAACACATGGATGTACAAGACGAAGACGTCGGATAGTCTGAACAACCAAGTGCCGTCTTTTTTTAATACACAGGTACGATCCTCAATATCCGTGCATACTCATGGGCTGACCTCGCGGTTCAGCATGATATTGGGTGGAATTGTTACATCCGAGTGGATGGAAAGACGTACATTGTGTTTGGCAACAACAACTTTCCGCCCAACTACACCGTGACATTTGGAAGCCTCGTTCAGACGGAACTGACCCCTACTCGTACCATGCAAATCATCGAAGCTGGTCCCTTGAACATAACCTTGACGTTTCTGAGTCCCATCGATGTAGGTTTGCGACCCACAAGCAACCTTCACGTTGCTGACATCACGACAAGCCGTCTGACCTCATACGCCAATCTCTCCCGTTCAGCTATGCTGCCGTGGAATTCGCATCCACCGATGGCCAACCACATGACATACAGATGTACTGCGACCTAACTGGACGTGAGTAGTGTCTAGCGGCACACATGCACGCGTATCGCAACTTGTGGGCTGATATTCTTCTAGAATGGCTCGACGGCGCCACCGCGACTGACTTGTCTCAAGAGATGTCGTGGAGTCCACCGACGAAAACCAGTAGCATTATCTATCATCAACTGCAGCTCGTAAATCCGGTGCCTTTTCAAGAAGAAATCGGACAAGCCTTAGATGGTGCAATGTACTTTGCGATGGGGCTGGTACATGAACTTGTTGTTTGTCATGCATGTCATGGTCTATGTTGATTTCATTGGCAGGGACAGGGACGCAATATCACTTGGCAGACTTGCGAACAAAATGCCTGCCGCGGAGGGTTCGTAGATACCGGCCGCGTAAACCCGAATGACAACAATAGTACGTTTCGGGATATCAATGAGTAGGGGCGCTATCTTCTGCTGCGTGCATCAGGAGCTCATGCACATCACAGTGACTGGCCCGTCTTCCCAATCTCGGTCGACTTAGGAAGTGTTGCTTCTCTGGACTCCCCCGTTGTCTGGACAGTTGGCTATGTACGCGATCCAAGCATCAGTTACACATTGTCAGGAAACACGGTATCCCTCCGCCCGTACTACACAACACAATACTCTACCACCGAAGACGCCGTGAGTAATAACACAGCTTTGTTGGCCCATGTCACTGAACTTCGTATATGTAGTTGGAATTCTTCGTCTCCGATTTCAACGACTCGTTGACTCAGGCAAAGTTGTTCGATACGCAAGTCCGTGAAGCGGCTTCCGGCATTTCGGCTGACGGCAACCTGTACGACATGCTTTCGCTCGCCACTCGCCAGGTGTTCAGCACTCTCGAGATAACGGCCCCCTATCAGTCGGACGGCACGACTAGGATCTTCATGAAAGACATGGGCACCAGCCAGTGAGTCATACCAGGCCCATGCAAGTACTCCGTATCTCACACGACAATCCACAGACGCGTCACTCCCGTGGAGAAGTTGTACGCCGCACTGCCCTTGTTCTTGTACTACAATGCCTCGCTAGTCAAGCCACTCCTGGTACCGCTCCTTGAACAACAGAATACGTCGTTGGGCGAATATCCGTACGCATCGAAAGACCTTGGTGAGCTCTCATCACACTTTGCCGACAACGGTGTGTTGATGGTCTTATTCAGGCTCCTTGTTCCCGGCTGTATCTGGTCCGAACCTGACATCTACAGAGGCAATCGAACGTGAGCATGCTTTGCCGCAGCAACGACACGCCTGCTGACCAATGGTGACTGTAGAGTCGGGGAACATGCTCATCATTACACTCGCTCACGCCAAATACTCAAATGATACGTCGCTGCTCCATGGCTATGTGCGTGTTCGTCTTCGAGGATTGTGTGCTTAGCTTACCTTCACATGCGCGCAGTATTCCTTGCTCAAGAATTGGGCACAGTATTTGACGGCACATGGGCCATTTCCTCCTCAGGGCCAGTGCGTATCATGTTTTATGGTGCCCAAAAACAGCTCACCGATAAATCTGTAGATTATCTGTTGATGACGGAAGTGACGCCACAAACTCGACCAACCTGGCAGTGAAGGGCATCTTTGCTATTCAGGCCATGGCGGAGATCAGTCAATTAGTCGGGGAGAGTAATGATTCTCAGCAGTTCAGCGTGAGTGATTGACTGTACACTACAACCTGGCAAGAACTCGGAATCCTGACGAGTTTCGGCATGTTCACAGAGCACAGCGTCCAACTATATGAACACATGGCAATCGCTTGCCATATCATCAGGAGGCGCCTCTGCGTTCGTGAATCCGACGTTTGGCTCGGAAATTACAGGCATCTGGTCTTTACCGTATAACCTCTACCCGCAGATCCTGTTTGGATTCAACCTTCTGAACCAGACAGTACGTCGTTGTGTTGTTGACAGGAATGCACTGTGCTGATTTCACCACACAGTGGCTTGACAAGCTTACCGTCATGTATGGGCAGTGGATCCAACCTGAAACTGGTAAGGACCCCCTTTCGTTACGTTCATATCACTTGCTCAACGCTTTCCCAGCCAACTATACGCATGGGTTGCCGATGCAGAGCGTCGCACAATCGCTTGGCAACGTAGGTGTGTCGATGTCCTACCAGAGTACTCTTAACCTCGACTAACGTGGACTACACAGCGTGGAATGCTTTCATCGCGGCTACTTGCACCAACGACACGGTCCGTGGTCAGCTTCTTGACGCGGTCTGGAACTATGCGTCATTCAATGGGACGTCGACCGCGTTCGGCGCGGTGTATAACGTCGAATCTGGTGCCTATCAGGATGGAATGGCGAGGTTAGCTGTGCTACTCTGTGCTAGTGAGCCGATGTCTGATTCGCGAGACAGCCCCGCATTAGGAGGCCTCTTCGCCCCGTTCCTGCGCAGGTGAGCTTGTAGTATATTGCACGTATAGCCGTGCTACATCAGATGCGCAGCGGTACCGTGACCGTATCGCCCCCCAGTAACTCCACCACAAGCACCAGCGCTTCCGGCAGTGGCTCGCTCGATGTTGGTGCCATAGCGGGCGGCGTCGTCGGTGGTGTCGTCGGTTTACTGACGCTCGCCATACTATGGCTACTCCTTCGTCGTCGATACCAGAAGAACGCCGCCCTCCTCGACACAACTGGTACAGGGACAGAGCCCACACCCTTCGAGGCTGCGCCTGCTCTCGCGGCCTACGCCCCAGGTGTCATACTGACGGAAAAGCAGCGCCGGGAACTCGAATCGCCAAGGGAACAAAGGCCTGTCCTGCCATCATCCGGTTCGTATTCAGCCATGCCAGTTGACGAGCCTCCGTCTGGGAGCGCGACGGTCCCTTCGACGACGGATGGCGTGTCTGTGATGTCGCGTGAGAACGATTTGCCGGGGCTGCGCTCGATGATCGAGGATCTGCGCACGATGATGCAGAACGTGCACATCGAGAGACCCGAACCTTCGGACTTGGGTGCGCCGCCCGAGTACTCGTCAAGAGTCTAAGTAGTGGTATACATATGCTCTAGTGCATCATACTCACTTCTTCGCAGCGTGGGCATCAATTTGCTCATGAGCGTACGAACAACCACAATACACAGTTAATATGTTATGTGTTCGCCGCGATCCGTGGCCATGCCGTGACATACATAGACTTGACCGAGCAGACCGACGCTAAGTACTAAGTAGTTGATCTGCTGAGATGTGGCGGGTGAGGATACACTGGCTAGGTATACAACTTAGCACAGTTTGCAGTCTCGAAATTTCGTCCCCTCTACCCCGAAGGCGGATGGGGAGGAGCCTGGCCCACATTGCGCATGCTGACATCCACCATATGAATACACGACCAATAATATGATATGCCACGGTCACTGCAGAAGTCCGTCTGGTCGTTCTTTTATGAAGTAATTAGATTTTGACCGCCCAAGCGCCCGCAGGCGCTATCGAGTTCTTGCCACTCCTGGTCCTTCACGCCTCCTCTCTCCAGTCCTACATGGTCGTCGTTGGCACGGATAGTCATGTCCGTTTTCTATGGATATGCTCGTTCGTACTCTGGGGTCTGTCTCTGATATTGACATATCTATCGTCCACTCTGCCGCTGTTCGACTCATCGTCCAACGTTGTCTTGACGTCGTCTGATGCGTTGTGGTACCAGTTCGCCATCCGACCATTTCTTCGTTGGGATACCTTCCACTTTGCGCACATCGCTCGCCATGGCTATGTCTACGAGCATGAATGGGCTTTCTTTCCTGGTGCGCCTCTTGTGATGCGGACAGTAGCCCGCTTTCTGCACTTCGTCTGCAAGGATGAAGGCCAGCTTCTCAGCTATGAGGACCTACTCTTTGGTGGCATGGTCGCTGCTCTATCGTGTGGTAGTGTGATTAACCTCTATCGGTTGACCTTGCATCATATGCGTTCTCCGAATGTGGCCCTTCTCGCCTCGCTGTTATCGCTGCTCCCGAGCAGTCCGGTCACCCTTCGTCTGGCTCCGTCTACCGAACCGTTCTTCACATACCTGTCATATAAAGGTGTCCCTCGTGCAGTCATCCTGCAATCAACTGCGGCTAATTCTGCATCGCAGGCATGTTGTACTGTGCTACCGGGCAATGGCTCCTGGCGTCGGGATGCTTTGCCGTCGCGTGCATGTTCCGCTCCAACGGCATCATACTCGCAGGATTCATGATCTGGGGGATGCTCGTCGAGCCCTTCCTCAGCTCACGCAAGGTGCGCTGCCTGCCAAGCTGGAAGGACTGCCGCTCATGCATTTGTACGTCTCTACCTTGTCAGATCACCATCACCAGACTTCTCCGTAGTGTCGTCCTGACCTCCACTATACTAATGCCCTTCGTATGGCACCAATACTCAGCCTATATCGCATTCTGCACCATCGTGACCCCCGCTCCATGGTGCTCGCACGTCCCGCCTTTAATATACGGCTATGCCCAGTCCAAGTACTGGAACGTCGGCTTCCTGCAGTACTGGACTCCCGAGCAACTTCCGAACTTCCTCATCGCCTCACCGCCCCTCGTTCTGCTGCTCAGCTACTCAGGACATTACTTGCAGCGCGCTCTCCTTCCTCGACTACGCGCATCCCTAATATCACAACACATCCCCGAGAAGGACGGCTCGAAGACGCAAAGCGCCTCACCCTTCCTCGCTCCGTCCATAGCACCACACGCGATCCACGCCCTGATCCTCACGCTCACGCTACTCTTCGCCGCCCATACGCAGATCGTCCTCCGGCTCGCGGCCTCGATGCCATTCACGTACTGGGCCGCTGCGTGGCTCCTCGTCGAACACCGCCGGTGGGGCATGTACTGGGTCAGCTGGAGCCTCGTCTGGGGGGCGGTGTCCATTATTCTCTGGACGACGTTCTTGCCACCTGCATAGCCGCGTCAAATTCTCAGGCCTATGGTCGATCTCGTTGCATCGACATGACACTCGCAATACACGCCATATCGTTGGATAGGCTTTGTGTGGCTGTTCTAGGAGCGTCGGGGATTCGACGGTCGACGGTCGTCTGCAGGATCGAGGAGCTACGTTGTGGTTTATGGCGCGAGTACATCCCACAACAGCGATCGAGCACGACTACGATGCATGTCGTCGCGGCTTTGCGACAGCGAATTGTTCTACTTCTACAAACCAGCTGGCCCGAACGACTGTACGCCTGGATTGGAATAATTGCCGTCCGAGGGCATGTACTAAGAGCAGTGTATTGGGAAGCGCAAGGAATGCGGTGTCATCCCTCACTACGACGATAGCTCATACACTATTTGACTAACATTGGAGGGAAAGCCTGACACTACAAAAACAAGATGCGGAGATTGTATACAAGACAAGAACATGGACTTCCATAACAAAGACTGTATCTCCATACTTCTGTACACAAGACGGGCCCCAACAGCACACGGACTATAGGACAAGGCAGCCTGGGGGAGCTGCAATAACAATTCAGGTGATAATAGGCCACACTATCCCCGCCAGATCATCTCCGACTCTTGGACTTCTTAGCGCGTCTCGCGGGCTTGTCCATCACTTCGTCGTCGTCGCTGCCCTCATAATACTTGCCCCGCTTCTGCTTCGACGACCGTCTTTTGGCAGAGGCGGGCGGCGGTTCGTCGTCCTGTCGCTCTACGACCTGCGCGATGAAGTCCCACAAACATTTGATGATGTCCCCGCGCGCGCGGACATCCGGGAACTGCTTGCGGACGTGCGTTCGCATGTTGTAGATCTCTTCCGCGCAGACCTCGTCCTCGCAGTCGCGCAGAATGTACAGTATCACACCTGCGCGGTCGATAAGATGTGTTGCGCATAGACGATTGACAGCTCACCGATGAAGACAAACTCGATCGGCGCCACACGCTTCTGTATCGAGCGGAACCCGTAGTTGAATCTCTTGTTGTCGCCGATGTGCCAGAACTTTGTGAGCGCCTCCTTGAGCGCGGTCTTGAACCAGGTCTCGGGCTCGTCCTCGCCCGCGACGAACTGTTCCATCTTCTTCGCGGTCGGGATGACGCGTTCGGGGTAGTACTTGCAGCAGCACACGAACTGCGCGAGCGTTTGGAAGTCGCGCCCGCGCTTCATGTCGACGTCGATGATCGTCGTCAGCCCGTTGTCGCAGTTAATGTACCGCGCGTCCAGCTCGCTGACGAGTTCGGACCAGGGCGAGGATATGGCCTGCAATTTCTCTGCGGAACAGATGAGCCACAGATACGGAGAAGTGAGCTTCGAACGTACCAGCGGCTGTGAGAGGAACGCCCAGCTGCACACGCTGGAAGATGTCGCGGTCCATTCCCTTTGGCAGGTCATAGTATTGGACTGATAGAAGAGATTGAATGCGCTGCATGAACAAAGGGAAACAAGGACACGCACCGCACGTAAGTTGTTTGGAGGCAAAATCCCGTTTCCACTCCTCGGGGACCTCCAATCGTGAAGATTTGTGCGACTGTGCGCGGGTATACCACCAAGCCTTTTTGGTAACGGGGTCTCTGTCTGCGAACGGGACGGGCGTCACTCAGCGCACCCTTCGTACAGCTGTGCGGGCACGTACAAGGAATCTGACATGTCCGGGCCACGTCAGTGATCGCATTCTTCAGTATTGAGGGCAACACGGTCGGGCTGGCCGAGCGACGTTCGACGCGCCGCCACAACCGGCCCAGACGCCTGTTCGCGATTGCTCAACCTCGTGCACGCCTCCAGGCCTGAGACAGTCGGCGCGCAAGCATACGGGAGGACATGCTCGTGCGCCGACACACATCGTCCGTAGATTTAGAGGGTCATGTACGAACCTGGCCGTCGAAGAATTTCTGGATAGACGTCAACCTCTGCTTCCCGTCCACGCATCGCATGACCGTCTCGCCATCGTCGTCTTTGTACACGTCGAACACAATCGGTGGAACGTAATAGTTGCGGTATATAGAGTCCAGGAGCTTCATTTGCTTCGGTTCTGTCCATACAATATCTAGGACATTGTGCGGGTGAGTATTCAATGGGTACGTGCAGACGCGTAGAGCGCACCTCTTTGATAAGCCGGGCATAAGTCAATGACACCCTCGTGCACGAGAGCTAAATTGCATGAGATTCAGGTATGTTCAGGACGCGAGATGTAACATACTATGGAGTTCTTGCGTTGTATACAGCCTGGCCTTTGGCATTGTCAGGCGATCGCCGATGTGGAAGGTACGGGAGTCGTCTTCATCGTCCGAGATGTCGGACTGGAGCTCATCAAAGTCCTTTTCTTCCTCCATGGTACGCATGAGGCGGGGTTTTAGTAGAGAGTGGCGGCAGGAGGAGGAGGAGGAGGAGGAGGAGGAGGAGTCTCCGCGGCGGCTCAGGAAGTCTCAGAACCTGGTTGTCTCTCTCACGTGATGCAACTCGCCGCATTTGGCAACTCGCCGCATTTGGGCAATCGCCTCCACCACACGCCGCCCAGAATGCTCTGGTTCCCACTGACGATGCTGAACCCACCTCAGGACACTAACGAATCGGACTCATAAGGACTTGAACAAATAAGCATAGCCCAGTACGATTGGTGGCCGAAAATCGCATTCACGTTCCGCTTTAAATCATCGACAAGCAGGTACGTTCAAATTGTAGCGATCTCGAACCTCGCACTTCTGGTCCAATGTATCATAGTACAGCAAGTCTGCTGTCGATGTCGCTGCCACAGACTCCACTGCTTGCCAGGTCCAGTGCAATACGGACAGTGTGTTTAATTTCGGGGGGGGGGGTTACAACACGTGGAATAACCCATTTCTGGGTGGTTAAGTACTGATTTGACGCAAATTTGATGGGTCTTAAGTACTGTTGATAATTGATTGGCGACGTCACCCACGGTCGTGGTCTGTTCCGAAATTGACACTGACAACGACACAGCTCTTTCTCCAGCCGCAGAGGGGTCGTGGGGACCGCGCTCGGGTTCTTCATCTCTGTTCTGTTCTGTCATTTCCGCGCTCACGGTAGCTCAGATGAACACGTCCCTGTCCCTGAACGCTACTAGCTTGCTTGACTCTAACGCGACCTCAGATATCCCAGACTCGGACGCACCCCAAGTTCAGCATGCCAGCCCGGTTGTAGCCTTCATCATCGGACTTGCTATCATTCTATTGGCCTCGATTCTGAATGCTGCTGGGCTCAACCTCACGAAGCTGGACCATGTGAGTTTCTCGGGCGATTCTACATGACGAGGCGCAAGTGATGACGAGACGCGTAGGTCCGCACAAGTGCAATTCCGAAAGCACAGCGACGGAGAGATTGGTTACGACCATTATGGCTGCTAGGAATGGTGTTGTACATGTACGTTGCCTTTTAGCTCGGCGAGTTCTGTATTGAATATTCGGTAGCCTGTCCCAAGTGATCGGGAGTACGCTTGCTCTCGAATACATGAGAGCAGGTACGTGCCTGTCCCTTGCCAATGCCTTACGGTGCATTGACTCCATCCCACACCCCTAGAATATGTCGCACCTCTTGGCTCAACATCATTAATCTTCAACTTTCTTTTCGCAAAGTTCCTCGTGGATTCCCCAGTCACGAATTATGATATCTATGTAAGCTCTTCGCGAAGCCTTCATTTTTTGGACTGACTGGTCCAGGGTACAATAATCGTCATATTAGGCGTCATTGGAATCGTGGCGTTCGGATCTATCAACAGCGGCCTCGGGGAAGAGACCAGCGCAGAGCACCTCGCGTACCTATGGACTCGCGGCAACTGGCTGTCGTTCTTCTTCTTCATGTCCTTTGCCCTCATCATCCTCTACGCGTTCGTCGCTCAGCTCGAACAAGTTCTGGCAGCCCGGGGGGACATCAATGCAGAGCCCTTTGCGGGCATGAGCTCGCGACGGAGCGGAGGGCCAGCACCGGTGGGCTTCTTCAAGAAAGTGATGGCGGGCATGGAGACTGCGATGATGTGGGTTCGGGAGAAGCTGGAGTTGTGGACTGCGCCTCAGGATGACAAGCGGATCGCATGGACAATTGGGATCGGGTGGGCATGTTGCGGTGGTGGACTGGCCGGTGGATGTTTGGTGTTTGCGAAAGCTGCGTACGTCTGTGTGTGTCGCTCTCTGAGATTGACCTAACGTTGTGTCGTATGCAGGGTGAAGGTCATCTCAGGCAGTGTGTCACATCAGAACGCCGGGAATCAGATTGGCCGCGCATCGACCATCTTCACGTTCATATTTTTGGCCATCACCGCCGTGTCGCAAATCATTTGTCTAAACCGTGGACTGAAGGTGTACGACTCTACCCTTGTCGTGCCGGTGTTCTACGGTGTGTACACCGCTGCGGGTTTCCTCAACTCCTTGGTACGCCTCGCGTATTTCTCGTTATTACTAGCTCTTCTGACGCTTCTCCAGATCTTCAACGACGAGGTCGACGCGTATCAGCCATGGACACTGTTCCTCATCTTTGTGTCCATGATAATCCTCATCTCCGGTGTCGTCCTCTTGACCTACAAGAAGCCCGAGAAGAAACCCACAACCGCTGGCCCTCCTGGCGCCGTCGCCATGTCATCGCGGACACCGCGACGGGGCAACGGCCGGAAAAGCGACGACGACGACGATAGCGAGCAGGACGCGCTCCGGGCTGGCGACGAGCCCGAGCCCGAGGAAGTGTGGCAGATTGGCGACATGAGCGACGACGAGGATGGCGCACGGCCGCACAGTCCGCGCCCGACGCGCCATCGCAGCGCCAGTGCGCGGTCGAGGGGCGAGGGTGAGGAGGCGCAGATCCTTGGCGAGGAGGACGAGGAAGGCGGGCGTGACTCGACGTCGTCGGATGCGACACTGGCGAGGACGGACAACCCACCGCCGTATGCGGATGACGAGTTTGGCGGGTGGGAGCAGGGGAAGCTGCGCGAGTGACCATGACTTGTGCTTGACGCTCCCTGTGGACTGTGGACTGTGGATTCATGCTGTACTTATATATGCATTACAGTACATTACCTGCTTAGACTAAACACAAACTCGCATTTGGACGTGGACTCAAATGTCGTTCGCCACAGGTGGGATTTAATTCTCAGATAAAGTTCGACTGCTCTCCGAGTTGATCGGAATCGCGTTCAGATCTTGAGTCCCGATGCAGGTGCTTTCCTGATTGAGATGTCCTCGTCATCCAGTGGTTTGCCTACTTAGTCTCTACCTCGAGACCATCAAAGGACAACATTGAACCTCCGTCAACGCTTTTTTGCTTTCGTACTACTTACACCCCGATATCTACTCTACAAGAGGCGTGAACGTGGGAACGCGAGACAAACGCTAAGACAAACATTGGAGACAAGAAGACGAGACAAGAAGCAAGAGACAAACGCTAGAGACATTCTCATTGGCTGAGAGACGGACGCCCGAGCGATGCCCGAGCCTCTCAAGCGCTCCGAGGAGGAGGAGGAGTGTACTTCATCCCTCCTCCTCCTCATTATCCCTTAGACTCGCGCGCGACCCTCATGTTCATTTCTCACTCTGACATCGGAGGGCGCGGATCAGCAGGGCAGCGGTAAGATGCAGACAATGAGTGACAGGAGTGCACCGAGCGGAGCGATGGAGAAGACCACCGTCACGGTGAGTGCAGACACATGCGAGCGAGCGGGCTAACTGCAGGCGACGCGGCGACGTGCAGCCCGACGCATGACGATCGCAAGCATGCAGGCATGGCTGACGAATGGGCGGCGGGCGGACGAGCAAGCTAGCGAGAGGCACACGCCGACCGTGAGGCGGCTGAGCAAATGCCCAGCACGTAAACACGACCGACGAACGGATGGCGGGTGCATGGCCGAAGGAGTCGTAGAGACAGAATGGGCAGGCGCAGTCGCCGTGGCGACATGAAGCGCGACGCGCACGCCGACCGCGAGTGCGCCAGGCGGATGCCCGGCACACAGACATGGCCGACGCACGCGCGCAGAGCAGGTGGGCGAGCCGGCGGACAGGTGAGCAGGTGTGGAGGGGCAATCGGACGGGTAAGCAAGCGAGTAGATGGAGAGCAGGAGGGCGAGCGAGTGAGCGAGTAGGTGACAGCGTATACGTCTACCGCGAGCGCACTGAGCGAACATTCACTGCACGCAGACACGGCCTACGATCGCGCACGTAGGCAGGCCCCGAGCGGGTACACAACCGTGCCACGACACGCACAGCGAGGGCGAGGGCGAATGTTCAGCTTCAGCGAGCATGCAGGGCAAAGCCCCCGCGTGAAGCGCAGCCGACAAGCGGACCACGGCGCGGGCTCAGTTATGAACAGGGAGGGTCAGCAGACAGCGGGCGCGGACGGGAACGAGTAGGCAGGGAAGGGCGAATGGCTGGCAGAGATGGGTGAGGATGAGGGGATGAGAGGCGCGAGGACGAGTAGTAAGGACGAGCGAATGTCAGGTACGGCGTGCGGCAACGCCGAGGATGCAAGCATAACACCCACGAGTCGGAGTCGGAGAGTGGCCACTCGGGAGCCATGGGCATAGGTGCGCTGCACATCTGAATATCTTCCAAATTCCGCTGTTGATCAATGGCATCTCTCCCTTACATACTGCTGTGCGGAGAGACAGGGGTCGAAGGCAGATACATTCAAGTAGTACCACCCGAAAGTAACGTGAGCCAGCAAACAGGTGAGGATGAGACATCCAGCTTCATCGCAGTTGGTAAGTAAGCATTCCTCCAATATACCGCTGTAGATGCATATTTCGCGGCCCGGCACAGGGCCACGAAGCCGACTCCCGAAGGGAGGCGGCTGAGTGGCCTTTCAACTATCAGTCTCTTACAGAAGTCGCCTACGCTTGCAAGTTACATAGAATAGAACATTCACGATTTTTGAGTAGTCGCCCCGCCATGCGCTCAAAGCCGTAGATCATGTATCTGACTGAGAGGTATGCAATCGAAAGCGCATACCCGTAGCGGAGCACGGGCATCGGCTAGTCGCACAACAAACACAACGTAACATCGCTTACATGCACAGATGGCAAACGCTCCGTCCCCGCGCAGGTTCTGGACTCGTGGTTGGAGTCGGTGCATGGAGAGCAGCGCATCAGCTCGAGCTGGTGATTACACGTAAAGCTGTTGGTGTCCTCGTCAATGAATCGAGAAAGGCTTGCCACGACGATAAACTCAAGCTCGCCTGGGCGAAGATTGACACGGCATCTCTCTCTCGACAGACTTCGCGCTATCGAAATTCACCGCGACGTATCAGGCAATGTTGTCATGTATGTGGCTTTTGCTGATGACGATTTTCACTACAACACGACCGGATGTCATTTGGCATGAAACATGATTGGGTCTGCCTTTCTCGGAGGTGCCTCGCCGGCACAAGCGGCGAGCCTGGCTATGCAAGACTGCAAGTGTAAGGTAAGCATAAAGCGATTCAACTGGTTCTATCTAACTGATCTAACTGCAGGGTTTTGAGTCGACACACAACCAGGACGAGTCCTTCGGATTTTGTCAACCCACTGGCAGCTGCTATCACGAGCAGCGCGAACATGAGTGACTTGCCCGCACCTGTGCTAAACCTGTGCCTGCGCCGATGATCATAGAATCAATCAACTTGAGTGAGCGAGATTGCTGGACGAGGACTCCTTGTAAGTAGGTGCAATCTTACGCCTGGACTCAGACTTGGTGAGGGATGGCAATGCGTGGTTTCTTCCGCCGTCGTGGAGTGTAAATTAGCAAGCTGAGGGGACCCAGCAGGCGAGGATGGAATCATGTATATAGAGGCGGACGGTCGCTACGGGCGAATTCGAGTCGAATCGTATTGCTCGCCATACATCGCTCCGTTACAGTCCTATACAAGTCCTGTAAGACGGCAATAACAGTATGATGTAATGACAATAACAGTGCTAACTAATGAACTCTGTATTGAGATAAGAAACGAATGTAGTATCGCGCCACTGGCACCCCCAGAACCCTCCGAGTCGGCTCTGCGTCACAGCTAATTTCAGAACGATAGTCACTTGTGAACGCGCGCGACACATGATGACTAAGCGCTCCGCGCTTCGGGAAATCTGGGGAGGGCGGCGCTGGCTCCATCGCACCGCTCTTCTGCAGTATTCGTCCTCTCAGGTCAGATTTCCCCGGACTGCTGCTGTCTGAATACACTTTGGATACCGCGGTCACGTTACAGGGACCGTGTACCGTAGTGCTTCCCGTGTACCGTCCGATCGTCTCAGAATCAATTCCAATTTCCACTAGTATTTCAAGTTCTCCTATGGCTCGCTACAATGGAAACCGGCGATCTGTCCCAACACCCACAAAAGAGCTCATTGTCTATATGCTAGCCTTCCTACATCCAAAAAAAGTCGCGTCGGGTGGCGTGGTATAGATCGTTGCCTGGCAGCCGTGCAGTGTGCGTGCAGTCGAGCAGAAGACGCAGGGTGGGGTGTGGCGCGGACGAGAGACGCGATGGAGCCAGCGCCGCCCTCCCCAGATTTCCCGAAGCGCGGAGCGCTTAGTCATCATGTGTCGCGCGCGTTCACAAGTGACTATCGTTCTGAAATTAGCTGCAAACCCCTCACACGTTTGCCGTCGTACTGCGTCTCACTCAGGCACTTCCAACTCTTTCCTGTTTGTCGGCATCTTCTGGGCTGTTGTTCGTTCAGTTGCGAAAGGTAACAATTGTGTTATGTCTTCACTAAGCGAACAGTTGCAGAACCTGGTATCTCGATTGCAGGCACTAGGCAGGGAGCATCCAGCGAACGATACCGTGAAGGATGCGATCGCACTTCTCTCGAAAGTCGATCTCAATGACCTACACGCGCGGTCCACTGCATGGCATGCTATCGAGGCTGATGTCAACACGTTGGCCCGGACGGGTGTATGGGCGCCCAGTCAAGAAGATGAAGAATTGCTCGAGCAATTGAGAACTAGCCTGAGTGGGACATGTAAGTCATCACTTTTCTGGAGTAACAGAGTCGTCTGATTGCTCATCTCATGGCACATATCTAAGGGCCACCACAGAACCTTGCATCATCGCCGAATGCTCAGCAAAGTGCGCAACGATACTCTGTTGTAACGCCTCCGCCGATATCGGCACCGTTATTCCCGCCGACCGCCGGGGTAACGACGATACTGCCCACCGGCCTAGTGGAGGTTCTAAATTATAGCTATTTCCTACACCTCCTGGTCACCGATCAGGATCGCGTTCTTCCACCCGGCAAGTCGCTTCTCTCCGTGATGTCCAAGCCAGGAGCAATGGGCCATGGCGGAGCGGACGGAGAGCTACCTCACCTCAAAGACCGCATCCAAGACGTAGTTCACAAGGCGTTCTGGGACGAGGTACGCTACGAGGTGTGGGCATAAGCCCCAGATCTAACATCCGGGTTTGTGTTAGGTGTCTGAGACACTATCCAATCCCTCCGCCGCCGTGCAGATCCCGCGGCTCAGGCGATTGTACGAAGATATACACGAAGCCATCAAGCCCCTTATGCCGCGAACCATCCGATACGCCTCATCCTGACATGCCCGCTCTCGCCTACCTCTTTCCCCCTCCGGTCTGCTCTCACACACTTCCGGGAACTGCTCGTTTGCCTGCGCTCCCGCTGTGCGCCCATCAGAGACGCACAGATAGACGCGCTCATACGGAACGTCGACGACCTACCGTCTCTGGCCTCGATACCAGACATGGCAAGGTTGGTCGTAGATACTGTGCGATCAATCCTGGAGCTCGCGGAGCTCATGAAGGAAGACCTCTCGCAGTTTGTCGTGGGCTCGATGAGCGAGAAACAACTGCGCGCGGTGCTGATGGTTCAGGCGGCCAGCAGGAGAGGGAGGTGGTTCTCGCTTTGGCGTCCGGAACGGATACAGGAGCGCTGGAGACTTGGCTGGAGGAGCGGCAACACGCGACAACGTCCCAGCGGATGGACTTTGGAGCGAGTATGGGTACACCGCCTGGGCAAGCTTGGCGCTTGCCGTCCCTGTGTCCTGTCCGCTTCCGACAAGACCCATGCCAGGCGATGCGGATGACGAAAGCCGGACGGACATACCGAATCGACGAACACCCTCCACCCCCGCTCTTCTTCGTCTACCCGACCCTACTGTACATACAGAATTATCTGCAGGCGCTGGTCATCGCCGCCACCCTCCGCTCACTCGTACGGCTTCCAACGCAGCAGCTGCACCGACCGGCCAGCACAGATGAAAGCGATCAGGAGAGCTTCATGGCGCGCCTCTGGACTCTACTCCGAACCGAGATCGACGAGCAGCCAGGCTCGGGCGAAACCAAGCTCGTGAACCTTGCGGACGAAGTCATCCGCGTCCGCCGCAGGTTCACAGGGAGCGGAGACGCCCTGGACCCCGACGAGAAGCGAGGTTGCGCGCCGCAGTAGAACCGCACGCTGCAGCGCATGATCCGGTCTTCGCGCTGTTGCAGAAACGGTTGCTCGCGGCGGTCGCTGAGCGAGTAGCGCACCCGGTAGAACCTGTCCCCCATTCAAGTACGATGCAGTTACCGGAGCGACTGCAGACGGGCAGGGGGCAGCGGGGAAGCGTCCGAGACTCGGATGGCGTTGGATTACGATGCAGCTGAGACGCAGGCGCGGCGGCTCGTTCGGAGCAGCTTGTAGTGAAGGGGTTCGAAGATGAGTGCTGGTGAAGGCGGTAAGCGAGGTCTGGTCGAAGCTGAGATCGTGCGTAGAGTGGACGGAGCGAGTGTGGTCAGACTTGATCAGACAGGTGCTATCGCGTCTTCTGCGTAGGTGCAGAGCATCTTCTTCAGACTGTGTTTGTGTTATTAAGATACGGCGCAAGGTGACTTAATGTAGTATGAAGCTTTGAAGCCTAGCCTAGCGCCGTGGTAGAGGAGGCGTCAGTTCGTGGTATGATCACGCAGGAGGAGATTAAGCGCGCATCGTTCTCCTCTCGCGCGCTCACTTCTTCGGTCGTCTTGAAAGCCCAGCTACAGCTGCCAGCTTCCTCCTCCTCTCTCGCTTTGCCCACCCTCCACTCCCTTTTCACGCAGCACGCGCCGCAACAACAAACACAGATTGGTTCTTTTGGCTCGACGCGTCTACCCTGCGGCCCAGTAGGGGCAACGGAATCGCAGGGCTGCGGTTTACCCACCCGCCCTCGCAGTCAAGCGCTCACCCGTTACCCCCAGGTCCGCGCACACGTTTCGAGTCGGGCAGCCCTACGGGCTGCGCCCCACACTCGCTACTAATCCCTCTCTTACTTACAACTTGAAGTAGTCTCTCCAAACATACTCAGTGTACTGATGAATTCGTCATGCTAACAAGGCCGAAAATCGTATCCCAGTACATAGATACTACTTAAACTCATCACGAGTACTCGGGCGGCGCACCCAAGTCCGAAGGTTCGGCTGCCTCGATGTGCACGTTCTGCAAACGATTCTGCGCAGATCCTCGATCATCGAGCGCAGCCCCAGCAAATCCCCCACAGTCACGCATTCGCCGTCGTAGGGACCGTCGTACTCCCAGATGGAGGCTCTGCAACTGGCATGGCGGAAGACGAGCCGGTTGACGGCAGGACAGGTATTTCTTCCCTTGGCAATTCGAGTTCCCGACGCTGCTTTTCCGTGAGTATGACACCTGGTGCTTGGGCTGTGAAAGCGGGCGCAGCATCGAAGGGCGTGGGTTCTGTCCTTGTACAGTTGTTGTCGAGGAGGTCGGCGTTCCTCCGGTATCGACGACGTCGCAGTAGCCATAATCCGAGTCCTGCGAGCGCAATTAAACCGACGACACCACCGACGACGCCGCCCGCTATGGCACCAACATCGAGCGAGCCACTGCCGGAAGCACTAGTGCTTGTGATGGAGTAACTGGGGGGCGATACGGTCACGGTACCGCTGCGCATCTGATGTAGCACGGCTATACTTGCAATATACTACAAGCTCACCTGCGGCAGGAACGGCGCGAAGAGGCCTCCTAATGCGGGGCTATATCGCGGATTGGACGTCAGCTCTCTAGCACAAAATGAGCACGACTAACCTGGTCGTTCCACCCTGGTAGGCACCAAGATTCGACATTGTACAACCGCGCCGAATGGGGCCGATGTCTCATTGAACGCCGCATATTCCCAACCGCGTCAAGAATCTGATCACGGACTGTGTCGTTGGTGCAGGTAGCCGCGATGAAAGCATTCCAGGCTGTGCAATTCCATGTCAACCGGAGTTATGATCACTCCAATATGATATCGACACACCTACGTTGCCAAGCGATTGTGCAACTGCTCTGCATCGGCAACCCATGCGTATAGTTGGCTGGAAAAGCGTTGAGTAATCGATATGAACGCGACGGAAGGGGATTCTTACCGGTGTCAGGTTGGATCCACTGTCCATACATGACAGTAAGCTTTGTCAAGCCACTGCGTGGCGAATCAGCACAGGGCATTCCCGCAAACAACACAATTGACTCACTGTCTCGTTCAAAAGATTGAATCCGAACAGGGTCTGCGGGTAGAGATTGTACGGTAAAGACCAGACGCCTGTAACTGTCGAGTTCAACGTCGGATTCACGGACGCAGAGGCGCCTCCTGACGATATGGCAAGCGATTGCCATGTGTTCATGAAGTTGGACGCTGTGCTCTGTGAACGTGCCAAAACACGTAAGGATGCCAAGATCTTGCCAAGTTCCAGTACACGGTAGATCACTCACGCTGAATGCTGAGAATCATCACTCTCCCCAACTAATTGACTTATCTCCGCCATGGCTTGAATGGCAAGGATGCCCTTCACTGCCAGGTTGGTCGAGTTTGTGGCGTCACTTCCGTCGTCGACGATAATCTACAGAGTTTTCGGTGAGCTGTTTTCGGGCACCATAAAACATGATACGTACTGGCCCTGAGGAGGAAATTGCCCATGCTGCGTCAGGTACTCTGCCCAATTCTTGAGCAAGTAATACTACGTGCATGTGAAAGTAAGCAAGCACACAATTCTCGACGACGAACACGCACATAGCCATGGAGCAGCGACGTATCGTTTGAATATTGGCGTGAGCGAGTGTAATGATGGCATGTTCCCCGACTCTACAGTCACCATTGGTCAGCAGGCGTCTCGTTACTACGACGACGCATGCTCACGTTCAATTGCCTCTGTGGATATCAGGTTCGGGCCAGATACATCCGGGAACAGGGAACCTTACTTAGACTATCAACACGCTGTTGTCGGAAAAGTGTGATGAGCGTTTACCGAGGTCTTTCGATGCGTACGGAAAGGCACCCAACGACGTATTCTGTTGTTCAAGGAGCGGTACCAGGAGTAGCTTGACTAATGTTGCGTTGTAATACAAGAACATGGGTAGTGCAGCGTACAATCTCTCCACGGGAGTGACGCGTCTGTCATTGTCATGTAAGATACGAAGCAGTTGCATGGGCTGAGCATGACTTACTGACTGGTGCCCATGTCTCTCATGAAGATCCTAGTCGTGTTGTCCGACTGATAGGGAGCCGTTATTTCGAGAGAGCTAAACACCTGGCGAGTGGCAAGCGAAAGCATGTCGAACAGTTTACCGCTGGCCGAAATGTTAGAAGCCGCTTGGCGAACTTGCGTATCGAGGGATATTGCCCGAGTAAGCGAGTTGTTGAAATCGGAGACGAAGAACTCCAACTACATATGCGAAGTTCAGCGACATGAGCCAACAAACCTGTGTTATTACTCACGGCCTCTTCGGTGGTAGGATACTGTGTTGTGTAGTACGGGCGGAGGGATGCCGTGCTACCAGACAATGTGTAACTGATGCTTGGATCGCGCACATAGCCAACCGCCCAGACAACGGGTGAGTCCACAAAAGCGACACTTCCCAAGTCGACCGAGATGGGGAAGATCGGGCAGTCACTGTGGCATGCATGAGCTCTCAACGCACGCAGCGGAATGTAGCACCCCTACACATCCATGTCCCGAAAGGTTTGATTATTGTCATTTGCGTTTAGGCGACCAGTTTTACGAATTCTACGCGGCAGACGGTGTCTTGGCAAGTCTGCCAAGTGACGTTGCGTCCTTGTTGTCCCTGCCATTGAAGTTAACATTGTCCGTGACCCAGAATGAGTTCATGTACCAGCTCCGTCGCGATGTACATTGCACCATCCGACGCTTGTCCTCCATTCTCCTGGAAAGGTGTCGGCTTCATGAGTTGAACTTCATGATAGATGATGTTCCCGGATTGCGTCGGCACCCTCCACTGTATCTCCTGGTTTGACCCGTCGCCGGACACCCATCCTTGAAGAATGTCAGCCCGCAGATAGCTAGGTGCATATACGTGTAGTAGCATCAGCAAAAGTGCCGGATGATGATCTCACAAGCGGTGAGTTGTATTGCTCACCTCGTAAGATTTAGTATTCGCTCCAGAGATAACTGGAGAGAACGCGAAGACTACAAGAGGTGAGATTGGATATAAGCAGCTTTCCGAGATGCCATTGTAATTCGACAACTTACCAGAATTGCGAAGATATGCGCAGAGAATTGGTGCCGCTTGGTGCCGCTTTTAAGATGAGCGCAGACAATGAGAGCAGCTGCGTGATCTGTCTAGAGACTAAGAGGATCCTTTCGTACAGACTCGGGCGAGGTGTGACTAGTTAGTGGTGACTGAGGTCAGCATGTCAGCGCGATCTCCGAACTAAATTCAATTAGGAATTCGTTTCAGGCAGCGCGGCGTGTACCAGTCATGTACGACACCATTCCTGAGGTATCTGCCGACCTACCAAAATAGATTTTGGTCGGAAACGGGGAAGTTGCAGGCATGTACGGGCCTATGCGGCAGCGCAGGCAGGCTCAGAGCGGCGACGAGGCACATACTACAGGCTGTTCCGAGACTCAGGCCATCCTTCGGGCACAAAAGTCGCTCTCGGGCCTAATATGCAGACAGTTGCGAACGAGGGCATGAAAACAGCGTAAAGGATGGGGAGGTACCCTCATGGCACGGTGTAACTTAGCAGCAAATCGAAGTCCGCGTCCTGGGCCTCAGCCGCAGTGCTCGACTGTACGCGGTCACGTGTGCGCATATAGCCAGTCTTGAGCTGCGTCGTCTCTCGACTTCTTCTTCCATAACCACCATCGTCTCACTTACACACTCTGACAATCTCCTCTTCTCGAAGTACCTCGTCCTTGCCATCCCTTCTAATATCTCCTCCATCATCGCCACTCTCGCGCCCCCGCGGGTCTTGCCTGCCCGTTCTCTCGCCCGCTCTCGTCACTCTTCTTGCCCTTCTTGCTTGCTCACTTGCGCTGGGGTTGCTGCTCCTGGCGCATATACACATCGTGCTAGTTTTCAATGAAGTCGATACGGGATATTCGTGAGTATCCGAGTCCTGTGCTCTACCCGTACTTATACCTGCTGAGGCACAAACCCGCCGCAACGGGTATGGGTGTGGCACGGGTCTGCGCGGCTTACAGCGTTGCATGGGTGGCATAGGCAAGTGGGTAAGCAAGCATGCAAGTCGGCTCGCTAGCAGAAGGACAAGGACGAGCGGGCAGGTAGGAACGGGCGAGAACTTGAAGGCTACTGACGAGCGGGTGAGAAGGCCACGGACGAGCTGGCGAGAATGCGAGTGTGGATGGGCAAATAAGAACAAGCGGCCGGGCAATGAGCGGGCGAGCAGGTGAACAGGCGATAGGTCGGGGGAGAGCGGACGAGAAGGCAGGCGAGGAGGCGGCTGGGCGGACGAGGAGGCGGGCGAGCCAGCATGAGGGTGAGCGCGGGCAGGCAACAACAGCAAGCTCACGAGTCACTGTCACTGACATCCCAGGCCCCAGCTTCAGTGACTATCGTCAAGATCCGTGACTCGTGGACTCGCGCTCCCGTGTTTCCTCTTCTCCCGGCACGCACGCATGCTCGCCACCTTTCAACCTCAAACTGTCCATAGCGGATTGTGTCCGTCACTACGCTTCCCTCCCTGGAGGATCACCTTCGAGTCCCAGTCAGTCGAGGTTGCCGCGATGACGACGCTTCCCTCCGCTGACCGCGACCGCGCCCTACACTGACCTTCTGGTGAGCGTCGACTGAACAGCATTCACCCGCCGCTTAATGTTCTGTACAAGGCCCGAGACGATGAGAACTTCATCGGTGCCGCATTCTGGGCGAACATAAAGTCTCTTCGAGACAAGGCGTGGCGAGATAATATCACGCATGGTGGAATAAGTGCCATGTATACTGTGTGGTTCATACTGATGTCTGCGACAGGAACGTCTTCAGTATCAAGCGGCCAGGCGTCTAGAATTCGACTGCCGCGATCTCACGGAATGGCCCCTCGACAGTCACCAAGCTGCAGGAACAGCACGCAGCCCGCCTTCAACTTCAACGCCAGAACTCTGCCGCCTCCTCTGCTTGAATCTCGGTGAGTGTATATAGTACCTTCTTCTGCTCATGTTATCATCTAGTAGTCGTGCTTATGCCATGTTGTTCAGCTGTCCGATGCACATTGTTGCGCGTCTCCATTGCTCAAGCCTTCTATTTGCAGTTCATTCGTTCTCTCGACTCAGTGTCCCTCGACTCGGACTCATTCTGTCCCCTTTACTCCGTCCGTCATTCCAACCCCAATCATCTGCTCGTCTGCCTCGCACCGGTGTTGGCTCTTCACGTCTGGCGCTCGACTCGTTTCATCCCATTTCCGTCTACTCAGTTTCTCTCTCTCTCGGCTTTGACCTCGCGGTCTCGTCTCGTCAGCACGTCGGTACAGTAGCAAAGCGAGTGTGTACGCTATTCTGCGGTGGGTAAACAGTGTATTATATTTTATGTACCTGCATATGCGGGCACGAATATCCGTCAGTGATGTACAATGTATGTAGTAAAGCCAAATACGTTGAAGGGTGAAGATAGTGACCGAAATAGACATGCGGTCCAACTGTCTGGTCGAGACAGTACGTACTTCTTGTATTGCCTACGCATTATCTTTCCTTCGCTGATGCATGTCTTTTCGGCCAATAGCACCGCTGCATGACGTGGCGAGGGAATTGAAGATGTCAAATAGAAAGAAAGCTATGGCAACCCAGGACGAAAGTTGTACCAGAAAGAGTGCAACTTAGAAAGACGTGCAAGATAAGAAAGATGAGACATACAACGCTTGATAATGTGAGATCTGCGACCTGCACTTTTGGCGATGAGGTATATGCCCACCTCCATCCTATGGCGTACCGTTTGATGCAAAAATGAATCCCCCCTACATGAATCGGAAACACCCCTACATATGTTCGGCACCCACTACATACACTTTCACAATACCACTACATACACTCTCATTGCCCACACTACATATATTTCGGCGCCGACCCCACTACATGTTCTGCAACCGACTACCCCTACATGTATCGCACTGTCATTACGTAATCCATTCTCAATAAGTAAGTCCTTTCTTAGTCTTTCTATGGACTCGAATAAGGCAATGGCTTTCTTCGCCCCGTCGAGCGAATGGGCAGAACCGCTGCTCGCCTTGTACGACGCGTTGCGAGCATCAACCCGCTCGACCCGCTCGATGTTGAGCGTCGCGAGCCCGCACTGAGTCGGCGACGGTGGGCGCTCCGGGCGCTAGTGCCCAGCGCGCTACTCTCGACCGCCACCACCTTTTCGTCTCTCACCACCTCCCGGGCAGCCACCACGACCGCCCGACCTCTCATCAAGGCGCTCGCACTGTCCCAACAGACAGGCGAGCTGAAGCTGAACTACCGCCAGCTCAGTTAGGAGTGCCCGACAACCCCTCTGTGCATGGTACAAGACCGGTGCATCCTTCCTCTCCCGGGCCTCAAAAGCCACCCGGGAGACCTCCAATCGACCCTCTCACCTCCTCTCTCGTATCTGGCGATGTCTATTCGGCTCCCCGCGGCTCTGGCGACACGCAACAAGGCCGCGCGGCCCCGGACTCGCACGACCCGTGTGTAAGCTCGGCGCCGAGCAACAACACTGCTCAGACCACCGAGAACGCCGCGAGAGAGATGCAGAAGGAGGAAGGGGAGAAAGGCAGGAAGAGATAAGAGGGGGAAGGGCGCGGGACGAGCAGAAAAGACGAGCACGAAGGCTCGTATACCGCAGGTACGCCCTCGATGCCCGTTCCCGCCTCGCCGTCCCCGCTCTCAGTGCCCACGCCGGCAGGCATATTGACGCACGAGGCGTCCGTCGTGCGTCCTGCTGGCCACGAACACGGCACGCCCGACTTTCGGGATGACCTCTGTGTCGTACCCACCACGTTGCACGGCAACACGGCGGATGCACAGAGCTGCGCGTCCGACGTGCCCGTGTCATCGACACTGCCCGCGCCAGCAGGTGTACAAACGAGCACGAAGCCCGTTGTACGCTCTGCTGGCCACGAAGATGGCATGTCCATCTTCCGGGACCGACCTCATGGTCGTACCCGACGTTCCGCAGGATAGCATGTCGGACGTACATTGCTGCACGTCTGACGTGCCCCATCCATCTACGATCTGCCGCACAATGGGTACATCGAGCCTACCACTTGATGTACACGCTGTCAGCGAGAACAACGATGCGCCCGGTGTATTCGCAAATGTACCCAGCGCGCTTGCCGACTCCTCATGCGCGAGCGGCGGCACCGGTGTACACAGTACACCCCACGATGGTGGACCCCGTACGCACATCATGGCCGCAACGCCCGCGTCGGAAGGCAGCATGACGAACAACGAGTTCGTTGTGTGCCTCCCTGACGTCAAAGATGGAGTGGTGGGCCTGTGCAGCAGCACTACAAGTGTGTCTGCTGACGACACGCCCGGAGAGGCCCCTAGTTCTGCCGGGCCGTCTCATTGTATTTCGATACCACCGCATGCGGCGGATACATCGAGCTCATCGCTGATGTATCCCCTGTCGCTTTCCCTCAGGGCATGCGTGATGTGCGTCTGCCCGTGCTCGGCGCTATCCTGCCCATTCCCATCTCGACTTCTCCGAGTCTGCTGCCCACACCGATGTGTGGTACAACGAGCACCGAGCTCGCTGCACCCGGTGTTGGCAACTCTACGGAGCCACTGACACCGTTGACCGCCTGGCTAACGAGTCCAGCGTTGTCGCGGCACACGACGCACGACTGGCACGTCTTTCTAACTGTACTTACCACTACCTGCTAATCTGCCCAACATACAATGAACAATGTGTGTGCCTCGCGTCCGACCTCAGACCTGTCACAACCTCCATCGCGACCCTTCTCACCCGTCTCAAGGCCGTACGATGTCTCTTCCGATACATCCATGAGACCCGCCGCTTCGCGGCAGTGTACGGAGACGTCGACCTACGGTGCACTCCGGATTTCAGATGATCAAGCTGCTCCAGATACTGTATAGCGAAGAGGACATTGTGAACAGTGTTACGGACACTACGGACAGGATTAAGATGGCATATATAAATCTCTTCTGTGCTACGTACAATACTTAACCGTGACCCGCATGTATTCACTGCCCGAGCCTAGATACTTACGACGCATACAGTATTTACTTATTCTGTTCCTATCTTGTACACTTAGGCGTGCGTCTCGCCGAAGGCGCGCGCTTTACCAAAATGGAAAGCAGCCTTTTACTCCCAACCATATCGTCCGCGCGCGAACTATTCACGCTGTATGACTGCGGGATTGGCCATCAACAAGAGTGCTCGTCGTGCTCTCGTCTCAAAGGTGTTAGCTCGTCACTGCACCTGGGATAGGCTCGTTGCCGACTCCCTTACAGTCCGGCTCGTTGCCGACTGCCAGCGCGAGCTCAACAGCCGCGTGAACGACCTTAACGAGGACTCAACAGTCCTCGTACGACCTCTACGGGTTCTACGCCCCCTTAACGACCTCACAATTCATCAACTCATCTGCCCCGGTCGCCGAGCGACCACCATAGTTAGTCTCGCCGGGTAGCCCGCCCCTTGTGTCCAGGACTCGAACTGCCGAGCCCTAACAAACAGGGGGATCATGCCGGGTGATCAGTGGTGTTTCACAGTCAACGGACAGGTGTTCTATGTATATGAAGGGGATGAATACCATTCCGTTGAACGTTCAAACCGTTCTATGTGAGGATCTCAATGGAGAAGGTGAAGCAGCTGCTCGAGAGTGTGGTGCTCAGTGGACAGATTATCGGTGAAGGTGCCAGCCTTGTCATGCCCATGCGAGGTCGACTCCTTGTGCGTGCGATGACTGTCTGGTCGCATGGAAGGTTACTCGCGTTCCGGTGGAGGATGTGAGCATTCTGTTGAGGTCAGCCTTGCTGTCAAGCGCGACGAGGATGGTACACCCATCGTAGATGTATCGTGCCTCTTGTGGCATAATACCTGGTCTATGTACATGCGGGGTGAGGTAGCCACCACCTCAGAGACAGGTGAGGTGACTCTATCTGTGCCGTACTCGTACTCATACTTGCCCGCTTGCCAGCTGACGAGTAACAGGCGATGAGCCCCACTGGCAGGCACTTTGATTCCAGCTCAGCCATCGAGTACATACGATGAGGTCAGTACATCTGGCGACTCGGATGTACTGGGCCTCATTGATTGCTCGATGACCTGCTTGGTGGTCTTGGTGGTCGAGGTCATGCACGCATGCCAGGTCGGTTCTTCGTACGTGCAGCGGGTACCCAACGTGTAGGGACTCGACACAAATGCGCCGAGGTTGGACTTGCGTCCGCGTGGGTTTCCGCGATCGAAGCTAACGGACTTGCTTGTCCCTGTGTCGGACGACATGCCCGGCTTCCTAGTCTTCGACAAGACTGGCAACCGTGAAGATGGCAGTACATCCAACAGAGTGGGTGTACTGTGTTTCTTCACGCCGTCGTGCTCACGGATTGTCGAAGCTGACGTGTGCAGTGTTGTCGACGAGCTCGCTATGCTCGGCGACAACGTCTTGATGGAGGATGTAGGGCGCACGTTCGAGCTCAGCTCCTCGTACGTGCAGCAGTTTTCCGGCCAAGAATATGTCGGTATATCCAAGGCGGATGTGTCATCCAACTTTTGACTCAAGCGCAGGCCGGTTTTGGCCTTGCTCGTCGGCCGAAGGTTCCTGCGCCTGCGAGCTTGACTCCTGGTGTGCACGGACTGGGGCCTGATCACGTAGTGCGGGAGGCCTGTACCGCTCGTACGAGCTTGAGTGAGACAGCTCATCTTGCGGGCGAGTCACAGTACTCGTTGATGGCGATGCTGACGGAGTCAGTACATCCTTTAAGTTGGATGTACTGTCCTTCGTCGAGCTCTTGTCCATCATGGCCGAGTTCTTGAGGCTGGACGACATGGCCAGTGTCAAATCCGGAGCCTTGCATCCCGTTGATGTAGAGGCAGTCGACGCTGGTGCAGGCCGCGATGTCGATGAGCTGATCGACAAGCTTTTGGGCGCGTTGATCACGGCGTTGTCACCGGTGTCGGTCTCGCCATATGCAGCGAGCGAAGGGCTCGCTCTGCTCGATGACAGCATCTTGATAGAGGAGGACGAGCCAGTCGTGCTCAATTGCACGCTGACTGCGTCGCTTGACGGAGCCTTGACCGGGCTGGTCTTGCCCCTTGTCGGAGTAGGTGTGATCGACAATGCGGATGAGTCGATCGACGTGCTCAGAGGTACATCGATGGCGACATCATCGAGAGTGTTGTGCTCGCCATGTGCGGTGATCGTTGAGCTTGCTGTACTCGACGAACATGTCTTGACCGTGGAAGTGGGGGTAGACGCGTCGACCGTGCTTGATCACGCGTCGACAGCATCGCTGGGCGTAGGATACAGCCCAGACATGCCAGACATCGGTATAGCGATCAACGTGCTTCTCTGAACGTCGGTCGGAACTCCTTGTATTGCAGATATTTCGGCTTGTCTTGAGTCCTTGGTCTCGGACCGAAAACCGCGGGCAATCCCTTCCCCTCCTCCATCGTTGCAGAAGGAATTTGATCAATACAGTGTACATCGAGCGAGCTGTTGCTCGACGTACCCAGTACATGGGTTTGAGATACGCGCGAGCACGTTAGAGCGTGCGTTCGCGGTGTAGGCTCGTCAACAGTGACACGTCAAGCCTCGAGCTCGGCGTGCTCTCTGTACGAAGAGCAGGTGTTGTAGTATATGAAGAAGACGCGCCGGTCTGCTCGTTTGCACTCCGGACACGTCGTACTTCGTGACCGGGGCTCGTTGACCAACTCATCGCGAAGATCATACCCTGACTGAATCGCCAGCAGCAGGTGCAACGAACTCATTGTTCGCTGTACCATCTACTGGGATGGTACCGAATGCGTGCGCATCAAGGCATAAGCTTGACGGATATCAGTAGGCACGAACAGCGTGCGGACCGTGCATTCGAAGACTCATCGACAGATAATACATCAAGCCTCGAGCTCCGAGTCGACGTAATTCCTATATGATGGATGGATGTCGCATGAAAGGCGTACGACACGTCGGTCATGCTGAGCTGCACGCCGAACACGTCGAGCGTCGCGACAGCGCTGGGCTCGTTAGCCAGGCCGTCGGACGGATCCTTGATGCTGGACGACATGGCCAATGTCGACTACGGAGCCTTGCATCCCGTTGAGGTGGAGGTCGACGCTGATGTGGGCCGCAGTGTCGACAAGCTGATCGACGAGCTTTTGAGCGTGTCGATCGCGGCGTCGTCGCTGATGTTGGTATACATCGATGTGGATGCGTCGATCGACGTACTTCTGGGCGCGTCGATGGCGACGTCATCGCAGGTGGTGGGCTTGCTGTGCATGGTGAGTGATGAACTCGCCGTACTCGACGAGTATGCCTTGAAGGTAGATGTGGACGCGCCGAGCGTGCTTGATTGCACTCCGGCTGCGTCGCAGGGCATAGTATTGATGATGGACTCGCACCTTGACGAAGGAGACGTCGCTGACGTGCGTCTGGGTACGTCGACGGCGACCTGGTCATGGTTGCGAATGTCGGTCTTGTCGTGCACGCAGAGCGACGGGCTCGGCGTAGACGACAATCGTGTCTTTGCGATGAAGCCAGATGCGTCGGTCGTGCTGGGTAGCACGCCGAACACGTCGTGCGTCGTGGCGGCACCCGGGTCATTAGCCAGGCCGTTATGAGGATTCGCTACCCCAGTAAGGTCGCCAATACCGGGTGCAGCGAGCTCGGTGCTCGTAGTACCATACATCGGTGCCGGGGGCAGACTCGTGTCCATTGACACGGGAATGATAGGTCGTGGCGAGGACGCTCATGGATGGGATGCGTCGCGCGCACCCTGGAAGTCGGCTGTGTGTACGTCGAGCGGCGGGCTCGACATATGCGCAACACGACTCGGACGTGGTGTAGAGGATCAATAGGACGACCCGGTAGAACTAGCATGTTCTCCGGGTGCGTCGCTACGCCGAGTAGGGGCGTGTTGGATGGCGGCGAGCACGGGTGGCCGTACATTGCGCGTGTTCAGAGAAAGAGCAGCGGCGGATGCATCAAGCAGAGGGCTCGACGTATCCGCAGCGTGCTGTGGTAGAAGTATAGGAAGAGGCGGTGTGGTAGAGCTCGAAGGCTCTCCAGACACGCCGCCTCGCGAAGTGGGGGCAGCAGACACGGTGGTCGTGCTACTGCTCAGGTCCAGTGCGCCGACTTGAACGTCAGAGAAGTGCGCGACGACCTTGTTGTCCGTCGTGCTACTTCCCGACTCGGGCACTGGAGCCGGTGACGTGCGTACCGGGTGCACCTTTGCAGAGTGTACCTCGGGGCCATCGGTCGCGCATGAGATGCCGACGAGCATGCCGGGTACATTTGCTAGTACATCGGGCGTTGCGTCATTCTCGTCGACAGCGGGTACATCGAGTGGTGTGCTCGACGTACCGTCTGTGTGTGGTTCGTAGGAGAACGGGGCGCGTCAGACGTGCAGCGATGCGCGTCCGACGTGTTGCCCTGGGGAACGCCGGGTACGGCGCTGAGGTCGTCCCGGAAGTCGAAGACGCTGTCTTCTTGGCCAGCAGAGCGCACCACGGCTTCTTGCTCGTTGGTACGCCTGCTGGCGCGGGCAGTGTCGACGACACGGGCACGTCGGACGCGCAGCTCTGTGCGTCCCCCGTGTTGCCGTGCAACGTGGTGGGTACGACACAGAGGTCGTCCCGAAAGTCGGGCGTTCCGTGTTCGTGGCCAGTAGGACGCACGACGGATGCCTCGTGCGTCGATACGCCTACTGGCGTGGGCACTGGGAGCGGGGACGGCGAGGCGGGATCGAGGGCGTACCTGCGGTATCCGAGCCTTCGTGCTCGTCTTTTCTGCTCGTCCCGCGCCCTTCCCCCTCTTATCTCTTCCTGCCTTTCTCCCCTTCCTCCTTCTGCATCTCTCTCGCGGCGTTCTCGGTTGTCTG